GTTTTACCAGGGCTGATGTATGCAGATGACATGGTACTTGTAGCAGACAATGGCGGGACTACCGTATTTTTCGGGCTATAGTCCGCGGACTATACATGTTTAAAAGTTGAAATTTCTGGCTGTGCGGACTATCTATGCGTGCGGACTATACAGGAATTATGTTTTTCAAGATTGTTTATTATGACGAGACGTGACGGATTTTGTGCACGAAAGTGTATGTTAATGATGATTTATGCACATTATAGGCTTTATTGTGAGCTAAAAAGCAGACATTTGTAAACGTGTGCCGTCTATGAGAAGATTTTCGTGTCGACTAAGCACCAGGTGCGGACTATGCACCGGGTGCGGGCTATGCACCGGGTGCGGGCTATCTAAGCAAAATCTTTTATTTTTGACCCCAAATTTCCTTCTGCGGACTATACACCGGGTGCGGACTATAGTCCAGAAAATACGGTAATTAGAATTCGTGCCGGGGAAGGGGACGGTTTAGGCCTAAACTTCAGTAGGAACAAGTCTGAGATACTACAGGGTGATTCAAGGAGAGGCCAGGCTCTTTAAATCGACCGCAAAATTCGGTTTCTTAACCTATCGCGCTACGACTTTGTGCAGCGTTGCCCACAGATGGTGCATTTTTTTTTGTAAAATTTGCAAAGAGCGAACTTACCCGAGGAAAAAGTAAAGAAAAGAAAAGGCTTAGCTCCTATGGAAACGCAGGAAAGCCACCGGTCTTCAAACAACACGGCGCCGTTTCGCACGAAAGAAGAGATGGCGTAAGCAGTTGCGACGCCAACTGCCGCCAATGAACGAGCATACGAAGCCGAGAGCTGGCGCTTTTAGCAGACAAGAAACTGCAGTTCCTTGTTGTTACTGCGCCTCTTTTTGTTTCTGCGACTGTCGCCGCCTGCGGAATGCGCGTCGCTTTTGAGTCGAAAAGGTTGTCTGCTAAAGACGCCTGCTCTTGGCGCCATATGCTCGTTCGTTGCGCCATCTCTTGTCTCCTGTGCGAAACGGCGCCGCGTTGTTTGAAGACCGGTGGCGGCTGCGTTTCCATAGGAGCTAAGCCTTTTTCTTTCTTTACTTTTTCCTCAGGTAAGTTCGCTCTTTGCAAATTTTACAAAAAAAGGTGCACCATCTGTGGGCAACGCTGCACAAAGTCGTAGCGCGATAGGCTAAGAAACCAAATTTTGCGGTCGATTTAAAGAGCCTGGCCTCTCCTTGATACACCCAGTAGTTCACAACGACGCAAAGGGGGAACCTCTGGAGATGCAAGACACTGTGATAGAACATGTAGAAAAGTACAAGTATTTGGGTGTGTGGTTAAATGAGGGAAGAAAATATCTGACTGAACATGAATATATTATAATAAAGAGAGGAAAAGAAATTTGGCTATTATGAAATACAAAGCACTGTGGAGCTTTGATAAATACAAAGTTATGAGGGGGGTATGGAAAGGAGTAATGGTGTACTAGGGTTGACTTTCGGTAATGCAGTTTTGTGTATGAAATCTGAAGTATAGTCAAGCTTAAAGGTAAGGCAAAGGAGTGTAGGCAGGTTAGCTTTAGGAGCACATGGTAACACACCAAACGAGGGGGTACAGGGGGACATGGGTTGGACATCCTTTGAGAGCAGAGAGGCAACAAGGCAGGTAAACTTTGACCAAAGGCTAACTGATATGAAGCAGATGAGGTGGGCAGCTAAGGTATATAAGTTCCTATACATGAAAAGCTTGAACACTAATTGGACAAAATAGATTCGAAAGCTCGGAAACAAATTTTTACAGGCGGGCAGTGAAACGAAGTCAGTAGAAAACAGAGTTAAGGATGTGGAGAGAGAGAGATGTATGTAAGAAGGAAGTATGCAGGAAAAATCGGCTGTAACTATGCATAGGTTACAAAAACAAAAAATAAGGAAAGGAAAAACAGTTAGGGCGTAGGCGAGCTGGTGCAAGTTTACTATTTTTTAGACCACCTGAGACTGGCTGGAAGAAACACGACGACGACTCAATTTGGCAATGTTGAGACGTCGTGTTTCTTCCACCCAGTCTCAGGTGGTCTAAAAAATGGTAAAGGAAAGAAACTTTGATAATTCGGGGGGGAGCTCTTTACCAATTGAGGCCAGAACTGGGGTACTAAGAATGAAGACTTATAGGGCAAAATTCGAACATATAGATACAGTTTGTTGCATATGTGGAATGGAGAGCGAAACTATAGAACACCTGGTTTTGAAGTGCAAAAAGGCTTAAACCTGCCCTCCCTGAAGGGAGAACGGATGTAGAGGGGGCCCTGGGTTTCTGTAGAAAAGATGGAAGGGTGGATTATAAAAGAGTTGAAGTAACAAAAAGGAGGTTAGAGGATTGGTGGAAGGAGACTAGGGAAAACTGAAATTGGTAAAAGCAACTAACACAACTGGAGACGGGGAGGACAGAGGAAAATTGGGACTCCCTCCCGCGCGGCTCCGGCCCAAAGTCTCCACCCTGTCTCTCAGTGGGTCTGGTTTCTGGAGAACACCAACAGCTTGACCAGAGGAAAATTGACGACTCTCTAGCCGGGTAGAGAAGGCAGGGTGCGTTTTACTTTTTTCTTTTCCTTTGTATTTGCCCGATTCAACAAAGGCCCCCGGCCCGGTGATAGTTGCAGGGAGGTAGAGGAAAAGAAATTGGGTATTTAAGTGGGGGAAGGAAAGCCTTTTCTCAGGCTAGGTGGTGCAAGCTACCACCCGTTACAAAGAGCATAGCCAATATCACCCATCCATCCATCCATCCAAAAATTAGGAAGTAAAAGAGTTAGTGAAAATACAAAAAGGGTGTGTCAGGAGTAATGGGTAGAAGTATTAAACAACATTGAGAAACTGACTCATATTTTCCTTTCTGTTACACAAAGTTCTACTTTCCTTAAAAAGAATAAATTTCCAAAAAAACAAATGCCAACACAAATTAAAAAGTCATGCAAAAAAAAATTGTTTACCGTCTAGCTTTTTATTGCCTATTCAAATTACGGAAACATGTAAAAAATAATGAACACAGTACGAGTGATCTACAATAAAATACAGCAACAGCCAACATCCGAGGGACGCAATGGGAATACGGTATGTAGTACAATACACTGTGAGGTAAACTAAAGTACATAATACAAATTAAGTGCGGCCAGCGCTGCGCACACTTTAACTTTCTGTCTTTTTCACAATTGTAAAAAGTTCCGTAATTGTTCAAATGATGTGATATGTATATAATATACATAATGCATCATTTGAAAAATTATGCATGTCTAGCTCATTACTTGACAGGAGTCGGGAGTACAAGACCCCGGTTCTGTGTTATCACAGTAGCCGCCATCGTACAATTTGGCAATCTTTTAATGCGAAAGCATTAACTGTCCCATTGAGCGAATTGACATCACCAGCTCTGAAGCCGTATCAAACGGCACCTTCCCCTGTCCCAATGGAGCGAAGCCTGTGGTCTGTAGCAGAAATCTGATGGATAGGCTCCCATTGGCTGGCGCACGTCATCAAGGAATAAGGCTCCCATCGGGTCTCGCACAGCATAGTTCCAAGCCCTCTCCATGATGGCGCAGCGCATGCAGCGGCCCGGCCGCCGGTAAGAGGTGCGGGCCTGGCCGCACAGCCCGCTCGGGCAAACTCTCCAGAAGCGGCACGGACAAGCTCAGCGCGGCGCAGCCACTTCACGAGAGCGCGCGCTCGGCCGTCGGCCGCTACTTCAGCAGTAGCGAAACGTGGCTGTCCACGCCATTACGCTGCACAAAAACTAAGGAAGTGGAAGAATGACATTCATGCTTTCGCAGTCACAACTCATAAGTAATTAGGTGTCCTTGGACTTTTTCTTGCAACGTTTAGCTCCTCACATTGTCGACATTGTCTGGGAATTTAGACAATGTCAGCACATCAACCAACCTGCACGGTTGATGGGCAATCTCAATATTTTGTTTCACCTTAATTTAAAGTGCAGCCGCTGCTACAAGCCAATTGGTCCAATCAGCGTCAAAGTGCGACATTATGGCATACATCAATCTTCCTGTGTGTGGTCTTTCATCGACTAAACGAATCAAGGGCAGCGAATCTCCCGTGACTTGCGTTTTTAGTATGCGTTTGTGTTTCTTTGTGTTTGAGCCCTCGACTGTACTTTGACTTCAAATAAAACAAACTAAATGCTGAGTAGAGACACTCTTCAATACCTAGTTATACCATTTTCCTTTTCTCCTACTTCTTTAAATATTAGAGTCGACAAATCATATTTATTTATGCTTTGTCCATTTTGATGCAGGTGTGGCACAATTATTAGAATAAATGGCACTTTGGTGCAAGATGTAGCAGACACGTTTATGGCACAAATGGCGCAGCACTTCCATCACTGCGGTGTGCTATTAACAACTGAACATAAGTGTGAAAAAACAAATCATACATGCCTTCTTATCGCAAGGACGGCACAATGTGTTCAAACTCCTGGTGCGATAAGTGTAAGGACGGAGTACTGATGCATTTTGTTTCACCAACGAATTTGATATTGAAAGCCTCGAAAATCTCTTTCGGTTTAGTTTTGATACTTTTCTAGAACCTTTGTTCTATTCAGGTTTGGCTTGCAACCACACCTATGACAATGCACAGCCAAGTGTCCTAACAATGCCCTTTTCACCGATAAATCATCCTCCCTTTCCTTGAAGCCTCTGTCTGTAAGCCCAACGTATGTGTGTCTGCATGTGGTCGAGAAGCACGCAGGCCTGTACATTTTCCTTGCGACAAGAAGGTACATGTGTTGCAGTTTTTTACATTAAAGTTTAGTTGTGAGTGGCACACTGTCTTCTTTCTAGTCCTTGTTCTGTGGCACTTTCAGTATTCTTGCAATATAACAACCAACCTATCTCTCTTACTTCAGCTAGAGAGTCACACACGTCACAAGAAAACCTTAATACCTTCAAAATCTGGTATTCAGGCTCAAATGACATGCCTCTTTACACAGTAGGCATGCCCAGAGGTTTCAGAAGACCTACCTCAAAAAGGAATGCTATGTGGGAGGGCCCCACAGCACACTGCAAAACATTGGAGTTTCTGAAGTGGCTGACCACTGAAGGAGGTGCATAGGCACCACGGTGCAATTTTTCTGCTACATCTCTCAACCTGCAAGTGAAAAGAAAAAAACATGTTGAATTCAGTATACACAAGAGTTCATCCCTTCTCTGGTGCAAGATACTACCATTGACTGGGCCTGCTCCAAAGAGATCACACATATTTTCAAGCAAGGCTCACCTCAGGAACAAAACAAAACAGCTTGCAGTAGCAAGTAAAAGTTTAAAGTTGTGAGTTTATTTGAATCAATAAGTGTTAATAGTTTATTCTGTCTTGAAAAATTCACAATTCATTTCTCCTGTATAAAAAAGATTGTATGTTGCCTTTGTTATTTGTGAGTGGCAATAGAACCTAGACAATCATTAAAAAATTAAAGTGATCCAATTGGTGACTCACTTGTTTCATGAGTCTCAAACACACACTCATTGGCTCTTTTATTTAGGGTGTGTGCGTGTGTTTGGGGGGAGAGAGGGGGAGGGTTAGATTATATTATGAACATTACAACACTCTCCCGCTGCAGTGCATCTCAGATCAATATTTATTCAGAAACCCTGCTAAGAACCCTGCTAAGCGACATGGATGGATGTGAAATATATGGCGGTACAGTCCCATCCTCGAATTATTCTATAAAAAAACCATTATTTAGCTGTATGAACTTGTAGCTGTAGTCTGCTGTGCTTCAAAACAAATTTCACGTCACTGAAGAAAGCCCGACCTTTAGAGCAGCGTCTGTCAATGACGCAAGGAAGCACGCTCTCGTGTGAGCTGTTAGGCTTGATACGATCTCTAGTGAACACATTTGATTGGGCGCATACACGATCCAAAATTTAATTCCTTTTAGCCGGCACTTGGCGTTCACCTTTTTCAACTGTTCGACAATCAAGTCGTCAATCATTCGTCCAGTCACAACTAAACACGACACAGTCCTGTGCTGCTATGATGACTTCGAGAAATGTGCGGATCATGCATTTACTACCAGTTATTTGTGTTACGTATTTCGTAAACATAGGATAACGCTATCGTCACGATCATTCGAACGAGTAACCTCATTATACGAATGAGCTTGTAACACACTTTACTCAGTACACACGGACTACGAACGGATGCGAAGATTACTGATTCACCCCACACGAATCGCAATAAGTTACTAGCGCAAGTTCATTAGCTAAATGGGAGATATGAACACAGGACCGCCGACTTGCACCAAGCATGGGAATGCGCAAAAGTGTTCCTCCCCTGCTTTATGAAATCAGATTATCGTGAATTAGAAAAGTATGTCAAAGCAAAGCTGAATCGCGCGAACACCTTAAAAGAAGTCGCCGAACAACGAATATTGAATAGATTCGCGAATTTCGGAGTGCGAACGCTCAACAAACACTGGACCCTAGGCCTAACTTCCCGCAGTGTCGAAAGCAATGCCAAGTCTCCTCGTACCTTTCATTCAGTTGATCTTCGTTTCCCGGCAAAGGGAATGCCAGGAAGTGTAGGGACGTCATAACTATTATCCAACCATTCAGTTAATCACACATGACCAATTCATACAAAATTCACCAGCACCACTTGCAACACTTCACTCAAATCCACCATCCACCACTTCAGGGAAAGAGCAAAAGACGGTTTGGATTGGTTTGGAAAGTGAAATTAGCCCTGATCCCAGGTGCGCCAGGTCACAGAGCGCATTGAAAAAAACTGCACTGGTGTCGAGAGTCATATAAGGAAAAGCGAAACCGAAACTCCATAAAACCGTGAATTGAGTTGTATTGTAATTATATACTCAGCTTATACCGCAAAGCCAGCGAGCTTTCAACTAAAATATAAAGTATGCAACAAAACGAAATACCTTGATTTGGTACCTGTACTTTTGTTATTTTCCACAAACAGTTTGCATATTTTCCATTTGAATCTGCTGTTTTCTGCAAACTTCGTCCGGGAAGAAACCAAGATCCAAGAATTCTTGTGCGTATCGTTCCATATTATTACTTTATTGTTATGCACTCCCCTTTTCACATCCTCTACAATTGAAGAAATACGAGTTTTTCCTTGTTTGCATTGTCTTATGTTCCATAAACCTTATATGATTTACCTCATGAGCCCTCATATATTTACTTAGCATCCAACTATCTCTCCCACTCATAAAAATCTTTCAGTGTATATTCATTTAGTAATTCGTTGTTTTAAAGCAGTCGCTGTTGGTGCCCCTTCCCGGCAAAAAGTGCCCATGCACAGTCCCCGCTACATCCACGTTCCCCGCTCAGGCAGCCGCAAATGCGAAATACCCACGTGTTCGCGCTGTATACAGTACACTGGCCTAAGGCTAATCTCCTTCGACATGCCTTTCTACAGCGCAAAACTACAACTCTCAATCGCACCACACTTTGTGTGGTTCGTTTGCAATTTCACTTTACACACTTACCAACTGCATGGAGCGTGAATCCGGCTAATGCATCAAAACGTAGATGCATGCTGGGTGCTGTGAATGAACCTGGAAATAAATTACTTTCCGTCCACCAAACATGCCTGGTGTCTAAGATTCACACACAGTGTTGGTTCGTGTTCATAACTCACACATGCACGCTGAAGGGTTTTGTGCACAAGACCCCCCCTCCCAGGCAGGGCTGTAAAAATAAAAACACCTCACAACAATGAGACCTACAGAAAAAAAGTTTATTTTCTGCCCTCTTGATCTCCAATCACAAGCAATGTATGTACAGCAGACACATAGAGAAAAAAAAAAAAACACGAAATAGAACATGATAAACTGACACTTCAACAAAAAAACGACACAGCCACAAAAATAATGTCTCCAGGTTGCAAATATAGGATATAGGTCCTGTTTTGCATAGAACAGCATAAAACAAAAACACAGTGAGGGCGCAGGCGAGTTGGTGTAAGTTTACCATTTCGTTAAAACAGCCGAGACTGGATGAGAAAATCTTGAAGCAACCAAAGTAGAAGAGACAGGGAGAGAAGTCAGTCAGATGACATCTCAACCAGTCTTAGGTTTCATAACAAAATGGTAAAGCACAAAACAGTTTCTGTGTGAGCAAAGCTGAAATAATTGTAAATATGAGCTTACATCAGAATTCCTGTCACTTTAGGGATCTTATTGTTTTCCGCAATCCTATCGTGTGTCCCATTCATAAGATGCACACTGCTCTGGCAAGCAGCAAAAATCATGCACGCAACAAAACCGAAGACAAGTGCGGGCGGTTCCAGCAAGACACAAGAACTTGGAGATATTGGTAGGAATTTAAGGGACCCCTCCACATCAACAAGAATGCCTCATGCAATTTCACTACTTCAGAGTCTGCATAATTCGAACGATGCTGTCAAGATTTCAAATAAGAATTATAACAATTTTATTATACAAATGTCTCGAAATCTGGTTCGACTCCAGTACCGACATCTTTATTTAATCTCCGAACAGAGGCCGAAGGGGCACTGAATTCCTGGACTGCTTCTAATGCCACACTTTCTGCACATCATTTCTACAGTCACAACAACGAAACAGAGAAGTTGTTAATAAGATGACGAGAAGACAATCCATCAGCGAGGGTTTATTTGGTGACAAATATATTCTATTTCCAAATAATAAAAAGATTGTCTTTAGACAGCGTCGTAAGGCTCAACTGACGTTAGCACCAATTGCACCAAGAAAGCTGGAAGGCAATGACGAGCGATAGAATCCAATCTTCAATGAAGTTTAAACTGTAATTACAGAAGTACCCTTCGTTGCATCTCAAGGAATGTGATAATCTTGACGGCCTCAATAAGCAAAAAATGCCCTTCTTTCTTTTCGCGTTCTCACGGATGATACGAGGGACAAACAAAGTTTTAGCAAGTGATCGTTAGTGGCAAGATGCACAGCCGCGCGTCCTTATCAGAAGTTACGTCACACATTGTTGCATGGGGGCCAAAACCCGTGCAGTTACAGATAAGACACACGGTGGTACTTTGTATTGCAGTTGCTTTCACAACTAAGCCATCATGAAAAAATGCTTATTGGTTTTTGTTCCATCTTGATATTGTATGAACATAGAAGCCACTGTCTCCAAATGCGATATTCCACAGAAGAAAGACACGAACCACGAAAGGAAGCCGCGCTGTATTTCATGCCAGACATCCATAATGACGGTATATTAGTAGGTCAATATACATAGCTACCGTTACAAAACGATGAAAGCTTTGCATCTCGAGGATTACAAACATACAACATGCATATTGTGGGAACGACAGAACACTGCAATTTATCCACGGACATGAAAAATATACACTGAAGGATGAAGAGCAAGACCTCTGGCGACGGGAAACATGAAGGAACAGGGTCGCCTCTTTGGGAAGGAAAGGGTGAGTCATCACTTCTCGCCGGTGGGTCGGGGGGTTCTTTTCGAATCGATTATGAAGTGAATGTTGCAGTACAAAAGGTCTAATGCCAATTCTCTGCCTACTATTAGGAACATTGCTTGGGTGCAGTAGCTAAAAAGCTCCCGTTAAATAAATGAATAAAAAAATGCCACTGCAGTATTGCATTTTTGAGATAAAGGCTAATTGCTTAGTAACGTCTTCAATTTGCCAGACTATCTTTGTTCCTTTGTGAAAAAAATCTTTTGTGCCTTCAAATATCATCGAGCTCTAATGTTGTTCCGTGAGTATGTTCTGCCTGTATTCAAATAAATATGGTACTAATGATCCTTTTTAGAATGTTTCACATTCTACAAACAAGATTAAAATGTGGCTGAGAGCTACGATTCAATATAGTACAAGCGCTTGGCTCCTTGGCATGTGTGACAAAATTCACTGCTAGGATACTTCAATGCCCAGAAAAAAAAAGGAAGTGGCATCCTAAGTTTGCCAATAAGACGACAGAGTTTCATACTATTTAGGCTGCTTATGCAGTCCACTGCCACAGGTTTGTACTTCCCATTATATGTAATGAATCACACCTATGGTGCTAAAACACTCTGTAGCACAGATTGAAAATAAAGATATTGGAAAGTATGCTACAAATATGATGATGCAACGCTAAATAGAATACCATGCACCAAATATAAGGGCGAGCGTAGCTTATAATCAGCACTGCGAAAATAAGGACCCGCACTAATTCTACCAAAAACCCAGGGAGGATTATAGTATGTACAGATAAATTTCCCACAATAAAAGCACTGGGTACCCATGATTGCAGCCTACAATGGGAATTAGTCTCATAATAGTAGTCATAATATTTGGGAACATTCTGGCAATACCTCATATGTTAGGCCAACTTCACTATCGACATGCGACAATTAAACCGTTTTTATCTTGCACCGAGCCAGCATGCATTAAATTTTTTTTTTAGAGATGCAAGCATGTTTTAACACTCCTTAAAAAGAGGTACCTGAAAGAGATCACAAGATTCAAACAAACAGCGTATTGGTGCCGGTAAATAGGGTATGTCTGACAAATTATAAACTACCAGAGTAAAAATATCTACACCGTTTACAAAATCCAAGATGCAACCATGCCCATAAAGTGTACACCTAAATACCTGTGAGATGCTATACAAGGATATGCAGATACTTACTTTTCCAAAGAAAACGGGTCACACGTGTGCAGGTGACGTAAAGCACCAGGCAGCATTTTTGTCGCCACTTATGGCTGAACCCAGTGTATTTGTCGAGACAAATTTTTTCCATTGGTCACAACACACCAAGGTGTCTGGTCAGAGCCAGACAAGTAGATGAATGAGGGTCACACATTTCAAATCCAAGTGTTTATATGAATCGAAATTATCAACTTAAGTTTTGCATCCTCCAGTTTAGTACACACCAGCTTTTTTTTACAAGTAAAAATTTACCTCCAGTAAGTTTTACTGAAACATTTAGCCCACCTTGAATGCAGCCAATTGACACCCAGTTTTAACAAGCAATGTTTTTTTTATCAGCCAATTTCTATGAGAAATAGTCATGAAAAACCGTCATGAAGAACCGTCACGAAGTCCTGTCACAAAGACCTGTCAGAAAAAACTTCCATGAAGGACTGCAATGTCACGCGACACCATGACGTCATGCCATGACATCGCACAGTGGCATGTGGATGTGACCGTCGTGTCATGATGTCACAGTTCCTGGTCACATCATGACGCTACATGATATCACATGACACCATGACGTCATGCAACACAGTGGTGTCCTGTGACACTATGACGTCCTACGACGTCAGCGATGCGACATCACGTTACATGACATCATGATGTCACATCATGCAACACCATAACATTCTGTGATGCCAGTCATGTGACCTCATGACGTCAGCTGACATCAGACACAGATAGCATGTGCCTAGATCATTCACAACACATTCTGTGCTCGACGGTCTTCGACAGCATGATCAAGCTATAGTCAGATACAGCATAAGAGGCAGCGCAAGGGGGAACAGAATGCGCACGAGAAAAGCTGTTCTCCTTTCCACTTCAGCTTTCCTTGTTTCTGCCCTTTTACCCCTTGCACTATCTTTCTTATGTTGTATCTGACTATAGTGTAATTATTTTAATGTAATTTTGACCGGTAGTACAGCTAATAATGGTTTCTTTAAACAAACCTTCTACACCCTTCTCCAGTAGAGGCCGAAATTCATCAACATAAAAATGCGAGCTTTGAATGTTAAAAGCTCATAAGTGCGTGACTGAAAAAAAAAACATCCCGCTTCCCACTCGCCACTATGAGCATTAACACCTTGCACATTCGAAATAATAAATATTTAAAAGGGAATATATATACTATATCCTCTCAACAGTGATATACCGCAGCAACATCCGAACTGGCAATTTAGGAAGGCAATTTCGAGAACACCATTATTTGTGACTTGAATAAAAATATTGGTCCATTTAGTTCCACCTGATATTACAATACAGTCGAGCCCGGTTATATCACACTCAGGTGTTTCAAATTATTGTTTATATCAAACAGTTCAAACATCCCCTTGAAAATCACTCGTAATAGTAGGTATCCAACTCCCATGGCGAGGAAACTCGATATAGCGAACGAAGACGTGAAGCCCGGCCGCCCGTTGCTTTTCCCGCACGCAATCTGATTGATTGCGCCGATGGCCTGCACATCCCTTGCATTGCGTGGGTGGTAGACCGCCAAGCCAGCATACACGCGAAAAGATACTCAGCGAAAGAGCAGTTATAAAAAAAAACAAAAAAACAATAAACCGTAAAAAAAAAAAAAAAAAAAAAAAAAAAAAAAAGTTGGAGGATGGCAAAAGCAAGGGGAAGGGCACGCACATGCACCTAGGGAGAGCAAGGAGCGCTTGCTATTGGTACGGTAGCCTGCATCCTTTCCTCGAACACTGCTGATGCTGAGCAACTCCCTAGCCCCAAAATAAAATAACCCCCCCCACAAAAAAAAAAAAAAGGAGTCTTCCACAAATCGAGTGTGTTGATCGCACTGTGAACGCCTTATCTTTGTCTACCTTTTTCTTTTGCTGTTATTGCTTCGCCCTTTTTTTTTTTTTTGCCCTTCTTTTTTTGCTTTTTGAATTTAGTGAGCTTTCTTTTTTGTTGCTTGCATAACTTTTTCTATCGATCATGAGATTTTTTTTATGCGTCTTCGCTTTTCCATTTTTCTTTTTTAATCTTATTTTTGTGTTTTGTCGTTTATGCTGTGTGGAGGTCCCAGCCAGGTGCGCGTGTAAGCGCAGCGGTGTTTGCGGTCTCCGCCAACTACGCCCTACTGTATTTAGCGGCTCTTGGATGCTCTATTTGGTAAGGTCCTGTTTGTCGCGACCTTTGGTATTAGCAGAGACACCAGGAAGTTTCAACTGTAGCTCAATTTAACAATTTTGTATATCAAATTATTGATACATCAAACTATTTTACAATCCCCTTTGAATTCAATATATCCGGGTTCGACTGTACATATACTACGCCGTGCACTGGATGACGTTTCTACGTAGGAAAGCCAATAAAATAACAATAATTGACGTAACAAAGAACACGGGGCCCGAACAAAATGACACGAAAAATCACGCAAACAACTGACGTAACAGTAACAAAGTCATAACGCACAAAGAGCTTGGTAATATCCTTAGCAGCGCGTCGACAGAAAAGTTTGGAACTATGAGAAACAAGTCACATATGTACAATTTATGTCTGTGCAGACACCGAGGACCGCGTGAAGTCCGTGTGAAACGTTAAAAGTAAATGTCGCCGTCGCCCGCTCCGACTCGGTCGTCCCCGCCAAGCCCGAATCGCCGTACCGGCTTAGCCCGCGCCAACTCTGAACGTAATCTGCACCGACGTTGGAAGCGGGTCGGCCGCCCGAGATTGGTAACACGATTCTCACCGAGGTACAGCCCAACATTGGTGTCCGGGGATCTCCAAGAATGCAACTTTCCACGGAGAAAGACACGATGGCGGATCAATCTCCGGCTAACCCGTGCCCGAATTGAACCGCGGTGAAGTGGCCGAACGCCAACGATGGAGAGCCCGTCCTGGCGAACGGGCGCTCGGCTCGGTCATGTGACGACGGACGAGCTCGGCCGGCGAGGTGGACGTGGAGGGAGGACCGTGCATGTGGCGTCCTTACTTCTCCTTCCTGTGCTTCTTTTTCTTCTTCTTGGCCGGAACTCCCTGCCTCTTGGCAATGCAGCGGTTGCAAAACCAGCTCTCCTCTTCCTTTGGGGGCACCACAATGCCCACACACACCCTGCGAAGAAAGAGGTCAGTTGTTGACGCTGGTCGGACGGGCCGATTCCTTTGAATGCGTGGTCGACCAAGTGATCGGCATGGGCACGCTTCTTGATGCTACGTCCCGTATTTTTTGCACAAAGGCATGGTGTGCCGCATCTTAAAGGGACCATGAAATGACCTTTTTACTTTTTCCAGATAACTTTTACATTAAACCGTCAATGTTCACTGAATGCCGAACAGGCATCCGTTTTCGTCTCAGTTTATTAACTTCTACACAAAAAATTATTGAAATATCGACTTTTTCATTCTCTCCAACTGACCGCAAAACAAGCCGTGACGTAAACCGTTTCCGGAACCGGAAGTTCTCTCGGCAATAGGAGAATGGGAGTGTTAGCGGCAACGAGTTGGGGTGCGCCGGTAGGTTTTACTGCGCTAATGACACCGACGTATTTCCTGAATCGGCGCCTCTCATCGCCGCATCGCAGCTGAGCGAAATTCAATGAGATATGTTGCGCTACAGCGACAGCATGGGACTAGTCCCATACGCCGGTACGCCTGTTGGGAAGTGCAGCGAGTCTTCCGGTGAAGACTCCAGAAGTCAACCACCCTGTCATTGTTGGCAGAAGGGCCGGCCCGTGTCAGTCGTTTGCAAAGTGACGTAGATGGCGTTTTTCGCGGCCTCGGAGATGCAGGAGCGAGCCGACGTTAAAAAAGATACGTTTGAACTACGAGTGTCAGCAAGAGCCACGTAAATACCTGTTTACACTCGGAGCGGACACGCGCGTTCGATGGAAGTGCTGTATTCGCGCTGTTTGTAAGCGCTTCAGGACCGTTCTTTTACGATTGCAACTCGATACTGACGCGACACTCGGCAAAGAAAGGTTGTACCGGGGTTGTACGTATACCTCCCACGAACTGTTATAGCTCGACAGTGACGTGCAGTCTGTCAGAATAAAAATGGCATACCAATAACAAAGTATACATACCGTGTTACGAAGGTAATTCATACGGCGTTTATTTCAGCTCTATATCACACAAAACAAGATAGAATCAACGAGAGTCCCTTTTCGACGAGTGTTCGTCAACACTGCCTCGGAAAACAAGGGGAAGAGATTGACCTCACCTCTTAACCTAGAATTGAGGTCAGTGATCAAACTATAATACGGGAAGGGTCCACAAGGGTCGCGCGGCCATATTCCATTTAGCACGCCAGCCGGTCGTAGGCAGACGGTCTTGCGACGAAGCAACGCAGCGCCGAGTCGGAATGCCTGCTAGGCCTATATTCTGAGCACCTCGCTTCGTCGGAGTCGGTGGATCCAGCGTTCTTGTTCGTCGTGGTCTGTTTTAAGTACTGTTTTCTTGCTGCTTGAAGTCGGCACGCGTGGGAAGAACACGTAGAAAAATAAACGTTCAGTCAGTCAGAGTTTTGAGAGGAAGGAAAACAAAGAAAATAAATGTTCGTCGGCGGCCGCCGCCACCCAAGTAACCGTCGGCCCTGCCCTACTGCGCACGCGCAGTAGTTGCTTCGTTTACCACCCGATAGATGGCGCTTGGCTCTCAGCATTATCAAATTTGGCAATTTTCGCCACACATCTCTAATTATGCTACAAAATGTGGATCTGAATATTATTTAACAAAACTTTTAGGAAACATTCGCCGGCTATTTATTGTTTACGATCGCGGAGCTGGTGAGGTAGGCTCTTACCCAATAGGCGACCTGGATTTGGCTGACGTGCTCCATTTCCGCGGATGCATCGTAGTGAACAGGCGAAGAAAGGAAGGCGCAAAAGAGTCCAGTTTTCTTTTAAAAGTTCTATAGCAAATAATTTTTTTTTGGCTCCCTATTTTTGTGTTTCTTTTCACACCTTTTACGACGTGCGGTGGATGAAACTCGATTTTAAAATCATTTCATGGTCCCTTTAAGTTAAATAAAAATTAATATTAAAAAAAAAGGGCATTGATTCTCACTGCGAGTCATAAAATAAAGAGACGAGCGGAAAAATTTGCATCTTGTGCTAGAGGATTACTTTATTTACTTCCTGAAAGTCAAGGGCATGCCTTGACGAATGAGTGCATTGTATTTAAATAAACATGGTAGTTTGGTTTTTGCCACAAATTGACGCATACAAAGCAAGCAACTGGTGCTGTAAGCAACTGTGGCCAGTGTTTTGACAAAAAAAAATAAGAGGGGTCACGAGCTAAATTTCTTTTTTCTTTTTGCTTTCTGCCTCCCTGGATATTTGTCAAATAAATACAACAACCTCACCAAACCCACTGGACTTGCCGCAAATTTGTTTTGAAATTCGGCATGATTCCAGCTCAGAACGTCATCGTTAGAAGCGACGCTGCAGGCCTTCATGGTATAGGCGACTTGCCTTTCTGCGGTGCCACGGCTCTCCCAAGTTGAGATGAATATTAATATCGATATCTAACTGCCCATATCGCACAATGAAATCTGGCGACGTACCAGTGATACCAGTCATCACACTCGTCGCAGCCGATCATGGGACTGCCATCATCGGGTCGGGCGCATGCGGGGCAGATCAAAATCTTGAAACCTTGCTCATCCTGCAACAGAAATTGATGCTCAATCTTCGCAACGAAATAACTTCCAATACATATTCAATCTTTTCTTAACTCTCTTAATACAGTCGAATCTCGTTAATTCAAACTCGAAGGGGACCGAAGGACGTACCACGATGGTGCCCACGGTCTTGGTGATGACCATCCTCGCCGCGGGGAGAAGGGAGGAGGCCCCAGTCTGCTGCTGCTGCTGAGGGGCAGGGGGCGTGGTCTGGGCGGCCGGCTGCGCCCCCCGGCCCCGGCCCCTCGACCCCTGCGTCGAGGCTGGGCTCAGCACGGGGGGCGACGGGCTCCGGAGGGGCACTGCGGGAGGGGGAGGCGCGACCGGGGACGACGGCGGAGACGCCCCGAAAGGGTCTGGAGGTGACTCGTACCCCTGACCTAGGGCCTTGAACAGGCTGCAGGGAGAAGAGCGTGCGGCCCATGGTTGAAGGGAAGAGAATCAGTGGAGATTTCCACCCGGAATTCGAAGACAATTCCAGGATTCGGACGTTACCTCGGAAAGGACTGTTTAACAATATTTGTTTGCAACATGGAAGATAACTGTTCAACCGTATCTGTTCACACATGTGGCAGAACAGAACCGATATCGGTTCCTGTGTTGTGGGAGTTTGCGGTGGGTGCAAGCATGTTTATTACTCATATCTGTATATATACAACTGTGTCGTATAATTTCAATAATTCGCCCACCCTTAGCCTCTCAGATGTTTTTGTCTGATCTAAAGAATATAGCAGAGAGTATATATTACAATACTATTACAATACTCAAAACTTTTTCCCAGGCGGGCATTCATTAGAAACGAAAGAAACCAGAGTCAGACAAGTGGGGGACTCACATCTTAGTAGCACTTGGCTTCGGAGTGCCACCAAGCTTCACCGTGATCTTGGGGATGGCGTCGTCTTTCTTCTGGATGTGCCCAAAGGCAAAGAAACAAAGACAAAGTTGATAACTGAGGCCTGCTGTAGTATCATAATATAGTAGTTCATCAAAAAATGAATTTATAACTCCAAAAGCTCCACAGCCTCCTCCTGCCACCTAGCACAAACAGTACTTTACAAACAGAGAAAGACACTTGCATGTAATACCTCTAAAGAATTCCTGGTTTCAACCTCACCCCTGCCTGTCTCTATCTAGGTTCAATCTTACTGGCATGTGTTTGAGTAATCACAAATATGTGACGCAAGTGACAAGCCTCAGAATAGAAGTAATGTTGCTCTGCACAAATTGCATGTGCACAGAGCTGAACGAGTGTAGCCCCATCTCATGAGCACACCGACCTTTCACTGTGTAGACACTTTAACATTACCTTTGGTTTTGCGTTTTGATATTTCTTTAATCTAGTTTTGCATTTATAATTCACAGCTTGCAACAGGTTACACTCAAACCTGAGTCATCATAGTATCAGCAACTGTTTGTTTGACTGCTTCAAGGGAAATAAACAAAGTTTAAACTACAAACTACTGTATTTATGTCATGGTAAGCAGCCCCACTTGTCTTAAAAAATGGTGGGACCTTCATTGAAAATCTTCGCTATTTCATATGCATTCCCCTACAGACGAACAAGGAGCATGACTACATTACCTGAAAACATCCTTTCATAATAATGTCCTTGTACAGTATACAAAATTAGTGCCTAGAGTCAAGACTTTCTTTGGGATTCCCACAGCAGTGAATATGATCAAAAAATAGAGTCCACTAGGTTTAGGCAAAGGTTTCTTGCTCAATGTGGCCATTCGGGTTTCACGCTGAAAGCTAACTTACCCACTTTTATTTTCTCTCCCTTTCGCAGATTTTTTTATGGTTCCCTAAAAGTTCTCATCTCTTCAACTGCCACAGAGAGCTTAGTTTTGCTGTACTTCACACAGCACATTAGCAATAGGTTGGGGCACTAGCTCTCAGCACTGAAAAAGACATCCTGCAGTGTGCTTGACCTCTTGCAATGGGAGCACTTCATATGCTGCTTTACTTTGTAAGTAAAGCAGCATGCACTCTTAGCTCTGGCAGACTTTTTCCCTAATGCAGTCAAGATGCATTCCAAAAAACACATGTTCACACTATAGCCTCAGCTATACTCCTATATATATAAGCAAAAAAAGGTACAGAGGCCCTTGTACTTGCAGCATCCTAAAAATACCTAACAGAACATGCCTAGCTGGACCAGCCGAGTTCATCTCGGACAGTTGGAAGGGCAAGATGTCACAAGAGGCAAAAAGACAAGAGGTAATCATCACCTTATCCTCCTTGCCTTTCTTCTTCTCCTTCTCCTTGCCCAGTTTCATCTTTACCTTCTTCTCCCCCTTGGGCTTCTCTACTGGCTTCAGCTTCACTTTGGGCTCCTTGTCCTTGTCCTTGGGAGGCTTGTCCTTCACTTTCTCTTTGGGCTTCTTTTTGAGGTGCTCCTTCTTGGCCAGCTTGTCCTTTTTCTTCTCCTTGGCCTTGCCCTGTGAAAAGGAACTTGCTTAGGATCGCACGACCTTCGTAGCGCGAGGCCGAGACATCAACGTGCACCACAGCACCAAACGACCACACCGAGACGACTGATACTGGGAATAATAACCTGAATTGTGCGCCTCACGGCCACAGAAAGCCTGCCTTTCCGGAGTCCTGGCTGCTTGCAATGAAAGTGGACGACGTGCTTCAATTAACGCAAGTTCTTTCCCCCCACTGGAAGGCACAATCACAGAGCAAGGGTCGCTTAAAGTAAGCGAAAAAGATTACCTTCCAGAATTTGTCCATGGAAAACTGGGCGAAAGCAGGAAGCACGTTTGAAAAACAAGAAATATGACTGAGAAACGCTGTGGTCACATCAACTTCACTAACTATGAGGAAGTAAATTTTGCCTGCCGAAGGACAAGCAAAATGTCGATAGCTTCGCCCATCTTTGAGAAAACATTATTACAGGGCAAGATGTATAAAGTTGCAGAAAAGTGGGAGTAATTAAGGCCATGTCACACTGAGGCAACAGTTGGACAACTCTTATCTGGCAACACAAGGAAATCGTGTTGCCGGCGGCCCTGTCACATCGCGGCACAACGGTCGGGCTACATGTTTCTGCCGCTCGGCAATTGTGTTGGCTGATTTGTTGCCCGACCACTCTGTTACACCGCGCTGACAGCGGAGGCAACACGAGGAACACTCCGCCATCTCGACTGTTTACGTTTGTTTTGTGTGCGGCCCAGAGTCACCCGAAATGTGACTCCACAAAGTGCTACATAGTGCGTTCGAAGGGCCGGAAATTATTATGGGACGATATCAACCAGTGACTGTGATTAGAAAACTTGACATGGGGAGTATTTTCCACCCTTTATTTTATTTTATCAAAATGTTTTTCATTCGCTGACAAAGCAGATAGCCCTAACCGAGGAAAGTGAGATCGCTGATATATGTTTGGGATTTACGCCACCGTATAAAGTGTTCCTGTCCGGTTCTTAATTTCCATACAATTCCTATTTCTACTGTAAAATTGAGTTAGCACCAACAGTACCCCAAAGCGTCTTTTGTAGCGTGGTGCAGAGCTGACCTGACAGTGCTTAAAAACTGCAACACCAATGTGATCGGCCTTCATAACACTTGGTGGCATAAATAATATTCACCGCTATCTATTTGCCTACCACCTGCTATGAGATAGCTTCATTCCCCAAAACTCCCACGGTACTTTCGAAACAAATCAGATGCTTGGTAGCGACTGTTTCTAAGTCCCAAGCATCAACAGTCATGATCAGAGTGGTTGATTTATACTTCGATTTTTTAATCTTTGCTTTCCTGGATTATTTTTATTATACAATATCAGTCGGTGAGTATGCATGCCATTTTATTTCACTAGCAGTAATGTGAGCTGGTCTCTTGGCAGTTCTAATTTCAACGCCAGTCTGAACGGTCACGACCATAGTTGTGACCATTTTGACAATTGCTTACAGTTTAGTATGCAGTAAAAACATTCATAAAATTATTTTAGCTGCACCCCACCCTTAATTATTGTTAAATAATGTTTTCCAAACCTTTATTTGAGTAATACCCGTGCCACATGGGCAACTCGAATGCCATTTACAACAAATGACATTTGAGAGGACAGCCAATCAGCGTGCGACACTCTGGGCGTGGCGCATATACCACGCACGACAGATTGCAAGCTGATTCGCCGATCACACAAATATCATTCGTTGTAGATGACATTCGAGTCGCCCGTGTGGCACGGGTATAAGACGTTGTTGACAGAACTAGTTCTGCCATTGAAGCTATATCTGTGTTGTCGTGTTGCCGGCCTGAAATTCACTCAGCCAGCGATGAGGGCAACACACATTGACCAACTCAAGTTGCTGCTGTTTTTGTTGCCGAAAGCTGTCATACCGAGGCAACATTTTAGTTGTCGTCCATGTTGTGTTGCCGTTGTCGCAATGCGACAGGTTTGTCGGACAACACGGGGAGCGAGCAACAAGTTGCCCGACTGTTGGACGTGTTGTGTTGCTGTTGTCGTCGTGTTGCCTCAATGTGACAGGGCCTTTAGTTGCGTATAACATGTCATTTAACATAAGCTAGAAGCCCGTGAAAGCCTGGGTTTCATATTTAAAAGCACAACTATAAAGTTCTTCAGGAAAAGTTTACAAGTTTTTTTTCTTTGTTTTTTAGGAACATTTAATTTGATCGACATCCACCTAGAATTTTAAATATCCAGATTCTTGACATTTATGGAATGCTTTAGTACAGCAAGAGTGTTCGAAGTGAAACTTTTAACAGGCAGCAATGCAGGTAAGAAGCAAGAAGGAAAGGACTGTTGCAACGTGGTCGGTCTGCACCAAGTGCCCAATGAGCAGTGCCCGTTCGACCTTGGAGAGGTTTTCCACCAGGCTGACTGGTTGTACCCCAAGCACGGGCCAGACACTTCACTGCAACCAATTCCTTCCGGCTCGCTTCACCCCGTCGAAGTTTCAATTAGGATGCAGGTGCCACCAAAGCACGCAGGTCATCAATTTGTGGATTCTTACAGGCCTCGTAGTGTGTCGATTGTAATTGTCCAAAATTTGGATTTCAAAAAAACAATGCAGGAGATGTAGGCAGGACGCTACAATCCCTACAACTCTACTCATAAGGCGATATCTCGAATGGACGGCTGCATTTTTGGAAAAAGAGGTCGAGATTAAACCAGGCGGAAAAGACGCGTGATGTAGAGATATCTCGTTTCCTCCTCTCTTCGCTTCGCTCCCTCAAGGCGGCAAGGCGGAGAAGACGCAAGGCCGTTCCCTCTCCTGCTTGGAGAAACATGACGTGAACATTTCTGTCAAATATGCCTCCTTTTTTTTTTTTTGAAAAATACGGTCATCTGTTTGAGATATTACTGCACGAGTGATGTTTTGGTGTTTGTAGCATCCCGTTGCACGCTGTTGCTGCGTGTTTTGTGGAATCTAGGTTTCGGTTCAGCATCCCTTTAAGCCGCCATAAAGATACCGCAAAAAACAGCTTTACCAACAATCTGCTCAGAGGCCGGCCCAAAATATAGACCGACAACAGCCAGCCCCTAAAATCAAGCGCGGCTTGGGAAATGATTTAGACGGCCTCACCTTGTCGCCGTCACGCTCCAACTTGGAGGAAGAAGGCTTGCCGTCGTCCACGCGTCCCGCGGTGCCCGGCACGGGGGGAATGGCCTTCTTCTCCGCCAGGGTCTTGACCGCAAAGGGGCTGCCCCCAAGGACAAGGGGCGTCGAAAGGACGGGGGGAGGGGGAGAGCGCGGCCCCACCTCCTCTGGCACGTGTGAGGGGGGCGGGGGTACAAACAGAGGGGGTGTTGGGAAGTGCGAGGCCGCCCCCTGGAGACCCCCCGTGCCACCCCGCAGCTGCGAGAAGGGGAACGCCGGTAGGAAGCCCTGCGTGGGCGGGGAGCCGAATGGCGGGAACTTGGGGGAGAAGAGGCCACCGCCTCCCGGCTGCTGCTGGGAGAAGGGAAACACGCCCGAGAAGCTGGGTGCAGGCTCAGGGGGCGTCTCCGAGCGCTGCGAGAGCGCCACCAGGGGAGACCCCCTCGCCTCAGGGCACTTGGGGAGCTGGCCCTTCTTCGGGGATGGAGTCCCCGAGGCCGACTTGGTCTTCCCGGACTTCTTCTTGCCCTTGGTCTTCTCCTTGGGCGGCTTCTTGTGCGGCTCTGGCCCGGTGGGTGGGAGGGGGAAGCGCTCGGGGGTTGAGTCGTCTCTCTGTTCTTTGGGTGGCGCCGGGGAGCCCGCCAGGTCGGGCGTCTTGGGTGTCGGCGGAGGAGATGAGTCAGAGTCCGTGAAGTCGTACACGTCCCGGGTGTCCAGCTTGCGGGGCAATGCCCCGTGCATGGCGGCCTCTAGTGCGATCTCCCGCTTCTCCTCGAGGCGCGACTCCTCCCGGGCCTTCTGCACGACCGCATCGATGCACTGGTCGATGTCGGCTAGCCGGCTCTCCCTCTCCTGCTTGCTCACGGTCTCCGGGGAGTCGTCGATTACGAGCCGGGGCTCAGGGGACTCCTCCCGCGACGGCGTCTCGTCCTTGTAGGGGTCGTCGTCTGCAGCTGCGCCCTCCTGGGCGTGCAGCTTGTTGCGCTCTTCCTCCGCCTTGCAGGCCATCACTTGGAGTGGAGTCATCGTGGACAGCATCGAGGGGGTCAGCTGGGGTGGGAGGGAAAGGGGAGGCAGGCAGGGTGGGGAAGGGGGGGACAGCGTGGGGGGAGGAGGGGGTGGCGGGGGCTGAGGGGGAGGAGGAGAGAACGGCGGTTGCGGCGGCGGTGGTGGTGGTGGCGGCGGCGGCGGCGGAGGTGGAAGCGCCGGCACGGGAGACGGTCCGGGACCAAACAGGAAAGGAACGGCTGCCGACGGCTCGCTTGCAGCCCCCGCAGATTTTTTCTTCTCCCCCTTGGAACCCTTAGAGCCGGTTGTGCCCTTGGCCTTGCTGGGAGACTTGCCCCGTTTGGCCTTCGGCGACAGACCCGGCAAACACCCGTGGGCTCCACCAGGGGATCCCTTGACCTTGCTCTTCGATTTGGACTTGGAGCCGTCTTTGCTCTTCCCCTCCTTGCTCTTCCCTTCCTTGGGCTTGCCCTCCTTGACCTTGACCTTGCCCTCCTTGCTCTTGCCCTCTTTGTTCTTTGACTTGGAGCTCTTAATCTTGACCCCCTTGCTGCTGCCTTCCTTGGCAAACTTGAGTCCCTTGGTGAGCTTCTTCTTGATCTTCAGCATCGGGTTGCTCGAGGAGCTCTTCTTGGCCGGCGGCGGAAAGAAGAGCCCCTTCTTCACGCTAGCGTTCTCCTTGTTGTCCTTCTTATTGGTCTTGCCCTTCTTGGCATCCTTGCCATCCTTCTTCAGCTTGAGGGCTTTCTTGAACTCCTTCACCTCCTTGTGGGGTATCGGGAGGCTGTCCGACGAGTCCGAGTCGGATGCCATACCCGGCGACAGGGCCCCGATGAAGGCCGACGGCGCGCTGGGCTCTGGAAGCTTGCCCTCTCTCGCCGGGGAGATGAATCCCGAAGGCGTCATGAACACGCTGGTCACCTCTCGCATAGGCTGGCCTTCCTCTTCGGTGCAAAGCCTGCACCGAGAATCAGGCATGAACTCTTTCATCGATGCTATGAGAAGACCTCTCAAAAGAATAGATATAATTCCAGATGGGGCTATAGTTAAATAATTTGACTGTTAAGCTTACAAAGGACTAGACCAGGTACTGTGGGTATGCCCCAATATAATAATAATACTTTTGTTTATTTTCCATTTGTACAAATGGTGAGAAAAGATAAAAGAAACTTCAAAATGAAGCCTCACATGTCTCCTGACCTATAGGCATTTGGCGAGTCAACAGTGTGTACAATGAATGACCATAAAAAAGGTGCTCACAAGAACAGTAAGTTAGCCAGCAGTTGAAGTAACAGTTGAAAATCAATACTAGAAACAACAAAACAAGATGCAATATTAGACACCTCAGGATATTTGCACAGTGAAACTAAATTTACTTTTTTTTCTTATTGTTTCTTCCGTCAAAGAGGATGGTCTCCTTTTTTTTTTCTTTTTTCACAAAAGCCTCGATGCACTGCAGCCGAGAAGCAATCTAGGAGAACAAAAGCCTGAGAACTGTGCACTGAAGAGCAAATAAAAGAAGTCAACACGGACCTGAAGCGCTTGGGCGTTGGTGTCTCTGTGCCATCGGGATTCCTCTTGGTGGGCTGGGGACTGCCATGAGGGGGAGACATGTCCTCCCCAGCACTGTTAGACGCCATGTCCCTCTTCATGCCATCAATCGCCGAACCCGGAGACAGGAGCATGCTTTCTTCCTCTGAAGTTGCAAGCATGTATAAAGAACTGTTAGGTTCAATCCATTAAAACTGCAGTTGGTGCAAGCATCATGCTTCTTTTCTGATGGTTTATCCCACACAAGGGGAAATTTCTTTATTCATATTTCAGCAATCACAGGGCGCTTCCCTATCACAATCCTAATCCAGTATTTCCTAACTACCGTAGAATACCGCGCATTCGCCCATACCACACTAAGCGCCCATACCCAAATTTGTAAGATCTGAGAAAATATGCACAGTACATTGACGTGTAAAATTGATGTCCCGACAAGTGCCCATCCCCCATTTTTTCGCGGTTATCTCTAAATTTTGAGTGGGCACTTGCCCGGTATTTTACGGTAATGCTGCACACTCATCACAGTGAAAAGAAAAAAATATGATCTCAAAGGCATTAAATCTACATAAATTATCACGGAAATTATAGACGCAATTTGCCTTGCTTTTTTCTAATGCATGGCCTAGAACGTGAACTAACTTGGGGACAACCTTACTGAAAAACCCACGGTTTGGACAGAAAAAAAAAGAAAAACGAACAAACAAATGGCATTTGTGCTTTATCCCTCTCCACTGTATTTCGTCCTAAGCGTCGCATTGTGCTGTACAATATTTGAGCTGCATCAGCTTGCCAGCCTTTCCACTTCGGCTTCAATGACGTTAATGCATGCTGGTCATGTGCTTGAACCACGCTACAGCTGTAAAGTTATCCGTGGAGGCACTTCATCATTGAACATGCACAATTACCAATCAAAACATCTACCGCCAATCTCTACTCTATCACATGAATGACACTTGAAGCGCTGAACCCTGAACAAACAGATGTTTTGGAGCCCCTTTTTGACCAATGTACCAATGTCCCCTATACTATCTCACTAGTTGGGTGCAGTACTACCAAAGGTATTGGGGCAAGAGCGTACCCCAAGCAGCTGGGAAGTAGGGGAAGGAGGAACTTCACTCTCACCTGGACTCTCTTTTGTGTACCCCCTGTCACTTCTAACCCCATCGGAGATTAGCCCATCGCTCGAAATCTGGACAAAAGCAGACTTCTTCTTTCTCCGTTGGTTTGACTGCACTGCGTGCAACTGGTGAGATAGAGTATAGAAGACAACGCCTGCACATTACATGATCGACAGTGGATTCCCGACCCACAAAGAAGCTCGAAGACAATACGCGGCGCAGTCGTTACGAGATGCGGCAAGACGAATTTGAGGCGACGAGGATGCCACAACGTAAGAGAAGGAAAGGTGCAAGTCTTGTCTTCTATAGTAACTGACAGAACAAGAGCGGCAGGGTGTTTTTTTTAAATTTTAAACCCAGCCTCGAGCACGTGCTCGACGCTATTTGCCGGGCTATAGCTGTGCACGCACGCTCGTGGCACACGAGACGCCGAAGCGTTATCGAAGCCAGGAAGTTTGCACCGGGGGCAGACAAGGAAAGGACCTCCCTGCCATTCTCAACCTGTCGGCGACTAAAGGTGATGTTGGACGGGCAGATGAGAAGGAAGCGCGGCCGCACCCTCTAGCTCCGGGTGCATGGGCGGTAGGAACTCGTGCACCCAGTGGGGCCTGTGGAGCAGCTCGCGGCTGCCCTGCTTGGGGTGCTGCAGGCTCGAGGGCCGTGCCACGGGGAACTGCGGGAGGCGCTGGGCAAACGGCACGGGCTCCACGTTGCTCGTAAACTCTTCCAGCTCGCTCAGCAGGATGCCCAGGTCGTGGAAGGCCAGAGACAGGTCGTCCAGGTTCGGCTCCGTCCTCCCATCTGCCGTCGCGAGCAGGGGACAGCACTTCACTCCTCCGCTCACTAAAGCCCCGCAACCAGATGGAACGCTCGCGGATCAGCTTGGAGTGAGCTCAATTCTAGTCTTTGGTGAGGCACATGGTGGAGCAAGCGTAAGCAATATGGATGGCTCTGAAGCAGGCCAATTCGTGCAAACCCTTCTGCTCAAGTTGTGTGTACGTGTAGACTGCGTTGTGTGTACGTGTAGACAGCGGGAAGTCACTTAGCTCCAATGGAAATCTGGCATCTCCGCCGTTAATGAAAAATCTAGCCGGCGCAGTACGACCACTGGCCAGGGGTCTACGTTGAGCAGTAGCAATACACTATCGCACGTTGGTACGATGCTCGTTCTGATCGAAATGGGCGGGGGTGGAGGTTGAGCCCAGGATCCGTGGGTTCTGCATCACGAGCTTTTGCTCTACGTGCTCAGACCTGCGGTGCATTGACCCGCTCGGCCACCCACCCCCACCAAAAAAACAGCACTCAACGCTAAGCATACGTACAGGTACTTTGCACTGGAATTACTTGGAGCATCTTCCTTTTGGACCACTTCCTCCTCACTCTCCTCCTCAAGTCTAATCCATTCTCCTCCCTTTAAAGTGGGGAGAGTATGGGACCGTTAGGCTGGAGCGATACCAGTGGCGCCACGCCGTGGCATACATTCACCCTAATGCAACATTAACTCGTCCCATCGTGCCGCCAGCTGCTAAGGAGAGCGCCGCATTGCAATATTATTGCGACTTTCTGTCTAGAAAAACGGTGATTATTTTTTAGAAAGGCAAACCTCCGCGAAGAGAGTTTGCCTGTGTGCCAGGTCTTTGAGGTGGACGAGATAATCCAGGCATAAGAACATTTGTCGACAGCGAAGTGCATCTCGCAAGTGCAAGAATTTATCTCGCAAGTGCAAGATAAATTCTCTTTTTCTTTATGGTTTTGCTTGCTCTTGAAAGTTTGAGCTATTTAAACAAATATGAGGATGCTATATTCTTTAAATTGCCTTTTCGCACACAGCTGCGCTGTCGCACACACTCATTGAACTCAGGAAAGTACTCTTGCAAAGTTGGAGTTACCGGCGGCTGGAAGCATGTTACAGCCGTTTTAATTAATGCGAATGAAGTAAATGACAAGACATGCACAGCCAGACCGCAACACTAGCTCAAGCTGTATAAAAAATTGAAGGACGCGAATAGGGCCACCGGGTCAAGCAACAAAATAACTTTTACTACACGCCGCAACACTCTGTTGTGTTTGCGCATCTGTATTGCTGCCGTCAAAGTGGTACAATCATAATTCACACACGTGCATCAGTAACCCACTTTTACTTTTACAAGTAAAAACAGTGATCACCGATTGACTTACATTTATGCCAATACAGTCTTCTTTTTTAAGTATTTTTTTTATGTGACCCCAGAAGGATAATTCTGATCATAGTTGCAAGTGACTACAAATTTCCTTGGGCAATTTTTTTTTTTTTTTTTTGCTGTTTAGGCGCAGCAGTTATACTTGATATATCAGAGCCCCTGTGCCAGGAAATATTGTTTCTCTCTGCAAAAAATGCAATTAAATTAGAATTTTAGCCATAAATTTTCGGTTATTTACCTTTGTCACGTGTCCTGTCCTGGGCCTCTTTATGCTGCTTTCCTTTTACGCATCTAACATTGCCAACACACTCTAATTGGTCGATCCAGGAATGTTCTATAATCGTCAGTGACAGGTTAAAAGTAAAGTGGAAGCTCCTCTTACCTCTTTCCACTTTAGCAGAGCGAACACTGGAGAGAAGGTCACCTCCTCTCCAGCGTTCCCTCTGCTGAAGTGGAAAGAGGTGGGAGGAGCTTCCACTTTACTTTTAACCCGTAGTGAGTATAGTCTCTAACCTTTTAGAGTTCCTTGAAAAGTAATTATGCCTGTTTTAGACTAGCTACATCATTTTAAAGATGTATAGAAAAAATAGAGTACAGCCATCAGTATCAATTTCTTTTCAACTATGTGTTCCAAGTAATCGCGCAATGTGCGTTACGATTATCTACCTCATTTTACCTTAAATCTTTTGCAGCTTACTTGCTTTCTCTTTAGCACAAACAAAATTTACAGTAAGCAAAGTGAGCTTGGTTCTCAAATTTAAAGTTGTTTTAAAAATGATAACTGCATATTCGGGTTTCTTTTGTCGACAGCCACGGAAAACTTTTGCAGCTATTTTGTTAGGGACTCATAGAAAGTCAGCTACCGATTGCGGGCCCTGCGGGCACGAGCTCAGTCTGCCCTCAGAGTAACGGCACAAGCTCTCCCAAGCAACGCAAAACTCTTGCATGCTCTTGCGTGTAATCTACGAAGTCCCTAAAAATGTGACAAGTAAACGTAGCTGCACTACTGAACCATGCGTCAAGATAGGGAAACAATAATTAACCCTATCCTCTTCACAGCTGGCGATTCATGCTTCTGGTGATCTTTCTTGAATCACTACCTAGGAAGGGAATAAAACTTTTCGGGAGACAGACATTTCCGTTTGTGCTTCCTACGATGTTGTGGCATTTGACTAGACAACAATACCTGGTGCCCTTCCCTTTGGCCTTCGGTAGGTTATTTTACGAAGCGTAAAGCCAGCACGACGAGCGCACCAGCCTCTCAATTCGTTTGCTCTGCATACACTTAACTAGCATGGGCGCGGCTCAGTAGGGGGAGGAGTGGTGCTGCATATGAGAGGCAAAACTCCAGCCCCACAGCCCCCTGGAGCCTTCTACTCATTTTTTAATCCCTTTTTTTTTCGTCGTCTCTCAAGGAACGGAGTGGAACTGCTTCAAATTAAGATGTTCCGTCACACTTTAGCCATCCACTGCTCATAGATATACATTTGACATGCCCTTAGTTTTTAAAGGGACACTGACATCTCCCAAAATTGTTTTTCTTTTTTTGCTAGGCAATTTACAACGGTGTCGGAAGACTACCCAATCAATATTTTGCTGCAGCCTCACACAAATTTTCAAGTAAAAAAAGAAAAAAAAAAAGAAAACTGCTTGAAAACAAAACTGGATTGGGAAGGAAGAAGAAATATAAAGGAGGAGAGCGTTGCCGGAAGTCATGTGGCTGTCTAACTTTTTTTTCTTTTCAATCAATGTATTTGCAGTTTTTTAGAAGCCACAAAAGATGAGTATGATATTTATTTTTTTATTTTTAAAACTGAGTGCGTGCCTTCCATGACCCACGACTTTGATTATATTTGGTGGCTGCACCTAAACCATAGAAAATGGCACATGACCACAGAGAAGGGAGTGAGCGTGACTCAAACCGGCCAGTTCTCAATCAGCTGTTTTCGGTCGGAAAGAAAATGAATTTCGAGCCGCAAATTGTGTTCTAAGTAGTTGGGTTCTCATGTGTCATGTACAAATAAAAACCTTGGCTAGCGTAGATGTGTCCTTTTAAGGGGCAATTCGCACACTTGCGTTGAGTCCGACTGAGAGCGAGAGTTGCTATAGCAACAGCTGCGTCGGCTCCACCAAAAACGTTTTTTACCCCGTTTTCTTGAAGCAGACGCAGCTGTTGCTATAGCAACCCTGCACTCGGTCAGACTCAATGCAAGCGTGTGAATCGCCCTTAAGGACATGTGCAATGCACAACACATTTAGCCCGAATGTGGCGCTGATGCTAACTTTCCCTTCACTTCCAATAATTCTATTAAACATCAAACTTTGTTAAGAGTTTATACAACACTTATGCACACATCATACTATCCAGACTTTTGATGTGCTTTGTCTGCCTTTTCTTGGTTTTTGCTTCTGAGTGCTGTTGGACTTTCATCGTGCTCAATGTATACCAACTGGGACAATTTGCTACCCTTGGTACCACTCAAAGAATGTCATCAGATGGGCCCATCCACTAGCTCCCAACTCGGTTCAGAAAAGATTAACAGTGTGACAAAGCTGGAATCTCAGAGAGAGCTGAGCCTAGGCCAACTGTTGAAGATAGCTCAAGGACCTGTTCAATCCGATTGCTTTTAAATTATGTGTATTAGAGTTTTGATGAGATTGAGAAGGCGCATGTATGTACTCTGTCCATTTCTTTCAAGAAGTGAGCACTCTGAATTCTCTTAGACCAAGATGTGTTTTCGCACCTCAGTGGCTTGTCCACCTACCATATCTAACTGTCATGAAAGCATGCCACACTTGTTAATCAACTGCTCCAAAGGTGAGGCACCTTTGAGATCGAAGAGTTTTGTTTGGCGCGCACTTTGCATCAGGTCTAACCCAAGCATTCACCCAGAAAGCAGCACGACCGTAGAACATTTAACACAATAAAGCAATGCCCGCAGGTATGTTGGTTGTAAAACGGTGCTCAAATCGCAATTATTCTGAACAGGCGGAGCAATCGCAAAAGCTATCAACCCGGTGCGACATTCAATGTAGGCACAGTGCGGCCGGGAATACCGACTTCATCGCGCTGTTTTGCACATCCGACAAACACGAACGAACTAAGATAAACGTACTGTTGTGTGGCTTCGCAGTCGGCACGCACACGAAGTAAAAAAGCGAGTAACCTAGTTCGTCCTCCCCGCCCGCAAAAAAAAACGTTAGAAACGATAAACCGTAGCGCGAAAGGCAACAGTATCACTTCTACGTGAGTCGAGGCGCTCAAAGCGCACGTATTTATACACCGAGCGGGCACCCACCTTGATTTGAGTAAGCTTGAGCAGTTCGGGCGATCTCGAGTACATAGCGATGGAGTATGTCAGCGAGGAGCTCCAACGTCGACTGATGCACGGCATGCCACCCAATGTTTTGACATATCTGAGCGACAGAAACTTTGAGGATGCTACGGCTAAACTGAGCTGCCATTCTACGTTGAGAAAGTCATGAAATCGAGAGCTACAACGTCACTTCTCCCAGCGAACACGAAAGTGTGTCGTCCACGCATCTTTCGCCTCAATGACAACGGTCCAAGTTCACGTCATTTCCAGACTTGCGGGGACTGAAGATGTCCGAAGAAACTCGACGTAGCCGATCAAACGCGAATAACATCACATACTGTACACAAGCTAAAGGGAACCCGCCGCAACAATATCACTAACAAGGATAAATAATCGCCATGCTGGACTTGTTGTTTAAGCTTTTTAGAGGACGCCACCATCGCCGCCCTCCGAAGGCATTGTGGGAACGCTGGGGCTGCTGGGCGTCGCGTAGCAACGCGCGGTTTGTTTGTACACAAAAACATGTTACTCGGCGGCGAAAGTATGCTAAATCGTCTGTAACAGCCCCAACTCGTTTCACGGGGGCAAGTATGGGTTTCTTCGATAAGCTGATCCATTTCCTCGGTTTCAAAAAGAAGCAGGCCAGCGTGTTGGTCGTGGGGCTCGACAACAGTGGCAAAACCACAGTGGTGAACCACTTCAAGCCCGACGACCAAAAAGCGATGGACATCGTGCCGACGGTCGGGTTCAACGTGGACTCGTTCAAGCTTAAGCACCTCGCACTCACGGCTTTTGACATGTCTGGCCAGGGGAGGTACCGGAACCTATGGGAGCACTATTACAAGGACGCCGACGGCGTGATTTTCGTAGTGGACAGCACGGACGCGCTGCGGATGGTCGTGGCCAAGGACGAACTGGACATGATGCTGAAGCACAAGGATTTCAAGGACCGGCCCGTGCCGATCCTGTTTTTCTCGAACAAGATGGATCTCCGAGAAGCCATGTCGAGCGTCAAAGTGAGTCAGTCTCTGGGACTGGACGTTCTCAAGACGAAGCCGTGGCATATCTGCGCCAGCAACGCCGTGACGGGAGAGGGGCTTCAGGAAGGCCTGGAGTGGCTCAGTGACCAGATACAAGCTATGATGCAGAAGAAACGGTAACCACTATGATGCAGAAGAAACGGTAGCCACTAGGCGAGGTGAAGGGTGAACGAGGACTGACGATGAATGTTGTTAGGGCAAAGAGCTAAAAAGAAAATACTAAGTTGTTGTGGAGGAAAAAAAAAAAAAGACTAAGTAAAAGCAAAAAAAAAAAAGTTCTTAAGTTTCCTTTAGTTTTTTTGTCGACTTTCATAAATGTTTTGGGTAATGTTTCTCTCAAGTTTTGGGCAGCATCACACAAATAAAAATAAAAAATTTTAGGTATTTAAGAAACCCAGGGGCACTGCCACTACCAGACATGCAAGAACATGCACATAGCTAGATCAAACCCAAAAATAACAAGTGCAAAAAGAATAAATAAAAAAACGTTTGCATACAGAAACCTTACTTATATTTGCTTCGGGTATTTTCACATTATATCCATGTGCATCTCTGCCCGAAGGTAGCCTGAAGGCATTTGTGGGATAACAGTTTGAGACCAGAATGATTATTATCAGGGTTGGAGGTTAGGACAACCATTTTCCCTTGATAAAGGGTTGTTGTCCACCATTGTCCTGCATTTTTTATTCTCCCAAATTCAGCAATCTCTTCACAATGTGCTCACACACTGGTCAGTCGAAGGTTAGAGGCAATTATCTGAAAACTCTTTACGACAGCCGTGTTTCACGGGGACATCCGGGAGATATAGATTTATGAGACGGCTGAAGCAAATGCAGAAATTTTTTCAGAAACTCCCGCATTACTTTTGAATTAGGCAATGTTACTGTCAGAAATTTTCATACCCCATCATCACTGCTAGCGTCACTTTCAGGCAGCGTCCCAGCTTTCGGCAATACTAGTTTGATCCTGCTACAAAGCAAAACAAAACCTGCAAGACTTTTATGTATGTCTCATATCTCCCCAAACAATACAGAAAAAGGGTGCTAACAACAGAGGCTTGGTTAAAATCAAAACAGTTTATTTTATCAACCGCTGACTAGATTGTCAATAATAGGGCAACATTTTTGTGACAAAGCATAACAACGGCTCCTCTAGCACTACCACAAAAAGGCGGCATATTCTGACACGGTGACGAGGCAAGCATCAACAGGAACATATGAGAAACAACCTTCGGCACCTGACCCATCTTTTGTCACTTGTGACAAACAAGAAATGGAATGGCAGTTTATTTCGAGGACTTCCAGTGTGCACGAGGAAACAAAGTAGTATGTACATATTCAGTACATATTCTCACAACACACACAAATCAGTTTACATTTGGCATTGGTGCTGAACAGTGTCAGTTGGTCAGTGCAGAGTAAATAATGGTGCGACCAGGATATTCACGTAGTAAAGAGCGGTGTCATAATGTTTTTTTTAAATAGAGTACAGGATGACCACGCGACCTAAATAATTGTTGCAACGCATGCCAGTCAAACCGTTGCAAACTTGGACCGACTTAGCTGATGCGAGGTTGCTTCTTGGCTGAGTACCCTTGCGCAAAAACATTGTAGAAAAAGCTTGAAGACCATCGGAGACACAAGCATATGTTATAAACTTTGATTTCCATTTAGAAACAATGTAAATGACCAACTTGGACATCAATGTCAATCAAAGAAAAAGTGTAAAGTGAATTTTCTAACTGTACAAATGATTCTAAAATGCAGAGCACACTTTGTAACATCCCAAGAAAGTAAGCATTCAACAAAAGTATTCACAGGTGCAAATTACAATTTTTGTAGACTAAAACAAATCTCTGAGGTAGTTTTGACTTACTACCTGCAAAGTAGTATTACTTTTCCGCATCACTAAACATAAGCACCGGTGGTAACAATGTCCTTACTGCATCTTGACGACAGAAAATTTTAACTGTAAATGAGTATAACTAGCACACCTCATGTCTACCTATTCAACACGAGGAATAGAGTCACTTCCCTGTCCTACCATTTCCATTTCTTTTTGTCAGTGGTAACGGCATTCTTTTTCTTCTTTGCAGAGATTAAGGTACATATATACACCTAGTACGACAACGTGGACACCAAGAAAACACTTAGGGACACCATTACAGGCTTCTTCAATGATCAATGGTGGTTAACCAAAAACAAAAAAAAGTAGAAAAGCTCGGCATTCAAGGTCACTCGCTTGAGTGCGAAAATACTTTCAGGGCCGGGAAAAGGCGTAGTCAAACGAGCAGCATTGATTTGGTTCACTAAGGCCTGCAATTTGAGCTGAAACAAATGCAAGTTCCCTTGGTGGGATCCTCTTAGCGCCTCTGAAGCACCACATGTGAAACAAACTGTCCTGCTTCCCCTTTACACGCAACATTCTTCCAGCCGGAATGATAGTACCGCAACAAGCACAAACCCAAAACCAAATTCCTTCTCGTTTCTGCTCATATTGCAAGCCACAGTGCCAACGGAATGTGTGACTGGACACTCGTACCTCCCACGCAAGCTCAATATCTTTGCAGTCGGTAAACAAAGAGCGAGGAATGGCTCGTTAATAAGTCGACGATTATGCACTCGGATGCGACTACTGTTCTACGGGATAGTAGACGGTGCCCAAATGCAGGAGAATAAGTAAGAATGTCAGGGGAATTCTGTCTAGCTGTCTAGAGAGCAGGGCCTCTCTTCCATGTTGGTCAGCAAAACCTTCTCAACTTTCAACTTCAGCCACTCCAAGACTTCTTGGTCCTCGCACACAACGTGACGCTCGTCTCCTGTGAAACTTGCCAGAGACTCGTCCTGGGATTGGAGGGAGGGGTTGAGAAAAGGCAATGCCACAATTAATTGGGTTCCTACGACCTTTCGCTTATTGGCACTGCCCGCACAAGATGGCACAGGGCAACTCTTAAGGACTTAATAAAGCAATCACCACTACAGCAAATCATAAAACCAGATGGCAGTTCATTTAATGCATTTCTAAAGGAATTATTCAGAGTGTGCACAAAAAATTACACCGAATGATAAAAAGAAAGCTCGGAGTACACCTAAGCACTTCTTATCAGTTGCAAATGCAAATGCACGCACGCCGCTCTTCGCTCCCTTTCATCTGCAGCGTACGTTGCGCTGACCTTGGGTGTGGAATAATGGAGCCGCTGCCTCGCAGACACGCAGCGCCATCATGTGGGAGATCATTCAAACCGACGCGAAGCGGCCAATGGGAGCCTCGTCGAGGAGCGTCAGCCAATGGGACCGAAGCCGAAAATTTATCAGCTTTACTTTGCTCCTTTGGGATTGGGGAAACTAGGTGCCATTTCTAGGCTTTTCGCGTGGTTTCGTAGCTGGGAGCTGGGTACACTTGGAGAAAGGATTTAAGCTGCCGTTTTCGCACTTCAAACTGATGACATTGACTCGCTTTATGAGACCAGCTTTCGCATTAAAAAGTCAGTGAAACACCATTGGTTCAACAGGTCGCTACGTAACGAAAACGCTCATCCGCCCGCAAACTTCAAGTTAGCGAAGTTGCTCAGCTGGTTTGTAGTGCTAGGAGAGATATTTGGAAAACACAAATAACGATCATGTGCCTATATTGCAATAAGTGCCCACCCGCTATTTATGAAACATTTGAAGTATAAGCAAAGGACATTTGAGGCACCCACCCGAGCAAACATTTAAGTCAATTGAGGTGATCTTCTGTGGTGGCTTCTGCGAAAAACTGGTGCAAAGCAGTGAAGCTTTACACACGTGCGACGGTGCAAAGTAGTAATGCTCAACAAAGCAGCGAAGCTTGGTGCAAAGATTGACGGTGCAAAGCAGTGAGGCTTTATGCATGCGCACAGGTGCAAAGTGGTAAAGCTCGCTCAATATTTGACGGCAAGTGCAGACCTTCAATTAGGCCTTCCCATAAATCAGAAGCAGTAGTTTCACAGGTTTCACAAGCTCAACTATCTGTACCACAACACCGCTTCTGAAAGTTGGAAGCACTGTTTCCTACACCATATCTTCGTGTGAGACGTGCTTTGTCTCGTCAGAGGGGTCTATAAATTTGTGAAGCCGAAAAGTGAAGTCGCCGATTAACTCTATGCTGATTGGCCGAGCCAGGTGATGATGTCACACCCCCCCCAGCTTGGCGCCGATTGGCTGGTTCAGGTATGACGTCACGCGCAAGGCCACGCTCACTCGACACTGATTGGTTGGTGATTGCACAATCACTCGCATGCCAGACAGTGGTTTGATGTCGTCGGAGACACATCTGTGGCTATGGAGGGTTCTAGAAGAGCGCCAGCGGTTTAAAACTTGGGGTAGCGTCGATATCTCCATTCCAGGAATCGCTATAGAGTGTATTACATACCATGCGTTAAGCCAGTCGCTAAACTAACCAATGAAGAGTGCCAAGGGCGAAGACAACAATCCAAGAGGAATTGGACTGAAACCACACGTTTCACATGCAACACAATTGTCCAGCAATTTGCTTTGCATTTTAAAGCTGCTTCCAATGTGTGTCCTTGCACGCAGCATGGACATCTTGTTTAAGGGGAAACATGGGCCTAAGTTTCAAAATTTTTTTTAAAAGATTCATTTTTCAATTTTGAGGTTTTCGGTTTTAGAAACTAATTAAACACCCTTACAGTAAATTTCATAACCATGTGTCAAATAATTATGTTGATATGAAATATTTTCAACACGTGAGGAAGTAACAAAGTAAAGGAGTTCAATGTTTGAATGCATTTTTCTCAGTTCTGCTTTTTGCTGCAAATTTCATACAAAGGAACATAGTTACAGTTGCACACCCAAGGAGAAAAACAGACAAAAGGAACACTTAGACGACACACAAGCGCACACTCACAACTCATGTATTAACGAAAGAGGAAAAGAAAGTGGTACAGAACGCCTTAGGTGCGCAACTGTAACTATGTTCAATATCTACCAACTCGCCCAACTGTCTACTCTACTTTATACAAAGGAATTTTTCGTTCGAAGGTAAAATTATTCTGACACCACAATCAAGATGTTTCTGAATTGAAATTTACTGGGGAATTGGGCTATCTACTTTATTGGGTTTCAAGTTAAAGTCCTCATTGGGAAAGAACTATGTTTTCAAAAACTGACATAGGACTGATATGCATTTCATATTTTGAGGTAATCACTCTTCCTGAAATATTTACATTTGATGTACAAAAACCAGATAGCTTGAAGTCCTGTATCCTCCACTTATCAAGCAGTTAAAATGATGCTTAATAGCTTCATTTGCGTAACATAGATTTCTTAATGAAGAGTGACACATCTTCTCATGCAGGTATGTAAAGTTGTCCTGGAGGGCTGAAAGTTTGCACAGGACACCTACATCTGAAGTTAAATCTCTCCTGCAAATTTCATTCCGATCACATGAGTAGTTTAGAGGTTCAACCTCTAGCCAGTGTCCCCCTTTACGCATTGACCGCGCGCAAATAGTCTTCGTTCTGCATCACAGTAAAAAAAAACTATGGTAAAAAATAAATAAATGAAAAACAGAGCGCGGGTGACAGATTAAAGTAGCAGGAGGCACAAGAGCGAGCTCTGGACCTCTGCCAACCATGTGCACTTGCGCAGTGCATGCATCGTTCAGGGAAACATGCTCGTGTTTGTAGCTTTGTCGTTGGCCCCACATAATGTGAAAAAATCATAGTAATATTTACAGGGCAGGACACAGGCCCACAAGCCTCGATCTATCATATGCTTCTACTCGTATGAGATTTCGCGCTGAAAAGGCACTTTTCAAGCTCCCACACTCGCGGCCGTGTTTCTTTGCATGTGCGTTATCATATCTGTGCATGGCGTTGTTAATGAACTATCAGAACCAGAAACTGGTCTGTGAAATCAACTTGCAAGCGGATGCAAGAGACTCAAGTTGGTGGCTCCATAAACTGGAGGGCAGAGCGGGGGGCATTCAGAACTGCCCTTCACCTATCTTCGCACAAGGTGTTTGCATATTGCCTTGTAGACACAAACTATTCTCCTCGTCACCAGCGCAGGCTTTGTGCGGGCTCATTGCTGCAATGTTCAGCGGCTTGACATCTTACTGCGATACAAAAAGGGCAGTAACGGCGGCCCTAGTTTGAAATCCGTCCAAGGCACTGACAGCTTTGTGCATATTGACAACACATGCCACTAACCATAACACTCTTCCCCATTATTTACAGCTTTGTATGTAATTTGTCATTTTTTAACATGGCAATGCTGAATGATGCTGATGTAGAGCTCTGTTGTGACCTCGATTGGTCCGATCTGAAACAAAGGCAATTAGCTAGATGTTCTGCTTTGCAACCCACTGCCTTCGGTGACCAGCAGGAAGTGATAGAGAGATGCAAATGCTTTGCTCACCTGTCTCACTTTTATCACAAGGCTGTTCCCAGAGACGGTGGGAACGGAGAGGATGTCCTCCAGGCGGACGCTCCACTGGATGTCCCAGCCGCCCCAGAAGCGACACTTCTCCAGCAGGAAGAGGTGCCTGTCCACATAAAGGCAGAGCTGTAGGAGGCTGAATGCGGTTCAAGGAGGCAGGAGGGGTACAACATGGGAGGGGCTACACTGCCATATCATGCAAATAGAGAAATAAAAGGGTCGCATTATCACTTGCTGGCTTTCTTTGTACAGCCTGGTAGTTCTAAGCCCCAGTTTTGTACAAAACTAACATGTTAAAGAAAAGCTACAATAGTAGCCATGCTTTTTCTGCTTCATGCTTCACAACAGATAAAACATTTTTAGGGATACGCCAAAGTCCGGCAGTGATGCACATCCTCTGTTGTTGCTATAGTATTTCGTGCTTGATTCTGCAATGTAATTTTCTTTTCTTTACGCCTTTCCTACTTCTTCGGAAATACTTGAGTAATACCAATGATAATCTGCTCGGGTAAAGAAAGTTTTAATATTTGCATCATTGAATCATTGTGAAGTTTCGACTCACCCCCCAATGCCGCATTGGGCAAGAGGACACTCAAAGTAGCAGCTTAACACAAACTGCAACAAACTAATAGATTGACTGCGGCGCGAGACAAATTAAAATATTTAGAGTCCTCCCACTTCACGTGAAGATGGAAGACCAGCGAAGCTGTTATCTTTACGACGTCAAGGACGACCGTCTAGAGGACGACGTTCAGGACGACCTCAAGGACGCCGCCTAAAGGACGACCTCGAGGACGGTCTAGGATGACCTCAAGGACGACTTCTTGAACGACCTCAAAAAGATGCCTAGAGGACGACCTCTCGGACGACCTCAAGGACGACTTCAAGGACGATATCTAGGACGACCTCAAAGACGACTTCTTCTAGGACAACGCTAGGACGACCTCAAGGATGACGTCTAGAACAACCTCAAGGACGAAGTCTAGGATGACCTCAAGGACGACTTCTAGGACGACCTCGAGGATGACTTCTAGGACGACGCCTAGAGAAATTCAGCCTTTCCACTCTGGTGAGAACCAGAGTGGAAAGGCTGGAAAGGTTGCTGCCATCTATAAGCGACGGTGGCAACCAGACAAATGGCCAACCGGCTGTCTGGTTGCCGCCGTCGCTCATAGATGGCGGTAGCTGTCTGGAGTTTTGTGTCGACATTTGTTTGTCCGGAGACACAATACTGGGGAAACTAGCCCTTAATGGCTCCGCTGTAAATAACTGCATCGAACAGGTGTTGCAAAACCAGTTCTACAGGCTTTAGGAAGCATATTTGCCCAATGCAATGGCGAGGCAAACAGATATCAGACTATGAAATGTATATCAAAACAGCATATTCACGTCTGGACTAGGCTGATTCAGAAAATGCCAAAGAAAATTTAGACTGGTTTTCTCCAGTTTGTAATTAGAGGCATTCCATCTCAGCAACTCGCCAACTTTGAGCACACTTTGAGCCCCAACCTGTCTCGGGCCAAGCCGAAAATACACCGAAGGAGCGTTACACTGGTCTTTTCCACGGCATATTTCGAGGCAATCTGTCATGACAACGGGTCAACTTTGAAGCCCACCTGTCCGTGAGAAGGGCGATGCTAGCCCGTTCGTCTTTGCCCAATGGAGCGTGGGCCCAGTACACGTCGGTCTCCGAGTAGTGGCCCTTGCTCAGGTGGAGGAGCAGGCGATAGCCCGTGGCCTGGTACTGCGAGAAGGGCCTCAGGCCCTGGGGGGAAAGACCACATCACTCGCCACTCCTGGCTGGGTCTTGCTAGAATCAATGAAACACTCAAGAGCTGCCATCCTGACACTTCCAACACCGAGATGTGTTGCGTGCGTCCCCTTTTTTGTAGTCCGTCCTCTCTGGTTTGAATTGTGCACGACCTAAACCGGCTCACCTGTCTGCACACTTTGAACTTCAAACTTCTAGCCAGTTTTCACTTTAGAAGGGAAGTAAACGTAGAACGCGTCAACCTTGATATATTGATTCAAACGACAGTGTGCTTGAATGAGCCTTCGAATCGAACAATCGCAATAAGAAATTTAGAGTAATCTTTAACATTTGCTATGTTGGATAGAAAAAAATTTGCTCTATCAATTGTACTTCCTCCGTGACACAGATGCACAGCAGCAAAGCGATACCCAGAATGAATAAGTCAAGGGCGCCATTTCTCCAGAGCGCAGCAGTGTTCACGGGAGAAGTAGCTCTCCCAAGTGGGATCTCAACATGCACGCGTCGAGAATTTAAAAAAAGAGAAAACTGTGATGGCTAAAAATAAACAGGCAGGTTTATTGGGGAAACATGCTATGTTGCCTCGGTATACACAACGAATGTCAGAAACCCCGTTTTGTTTAAACTTATGTTAATACAAATTTAAGATGTGACAAAGTGATCTCCAATTCCAATCGTGGTTATCTTCCCATTGCTATATTACTATTGCTACAATTGCTATTGCTATAATAATTGCTTTAAAAAATTGTTTATTTAGCTGGCTTGTCAGCTTCAGTAATTCTGCCTCTACTTTTATTTGTGAGAATATTTAGGTGCCTGTTAAGTGCAGAGTTCCACTGAAGAACACCGTAAAGTGGGTAGCAGGTATCTGAAAACCTTACCATGACTGACACAAAAACTGTACTGCAGTTTTAAAGGGGCCCTCCGGAGCATTCTGCGATCGTCTGTTTATGTTTTTATATTGCGTAGTAGGTGCAAGTTAATATCTATACAAAGTTTTAGATTACAAAACCGTTTATTAAGCAGATGGCAGAAAAAATATATCGGGACTATTTTCTCTTGGAAGACAATACCCCATTCCCTGCCCATCGCTAAAACTTGACCAATGGAAATGCTGCGTCTCGCTGTGAATGCGAACGTTATTATTCCAACACTTTTTAAGCTCGTTGTAAATTAGAGTTTGAGAAAAACGTAAACTGATTGTGGTGCGGGAAACATAGTCCGCAATTATCGCTCCAAAACCAGCGAACTATGTTTTCTCCCCGCAAGCTTGTTGCTAGGGGGTGATGCGTCGGCGCGTCGGCTCGTCGGCTCGTCTGCTTCCCGGGGCGTCTGCAGGCGTGCGTTTGCGGGACACATGTTCCTTCTTCCCGTGGATCCCGACTCCGAAGCCAGCTTTGCGATCCTTCCACGTCAACGAGTCAAACTTTTTCTGGTGATCTGTGGGATGCGACTGCGTATTTTAGTAGCAGCGCGACGGTGCGGTGCGACGAATGACGACTGCCGAGCACGAAGTCCGAGTTCCTTGACGACGGTCCGCGCGTGTTCGAGAGATTCCTCCGCGGGTCGGCGGTCGGCGGCGTTGGTGACGCGCAGTGACGCCGGGATCCTTCGCTTGCTATTGGCTGACGCGTAAAGAGATGCCCCTCCCGTTTTCCGGGGTCATCTCAGAAAGGGGGGCGTGCCGGGGACTTTGATAGCAATTTTAGTAGGGAAATCCGCCGCGCATGATCGTAATTTTATGATTTTTAGTATCTCTAGGGCCTGCAGATTGAGTTACCGCCATAAATAGACCATCGCAGAACGCTCCGGAGGGCCCCTTTAACATTTCATAAAAATATTACTTTTGATATAATATATTATAATTATTTCAAAATTGTTAAAATAACGTGGCCATTTGATTCAAGTTTGATTTGGTCTGCACAACCACTACTTGAGCGTCTTTCCACCAAAAGACAGAGCTGCTGAAGAGTTCTGTCAAAAGTTCCCATTCACAAATGGCTTGAGACTGGTCTGAAAAGACTACAAATCCAAAATGTGATTATTCTGTAAATTGACTATTCTCAGTTAAATCATGAAATCAATCTTCCAAATCAGTGGTGGTAAACCATAACTCACCAGGTTCGGGTTGATGAACCGGGGCAACCGGTGTCTCACAATGACACCCTTGCCCATTTCTGCAGCTCTGTGTTTTTGAGTAAAAAAAAAAAAGAATGGGAAAATACTTGTTACAATGCAACGACAATACCAAAAAGTAAGGGCGCAAACGAGCTGGTGTACATTGCACATGGTTGAAAAAACCCCGAGACTGCGGGTAAACGACACAACACTAAAAAGTCTCTAGAGACTTTTTAGTGTTGGGTCGTTTACCCGCAGTCTCGGGGTTTTTTCAACCATGGACAATACCAGCTCAAGATGTCACATGCACAGTTCTGTTACACGTTAACACCAAAATTTAAGTATATTACTCAAACATACTCTTTTGTATATCAAGGGTTCTTCATTTTTGGGTAAAACCCGATATTTCCCAATATTTACACGCTGGACGTGTTTCTGAAGAATCGAGTTAAATCTGATTTTTCTATGAATTTGAAAATTTAATTTCAATACTTTTCCAATTACTTGGCTCAAGAAATATTTTCTAGGAAACAAAGTTGTTGGTAGAGACACATGCTCTAGCTCCAGACCGCGGAAGTAATCCTGGATTCTTTTGGATTCAGTGAACTGCAGTGACATAAATCAAGCTCTCAAATGTCCATTGTGAAGTAGACTTTTCCTTTTTCTGTTTCAACCAGCACAAAAATAAAGATAAAAAATAAGGGTGAGAAACTAATTATGTCAAACGTATACATAAGCTGTAATGCTGAGAGAATGTTGTCTCAATTGAGATACTAAGTTCCAAAAATGGGAAAATCTAGGATGAAGAGAGAGATGATGTGCATACAGAATATTATGTAAGCAACAAGGATTCACCAAAAATTTAAAAGCTTATTTAAATTCTTACTATGCTTCAATGCTATTTTGTATACAGCACCTTATTAAGAATAATATCTGTATTAAAACCAATCAATTGCTACTTATACTTGCATATTTCTAAATATAACCTGAAAAACCATATTTCTCCCCGATTACCATCTTGGACCAAAGCACCCAACTTTTATCCCGATTTTTAAAAAATATAAAACTTGAAAACGAAGGACCCTTACACTCTGTGCAAAAGCAATCATCTTTGAAAAAAAAAAATACTGAAGGCACTTTTACTTACAGCAGTGCGTGAAGGAAAAAAGCGCACCTTCCAGGCAGATGACAGCATAGTTACGCCAGACCAATGCCATGCCCCCCCCCCCCCATTTATAGATACCTAATAAAACTGGATGATAACATTGTTCCTGAAAATTTAGGTAAAGCTTTACTAGTGGCCAGGAAAACATACCTACAATGTAAATTACTTAGTACTTTTCACAAGGATCTAATGTTTGATAATTTTGTGAGCTGAAAAATAATGCAAAAACTTTATCACGCAAATATTTATCTCATGGGTAACAGCATACCACACTCAACTGAAAAATTTTGTAACCACAAAATATTCCCGACAGCTGTACTTTGCCAAATTTGCTTGAGCAGCCGGAAAAATAATGCTGTTTACAGTATGCCAGTTCTAGTTTCCAAGGAAGTAGTGCCCACGAAAGGGCCCAACATAAATGCGACTCTAGAAACAGGGAATTAAAAATTGTCATACCGGCGGATGCCGTCAAATGCTATGCTGAACATATCGACGACGCCTCCTGCTGGCTTGGTGATCAGACCCAGCAGGCCCTTCCCTACACCCTTGAAGAAGCCCTCCGGACCGTCCAGCTGGGCTCCTGAAACGACCATGAAGCAGAAACCGTGCATCAATCTTAAAAGCGACAATAACTTATCTTAGACCAAAGTCTAAGTTATATTTCAAAATGAAAAGGAGAATTCATACCTCCTCTTCCTCTTCCTTTGGTTTTAGGTGGAAAGCAAAAGCAAACATTCATTTAGTGTGAGACACCCAATAACTTGAGTCTTCAGGACATAAAATCAGATTGCACTTTGCAACTAAGACCTGTAAGCTTTGAGTGTAATGTTCATGACAAATTTTATTGTACGAAATATTTACGGAACGAATGAATCCTTATAAGCGTGCAAAGCGTGCAATTTAACCGATTTTCGAAACAGTCCAGAAGAGCTGAAAATTGAGCTCGCGCAGTGTGTACACTGGGCTCGTTCCCGGTAAACTACATTTAAAGGAGTATGTGATGTAGACGGCATGGACGACGCAAAGTTGTACTCCGTCCTCGCTTCCCAAGTTACGCCAGGTGCAGAATCTGGCATCGTGCGGCCGGTGGTTCATTTTGTCCACTTGCGCTTATTTTTGTTTCATACTGTTTCTAACATAAGTTCTCGCTTCTCAACTCTCCGTGTAACCTGTGCGCTACTATGTCGAGGCCACCAGTCATTCCTTGGTGCAGTAAATAAAATAATAAACAAATAATTAAAAAGAGAAAATGCATGCATATGCTGCACCCTAACTGAAAAGTGTAAAGCTTTGTCTTTCAAGTTCCTAAACAGCCAAGAGCCCTCTTCACCTGCGATGGGGCTCATGACCACTCCGGACACGCCCAGCAGAATGCCATGCACAAACCCCCGGGTTGCCAGTGCAAGCGCCTCTGGAAGTGAGCCAGGGTGCTGCTCCATGCGCTGCCGGCGTCTCTGTGGATGCGGCAATCAAAGGGGGAGGCAAATAAAAATTTGTTTCGGAATTTCCTTCGGGAGCAAGTGTGCCCCTAGTAATGATGCCCGACTGCCTTGTAGGTCATGTCATAGAAAGACAAAGGGGAAAAAAAATGCAAAAGGCATTGTTCCCTTTAGCACAGAGCTTCAGAAACCCACAGCAAATCCACTCCTCCCCATCATGTTGCCCATGCCTTGTCTCCTCCTGGCATTTCCTAGAATAATTTGAGTACTACTATTCTAAACATTCCAGATACCTTTAGTTGGCAAAAAAAAAAAAAAACTGTGTTTGATTTTTTATGCTTACAAACTACTTATTAAGCAACATTGCCAGTGTCAAAACCCAGGAACCAACCACAAAAAAGCTTTTGAAACTTAGATGAACCACTAAACGATCACTTATTAGTGATTACAACATCAGCAAATATATATTTGGACTGTTAAGTGTAAATGTGGGAATTTTGCACAATCTGTAAGCTCTCTAATTCTTATGGAATACATACACAAAAATTCAATAGTCACTTTTGCATACCAAGTGTGAAAAGGTGGAGTTTGAAAGACATTATGAGTCTACTTTGCTCTTGTCTTTAAAAGAAGAGCAAAAAAAAAAAAAATTACTTTTCTTTTTAACAAAATTTTTACCTGTGGTCCACAAAACTCTTGCACAATTTCAAAGACACTCACGTTTTGGTAGTCGTCATCAAAGGACAACACTGCAAGAACTTGTCCCAAAGATCCTGTGATGAGTGAGACAGAACCAGCAGAGCTGCCTAAAAATAATTGAATGAACAGAGTGTTATCCCTATATAGACGAAATGCATGAAAGTGTTATCGCACCCATACAAATAACATCCATGCATCATGTACTTACCAATGACATGACCTAGCAAGCTTTGTGCCCCTCTGGCTAGGCCCTCTGCAAACTCTTCTGGGCCATGAATAGATCCCTGCAGAACAAGTGCAGAAAGCTTGAAAACAACTCTCACTTTATTTGCACATATTCATAGACATGTGCTGGCTGTAACAGTGGTAACAAGAGTAACAGAAACTGCAGTCCAGATATCACAGCTATAAAAGTCATTTTAATACTGAGATGTGAGGCTATAAATCCTACAAAAAATTCTCAAACTCCCATTAAAGAATTCCTGACCTGGAGCAAGTACTACTGGAAAGGTGGGAATGATAGCACCATAGGTATGAAGTCAAAGAAAGCAGGCAGAAGTGAGCTATACTGCAATGTGGATGTGGAACGACTATGCATCGTTGAAAATAGTCTTGGGTGCTAATAAAATAATGTAGCTCTGTGAAACACAGTGTGTGATATACCGTATTTACTCGCAGAATGAACGCACTTTTTTTTTTTCCGAAAAATCGATGCAAAGTTAGGGGGGGCGTTCATTACGCGAAGTAAAATTTTTGCTACCGTATTTACTCGCATAATGAACGGACCTTTTATCCTGAGAAATCGAAGTAACTTCTTATCTCTTTGCGCGCGGCGCCCGACCCCTTAACCAAACTAAGCTGCGCAAAAAAAAAAAACAACTCTTTGTTTTCTTTTTTTACAAGTTCCTTGGTTTTTTTTTTTTCTTTTTTTTTTGCCGCCTTTCGCAAGTTGTTTTGTTTCCTTAGGCGTTGCTTAGACGAGGTCTCTCCGCTTATCTTTCTTATCTCCTCGCGCGCGGCGCGCGACCCTCGGTAACCAAACTGCGCTGTGCAAAAAAAAAAAAAAAAAAAGGCGAAAAAAAAAAAGCTTCTCTTTTTCTTTTTTTCTTAGTTCCGTGGTTTTTTTTTTTTTTTTTTTTTTTTTTTTCTTTCTTTTTGCTGCCTTTCGCAAGCTGTTTCGTCTGCTTAGAGGGCCTCTCCGCTCCTCTTTCTTACCTCTTTGCGCGCGGCGCGCGACCCCCCGTAACCAAACTGCGCCTGTGCTGTGCAAAAAAAAGAAAAAAAAGCTTCTCTTTGTTTTTGTTTTGTCTTAGTTCGGCGGGTCTTTTTGTTTTTCATTTTTGCCGCCTTTCGCAAGCTGTTTCGTTCGCTTAGAGCGCATCTCCGCTTCTCTTTTTCTCTTTCTTGCCTCCTTGTGCGCGGCGGCGCGTGAACCCTAAAATGCGGACTGCGCTGTGCAAAAAAAAAAAAAAAAAAGAAAAAGCTCCTCTTTATGTTTTTTTTCTTGCTTCCGTTGGATCTTATCTAACGCCTTTCGCAAGGCGTTTTGTTCGCCCACTCTGTCCATGCATTCGCGACCTCGCTGCACTAGGATAGAAAAGTGCGTTCAATTCGCGCGCGTGGGGGGAGGGGGTCAAAATTTTGACGTCCGAGTTGGGGGTGCGTTTATTAGGCGAGTGAAAAAAAAAAGTCGAAATTTTGAGAACCGACTTGGGGGGTGCGATCATTACGCGAGTGCGTTCATTGTGCGAGTAAATACGGTATATAACACATAGACTTTTTTTTTTAAAAAGGATTTACCAACCACACCAACGCACAATAACTCAATTCCTAGCTATGCTACTGCAAAAATAGCCACATGGCAAATACAACGGGTACGTGAGAATAAAAAAAGACGGTTCTGTCCTAGACACAGAGCTGGCCTTGTCCTCTCTGCAACCGCCACGCTACTATCACACGGAAAATTGTGCCGAAGACTTTACAGTCTAGACAAAGATAATTTAAATCACAGATCATTTCACTGAGCCCCATGTGGGAACTACGACAAAAGCAGGTGGCAAACATACAGCAATGGGCTCATAAAAGAAATCTCCCAGGCCTCTGGTGAAGTCCTTGACAAGGCCGTAGGGGTTGCCCAGCACGTCCAGCCCGAGGATGAGCACATAGCACTGCTGCACCATTTGGGAGATGTAGTGGGACTTGACTTCGGTCAGCAGGTCACCCACCGTCTCTAGGCGGCCCTTCTGCTCAAAGTAGGCCATTCTGCACGAGCACATCTTTCTCTCAGTGCCGTAAAGAAAGATAAAATCGAATAGCGTGTTATCTGAAACAACAATCGTAATGAGCCAGCAGCTTTGTTTCAGGATTTAGAAAGGGAAATTAGCTTTTGGTGCAAAAGCGGCACAAGTTCCTCCTATTTTGGTAAGACGTAACAGGATTCACCTTGGCACAAATGGACCAGCAGTCACATCGCTGGTTTTAATAATTCCGGGGTGACTTACTAATTATGCCACCCATCCTCCAGGATTGCCTCTAAGTCGCCACAAAACATAGGCCACTCAAATTAATTCTTGTAAACTACACACAGAGCCAGAAGAACAGGCACATACCGAAGCTCCACGTCCTTGACTTCGCTCAGTGTGGCACCGATGGAGTTCAAGAAGACATCCAGAATGTCCTGGGGCAGGGACCCAAAGTCCGAGACGGACTTGTGGGTGGTGCCCCTCGGACTGAAGCTCAGGTGAATCTGCGGAAAGCAATACCAAATGGTTGCCCTACAGTTCTTCGCTTGTCGCAGCATGAGCCACTGAATAGGCTTTGCTTCAGAGTACCGACGCTCAGAAACTCGCATTTTCGAATTGTGACGATCGCCAATTGCACCAACTGTGCATTAAGCACCGAATAATGGCACCTAGAAAACAATTGCAGAACGGAGTGCCAATACTCTAAGCGTATAGCTAATTTAGAAAGCTTTGGACTGCTAATGTCAACGCAAGGCTTACCTTCACTGGAGAGAGGTGCACAAACTCAAAGACGGTACGTCCAGAACGCGAGGTGTCCTTGGGCATTGAGGAAGAAATAATGTCAACATTAAGCGAGGGCATTCATACCTTGGGGTCTTGCATAGGGAAAAGATGAGAATTAGGCAAGGACTGACTTACGAGATCACATCTGAAGGGATGCAAAGGTGCATAGATCAACTTCATGTCAGATTTAAGCTTCGTTTTCTGAAAGAAAAAAACATTCACAAAGTTATGTTTTGCAGCATTACTATGCAGATCTTCTCTTTGATTTACAATAAAAAATAAAAGAGCTAAAAGAGATCTATATGTACTTAGAAACATGTTCCCTTTCAAAAGAATCAGGTAGGAGTAAGGCCAACAACTAGATCAGCGGTTCCAAAACGGGAGTCCGCGGGCCTTTTGGGTTCTCTGAAGGCCTCTCGTGGTCCTCGAAGCCCTCGACCGTCAATCAACCTGAGCAATGAATCTTTTTCTTAATTGATGCTGGCTGTCCCACAAAGCTAGATAGCTTGTGCACCCAGCAAGTAGCTTTCATTACTCTCCGTTTCAGAGCTTCAAAGTTGGTTTCACGCATTTAGTTTTCTTCATTTATCCCTTTGTCACTGGAATCGTCCAAACGCCACCCCCCTCCCCCCCACTGCCCCCCTGGATGGGGTCCCCCATCACTTCTGCCGACCATGAAGGGATCCTCGAGACATCAGTGGTTAAGAGCCACCTAGACGATGCACTTAAAAATAAATTCTTATAGATCAGTACATATTCTAAACCCCGTATAGAAAAACATCTGGTACATAGTACACACAAAACTTGACTGCACGTTAATACAGTTCGTTTTTGTGTCAATCAAATGATATCTACAGTAAAACCTCGTTATAACAAAGTTGAAGGAGCGGTCATAATTATTTCGTTATAACCATTAGTTTGTTATAGCCAATGTCCATTTCTTCCCACTATTAGCAAGCAAGGGGAATTATGATTGCTTTGTTATATCTATTAGTTTGTTATATCCCGTTTTGTTATAACGAGGTTTTACTGTATAGTACACATAGGTGTCAGAATGTGCCGGTACAGAGCAGTTCCACTAGCCAAATTGCATTTAAGAGATCCATGAAATTACAGGCTAGTTTAGCACTCATACCTCGTCATCTTCCGTGAAAATCCCGCTGAAGATGTCGTACACAGACAGCAGGAAACCTTTGTCCAGCTTTATGTACACTTCCTGCAGCAGCACCTTCAAGTACCTGAAGTATTGAATGATCGCATGCAATTATCGTCACAAAATTCAAAATTACAGGCACGGGATTCAACATAGCATGGCCATGTTCAAATTTCAGTTCGCATGAAACACTACCGTAATAGTATTTGTAAATATATAAAATATGTTTTAACACTTGTATTTAAAGGAGCTGCACTGCAAATTTCATACGTATGACTAATGAAGTATGTGCAGGACCTACAGTTGGAATAATCAAACTGTATACAAATTATCAGTGTAATGGCTGCAGTATCCAGATTTGCCACCGAGCTAGTGATGCTCCATGAATATGAACATCAGATTCTTTTGGGAATATTTATGTATATATCGAGGGAATAATCCTAAACTAACAGCAATTTAGAATTTGATTGTGAAGAAGAGTTGTGTGCATCTGATCTGAGAGGTTGACTGAATTTAGTTTTGTTTGCATTCTCCAATGTCTGTGTGTGTTCATGCCTTGTTGTTGCGCATACAAATAAAGAGGGCTGCTGTGCTACAACGCTGCATGTTTAGGCAGTAAAAAGTTAGTCAGCCCAAATGGGCGTCTGGTATCTTCGCTGTGAATGAGAAATTTTGCAAGTACGGCACAACTGGTAGCCTGGGTCTTTAACATGCACCACACAGTAGTGCACGCCGGTACAATGCTCATCTGGATTGAAACGGGATTGAATTCGGGATTCCTGGGGCGTGAAGGGCGATCACACTCGGTGATCGATCTCCCCTTTCAGCATCTCTTTCAAAATGATTTCTCCAGCTCTATCGTTTGCTCGTGCTCCGCGACGGTTCAAGGAGAGATGCGGCGCAGCCACAGCGGCCTGGACGTCAAACTCACTTGACAGTGTTGAGGTTGAGCCTCTCCGAGTGGTGCACCAAGAGGGCCACCTCCAGGAGGGGCCTCGGCGAGGACGCCAGCTTCCTCTCTTGCGGCATGAAGCGGTACAATGCCGTGGGGAAGACGGCATCTGGCAGCTGATTGTCAAGCTGGTGAGGCAATTGTATCACAGGAGCTCAGTGGTAGTGCCTATAAGTCAACGAATAAGCAGGCTGCATCGAGAAAAGAGGTGCTTTCCATGGAAACCACAGTGCCATTGGTGATTCAGGAACAACACTGTAAGATCCCTCGAATGTTAAGGTATTGTACTGTCCCTTTCCTCGTGCTTCCATTGTACTGAGAGATGTTCAACGTTTTTTAATATAAACAAGTTTTTTACTTGCTTATTGCCTGCAATTTCAAACCTGGTGATTTTTTCTACACTTTTCTCTCATATGCCATGCTGCACTCACTGTTGTGAACGTTACAGCATTTATCTAAAAAGAAGACAGACAATAATTTTATATTTGGAGAGTAGGCACAAAAACAGTCAGTTAAAGCAGCAAAACGACAACATTTTGGAGAAACACAAAATAGTGCTATATCTGGCATCTACATTGAGGAAGTCACGTCATGTGACTTCCTCTATGTAGATGGAGGAAGTCATCTCTCATAAATAATGCTTTTTTTGCAACAAAACTTCCACTTACTAAATGATGGGTAAAAAAAAAATGGAGCCTAGGAGAGGTAGTAATTACCTACCTGAAGCCTGTGGACCTTTGCTAAGACCAGGGCCTGGTGCTCAGACTGCCGATACTGCAGCCAGAGGGCCGGCCGGTAAGACCGCTGCAGGGAGCCGTAGAAGGGCTTGGTCATCTGCATCTTCTCAAGGTCCACCTGCAAAATGTTCACAAAGACACACGTCATGAGAGAAAGCCCCAAACAATTTATGTCTGGGAAGTAGCGACAATCTCCACGGATTGTTGGCTGGAAGTTTGGGACTTGATGCATTTCGTTTGGGTCCAAACAATGCCAACCGGCAACCCTACGAGTCATTTTAGTAGGTTGGTAAGCCTCAGGATTTTCCACGAAAGAGGAGAAAATGTCGGAGAGGCGGGCCCTTGCCTGGACGTAGTCCTTGAGCTCAGCGCTCTTGTGGCGGGAGCGCCAGCGGTACTCGAGCCACGAGGCCAGCTCCAGGGTGAGGGGCTTCCAGGCGTCGTTGACCTTGACCTCCCAGAGGGCGGGGCTGCTCGAGAAGCTCAGCAGGGCCACCTCCACCAGGGCCCCGTTCATCAGGGACATTGTAACACCGTGAAGAGACACAAAGCACTCCAGCTGAGCCTTCTCGCCATCCACCGCCTGCGCAAGAGAGGGTGAGGGGGAGGCAATGACGCACTGCACTCGTGTCGGCCCTGTCTCGAGCATAACTACAGTGCCACATTGACACCGTGTTATATCAACTAGTTAGGATGTTTGAGATCCGAGACACTTCATGTGCTTTTACCGTAAAATACGCTGAGCAAGAGCCTACCTAAAAGTTGGAGATAATCGCAAAAAAAATGGGGATGGGCGATTGTAAGGTTCGAGAGCATGGCAGGGCTTGTGTGCCGTGCTACTTCCATTAAGCCTGCTTCGCGCCGCTGCTATTGCATTGAGCTTCGCTGATTCGCACCAGCGCAAGCAAATAAACCTTCACTGCTTTGCTCCAGCATGCTAGGGAAGCAGTCAAAAAGCGGAGGAGCGTCCCACTTAGCAATTGATATGTCATTCGCTAATATTTCAAGCATATAAAAAGTAGGTGGTGGGTGCATGCTTGGGTACTTTACAATAAACAAGCAAAAAAAAAACAGAAACAAAATGGTAATAATAACTCTGCGAAGCTTAGAAAGTCAGCAGTATATCTGTATATCCCGTCTTCTTGTCCATCTTTTTTTTTCGGCGCTGTTCACTTTTCGTAGCTATTACTGAGATGGTTTGCCTTAAGGATCAATGCACTTATCACAAAAACAGTCCAGTAAACTTGACCTATTTCCGTAATATCTAAGGAAAAAGACCTAATACATACCACAATACCCAGCTGTTTCCATTCTTTCCCATTAGTACACTTCCTCTCCTCCAATTTCACCCGACTCACTCCAGGGTTGCTCACCTTTCTTGCGTGCTTCCAAATGCGTTCATCCTGTGTAAAGAGCAGCACCCTCTGGTGGTGATCCAGGAAGGAGATCCAATAAACCACGACAATGTCCTTCCGCGTTTTCTTGGGCAGGACACCGTTTTCAGACTCGCTGTCATCTGCGCACCGCAGGGCAACCGCACACCATGTTCCAAGCCGTCGTCAACAACTCGCATGAACAAGAGGAAAGGATAATTGAAAGTATAATAGTTTCTTTCTTATTGTATTGTTTATTGTTCTGTTTTCTGTGAACACAAACAGGTCTTGGTCTTAGTAGTGTGCATATTACACAAAAATAAAAATAAAAAGCACAACACCACAAAAATAAAAAAAAAGATAGGCTAAAGTAGGACAGATGAAAGACATGTCCTTACAGATGCAACAAGTCTCTCTTAAATGCTACAAAGTGAGTCGTTTTCATAGTCATAAAGAAGCTGTAAAGATGTCATCGACGACACAACATCAATGTCCTATGGCTAAAAAAGAAAGCAAGTTGCAATACACTTTTGTGGAACACAAAATAAAATGTCATTACAAGTTAAGAAGTTACTTTAAAGCTCACCATCAGAGCTGCTCTGATCAACCGAGGACTTGGCTTTCTTGCTGACCGTGACTGGCGGCCTCAACGATCGAAATGAGACCTTTTCCTTGCCGAAGCCATCCTGAAACAATTTAATATTTGTTTTGAATTCATATAGTGGTAATATCTTAAACAAGGGACTAGAATGAAACTGTGGGCCATGAGAAGCAACACATGCCCGCCCTATGTGTGCCATAAAGCCTGGCTTCTTCCTGTTGTAGAGGTTCCACATGAGCGTCCTCTCCAGGGTGGGGTCGTCCCAGGTGTATAGCACCGACTGGTAGGGGCTCAGAAGGGTCACCTGGCCCAGGCATCTATGGTAACAACATTGCGGAGCAATTTAGCACATCTCTTAAATGCCGTCATCTTACTTAGCAGTATGCAATGAAATGACAGAGTATCCTTGAAAGAAGCAGGCAGAACAACAAAGCAGACTTCGTTGTCTTGTCCGTTTGTTTTATTGTTCCCACGTCTCAGGGTTACTATGAATGCCCATATATTTTTAGTAGTATGTTTATAATCTTGTAAAAACTAATTTCTTATTCCCACCAGCTTTGGCATTTGAGTGCAAACATTTTTAGATGGGTTGCATTTCAATGTATATTGTAAAATCAATCTTTTTTTGTTTGTTTTTTAGAGGGCGTTTGTAAAGTTTTTATACATGGGAATTTAATTTGAATATGATGGTACAGTAAACTTTTGTTAGTTCGACCTCGGTTAATTCGACTTTTCGTTTATTTCGATCGTGTTCAAAAGTCCCGGCGAGCGCCCATACATTTCTATGGGAGAAAATGTTTGATAGCTCGAACTCGGAAAGACTCCGCGTCAGACAATTCGTCCCGAGCGAATGTGCGCGGGCTCACATTGCTATGGCACCACGGCAGAAAAACCACCAACATTCCGCAAAACACAGGCCCTTTGCCCCTTTGCTGCAAAGCCGAACATGCGCAAATATGCGTCTGCTCCTCTACGCCGTTGAGATGGACCGTAGCGAACGACACGAGCCACACGAGCCAGTGCAACCAACCTGGCGTGGAGTAGCGCGGAGAACATAGCACGTAATTGGGCGCGGAAACAGCGCGCACGGCGCGCGCTCTCAAAGCACTTTTCTGTAGCATCGTGTGTGCGGTCCACCTTGCGCACCGGAAAGCGCGGGTTCTGTTTTCCCTTTTTTATATTTTGTAATTTTTTTTTTTTTTTTCTGTCGTTGACGGTCTGGTTGTTTTGCGTCAAACTCGGCTTGTAAAGGCCTGTTCACACACACAGCGGAGCGCTAAGTTAGTGCTATGTGAGCGCTCCAAGGAGCGCTCATATGGTGCTTCCTAGCGTGTGACTTCCTTCTAATATAGCGCGTGACTAGCGCTTTAGTAGCGCCTTGTTAGCGCTCCAGTAGCACCTTGTTAGCGCTGCAGTAGAGCCTCGTTAGCGCTTCAGTAGTGCCTTGTTAGCACTTCAGTAGCGCCGCGTTAGCGCTTCAGTAGTGCTTCTTAGACCACAATGCTGCGGATTAGTGCGGGCACTGCGGTTCCGGTTCCTGTGGTTGGGTGTGCATGAGCAGCACCATGGCGGACATGTGGGATGCTGAAATAGTAATGCGACAAACGCTCTTACATACAGGATTAGTGCATATGTGTGTAGACGGCTTAACGCCCAGAAGAGCCTTCTGGATGCGCGAAATCTTTCGCCACCGAGATACTGACGGGTACTCGGTGAACCTTGTTCCTAGGCTGAGGGACCGAGACACAGACCTCTTTTGGATTATTTTTAACTGTGTGTCTTTGAAATCAGGGTCACGCATATCAAATACAAAGCGATGAGGTCGAACCCAATCAATTAGTCGCTCAGAGTCCATGACTCTGAATCGCCTGCCCGACCCTTTGCTTGGAGAGTGGCTCTTTTATTTCCTCTTCTTTCAATGCCGAAGGAAAAACAACAAAGGAATCGCCGTGCACGCGCTGTCCCGCAGCAGCAAGCACGGCACAAGGAGCGTGAAAGCGCTAACAAAGTGCTTCTGTAGCACTAACAGAGCGCTGACAAAGCGCTTCTGAAGCACTAACAAAACGCTTCTGAAGCGCTAACCAAGCTCTACATCACGCACTAGGAAGCGCCACATGAGCGCTCCTTCGAGCGCTCACGTAGCGCTAAGTTAGCGCTCCGCTGTATGTGTGAACCGGCCTTAAAGCTCTCTCAGCACACGCTCTCAAAGCGCTTTTCTGTAGCATCGTGTGCGGTCCATCTTGCGCGCCGGAAAGCGCGGGTTCTTTTCCCCTTTATTTTTGTTGTTATTTCTCTCTGTCACCCACGGTCTGGCTGCCCGGTGCCAAAGTTGGCTTGTAAAAATTTGCTTTTTCAATTTCTTTTTTTTTCTTTTTTTTTAGAGCGCGATTTTTTGGAAACGTTACGTTTAGTCACGCTGCTCTCCAGAGCATGCTTTTGGGCACGCGTTTTAAGCGCAGACGGCAACAGACCATCCGCGAGTACTTTGGACAATAAAAGCAAGTTTAGTTTTAACCGTTTTTCTTTCCTTTTTAATGCAATCATTTGAATAATTCAACCAAATTTCAAGGTCCCGTCGAGGTAGAATTAACGAAAGTTTACTCTACTGCTGTTCAAGTTTTTGCTCAGAAGAACAAGAAAAACTATATAAAGCATGATTCTCCGCAATACGCCATTGCGCGGCACAAGGAATATTTGGTGCATGCTGTCGCAGATGTTTCAGAAAGCTGGAATAATTGCTACCTAACTTTGCCTTCCACTCTTAACGACACACTACCACCATGCATACTGCCTATCTGAATTTAGGCTTTAAAAGACGTAACATTGTGGAAAGAAATGTTTAAAACTATTGCATATCCTCACAGCTCATGAAGTTTCGAGTGAGCTACTGCAATCAAAATTTGTTTTGTGACTTACTTCTGGTGGATCTTCAGGAACAGGTCCTCACAGAGGTTTTCTACCCTCACAGGGGCATCGCCATTGTGGTATGGAAATAGAGAAATCTTCATGGGCCCATCAACGCCACCCGAAACTTCCACGCAAACTGCAGACTGCAGAAACGTGGAAGAAAACTTCAGTACTCACAAACCACACATGAACGGTAATTGTGACTGTTTGCACAGTGAGTATGGTCCCAGTCATTTATGACCATAGGCCTCCCTTCAAAACACCAGCCATGTAGGCAAAATATGTCTCTGGCTTATGTTTCCAAAGCAAACTAAGTAGTTAATGATGCAAAATTATACTGCGCAGGGTCCTCTTTCTAGCTACAGTGCTAGATACTGAAGATGCCATCAGTCCCTATGAGACCAAATTGGTTCATGAAATCCCAGTGAAAAACATGCAACAACACAAATACAGAGTGGAAGAACTGAACCTACACGGCCCAATTCTTTCACTCTCTCCTCGCATTTTTGCGCCGTTTTGTTTTCTTTATAGCTACGACTGGCGACCAGCTTGAGCTCATGCACTGCTGGTTCACTGACGTTCTACTATAGAAAGAATCTGCTTGTGCCCTAACGGGACAGAGATGAAATATTCTAAATATTCACCCCACTGTCCATCCGGAGCACCGTGTTCTGGACCTCCTTGAAACAGAAGTGCTGTGAAGCAACATTGCTGTCCTTGTGCCGGACATACATCTTCATGCTATCAGTGTCAGGCCAAAAAGGAAGACACTGCGAGAAAAAACAAAAAAACTCAGCTTAGCTTGACATGGACATTGAAAGCATAAAAAATCTCCAGCATATAATCTTTATATTATCACTACCTGTAATGGTCCAATGTCAAACCACAGGTCTGCAGCCTCATTCTCTTCCATGAACCTGAAATAGTGCTGCAAAAGAAAAACATTAACCCAACCGACTTAATGCTAGGAAGCTTTAAAGAAATATTTTATGTGCATAGCACCATATGATGATTGTACCCCAGGCAGCACAGGACATTAGGCCAATATTGGGAATATCTTGGAAAAAGAGGGTCATCATCAGCCCATTAGGTCCTCTCTGTAATGAATATTAGAAATGTCCTGAAAAAATAGGGACATGAATGGCCCCCTTTATCCTCTCTATCACCAATATTGGCAATCCATTAGAATACCATTGGATAAATTGGAAACCACTTCCAATGTGGTGCTAATGAGCTTCCAATGTCGCCCAATATTGGATGGTCATTGGTACCCCAATAGATAAATTGGATACCACTTCCAATAATGTTTCAATGGGATTCCAATGTTGTTTTATATTGGGTAGTCATTGGCACTCCGTTGGATAAATTGAATACCAGTTCCAATAAGTGTCAATAGGCCAGTGGCGTCATAAGGAGCGGGGGGGGGGGGGGGGGGGAGGCGGACCACCCCGGGTGCAGCGCTCAGGTGGGTGTCGCGGCGGGCCTCGAGAGCGAGGGAGGAGGGGGGGGGGGGCCGCTGACCCTCGGGACGCCACTGCAATAGTCTTCCAATATTTCCAATATTGTGCTGTCATTGGCACCCCATTAGATAAATTGGACACCATTTAAAATAAAGTGTCAAGGGGCATCCAATGCTGTCAAATATGTATTGGGCAGTCATTGGCACTCCACAGGACAAATTGGATACCACTTCCAACAAAGTGCCAATGGGCTTCCAAAGTTGTCTAATATTGGGAAGTCATTGGCACCCCATTGGATAAATTGGATATTATTTCCAGTTAAGTCCCAAGGGCCTTCCAATGTTCTCCAATGTTGGGCAGGCCTTGGCACCCCACTGGATGAATTGAAATTGACTTCCAATGAAGTGCTAACAAGCAACCAATGCTGTCAAATATAGGGTAGTCATTGGCACCTTACTGGATAAAATGGATACTACTTCCAATGAAGTGCCAATGGGCTTCCAATGTCGTAAAATATTGGGCAGTCATTGGGACCCCATCAAATAAATTGGATACCATGAAGTGCTAATGTGCTTCCAATGTTGTCCAATAATGGGCAGTTATTGGTACTCACTGGATAAATTGGATACCAAGTTATAAGAGGTTTTCAATGTTGGTCAATATTAAAGAGTCATTGACATTCCTTTTAATAACTTGGATACCATTTTAAATAAAGTGTGAACTGGTTTCTAATCTCACTTGCTATTGAGGAGTCATTTACATTCGATGCAATAAACTAGATACCATATTCAGTAAGCTATAAAAGGATTTTTATGATTGTACAAGATTGGTAATTCACCGTATGCACTGAATCAGTTTTCTAATTGCCTTAATGAACAATACTCGAATTTTGTTCGGTAACTTTGATGACTTATTGAAATATATCTCAAAGGTTGCACAATAATACAAATTCACAGGATAACTGGGATCTCCGTGTCCTAGTTGCCAATATTTACGACATCAAAAATTGTTTGAAAAACTTCAGTTTATAACCGTGTCAATATCGGACCAATTCAAAATGCTGCATTGACGTTTTTACGAAACATGATTGAATCTCTAGCTCCAGCACCAACCTCTCGGCTCTAACTTATGAATAAAAAAGGTAAGATGTTCTGCACACCATCATGTTTTGTCAGAACCTTGTGGTCTAAACGCAAAGGTAGCTGCATCGTAAGTAAATCCAAAACCCCGCTCTTCACCGCAATGCTCACACGATTGTGTCTCGCGAGTGGCAATGAACCTTTTAAAAATAACTCCAGCAGCATAATACTTGTCATTTTTACATGCCGAGGAGCACGAGCTAGTTCATGCTTCATTCTTGATTTTAGCTGCGACTGCGCGCTTTCTCGACTGTGGCAGGATTGGCAATTTTTCAAATGCTGCAATTGTGCGCCTTCTACCGCGCTTTGGGTGCGTGTGCGACAAAGTGTCATCAAAGGCAGAAAGCTCGCGCTCGAGGTGGAGCATATTTTCTGGTTTATAACGTTCGGTGGCACTTTAGAAGCAAAGACGGCATGTGCACTACTTTGATGGAAGCTTAAGATATGCAAGCGCAGGTACGCCCAAAACTTCGGCTACATGGCCACAGAAACTTGTCCGCGCGTAGGTGAGGTTGCACCATAGCATATAGCAGGGGTGGCCAAGCTTCAGCTCGCGAGCTGCATGCGGCTCTTCACGTGTTAAAGTGCGGCTCGCGGCCCCCCCTCCAATCACATGAGCGCTTCCCCTAAAAGAGATATGGAATGCGTTTTAAATCGAAAGACAGGTTGCGGTTTGGTAGTCTTGTGCTCTTGCTACCTTACGTACAGTTTGACTGCTTTTAACTCGGATAGATTGAAAGTAGTTTGAGTTTTGTTTATGGCTCCAGACAAAAGTTGAAACACCTGAAACACCTTAAGTTTTGGGAATTAAGATATCCAAGGCAGTAATGTTTTAAACATCCGCATTAATATATAGCTACAAGTTGGAGGTTGGTGCTTCAAAGGGAAATATTTTTGTCATCTCTATTACTCTGGCTGATTTTCAAATGACAAAAAGGGCCGACATTCATTGGTCTTGCCTTGGGGGAGATGTCACTAATGTAATAAATGAGAATCATTAAAAAATTTGATGTGTGTGGTCTTTTAGGGTAATGCTAGCATAGATATTTCACTTTTATTTTATCTGGCATCAACTGTATTAAAAACAAATACTACACATGATACAATGAAATGGCCTATCATTGGTTGCCAATATCAGGGAAACCTGGTAACTGGATAACTACATTAAAGAAATTGGTTTGTGATTGGATACAAAATTGGAAATGCTGGGATATAATTGGTTAACATTATTTCACTAAAATGGTATATCATTGGACACCAATATCAAAAATTGTGGCATAATATTGGGTACTAATATCAGAAATCGCGGCTTAATATTGGTTACCAATATCGGAAATCCTGGCGTATCATTTGATACCAATATCGTAAATCTTGGCCTGTCATTGGACACGAATATTGGTAATCCAGGAGTATCATTAGGATCCAATATTGAAAATCATGACATAATATTGGTTAGACACAGTGGTATTTAATTGGATAAATTAAAATGCCAATACGTATTGAAATCATAGTGGAAGTAACCCCCGATCGTCAATGGCCCAAAATGGGAGATTTCACTGGTCCAACCTTGGAGTGGGTTGCACTCCAATTGGGTCTAATAGTGGAATCCAATCTATCCATTATTGTGCCAACGTTGGGCCAGCACTGATGTGCTGCCTGGTACAGTGCTCACCAAACTTATACAGAACATACAAACTGCGTCTAACGTGGTGAGAGCGCAATCCTAGCGGTAGCTAAATGGCACAGTGCTCAACATAGCAAACCGAGCATGGGAGGTTGCTCGGTCAAAGTTGAAATTGCAGCCAAACCGCGCACAATGCGTTTTCAGTGCTACTTATGCGTGTGATGGGCATGGCAAAAAGCGTAGATGAACCAGCAGGCAAAAATGTTGCTACGTCGCCTCCTTTCAAGCCACGATTTCGGTCTTGACCCAGCAGTCTCCCCCACTTGAGTTGTTCCATTGAGCGCTATGTCCCGAAGCAGTTCTTTGGCTGCTGCTAGGATAGTGTTCCCATGAGATAAGACACAGTTTGCATGTTCCACATAACCTTGGTGAGCACTGTACATAAGTCTACTCGCAATGACATCTCCAACACTGCCAAGAAGACAAAAAACGAGACACACATACCCTGGTGTTGTTGACCACCAGAAAGAAAGGCGTGATGCTGATGATCTTGGAGAGGTTCAGCTTTGACATCTGGATCTTCAAAAAGAACTGCAGAACGAGCAAGATATTGTGATTGGTAACAAGCTTAATCCTCGTGCAACTTTGCCAGTTTTTTTTGTTTTTTTTTTACCCTGTACTTCTTGTTCCTCTCTTTGTCCTTACAGACGACAACTCCGTTGTTCCCCACAGTGTCAAGACAGAAGGATGACGACCAGCTGGAGTTGTAGACGCGGATCTTCGCCTGCTAAAAAAGTTTATTATTGTTAGCAAGCGTGCAAATCATGTTCCTTGTACAAGACATATTTAAGGAATGCAACGACGTAGAGTAGACAGTTGGGCGAGTTGGTAGTTATTGAACATAGTGACAGTTGCGCACACAGGGACAAGGACAGAGAAGAGGAACACGCTTGTCTGTCGCCTACGTGTTCCTCTTCTCTGTCCTTGTCCCTGTGTGCGCAACTGTCACTATGTTCAATGCAACGACGGTCGACATTACCTTCTTGTGCTTGCGCTTCTTGAAACGGAACAGGAGAAGCTCCTCCGAAGAGGCACTGCTGTCGTATATGACGTCTGAGTTGGATCCCTGAAGGATATATTTAGTTAGTGGTCATACATAGCTGGCACTGTCTATACTTGAGGGCAACTTTCTGTGACATTTGAGAGGAAAGGAGGAGAGCGTGCGCAGAGCTTTCATTGGTGCTCAGCCTGGAAGAGGGCATGTGTGCTCGTACCAATTTGACTGCACTGCCACAGAAAGTTGCACTCAAATATCTTGGCGACACTGTATTTGCCGTGGTAGTTTTCTTATTGTCCAAAAGTTTCCCGTATTTATAATGATTAAAAATTCAATTATCGTTATTAGTTAGACAAGAAAGCTGAAGAATATATCAGAGACAGGAGAACTTACAACCACTAGTGTAGAGTGAAGCAGACGTAATAGGTCTAATCAAGTTTATTTGCATTTGTTGATATATGCTCGAAAATAGATATTAGAAAGAAGCCTTGGTATAGTTCAATATAACCTTACCACTTGCCTGTCTACTATAGCTACCTACTGTAAAGCACAGATGGCATACAAGATGGGTAAAAGGTTAGCACAATCCTACTGACCCTTGACGGAACATGAAAGTCTATTGATTGGTTGGTTGGTTGTTTTGGTGTTTATGGCGCAAAAGCTACTAAGGCCATAGAGCGCCAAAAAAGAGACTATTGCTGGAAAAGGTTTGGAGAGAAAAAAGAGGCTTTAGTAGCCAGTGATTAGATAAAAGATGGTAATGGGGTACCAAAAGGTAAAAGGGTGATGGGCATGATTTGTAGGTTAAGAAAGCTACAATCAGTGTAGAAGGCCGATACTATCTAAAAATTTGAAAACATTAGTATATGTCACAAGTGAATCATCACTTAAGAGCAGAGCTGGGTGTAGTGGGACTTGTTCTTCATTCAGTTGCGAAAAATACAAAAGCCGTTCTTCATGATAAGCAGGACATTCAACTAGAATATGAAGAATGCTTAAGGCATTGTCACACTGCTCACAAGTGGGGGCATCTTCCCCACGAAGGAGGTAGCCATGAGTCAGATGAGTGTGACCAATCCTGAGCCGGCAAAGTACAACCTCAAAAAAGCGTTCCTGGTGGCATGCATTCTGCCATTCGCTCAGAAGAGGTTATCATGTGCAACTTGTTGCTGATTTCTTGGTCCCATTCAGCCTGCCATTTGCACTTAATGTGACGCCTGAGAAGGCCTTTGTAGTCTGCATAAGTGAAAGTCTATTGATCTGTTGCGTTTCATAGATTTTCATGCTCCGTCAAGGGTCAGTAGGAATGTGTTATCCTTTTACCCATCTTGTATGTCATCTGTGTCTCCTTTATCGAGAATCCAATTAGCATTTAATAAGACCGATCTTGACATTTTTCTTTGTTCATCTGTGTCTCCTTTATCGAGAATCCAATTAGCATTTAATAAGACCCATCTTGACATTTTTCTTTGTTCAAACCAGTTTACGTTTTATGTGCGAAAGTGGATGTCCTTGAATTACCTATTGTAAGGCGGGTTCTGTATAGTCTTTCAGTTTCTGTTATCTGTTTATATTTTTCATTGTGACAAGTATTTTAATGTTTGATAGAGTGCTGTTTTAATTTTCTTTGTGTGCACCACATCATAGACTGTAAAGTTGTTTGTGGGCACGTAAAATAAAGATTTATTATTATTATTATTATTAAATGCATACTGTAAGAAAAGAAAAAAAAAGAGTTTTATCAGATAAAGAATGCTGCATACAAAATTGAATATTTCCATATATAAAACTGGCTCAAAAGAGTGCCACAGTAAGGTAGTACTACAATAAGCCAGTAGGAACCCACCACAGGTGACTATTGTAGCTTTTCGTTCCATTTCAACGTACCCTGATCTGCAGGGGCAGCCCGGTCTTGTTGATGACCCAGTAAGGGGAGTAGAGGAAGACCTCGAGGCTGCAGTCACAGGCCAGCTGGATGCTGATGCAGAGCTGGCGGTGCATGCGCTCGGGCTGAGCCTGCTGGGGCTGCATCTGGACTCCCTTGGCCTCCTCCAGGTTGCCCGACAGCTCCAGCTGACCCCGCCATGATGAACCGAGGTAGTAGGGCACCTGGGGAGGGCAGCAGAAGGTTCGAGACCCCAAGGGCGACGCACTGGCCCGTGGCTTTATGCTGTTTACATAGAATCTACATAGGCTAGGGTTTCATTAGTAAAAAACCAAAAAATCGTAACGCAAGTGGTGTAACGCAAAAGCGTAACGAACGCGTAACGCAAAATTTTACTGCTATAATTTGTGGGGAAATTGGATTACAGTGGACTCCTCTTAAACGGAACTCGAAGGGACAGAAAAATTTGTTCCGTTTATCAGAAGTTTCATTAAAGCAAAGCACATAAAATGAGTGAAATATGACTTTATTTCACAAGCATGATGTCCAGCTAATGTAGCTGACTAGAAAAAAGAGGTAATGGTAGTTTGTTTTGCATTTTGTAATCGCTTTTTGACGAAGTAGGTGTGCATGCCTTGGAGGTACAAAGGTTTCTGTTGACTGCTGCACCTTCCCCAGAAATAGTCTTAAAGACTAGGCCGTGGCGCTTTTTAAAACGGCTGAGCCAACCGTCGCTCATTTTGAAGTTATCTATTCCCAACTGAGACGCAATCTCTCCAGCCTTTTCTTCGAGGATGGGGCCGCTGATCGGGAAATTAGCACTTCGCGCGCGCTTAAACCAGAGAAAAAGGACGTTCTCTATTTCCTCAAAAGGCGTCTTTCGCATCCTCCTTCGGTCGGTGGCAAAGCTTCCGCGCTTTACAGCGTCTTGAATCTTTTCTTTGTCCTTTGATATCCTTGAGAGTGTAGACTTCGGGATATCGAACTTCCTTGCGATCTCCGTCTTCGAGAGGTCACCACGATCCAGCTCTTGAAGGATCTTCATTTTCGTAGCAAGCGAGATCGCTTGGTGCGGCCGCTTTTTTACCGCTTCCATCACAACACGGCAAGCGGACGCTGGTTTGTGTACTCGATGGTAAACGTGACGCGCAACAGACGAGGCGCTAACCCTAATGGCGGTAGAAAGACTGGATTGGATTGCCTTAATATAATGGCTTGGATGGATGGATGAATGGCTGTACCGTACCCGCCGTACCCTTTGTAACGAGCGGCACCTCGCGTCACCTAGCCTAACAACTTTTTTTTTTTTTATAATAATATTTGTATAAATTTTGTTCTAACACAACCCCTTTTCCTTTAAAGTGTCCTCAGTCTTGGCTATTGCGTACTCCATGGTTGTGAGACTGCTGTAGCTATTTCCGATGTCCGCGGTCGCCATGGGTAGTTTCGGTTTCGGTCCCGTTTAACCGAAGTAAGCAAAAAGGGGGGTTCCGATTACCCGAAGAATTTATCATTAAATACATAGGAAACCAACCGAAACAACCTTTAGAGTTCCGTTTATCCGAATTTTCCGTTTAAGCGAGTTTCGTTTAATGGGAGTCCACTGTAGTTTAAAATGACCATATGACATCATGACCAAAGCAAGTGGTATATAGGTGCCAAATTCGGAAGAAGTGTGTTCCGCTCAGTTCAGCAGATGGAGTTCGTGCAACATCGTCGGCATGATGGTCATTCCGTGACACCGTCCAAGTGACACCATGACGTTGTGCGACACCGTGACGGCCACTGCGACGTTACATCACACGACACAGTGACATCACGGTGTCATGCCCTTCTGTCGTGTGACGTTTGTCGCGTTACACCATTATGTGACTTTACGTGAAGTGGTGACGTCGCAATGACACGCGACAGTGTCCGTGTCATGCTAACCCCACACGACTCTAAGCATGCCGCACCTCCTGAGTCTCTGGGCTTTATCCCTGGGATTATGATACATCGGCTGTTTGGAAGCAGTTATTGTGACAGCCCAGGTTCAGATTCTAAATGGGCAGTCAAGATGCGAGAGATTACACACCTCAATCGAAACTTGTTCCGCTTCGTTTGGCGCAATGGAAAAGACGGGAACCAGGTCACCCTCGTCGAGCTTGACTTCTTCGGAGGATTCCTGCGGGAAGAAGAGAATGATTCCACAACAAGAAAGGCCCATAAACCCAGAAGGAAAACCAAGATATGCACAAGATAATACAGTCGAATCTCGTTAATTCAAACTTGCAGTTAATTCAAACTAACATATGCAGGTCCTATCCTATGCATCTCTATGGGAAGAAACTCCCAATAATTCAAACTTGGCTTTATTCAAAAAATTTCCGGTCCCCCTCGAGTTTGAATTAACGAGATTTGACTACATAAATTGACCCCAATAAAAGTGTGTCAAAAAAGTCTAAATTAAGTTATTATAATACTTATATGTATAGTGCTGCCTTTTTAGATTTGACGTTAAACTGCAACACTGTTGTTTTTATTCTGTAGCATCTAAACCATTGCAATATGTCCTAGGTACACACTGTTTAAAAATGTTATTTTCCCCTAAATGAATGACAATTCATCTAATGCATCTGCATTGCTTGGTTGCTCGCAGTCTGAACTAGCAAGAGTGAGAAATAAATATATCTGCCAATATCGAGCCTCTTACTTTGAAGTGAAGTTCGATGGGGTAAGGTAGGCTGTTGTGAATCACAATGGGAGGCACCACGTGGAGGGTGCAGTTTGGCACAAACATGGTTCCTAGGGCAGGAACACGAGCATCCCTCGACTCTTTGCAGACCACCTGTCACCGAAAACGAAAAAAGGGAGTCACAAAGACCGTTCATTGCACCCTTCCGTGAGAGAAAAGCCCCAAGTGACGTGAACAAAGTCACTGGCGGCATAGCTGTGTGCATGCAATTGTCTGTGCAGCCTGAGAACTTGATAGTTAGCTCACAAGCAATTCCTTTCGAAATGTCAGGGTCCCTGTTCTTGATGTGTGACAAGCTACTTTATGCGTAGCTCCAGCTAAGAATGACATATAAATACCCCCTCGACTTCGAAGGCCTCTTAAGGACAGTAAAAGGTGTCTGAAAGGTGATGATGATGTGACAGCAGGTCAACATTGGAGGTATGCACACCTTCATCCAAAAAGGTTGCTTGTCCCGGGGGTTCTTGGACTTGCAGCTGAGGAACTTGGCACTTTTGTGGCAGAGGGCAATGTCTTGGGACCAGAGGCCATCTGTTGAAAGCTCATACCTGATTGGTTCAAAAATAAATTTAAAACGATGGATCAAGATCAAGGGTCTGCTGAACAAGGATTCCATTCTAGATGTTGATTCGTAAGTGGAGATACAGGTATGGGGTGTTAGCACACAAACTATGATCTGTCAAAGACTTGTACACAATGTCATATTTTTCCATATATTTTAAAACGTTACAATAACCGGGAGTGCCTTCCCATAATCTTTCCTCTGGCATGGGCTCTTTGCTTTCAATGGTGCTTGAGCAGTATATAAGTTTCAACCATGTACATGCCCCCAAAGCACCATCAAAGACAGTAAGTTAGTACTGTAGGTACAACATCCAAAGAAAGACTATCTGTCGCCTCTAGCGTGTCTATGACTATCAGTAATTTACCCTTCCATATACCGAGAGAAAAAAATAGCTTTGTTTTATAACTTCCAAGGTCAAGCATCACAGGCAAGTCCATGATGTCAAGACTGGTTGCATACCCTGCACAATCCTGCGTGACAGAACTTGGCTGAAGGTAGATCTTGGAATGGTAAGCCACGAACAAGGGCACGTGGTACACCTCCTTGGGTGCCAGCGTGGCCAGACGGACGTGCGTTCCATGAAAGGGATTCTTGGCGTAGCGTTCGGCAGAGACTCCCACCGCTTCGAGGCTCGACCTGGCGCATAGCAGCTGCACCGGCCGCGGCAGGTGGTTCTCCAGCTGGAAAGAGGGTGCGGGAAAGTGGAGGCTTGCCGGCAACGATATGATGCCAAGCTGCATTTGCCCGTAATTTCCATGCTCGTCATTTTCGTTATCTAATTAGAAAAAGATTGAGTCACGTGGACCCATGGCCACGGCACAAAAACAAGGATGCTGCAATCATTTTGACAGGAACCAAATTTGCCCAAATCTCACGAGAAATAAATCTGCATTAAATTTATTGTGCATATCAAATATTCATAGGGGTGTCACCAGAGCTGATATACACCAACTCAACTCTCCTACGTCACGCCGCGGTGGTGGCGCGCCGGACGCACTTCCGGTCTGGGGCGGTGGGCAGAAGTCGCCGTGCCAGACATGCATTCCTGTGTTCCTTTGGAAGAAACGAGACAAAAAACCTGCCTTCTCGTCAAAATGCTGCGATGGGGGCTTTACAAAGAGAGTCTGGGAAGGTTTGAAGATCAGTTTTCATGTGTTTTTGCACCCTCCGTTCGTCCGAGAACGTCAATAGCAGCCGTGAAAAGGGCAAACCTGACGCTGTCGAACTACGATTGCGTGTGCGGGCCACAATTTGTAGTCGCCAGATGTATTTGCTTTGTTCCAACATGACCGAGAGAAAACCCCCAAGTTGTTCGGACCACCCACGGATTCAGTGCGTCTTCAAATTCACACGGCCGCCTGATCGTTCGAACTTTCGTCTGCTCTTTCAAAGTTGTCTGCTTTTTGTCGTCTGCTCGTTCAAACAAAAGCGGCCCGTAGACCAAACTTTGACCCGGTGATTGCAATAAGAAGTAATTGCAGGCCTGAAACGACTTAAGTAGGCTCGGTGTAAGCATTAGATACAAGATGTTGATCATTGGTACCGGTGGCCATCACCTACTTGTTACGCTTTGTCTGTTCCCGCTTCCGATTTTCAGTATCGACGTCGATCATCGCCGCTACCTTCTCCACTTTTGCAGCACGAGGGTCGTCGCGACCGAAAATAGCTAGAAGAGTCTCATCATGGTTTTGTACGTCCATTCTGCGGCGGTCATGCAAATACATCGCCGCACGTCAAATTATTTATGCAAAGTTTAGCAGCGTAACGAGCCTTGATGATTTCGCTCAGGCGATTAAAGTGGTAAGACATTGCGATGAGGACGTAGAATCGACAACTCCAACGCGAAAAAGAGTATGCAGACTCACACAGACGCCGACAACGTGACATTCGAATGGTTTGTTGACGCGGGACGCGGTGCTTCTTGCCCGTACTCCATTGCGCGTGCGTTCCAACTGTCGTCTGCTCTTTCAAACTTGGCTGCTTTTTGTCGTCAGTTCGTTCAAACGACAGCGGCTCGTAAACCAAACATTGACCCGGTAATTGCGATAAGAACTAAGTGCAGGCCTCAAAACACTTTTGAAGGTTGGTTGGGGTAAGTCGGCTAAGTGTAAACAGATACAAGAAGTTGTTGATCATTGTTACCAGTGGCCATCACCGACTTGTAATGCCCGATTCTACTTGAGGTTTTCAGTATCGATGTCCACCATCTCAGCTACGGTCCACGCTTTTGCAGTCCGAGCGACGTCGCGACTGAAAATAGCGAGCAGAATCTCGACGTGGGAGTCAGGCTTTAGCGCCCATTCTGCGGCGTCCACGTGAAATGAATCGCCGCAAGTCACATTATTCATGCAAAGTTTTGCCTCGATAGTTTTGCTGAAGCCGCTCAAGTAGTCAGACATTGTTAGGAGGACGTAGAATCAACAATTCCAACGCGAAAAAGAGCACGGGGACTCCCACCGACGCCGACAACAACGCAATTCAATGGTTTGTTTATGGGCGACGGCGGGCTTCTTGCCCACCATCCACGGCGCATGCGCGGCGCCGGTGACGTCCGCTAGGGGCGCTCCGGTTTGTTTGTAAACATGAGTTGGTGTATACCTTGTATTCAGCAAGCATTATCTGCGAAGGCGTAAATGTTAATGCGCATATAGTATATGTCCAGAAGTGTTGCCAAAGCTGGCCCCTTATATTCAGCAAAGATACAAAATTTAATTTGGATTACATGCCTAGCAGTTAACTCCATAGCTGCCACCTTGTATTCAAGATACCTTAGCTGCAAACAATTTCGGGACTACAAACCAAGTCAAAGTTTAGGAAACATCAAGCCAGTTGTAATAATGCAGCAGAGCCCTTTTACAAAAGTTTCCAAGAACCAAATTTCAAGCCATAGAGTTTTCAAGGCACTGGAAAGTTAATCTCTAGTGTGACTATGTTCAGTACACAGTACAATTCAAGTCTTACCCTCAGAGGAGAGCGTGTAGTGACGGTCTTCCTCCCATTCTCGATGCTTACTTCTACAATGAAGAAGTACCTCATCTTGTTCTAGAGAAACAGAACAAACGATAGTAGATGAGAAAGAGCAATGCAATCTTCGATTCACCGAAATTTTGCAGATGGCCAAGAAAATTAGGACTGCATTTTGACACCAACTACTACACATTAAAATAGACACTCATTATTTCAAACTCCAGGAAGCCACCAATTTTGTTTGAATTATTGGAAGTTTGAATTATCAGAAATTCATCTAAATATGATGCAAGATAAAGTTATTATTTTTCATATTAATGGTTATACATACAAAGCATATATTTGATGATTTCCTCTACATAAGCCTACTGATCATATTGAATGGGTTCAGCGCAAAAAAAACAGCGCAAAAAAGACGAAGGACCAGTAAAAGGAAACACACAGACACAGCGCTGTGTCTGTGTGTTTCCTTTTACTGGTCCTTCGTCTTTTTTGCGCTGTTTTAACCCATTCAATATGACCATCAACCAACTTGCCCAACTTTCCACCCAGCGCTGTGTCTGTGTGTTTCCTTTTACTGGTCCTACTGATCATAAGCAGGTATGCCACATATGAAAATTTGTGAAATGTATGTCATAAGTTTACTTTTCTCTCAAACGCACTGCACGGCAAATTTCATAGCAACTTGCATGAATGCTGTGGCGAGGACCTATGCCATGCCGCCACTTCACATCGTCCGCACAAGCTGCTTGAAATTTCTGTGTGGTGCCCGTTTTCATAGCTCGTGTGCATGGTGTAAGAAAGGAGGTTAGGTGAAGACAATCCGGCACGAGGGTGAGCAAAGAATGTTCGCTCCTACTCTCGCCTCCAGTACTCTTCGATGTAGGTGGCGCTTTACTAGAGGGGGGCCTTGTATCCTCAGAAATGGCGCAAGGAATGCTGCTGGAAGCTGCCGTATGTGTGATTCGATAGGAAAAAATAGCAGTCTTTCAACTTGTTTTAACTGCCCCGTTCTGCAGCGAGAAGAAAACATCAACGGCAGAGGTACGGGTGCAGACTCGGTGTTGAAGGGTGCGTATGCGTCAAATTTAAGTGCTTCGTTAGAGATGGGGGAGGGCCTTTAGCTTCTGAGAGGGTCTCGCAACGCTCACTTGCCGTAAACACCGTGCCTGCAACGATGCTTTCTTCCCCTGTGGCATGGGTGACCGGTGGTTCTGCTGCCATGAACACCATGCCCGTGACAATGTTTTCTTGTACCGCGGCTGTGGTCACTGGTGGTTCTGCTTCCTAATTTTTACCCACACCTTACTTCACGCGGCTTGGTTGCCGGAGGCAGCTCTGCTTGAGTGGTGTCGAATACCGCCGCCGCCGCCGCATTAGAGTTAATTTGCGAGCAGCGTCCCTTCGCAGGAGTTTCATGAAAAACAAGCAGTCGCTTCTTCGGCGCTTTCCTTGGCAGCTTGGACGACACTGAGAACATGCTTGTACTTCAGACAGTTAAGAAAAATCTATGGCACTGCTTCTGCCGAGAGTTCTGCCGAGAGTACCGACCTTTTCGGTGCGTTCAGCAGTACTTTTCCTTCATGCTCCACATAATAGGTCTTGGAAGACAGGTGCGGGCTAAAATTTTTTTTGTCAGACACATTCGTAGGGCTGAATCTTGTGGTCGGAGCTCATAATGTGAGGCAATCAGGGTCCGCAGGTGCTTTAATGAAATAAGGAGACTTGCTCCCTACACAGACAGCACCGAGAGCTACAATCCGGTACAAATATTTCATGCGAGTGGCGAGAAAGTCGAAACTGGCGGTTAACAAGTTTACCGCGAAACTTTCTCCATTGCCTGTCAATTTCTGATTGGCGAGAAAGCGGTCACATGCGCAAAATCTGTCCAAAAGTAATTTGGAAAGGGGCTTTGCGCAACACCACATTTTGGGCGGTGCCATGGTGGAAAACATACACTTTTCGATAAACATTTGTGAAATGTCAATCTTACGCCCAAATCCGACAAGCTACTAGCTTGTTTAACCTCTGAATGTTGTATGACAGCAAGGTGGTGCGTGACTGTGTTCTTTCTATAACATGAGCGGTGTTTTAAAGCATTATACAACGTTCCCTCAAGCAGACGACGCGGACGTTTTGCTTCCTGTAGCCCCCTCGGCAACAGCGCCAATGTGGCCGCCTGGGGAGAAGAGCTCGTGGGAGAGAGAGTAGAGGCAAACACAATCTGGTCACGTGCTCGCTGGGGAGCCTAAGTGTCTTCACCTTTCTTACACTATGCTCATTTGTGCCCCGCTTGAACCATGTTACGTGCGCCTCTCACCGAACACTGGTGCACAGCGGAAAGCAACACCTGAGAAAGCAAGCTCTGCGGGTGTTGCATCTCTACATTGCACCGGTGCTCGGAAAGAAGCCTGCTCACCGAAGCCACAAAACAAAAAGTATGAATTACACGGAAACGCCGTTTGAATTGAGCGGCTTATAAAATACATTAAAAACATAGCGGAACAACCAAAATTTTGAAATTTGTTTGAATTAACCAGAAGTGAGAAATATCCGAGCTCGAATTACCGCAAGCCTACTGTAGAATGATGTCACAAAGTGCCATAATAAAATCCCAAATTATAACAAAGTTCAGTTTCTTGTGTTGCAATCTTACTTTCATTGGATGCAGAGCAAACACCGTCTTTCCTGCTTTCCTTGGCATCCAACACTGAAACTTCTCGAAGCCAGCAACCTATGGAAGTCAATGAAAAGCAACATCGCAGGCATGAGCAAAAACTCTTAGCCCCCGAAGTACCTCAAGATCGCAGATGGCCGAGGCACACTGCATGTGGCTCACACTTTGCACTTATCATGAAATACTGAGCGAATGCCCACATAGAATGAAGAAAAAACTTATACGAAATATGGGGTAGATGATTGCTCTGGTTAGATCTATCGATAACTCATATACAGTAGAAAATGTTTAAATTTGTGGACAAACAAAGGTGGGCACTTGCTCAAGCAAAGGTGTACATGATCCTTGCAACCACACACTAGGTATGTTGAAATGTCTGTCACATTATAACGGCTTCCCACAGACATAGAAGCTTGATGCGTTGCAAAAATCTCATCTCTAATTTTTTTTTCATCATTCATATTGGTTCAAAATACTACGGGGATGAGTTGAGCTAGTTGGTTATGATACATTACAGGTGGAACCAGCTGAACAATGAAGGAAAAAGAAACAGAAAAGACAACCACTTGCTGGACTAAAATAGTTGGTAGTCCAGCGAGTGGTTGTCTTTTCTGTTTGTCCTTCCTTCATAGTTCAGCTGGTTCCATCTGTAATGGTTAAAAATATTCTGACGTGCTAGTTGGTTGTACATACTAAATTACAAATAGTAATTGTAATTACAAAGTACAAGAAGAAGGTGAAGGAAGTGCTTGGAGTTGAAAAAAGAAGAAATAAGTCCATTTCTTCTTTTTTCAACAGCAGACACTTCCTGCACCTTCTTCTTTATCGTTGTATATAAAACCGTCAGTTGTGAGTGTTAGCGCCTGTCCTGTCCACTTCATCGTCTGTCCTTGTCCTAGCGCTATTTGTAATTTAGTAGTTCATATTGGTTCCTAATAGATGCAGTCTCCCTCACTTTTTTGTTTATATTTATTTTACTAATTTTTTATTCGTTTAGTTATTTTGTAAAGACTAGGCCAATAAATAAAAAAATTCCAATTATATTTCATTTATACACCAAGCTATGATAAATATTTAGTACATTGGGAATCATTCAATGCAAATATTCTTTTTCGCATGTTTAGTGCCACACATCTTAAAGAGGTATTGCAACGAAACTCTAACGCCTATTTTATTGTCTAAATGTCAACTATGTTTTGGCCACAGCACAGAGACACCAATTTTTTGCTCATACAGTACAGGCGTTTACAGAGAAACTTGCAAATTCTCTGTAGAGAAACATGCAGGTGACTTGCTACCCTCTATCAAAAAATCTGAGTTTAGCATCAGAAGTAGTACCTCCAAAGAAATCTTTTCCGTTGTCCTCTCCTTATACAGGTCGCACAACGGCTTATCTTGGAAAATGAGATGAGAGCCCTGGGGTGTCGTCACAGCTTCAGAGTCCCTAGACTGAAGGCCATATTGAAAAGAACTCCTGCAAAAGATAAGGCATCAAAGGACAACACAGCTGAAAAAAAAAAATCATGAGCCATTCCACTCTGGGAAGGTGGATGACCAGCAAAGCTGTTTAACACACGACACACACGTGACACAGAATTTTGAACAAAGGTACGAACACATATATTGTCTTGATCGGTGGTCATCGTAACGAAAGGTACACACACACATGTCGAGGACTATCGCAGACCCGAGAAGCCAGACGAAATTAGACACGCGCGACGAGGCCGCCACCCAGTGGAAGGAAAGGAAACTAGGCACGCAAGCGCTTGAAACGATGACAAAGAGAGGGCGGTACGAGCCCTTTCCGAGTTTTTGTTTACGCACATGAAAAATCCACAGAACCCTAGCCATAAACAGCTTTGCTGTAGAATACTGATCATAGAAACTGCATCAATAAAAAAAATCAGTCAACTAGAAAATAAACAGAGGCTTCTGAGAGCAAGCATTATTAGGAAGTTTTAGAATAGCACATGCTAAAGCTTTGTGTATGCAAAGAATAGCGTTGTCACCATTGCGCATGAGCCGAACGCCAACCATGTTTTGCGCTTTGTGTGCGCTATTTTTTAGAAATTGGATGAGTACGCCAAGAGTCTTTGCACTCCTCCAAGAAGGATTCGTCATGAGAAGTTGGCTAAAGCAAAGACGAGCACAGTTAAAAAATGGCGGCTCCCAGGACCATGACTGCGGCAGCTTTGGCTGAGTCGTGAATGCAACGTCGGCGGCATCCTTGCCACTGCAATTTTCAATACGGGATGACATTGCACTTGGTTTGGAAAACCCAGTAAGGTGGGCAACTTGATGCTTGCGACGCACAAACATTTCTCAGCGAAGGTACAGTATCCAAAGGTCAGTACACGAGCACTCTCTTGCCGAGGCGACGCAAGCGGACACGACCGGTCGACCACTCGAGTCGCATTCTCATGTTTAAACAAATTTATCATGTTACTCCGGACCAAGAAACTTTGTTTTTTTTCTCAAGTTGCAGCATTTCATGTGTGAAATAAAAATTGAGACTGTATCTTGGTGGCGTCGCAAGCACGAGATGCATGGGCTTTTGCGTCGCAGCAGAGAAACACTATTCTAAAACTCTCTTGCCGTAGCGTGCACTAACGCAAAGCGCTAAACTTCACGCTAGCGTACACAAAAATGGTGTAAGTTATTCTAAAATTCCCTAATGACGTTTTTTGTGACAGGAATATTCTGGGTTCATTGCAATGAATGATACAGCTACATTCAGTTTAAAAGCTGCTCTGATGTAAAATTATATGAACCTAGAAAACATAGCTTTTTTGCATAAGCAAAAGCTCATAACAAACAAGTATTAATGCGCGAAGAACGTTATGACAGAACTTTACCCAACATCGGTCTTCAGTGGAAGCGGTGAAACCATGGAGGTTGTTGGGCTGAATGCAGGGGCTTGCCCCCAGGCTTGGTCAACAACCACGAACCTCTCGTTTTCGTCCTAAGAACCAGAAATATGAAGTTACATGCATCGACGAATAAACATGCTTCGTAAGTTTTAACCTTAAAGTTGATAACATTTCACCTTTCGCAGTATAGAGACCAGTGCTTCTGGGCCCAAAAGATTGTTGATTGCAAGGGGTCCGGAAGAAGCATCAGGGTCGGACATCAAGCGCGACGTCTTCTGCCGCTCAATATCCTGTAGAGAAGAGCACCAAGAAGAGATTGCTGCTGCATGATGCAAGTTGCTTGCAGCTACTGGGAGGCAGAGAGTCTTTATACAGACTTACATTGAGAAGCCTCGAGATGATCTGAGTTAGAGTAGGCGTGACGTTTATGTTGAGCTCGTCACGAGAGTCGATAAGAATGTAGGTAGAAAGGGTAGCCTCGCTCGAACCGCAGACGGTAGAATCAGGTGCGTCCTCTGGGATATAATAATAATAAAAAAATAGACGAACTTCAAAGGCTACCAGAAGACTAGATAACAAGAAAAGTAATGTGAATCATGCTCTGGAATAGACATGGCATAAATTACAGACGTAAGGTTCGCTCAATGTTTGTTTCAACTTGCTAAATGAAGTGGTAGCCATATCCAAAGCGACAGAAGAACAAATAGCTAAAACAAAGCCATACTATTTACCTGATTCAGTTGTTAAAGAATTTAATGCACAGGAACTCTACTAAACTAATGCTGGTTTAATGCTTTTCTTGCCTACTCACATGTTCCCAGTGCATAGCTTACAGATTACAGAAATATTTATTAAGCAGATCCGTTCACACAGAGAAACGAAAGCAAGTTTCCTTTGCACCACATTGATGCTCACTAGCGTAGCCACTTGCCTTTTCCCAGGAAGACTGGCCGGTCATCTGTCGTGGAAATCTCGTTGTCTGCGGTCTCCGTCTCTTCCGATTCAGACTTCACGTCGGGGGCCCCTTCACCTTCGTCGCTCTGCTCGCCCTCGCTGCTCTGGTCCGAGAAGAGGTGTCCAAACGCGTGTGCGATCCTCTGCAGGACATTCTCGTCATTCTCCGAGTCCGAGTCCACCGCCACCAGAGTAGAGGAGTCTGGGAGAAAGATTGGTTGTCAGTTGTTTCAATCTTTCCATCGCAACAAGCTGTAATACATGTTGGATGTTCTGGGGCAACAGTCATTAAATCCTGCTCTAGCACTTAGCACAAAAAGTGTGCTCAAGTAGCCTTTTCTTGCATAAAAAGTTTCCAGGAGGTGTTCGCAGTTGAAGGTTAAAAGCGCAATGGCCGTGCCACTCGAAATCACAAAACAAAAACGTTAGATAGGTATACAGACGTACAGTCTCCGGCGATATGAAAGACCCACTGGGAGCGCGTGGCCGAGGCGGTGGCTGGCGGGGGCGCTGCGAGCGCTCCGGGCAGTTCCATTCTGCTTCGAGGGGAGGGCGCTCACTCGGCACTCTGCACAAACTGATAAGCGCGTTTCGCTTTATCTGAGCCCGAGTGAGCGTCCTCGCCTCGAAGCAGAATGGAATTGCCCGGAGCGCTCGCAGCGCCCCCGCCAGCCACCGCCTCGGCCACGCGCTCCCAGTGGGTCTTTCATATTGCCGGAGAGTGTACAACTGTCCCGAAAATATCAAGAAAATCTGAGCAAGCAAGTAGGCTAAATTGAACTCATATTTTGAAACTATCGCTGCTTGATCTTGACACCGAAGTGCTGCTATCTCAAAAACATTTTCTGGAGGGATATGTTTGCCTCGATCTCAGCTCTCCCAATATTTCTACCTCTTTATGACTTGTCAATGACCCATCAATTGTTAGTAATATTCGAGTGACACACTGGAATTCATTCAGAACAGTAGTATAGGTGTCTACCGCTTTCATAGCAACCATATCTAACTTGTGAAACAAAAAAAAACAAAAATATTAATTCAAGCTTTTTAAAAACTATGTCCCGCAAGCATCAAACAATGAGGCCTTCTTAAATCAGCAAAGGTGAAACGGGCCGTACCCCTCGACTTCTGACTCAGGGCCCGCTTGCTTCGTGGGGCAGGGTGCTTCCTGATGACCGTCATCTCTGTCTCTTCCTCGCTGGCATCGTCCGAAGACGTCATGCTCCCATTCGATGCGTTGGAGTTCTCTTCCGTTCCGTCCATCATATCCACGAGCATGTTTGAGCCCCGGCTGTCTTGCGCAGACAAGATTGGATAGCTCCGGTCTTTGAACATCTGCATTTGAAAATTCAGTATGCAAATCTGGTAGGCATAGCAATGACTAACCCCATCCACAGAAGGCTTCCATACGTGGATGAGCCTGCATGGCAAGACAGCAGGTTACAAGGTTTTTACGGGTCGTTTAACTTTCAGGGTTTTACATGTGAAACCAGCAAACGGTATCTAACAGTTCCCAACAAAGGACTGGGGATTCATTTCGACCACTTGAGGATCTCTTGGTGTGCAGCCGAAATCTCGGTATTCTCTGCAAAAAGCCTCCATCGAATTGCGGGCACCTCGGCCAGGACTTGAACCCACCAACTGGAGATCCATAGGCCGGCACTTTGCCTTGGGGCCACCGAGGCGGTTTTTTCAAGTCATAATTACACCTTTGTATGAAACGTGGTTACTTTAAGTGAAGGCTTCAGAAAAATAGGGTGGACGAGAAAAAATTAAACTCTTTCGGGAACAAACTGCCAGTCACGGCAGACATTGAGGATTGCAAAAAAACATCCTAATTACCTTAGTAATTAACTTTTTATTAGTAAAAATAAACAGTTGGTTCAAATGCAAAATTCATTAAGCATCTGCCAAAACCACTAAATCAATTCGTTTTAGAAAGATTTAAGGCAGGGGCAGCATTCTATGGCATTCCGAAACAACTCTGAATTTAGACATGTTTCTAGGTTTCGGTTGTTTATCGGAGAGCGTCTCTGCGCCAGCGGTGGCTGAGGCATGAAGCCACAGCCTCACCTCCATCGTAGAATAGAACTAAGTATGGTGTATGTGTGTTGCACGTCTCAGCCAACGGGGAACAGGACCACCGGAGAAAACATGCGCTCTGATAGAAAACCGAAACCTAGAAACGTGTTTGAATTGAATTTCTAAAATTAGTTGATTTATAGTGGTTTTCAATGATGCTTAGGAAGTTTCTCATTGAAACCATATGTTTATTTTCACCAATAAAAAAATTAATTAGTAAATGTTTAGTTAATTATTTACTTCATTAGAATGCTTTTCGGAAATCTAAACGTCTGCCGTGGGTGGTTCTGGGAAAGAGTTTATTTTTTTCTCAACCATGCTATTTTGAGAGCTTTTAGAAAACCTTCTCTGAAACACCCTGTATATTTTCCACATCCTATAAGCCTCTACGAACTTGCCCACTGACATCTCCAGGTGAACGAATTATAACAAGCTGCAGCGGCATGTAAGCAATGCAAGCGAATCAGCGCACCTTTATAACAAGCTCCCAAGGTCTGTAGTGGTTCTCAAGCTCCATAACAGGGTCAATGAGTGGCTCCCAGGTGCTGCGCTCTTCGCTGTAATACAGTGCTTCTAGCTTGGCCTCTGCAGTCAGGTACATCTGCAAAGCAGAACTCCTTACTGCACAAATAATAGGCTACAGCTGTATTTTTCTCGACAACCGAAGACAGCTCTTATACGTCATCAAATTCATAATAAGATATGTTTAGAAAAAGATGTTGTAAACACAATGTGGTGAAATATCAGAGGATATTAATTATGAAACCTCAAAAGATATTGTGGAACCTCATAAAAAAAATATTACAAGGTTTTTTACTGTAAGTTAGACTATGCATAGCTAGCCAAATGCTCAATCTCCGCCCAAATGCAGTGCTAGCAATCCAAACTAGATACCAAGGCTTCAGAACTAACTGTTATCTTACTAAAAATTTAAATGATTTTTCTGAAATTTTTAATGAAAAAATCACAGCCGACGAAGCCCTAGAGCAGGGGTGGCCAAGCTGCAACACTTCGCGTGTTGAAGTGCGGCTTGCGGCTCTCTCACCTACTAACCTACCCTACCCCCTACCCCCCTACCCCCCTACCCCCCCTACCCCCCCCCCCCCCCCCCCCCCCCCCATTTTCCTGGTCACACGAGCACTTCCCCAAAAAGAGAAATGGAACGCGTTTTAAATCAAAAGACAGGTTGCTGTTTGGCAGTCTTGTGCTACTGCTTCCTTACACACAGTTGAACTGCGTTTGACTCGGATAGATTGAAGGTGCTTCGAGTTTCGTTTATTGCTCTGGACAAGTTTGCCCCCCCCCCCTGCGGCACTTGGAAGTTTTGTGGATCTGTTTGCGGCTCTTAGGCCGGGTCAGCCTGGCCACCCCTGCCCTAGAGTATGTGGAGCTGAATGGTGTCAGTTACCAAGAATGGGCTTCATTTTCCCATTGAAATTTTCAGAAAATCATTTATAGCTTTAGAATAAGACAACGGTTAGTTCTGAAAATTTGGCATCTAGTTCGGGCTGCTAGCAATACATTTGGCGATGCATATCGTCTATTTTTGCAATAAAAGAAAATAATTTGTAAATTGTTTTTTTTTACACATTGGTATTGACATTGTATACAATACGATGTCGTTATGTATGGCTGCAGCTAGTTTCTTTTTCTCCAAAAAAGTTACTCTGGAGGTCGTCATCTCACTGCCGAGATATAAGAAAATTAATATGTTTATTCAGCTATAGAACATGCACATTGAACAACCAAAAATGAAGAACTGTGAGCCTACATTGTTGCAAGGTACTGAGGTCATCTTCTCATGCCCTTGGGATACCAGAAAAGTGAGCATAATTTTTTTCACACAGTTTTTCATATGGTATGATGACTTTGTGACAAGACAATGTTCATAAAGGACCCTTAGCATTCCTAAATGCAAGGCCATGCACATACCTGCTTGGACCAGTCGTGGACATCGGCATCTACCGACGCCTGGAAGAACAGGACGGGGACCTTTTTCTTGACCGTGTAGTTTTCGTAGACGAGCGTGACCTTGGGAATGCTGATTTCTAAAGACTCCGCAGGTATGCTGACCGGATACGTCGGCCTTTCGTGTCCTGACGCGTCATCTTGGAAAGAGGAGAGGAAAACATGAGCAACTCAAGACACCGCCCTAAATCATTCCTTGCAAAAATTAAATATTTTTTCGAGTGGTTTACTATTAGTTCAAGACCTCTATGAATGACCCATTCCCTTTTGCTACACCCAAATATATATATACTGTTTTTTACACTATAGACCACAAACTATACATGTTGAGAGGTTGAAGTTTTATGCAATGGGGACAATCTACAGGCATTTCTGAGGATATGCCATGTATTTTTTAGCGAAAATTTGCTTCTGTGGACTATACGCCGGGTGTGAACTGTAGTATGAAATATAAGGTATTCTGAAGGGAGACAAATGGCATAGGGTGAGTGGACACCAATGATAAGCCTCAGCAACGAATTTCTCGCCTTTCGATACCTGGAACAACCAAAAGATGAGCAAGCTATTTCAAAGATCACCTTGGCTTGAGCGACACCTGGGTGGGCTCACAGCTGTTGGACACCACAGATCGTGAGGCTCAGACTCTCCTTGGGAAGGTGACAAGTCATCCTGGGCTGACACGCCCTGTTAGGAAAAAAACTGGGATGAAACTAAAAAAACTAACAATGCTGAAAAAATTATATGGTTTCTTGTGACAACGCTAACCACTAAAGGATGGCGTTAAAACATATAGGGGCTTTACATCGTGAAGTACCACCTTATGTAGATCCCATGGATGATTCACAAGGTTTCAATTCCACAATTTTTTTAAAAAGTATTGCTATGATGAACAGATCCCTGCTTTATCAGGTGCACTAGTGAAGTGCCGATTAGCATCTCAGCATAATGTTTGTGCGGCTAAGTTGTGAGTGGTTGTGGGTTTAAAAACTTCTTATTCAAAACATGTTTACATCATACAAACTCATAAATATAACTCATTTCCATCTGCAGTTTTTCTTATATTTTGTGAAGCAACTGAAAGCAGATGTCACAGAAATGAAATATAGTGTTGTGCAAATATCCTAGTTTTCGAATATTATTTCCAAATAATCTGCTATTCGCATCGAGATTAACTACGATATTCATATTTTTCGAAGTGATTGCAGCAGGTTGCCCCGTTGAGTGCGCTTCTCACCAAGCACCGGTGCATTGTGGGGAAGCAAAACCTGCGAAGCTCCCTTCCGCGAGTGTGGCTTCTCCGCAATGCACCGGTGATTCTCATGGAGCGCACTCAATGGGGCAAACCCGCCGCGATCAACTTCGAAAAGTACAAATATCGCAGCCCCTTGCTTAGGAGGAAAGCTAATTTCCGAAACGAGATTGTGCGCACGTGCGCCTGATGTATTTGAAAAGAAACAGGAACTTCACGAGTGTTTATATCTACATTGCAATAAAATTTAAAAAATTAAACTGGCATGTGCGGATTTAAGAAAATATATTTGCATAAAGCAAGAATATTTCTAAACTTCCTTGATTAAGTGTAGCTGGGCGTTTCTATAGGTTAATTTTATGTCGGATGCGTCGTGTACTTGCCATCTCAATGTAAGCACTGCACTTTCGGAGGTGAGAGTCAATAAATAAAGTTAGATTAAAATAATTTTCCTTAGAAATGGACAAGAGGAAGCTTGGCAACGACCTTCACAAGTTCAGCTGGGCTTTCATTTAAACATGTCGCAGTAGTGAAAGGCTTAGAGAAACTATTCAATCTTCGATTAGAAAATATTTGGCTAAAACCACTATTCACTTTGAATTCACTTCGCACTCAAAATCCACTATTTGCATATGCCAAAATCAATATACATACAGCGTGGGCAAAATAAATTGAACACACTCGATCGGTTTTCTTAACTTATTGCGCTGGGATTTACTACAGAGGTGCTCGAAGCTGGTGCATTCATTAATTGAGAGTACGACTACATGAAACTCCTGGCGTCAAAAAATCGTTGTGGGCTATTCTGGGGTTCACTACAATTGAAAAATTGTGAAAAAATGTGAAATGGAAAGAAAATAGAATTGGTTAACCTATTCTTTACTTCACTTGGCCCAAATAAGCGCCACAGTAACACATCATATTTTTTAGTGTACATGCAAAGTATAGAGAAGAGTTTTTTATTTTTCTTGATTTACTCAGATGAGCCAATCTTTCCACAATTTTAGCAAAAGCTTCCACCAACTTCAGGCACCAGTGTAGTAAATCCCAGCGCGATAGGTTAAGAAATTTATTTATGCAGTCAGATCAAAGTGCATTCAATCCATTTTGCCCGCGCTGTACATTTGTGTTCGAAGAGAGGAGCAATAAGTAAGAGAGCCGCTGTCAAGCCTACCTTGATGTGTGCAAGAAGCTCGCCCATAATGCACACCACGGTGGACAGCACAGGAGCAGAAATGTGAACGGCAACATCGCTCATTTTGGCAGACAACTTTACATCCGCATCGCTGATGCTCAGGGTCTGATTCAGCTCAATGTTGAAGGGCTTTAGAATCTAGAGAAAGGCAAAAACTTGTGTTTAAAAGACGGGCTCCACAATGACTGACAGACGACATGCACTGTAGACGTGGACCCATGGCAGGTCAACTTACGAGGTAGTGGGTGTCCTTTTTTCTGCCCCAAAGGAATGAGGAAGCATTCAGGCCAATCACAGATGCCGTCATCGTGTGCTGCCCAAGGTTGCGGCAGTAGTCCAACATTATGTCCATCTGCATACAGGGCCTCATTTCACTTAGTTTCAACAGCCCGAATGGTCATATTTGCGTCACAAAAGCTGCCGCACCACTTGCTGTACCACTGGAGCTATCGCAGAACCCTAGAAAAATGTGAACCTAATCATGCTATTTCTCCTTTCCACTATTCGCAAATGCCCTGTTGCAAAAGCCAACTGAAAACTGTAAGTACAACACAACCAGTTTTTCTATGTAAAACCCGGGTTAACTTCAAAGCTTAAAATCCAAAGACAAAGCAACCTTTTTCCGCCACAGTATTATTACCGAAATCCTTCACTCACGAACCAAAAAGATTTTGTGGACCAAATTTAACAAAGTGTATCAATGCTGACCAGGAGCGGATTTAGAGGGGGGAGTCCGGATGCCCTGACCCCCCTCTTGATTTCTGCATGTGTAAAATTTGGCGCATGAAATGAGGGAGAGGGGGAGGGGGATCCTAAAGATATGGTATGCTGACCAACATCTGACCCCCCCCCCCCCCCCCCCCCCTCAGGAAATTCCTGCATCCGCCCCTGATGCTGACAGGTTTGTGCCTTCCTAAAGTTTGAGCAATAAAGCAAACAGGCATCTGGGGCTTAAAATAAGGATAAGGTGAGCTGTTTGTAAGAGATCAGCAAAGAATGCTAAAGGAATATATCCCACAGCAGCAAAGCTGACAGGTTTCTGGCAACGTGCAATTGGAACAATAAAGCCAGGAGGTGCTCAGAGTTTACGGTCAATGCGGACGCTCCCCAAAAAGTGCCAAAAGGCGACAGGGCAAAACGGCCGAGGGAAAGGCACCAGAAGGGCTCACCTTCAGGACAATGACCTCGCTTTCACGGTCGCGAGGGTCGGCAAAGAACACAATCTCCGGCTTCTTGAGGACGAGGGAGAAGGAGAGTCCGCTGGCGCCGTCCTCCGGGGCGGGCGCGCCGACCGCCGAGTGGTAGCCGCTCGTGTTGTCCGAGGGAAGGCGCTTTCGCGAGGTCGCCGCCGCCGCCCCGTGCTGCCGGGCGGCGCCGGCGCCCTCGACTATGGGGCGGAGCTCGTGCTCGCTTGGAGTGGGCGGGAGGAGGGACTCGTGCACGAAGCTCAGCACTGCCAGCAGGTAGGGCACAGACACCTTCAGCGAGGTCTCTTCGATCAGCACGTCCACTGTGACGGAGGGGCGCTGCTGTGGTCGAGGTCGACAAGGTGACAAGGTCACAATGTCATGCTATACTCGCTCACAAGGAGGGAACGGCGGGGGGGAGTTTCAGTTGTCCTACCGCCAGCTTCCTATACCTTCAACAACGCTTCGAAATCTCGTGCAACCTCAATCTCGAGATGCCCCCACCGTCCCCTACAACAACCCCGAATGGGGTTAGTAGTATTGGAAAAATAAAATGCCCGAGGTCTCGGGGTGCATATCACTGCCAATCAGCACGTCACTGCCAATCTCACATTGTCAGTGATTATAGTTTACTCTCAACCGTAGAAGTCCAGCTGACTCCTCCTGTTAATATGAACCCATTTCTCTAGCTCTGTTGCTTCCTGGCACACCTTACGGACAGTGTTATGCAATTTGAAAGTTGCCCATTAATGTTATAAAACCTCTTTTTCGTTGCCACTTTTGAAGAAAATGGAGAGGCTCATTGTAATAATACACGGCCATTCAATTCGCCTATGAAATATTATGTTTGGTGTTAGAACGTGACAGTATGGTTTGATTCAACCTTTGAGTTGAACAGTGGTATTGATAAACTTTGAGTGCCTGCCACTCACCGTCTTTTATAATGAAACCCATCTTACTTAAGAAATAAACGACTGTTGTTTGGTAGCACTAAGACAGTCTTGTTCAAGAGTTATCTGAAACCTTAGAGTGACAAGTTAAGAAACATTTCTTTAGAGAATGCACTAGCACGACCCTTGGGAAATGCCACACACGTCCCGTTTTGGGAAACGCTAACCCCTTCAATTTTCTGTTCTGGCGTTCTCTTTTGCTTTCCCTATTTTTTGCTGCTTCTTTATGGCTTCGTTACAGGGTCAGTGCAAGCTTTTCTTAAAGGGGGAGGAGCACCTGGCGTTTCCCAAGGGTCATGCTAACGCATCCTTCTAGCATCCACCAATAGATCTTCCGTTCATTTTTTTCCTCAACCTCCGTCGCACACAGACCCGCGTCGCCTTGCTGCTTCTCGCGCCACAATTTGACCAGCTGAGCGAGGCACCACTTCCGCTCCTCTGTCTCGTTCACCCACCTTGCATGCTTGGCATCGGTATCCGCTGCCCGACGCTACTTTTACTGTTCACCGGTTTCCCGCGCGTGCAATGGCTTCCGTTTTGTCGTGTCACCTCCCTCTCACCTTTGTCCTTCACTACTCTCCTCCTCTCTATGCAGTGCGCTTCCCTTTCCACTGTTTTGTCTGCAGAAGGATGGCATCAGCTTTTCCCTGTTACGTACGTAAATACTAAAGCTAATGCATTAAAAAACAAATCTTCAACCCTCTTAATTATTAAACAAAACCAAAACCAAAAAGTGCCTTACAAGACAAGCTAAGAATTCGTCAACACGCGGAAGTAAATTTTCAAGCTGTTATTGGCCATGTTAAATGAACAAGCACAAATGGCTGCCCAATCCTTGCTGCTCAACCACTCACCGGCTGCATCACCAGAGGGCGTTTGTCGGTATGTGACGTCAATCATATTAGGCGAGCTGACATTAATTCCCGTGGCTGCAGCGTCAGAACTTCCGCTGCTCGAATGAAAAACCCTGGAACCAGAACAAAGCAACTTTTTTATAGCAACATAACAAATAAACTTTCTGGGACGACACTCAAAGATTGGAAGTTGCTCAGCGAGCTCTTAGACTCAGTCTAATACCTGGCAGGGAAAAAAAAAGATTGGTGCTAAGTATTTTTCTAGCCAAAGCTTTGCCACATTCTGTAGAGATGCCCAAACACATCACAAAAGTATACCAAAATGATAGGACTAACATAATCACATGCAAAGAAAAACATACCGGAAGCCTCAGAGCAGCCTGTTTCACTTGGAATAGTGATAGCGAATGTCGGCTGCTACTAAGTTTTCATGCAATATCTCTCAAATACTGTATTTCATTATTCTCCCCCAAAATGTATAGTGCTGCTTTATTGGCTCTTCTACATATTTAAGTGCAGAGAACAGACTTGACTCTAGAAATGTAACTCTAGTTGTTTTAACACCCCCAATTGAACATAAGCCTTTGCCCCACCTTGTGTGCACGAGTGTTGAGTCACTGCGTGTGTCTTCTAACGAAAGGCTCTGTAGAGAACACTTCACCTCCAGCGACTGATCGCTACAGAGGTCAAAGTTGACGGTGACTTCTTCGAGCTCCAACTTTGAAAGCATCTGCAGGGGGTCTCGTACCGGTGACGAGAGCTGTGAAAGAAACGGCAAACCTGTTTTACTGTTTGTAAGGTGAAATAATGAAAAAAGACGTGTGGGAGCATTCAAGGCATTTAAAAATATATATAATAAATTCCAAACAATTTTTAAAAATTTCAAATATATTTTTACAATTTGATACAATAATGCTTCCTAACGCTACTGGTGTACCATGGCAAAACGCAAGGCGGCGGGAGTGATGCCTTGGAAGCCACCTTTTCACACCTCACAGAAAAGCCAGACATGGTTATAGACTACCTCTACATAGGCTCATGCATAAGGAGTCTTTCCTATCGTACCAGGCACGCAATATAATTTGCGTGCAACGACAAACAAAGTCAGGCAATGAGGCACGAGGGCCACAGGTTAAAAATTATTTTAGAAAGTTCACCTGAACGTCTTCGCCATCTGCATACAACACAATGTGGAGCCCTTCCATTGTAAAGAAGATGTTGGTCTTCTTGTAGACGTCGACAGAGGTGGTCAAAAACGTTGCAAGTTTCTTCACCGGATCATCCGTAATCGTGGGAGTTGCCAAGACAGGAGGAGAGACCGGTGTGGAGGCTAGATTGGAGAAAAGCAAAAAGCACATACTTACAAACTCAACTATTACAAAAGATGCCCAATCATTTTGCATCTGGCATCTTCGGGGCACACTGTACCTTGTTTGTGGGGCTCTATAACCTCCTTCTCCTTGAAGTTGTCTCTGAAGATTGCAAGGATCGTGCCCAGGTCCTTCTGACCTATGCTGATCTGCATCCAAGAAAAAAGCCACAAAGCACTAAAGTCAAGCCCACTTACAACAAACAGCAGGAAACGCCACAATCAGTTCGATATACAAGTAATTCGATATGGCAAAAACTGTTTATAATGAACTTCCACTATGCGTTCTTTGTAAGGCGAGAACTTCTTTTTCTTTCTCATCTCTTTGCTTCCACCTTGTAACAACGCGCAGGAAAGTATTTTTTTTTTTTTTTGCATACGTGCAGAGTTTGTACTTTTAACTTATGTCCCCTTCTGAATCGCTTCTTTTCGTGGGCAACGGTTTTAAGATGAAAAGCTTTTTCGTTTTTTTTTTTGCTGTGCGTGCATGCAGAGAGTATTTTTTTGCTTTCTCCCCCTTCTGATTTGCTTCTCTTCACTCAATTTTGTTCGCAACTTGAGCCTTTAGAATTTTCTTTCTTACTTTTTTTTTTGGTGAAAAGAACAGGCCAGAAGATGAATATTTGTGCGTTTTTGGAAGCCTTCCGGGGGGAAAAAGTTCGATATAGCCAATAAGTTGTTTGTTATACAAAGTACTCTTTACATGCATTCTTATTTAAATTTCTTGTGAGTTCGATATCAACATTATTTTGCTGTAAATGGGTTCGTTCTGACAGGTTTCACTGTATGTATCTAGGAAGACTTTAGAAAGTGAAAGACCTCAAAAGTGAAAACTCGATGACTCAAAAAAAATTATAAAACTTAAAGCTGTAAGTGAGCTTTCTTCACGCCAAATGTTCTTAATGCGAAAGCATTAACTGTCCCATAGAGCGAAGCTGGCGGTGTCTGTAACCTCGTAAAAATAAAACATAAAAACCCGTAAACGCGAAAAACGGCACCTTAATTGGCTGCGACGCATCCTATCAGATGCTTTGTCACGAAAGCTGCGCGGCCGCACAAGGTCAAAGCGGAAGTGCCTCGAAAATAAAAAAAACAAAGAAAAGCACAGAAATACAGATGCCTCATCACGGAAGCAGGTGGGTGCACTCAAGGTTAAAGCGGACGTGCTTCAGAAATAAAACAAAGAAAAGCACAGCAACGCAATGCTTTGTCACGGAAGCCGTCGTGAAGTCGACAAGGTTCGCCGCGTCTGCGCAGTGGGGGAGCGTGATGTCACCGCCGCAGCACCGTGTGCAATAAGATGATGCGGCGCGCTGCTTGTGGGAATGCGCTGCGTGGCCGCTTCTGCTTCTCTCAGCGCCAAGAGTGCTTTCGCATTCACAACTTATAAGAAGTGCTTAGGCGTCTTCGGAATTTTTAATCTGAAAGCATTAACTGTCCCATGGACACCGCTGGTGTTGTTTGTGACCGCAAAAAATAAGCAACTAGACAGAGGGTGGCGTGGGTCACGTGTCAGGCCTAAAGCCCCTTGATAAAAGCGTTTTTTACAAGTACCGCCAACCATTGTTGTGGAAGCGCGCGAGACGCGTGAGCGGGTGCTCCGCCGCCATTCGCTTCCAAGGCCCGCTCATTTCAGTGCTGTGCCGCCATTTGCTTCCAAGGGCCGCTCGAGACATGGGCCTCGTGCAGTCGCGCATTTGACGCTACTTGCAAGGCGAACGCAAACACATCGAGGGGCTTTAGTCAGGCCCTCTCTCCCCCCTTTGGGTCACAGGCGTGGCTGGGAACCTGGAGGGGGGGGGAGAGTAAGAGGGAGCTAGAAATTCCCGCTCCTCATGCTCAGCTGCCACTGCTATCTCGGCGCCAAGGAACATGGCGGTGCCTGAGGCATCTATATATCGGTCGCGGCCGCAACCTCGACAGTAGCGTAACGTGGTCGTCCACGCCAGTACACTGCAAACAAACTAGGGGGGTGGAAGAACGACATTCATGCTTTCACATTCACAACTCTTAAGAAGTGCATAGGTGTCTTTAGTGATTTTACAGCGGAGCTGTTAAGGGCTAGTTTCCCCAGTATCGTGTCCACCAGCAAACAAATGATGACACGAAACTCTGGACTGCTACCACCATCTATGAGCGACAGAAGCAACCAGACAACTGGCTTGCCGGTTGTCTGGCTGCCGCCGTCGCTCATAGATGGTGCAACCTTTCCAGCCTTTCCACTCTGGCTTGCCGACTTGCGGCCGGCCATTACTTCATTCCCACCATAGTACAGCTTCGCTGGTCTTCCCCTTCTTCACTGGAGTGGAAAGGCTGAAAGTTTTTTTCATTCAAAACTTTGGTAAGCTTCGATTTAGTTTGACATAAACTTGTTGGCTACATCTTTTCTTTTTTTCACTTTACAAGTGTTATTTGAATCAACAACAGAAACAAAAATGGCAAGAATAACTTTTAGGGCATCACAATTTACTGGAGACAGTCAAAACTCTTACCTTGATCAGATCCATGGTTCCTCGTACTTCATACTCCAAGATGTTTCGGTGGTAAGGGGTTAGGGCCCTCTTAATGTCCAGGTTTAACTTGGTGGGCTCCAGGATAGATTCCTGTGACTGAGTGGTTCCATCCAACAGGACAATTGCCCTGCGGTTAGATCCAAAAAATTGATATAAACACAAAAAAGAAAGAATCAGCTCGCATATCCTTTGACAGCATCGAAAGTAGAGCAACCATTCTCGCCTTGTCATGTGCAGGGAACTGAGACGGATGAGAATGTTGTCCACATAGTCAGGCTTGGCCCCCAGGGAGACCTCCTTGAAGAAGTTCTCCATGTTCAGGTCTCCCAGACTGAGCACCACCAAATTGGGAGAGTCGGACTTCTGGGGGACCAGGATGGTCGGAGCGCGGATGTCAATCGAAAGCTGTAGCATCACAGACTTCTGAGCGAAATCAGCCACCTGAAACAAAGGCTTGCCTCATAAGCTCGTCCAAAGGTATTAACACAAAACGCCTTTTAGGGCTCGTTTCACACCCTGAAGCGTCATGATAGGTTGTATTGAAAACCATGACAACGTGGACAGGTTTCTTTACAAAAAAAAATCTCTTCGTCCCTTGGTGGGAATCAAACCAACAAACTCTCGGTCAGGGGTCCGACCCGCCGCCCCTATGCTACTAAAGCGGTCTGGCATAGCGTTATCTTAGCTGCTATAGATGTACTCGTGTGGCCGCAAAACATGCTGTCTAGGGCAAAGACGAGTTACGAACCACTTGCGCGAGTGCAGGGTGAAGAAAGAAAATTATAACTTACCTTAATACTTCACATAAAGCCAAATGAAGCAGAATATGCCGTGTGTTCATGTCTCATTCCGAGAAAATGTGGGACGAAAAACGGCAATATTTTGCAAAAATTTTATTTGGGGTTTTGTGGCGTTTTATTATTTTTTAATCTTTATATGTGATGTATAGAAATAATGAAAGCCAGTTATGATCACGAGATTAGTCAAATAAGCACTTGAAAAGCTCTAGGTAACCCAGAACGGCACAATTTTGACGAGTTTTTTTCTGCGTGGTTCCTCAAGTTGTGACACGGTCCACCATCACATTTACGTTGACAAGTAGGCCTAGTAGTCTCCTCCCCCTTGAAATCTTCTGTAGCTTCAATTTCTCGAGGAAAGTTTTTAACAAAATATTACTTTCTGCACCACGAAAAAGTATAGCTGCACATCTATGGCAACATTGGCACACATTTAAATTTTTATGTAATTTTGGGGCATCTTCATAAAGAACAAAGAGCAGGTTGGTCTTTGATTCTTGCATCTTCACAGTTTGTGCACAAGAATTTCTGTTCTTAATACTGTCCTATCACAACCAAATTTGGTATACATATACTTTAGAATATGTACAATGCAACTGCAAAGGTTTGGTCAGAATCAATATCTTTTATATCTACGAAAAATTTAAGAAACATTTGTTAGCCTCTTGAAATGGCACTTTTGCTATTTAAAATTTTTTTACATGAAATTTAGGAGCATGACACGCATTATTTTTGTTGTTGATTGCACCCAGTGGTTTAAAGGAGCGAATTAGTCTAGTTTACTAGGCTCTTTTAAGTGTGTTGCCACGCCTCATGTGTGCACAAAACATGTTTTTTTCTGCATGTACAATTTATCGAGAACCTAAAAAATAAGCTACTATATCAAATCTAACATCAGATTTATAAAGAGAAGATTAAGCACCCTAAACAGTAAAAATTTCATTTCAATATCGTAACTAATAAAAAGAATGCTTTCCCCAATAAACCTACAGGGCAAAGTAGATACCGTAGGTCGAAATAGATCGGAAGAGGTTGACACAAATACAAAACTCATTATGCATCAGTCAGCTTTATGCGATGTGTCAAATTAAGTTAACTGAAAGCCGAAAAAAAGAAAACCTACCTGCTGTTGAACAGCCTTCTCTGCTGACTGGAACATGAGAGACCTTGCTTCGGGCAGAAGGAAGGGCTCCAGAAACCTCTAAAACAAATAATTATAAATTGTGGTACCATTTTGCATTCAATAGAGAGTGCAAGGATAGCAACGAGAAGCTTACGAAGCTACCGCACAAACCTGGACGTCCACAAAGAACCTCCGGAGAAGGACCAGCTGCAACCGACCGATGTGCAGCCGAACATTACCATCCGGAACGATCTTGGATTTGTCTTCGTCCACGTCAACTGCTCTCGTGTGTGGAGCCTTTCTCACATACTGGAAGCAAGGAAAAGAGGACTCCCGATATAACCAAAGAGAGAAAAACACGGTGTCCGGCACGTGTTCGAGTACTGACCTTAAAGTCGAAGAGTTTGTCATCTTCAATGGACAAGACCTAGTCAAAGTTGCGAGATGGTTAATTTGACAGGGCACTCAATACAACTCTGCGGTAGCTCGCATTAAAAAGCTATTATTGTACGACTGCTATTGGTTTGTAAGAACAATCACCTTGGAATAAAGGGTGGACTCCATCAGGTCATCGATGGACAGATGCGTCAGATCAACGCGCACTATTAACTTTTCGTTTGCTTTCTGTACGTAGTCACATTCGAGACCTGCAATAATTCAAAGAAATAAAAACAGATGCTTTTCAACCTTTACCGAAAATGTATCGTCCCAAGTATAGTCCCCGAAATTTCACGTTTTACTCTTAACTATCGTTCGCAAGTTTTGCTAGTTGTGAAGAAACATAGGGTGCTTTAACTTTAATAAAGCCTACATCTCTCATTAAGAAACAATCCTAACAGCTCATATGTGAGTTACTCCAAACTCCTTCTCAGTCTGACAGGATTATGTGTTGCCAAGGGGCCATACCGCAGATGGAGATGTCGGCAAGCTCGACATCCACGTCGCAGAGTCTGGCTTTGACCTCTCGAACCCGGAGGGACAGACTCAGTTTTGTGGAGCCGGGAGGCACTGGAGGATCGGAGTCCTCCACAAACAAGTAGCTGGCCCGCTTCACTGCCGACTCGGGAATGATGTTTCTGTACACTGGTTCCTTGATGTTCAGCCTGAAAGGGAAACGCGAGTCCAGTGGCACTGTGCTTTCAGTATCACAATTAAGGCCTTGAAACGAAAGGTTGGCAGCCGAGAAAGTGGACGTGCAGATTGTCCCCGAAGTAGAGAATGCAATAGACCGATCTCACCAAGCGTTGGGCGCATGCGTAAAGCCGCCATAACTTTAGTTCACGGGAGGCAGACGGCAGCGCACGCGAGGGCTCGTGCCTCCTCGTGCTCTACACGCGAAGAGCTCCAGCGAGGTTGTCACACGTGCAAAAAGACTAAAGTTCCCTCGATGCATTGCGGCAGCGGTGGCGTAGTCAAACTGGCTGGTGAGATCGGTCTATTGGTAATGCAGTGCCGGAACACTACCAAGAAATGAAACCAGCAGCTGCAAGTAGGACTATTGTGGCCAGTTAGACACTTTTATTCCCTGCGCATGGCTAAAGATCCTCGTGCCTTCTTCACCTCTCCTCCTTTTCTCAAACTCTCCTTCCACCCCCTTTCTCTTCACTTAATGCTTTCTCAAAACACTAAACCAGGGGTGGCCAGGCTGACGCGACCTAAGAGCCGCAAACAAAACCACGAAACTTCCAAGAGCCAAGGGGGGGGGGGGGGGGCAAACATTTTTTAGAGCAATAAACGAAACTTATTCTTCTTTCAGTCAGTCCGATTCAAGAGCAGTCTAACTGTACGTAAAGTAGCAGTAGCACAAGACTACCAAACCGCAACCTGTCCCATTTTTTTGGGGGGGGAGAGGCGGAAAAGTTGGGGGGGGGGGGGCTAGGGGAGGGAGCCGTGAGCCGCACTTTAAAAAGGCGGCTCGCTAGCCGCAGCTTGGCCACCCCTGCACTATACAGTCAAAAGCTTCGTAAAATATCTGTGATACGCTATATTGCACCCAGCAAAGCCTACAGCCATTAAAATCCCATAAATATAGAGAAGCATAAAAGTAAATAATAACTGTTTCCCAAGTTCTGCAGGCCAAGCCGTAAGTAGAATAAACTAATACTTACGATATATAAAAATATTTGCATAGTAGTATTACAGTAGTGTGGTGTATTTACATTTTTCATCTTACACAGTTTATAATAGTAGCATACTCCAATTTTTTTTTCTTGTTCTTGAACAAGTCTTGCAAATGGCTCTTTAATAAAAACAAAAAAAAAACCTCTAATCATCAACCTACCGTAGAATACCGCACATCTGCCCACACCACACTAAGCACCCATACCCAAATTCGTAAGATCTAAGAAAATATGCACAGAACATTGATATGTAAAAATGATGACCGGACAAGCGCCCATCCCCCATGTTTTAGCGATTATCCCTAAATTTTGAGTGGGCGCTTGCCCGGTATTTTACGGTACAATCTAGGCAAGAGTGACATTCAGTGCTTGACCTATTGTAATTTTTAGTAGTTTAAAAGGATGGAAATACATACTTTTGGTAAACATAGAGCAAGTATCTGCCCAGAGTAAGCAGAGCTTCCCGATGGAAAGTGATGGAAAGTGAGGACAAGTCCACAATCAGGGAATGCTCCACTTGGTGGAAGTCAGACTTGAACTCTGGACAGCTAGCTTTTACCTGGTCAACAAGGACAAAAGACACAGCTAGAAATCTAAGAACTAACTGCACACTATAACTACCATTCCAGCTCCAGCGAAGCTGAAGGCCACTACCACCAGACAGTACTATCTTACCTTACGGTAGAGCATAGAAACCATGTCTCCATTTGCTTTTGAGCTCAACAGCTCAAGGTATTCTCCAGTAGGTCCTGAAAGTATAGATGGGTCAAAAATCTGCTTGTTCGGTACAGTAATAAAAATTCTATTCATAGTGCACTATTTACTGACATCGTCAATACGGTACGCATTGGAATTCTCAATCCTTAAAAATACTAAAATCGTCCATATCATCAGCATTAGAATTGTCCACATAACAAACACTGAAACTCGGAACATTGGAAGCATCTACCGTGATATCCTGAGAGGTATGGTAGCCCACCTAAAATCGAAAGCAAATCAGGTGAAAAGAAGGAGTGGGCTAACTTTCGGTGTGCGATGAAGGAAGTTGAAAAAATGCTAGTTTTAGATTTAGTGACCCACAGGGAGGGCCAATGAACCAAAGACAACTGCCCTTCCCAGGCAGCAATGTTTGCTTATCACCCGCCGTGGCTAAGTAACACCATTTCTGCTGAGGTCACCACTGGCCAGGGCCCTGCAATTACTAGAAACAGGCTATATTTCGGTGTTTTTAAAACAGAATAGCAAATCAGGCCAAAAACAGGGGCAAGTTATCTTTCAGGGGTGGGGCATCCTTCGGGGTAATACACCTTTCCACATTAAAAAAAAAAAAAAAAGTTTTGCAAGTTGTTTTTTTGTTGCATAAAATGCTCTATGTGGAGATGATAAACATGACCCTCGATATATTTCAAACGGCTTTCTCCTGACTCTCGCAGATGACGACACCGAGTTTCTAAAGCCAATAAATAGGATTCCGTGTTTTCGAAGTGCATTTCTCGTGAAATTCGAAGGTTGTTTTTTGGAGTTCATTTTTCGCTGAAAATTCAAGGTTCGTTGGAGTTTATTTTTGTTAGATTCCCAATTCTCTGAAATTCTGAGTTTATTTTACTGCATTCCCAGTTTTTAAAAATTCAAAAACAAAATAAATAAAATCCGGGTACCATGACCCGTTGTCCTAAAGCATTGGTTCTCAAATGGGGGTCCGCAGACCCTTTGAGGTCTGCAAAGGCATTCTAGGGGTCCGTGAAGCCCTGCCTTGTCAGTCAAGCTTGGCAATAAAAGCTGCCTTTTATCCGAGTGAGAAGAAACGTTCCAATTCTCGGGTGAGCTTTCTCGTGTGTATGTCAATGCGAGAAGTCTACTTCGCACCAGCCCTTAGTTATATACACTTATTAGATCATTATGATAATTAACCTATACCTTTCCCTTCCCTTCACCACGAACGGGGTCCTCTGTCGTCTCCGCCGATCCACAAGGGGTCAGTGAAACATCAATGGTGGAGAACCACTGTCCTAAAGGAACCTTGACAAGCTAAAAGGCAAGCCCCTTTTGATAGCAGTTCGAGATTTCAAAGGAAACTGAAGTTGCATCTCCTCAGTACCACTGACCTTGTGCTCTTATAAAGATTATTTATAAATATCGTCTTTTTTGCTTTTTATTTCGTTGTTATGACCTCGAAATTTTGAGTTTCTCGGATGAAAACGAATGGACAGAAAATTTACCGGGGAGTATTTTTCGGATTTATTCAAGAACACAGAACCCTACCCATAAACAAGAAAGCATGCAAGTAACGTGGTGGGACAAACACTGAGAGAACTTCTGGTGCATTATGAGCACATACCACGCACCAAAAGGTGTCATCCCGGAAGTGGTGAACGGTACAACACCGTTCACCACTTCCAAACTTGCTCCGGGGATCGCATGTGAAGGGGTCGTCAGTGTTATGAACCGACAAGTAAACTGACTCTCGGTCGAATCGGGCTCACCAATGTGCAGCTTGTCGACCAGGTGTATCCCGCTGATGCTCGCCTGGACCGCTGGCCCATACTCCATGAGCGCCACGTCGGCGCACAGCTTGTCCAGCCGGAGCATGAGGTAGGGCTTGTCCAGCTGGTCGCTGGAGCGGGACAGGTGGAGGGCCACCTCGCCCAGGACAAAGCGCAGCAGCGAGTTGACCGTGTTGCTCGCCGAGACGTTGTCGTCGAACCCCGGCACGTCCAGCGCTCGCCCCCAGACCTCCTGCTCCTCGTCAGAGTAGTCGGACGCGGAGAGGTACTGCTCCGAGCCTGGGCGAAGTCCGTCGAACCACCCTGAATCCCCCCGCCTGAATACTGGGTCACACGTTGGCGAAGGGCCGGCTTGAACTTACCGAAACTAACAAAAAAAGGATGGAATGGGACAAGACAGCCAACTTTGCTTTAGAATGCTTCGTCCTCACACTTGTTCCATCCTTTTATTGTTTGTTTGAGTCCAAGCTGACCCTTGACCAATATGTACCAGCTAGCTCGACCACAGCCTCTAATGGTCCACACACTTCTGTTTGAGTGGGATCGGGCCTGTTTTCCTTGTGACCGCTTATGAGAAGAGAACACTGGCGCCATTTATCCGGTCACCTCAGAACCCTTCCGATTTGCACAAAAATTTCCACATTTCTTTTGCGCATCATTCTTTCACTGTGGACTCAAAAACGTTTTGACAATGTTATAAGCAAGCATTTTTCATAAATACTATGTGTATTTGATCTTGAAAATATTCCCAATGAAACTAAATATAAATTAGCATGAATGCAAGAACAATATACTTAACTTCTCCTAAGTTATCTCTGAATATCTCATGTTTTTGGCAGAAACATGAAAGGTTAAACACATCAGTGCTTGACAACTTTCAAGGGCTCACCTTTGGGGACAAACAAAAAAGCCTCACCTGCGATGGAAAGCTGCGTGGACGAGCGTGAGTGCTTTCCCCCTCCAGCGTCAGGAGGCCTGTTGATGTGGTGGCGCATCAGCTTCAACTCTTCCGTGGTGGGGTCCATTTTGGTGTCCTCGTCCTTCTAGAAATAAACAACCGGCATTGCATCGCGACAGTGTTGATGTCATGTGACAAAGATTACATGGGGAATTTCGAAGGAAGCGAAGTAGCTTGGACCGACAGACTTCGTAAAACTGAATATATTTTTGATATCTTAATGTTATGAAGTGCTACGAAGAGTTAAAAAGGACTAAGAGTGATAATATGCTTACCTCTTGAATTGCTAAGGAAAACATTTATGGTGAAGGCTAATTTGTAGAAACCACAGGGGTGATTATCTATGAATGCGATAGCATTTATCGTTTCACATACGGGCAGGTGTTAGGTTCCTCGCTAAATTTAGAGGGGAACCTGAATTGGTGCATACGTCACCTGACATAAATTTTACGTTAAATTTAGTGGGGAAACTGAATTGAAACATAAGTCACCTCACGTAAATTTTCCGCTAAATTTAGCAAGGAAACTGAATTGGTGCACAAATCACCAGACATAAATTTTCAGCTAAATTTAGCAGGGAAACTAAATTGGTGCATAGGTCACCTGACATAAAATTTTCAGCTAAATTTAACGGGGAAACTGATTGGTGCATAGGGCACCTGACGCAAATTTTATGCTAAATTTAACGGGGAAACTGATTGGTGCATAGGTCACCTGATGCAAATTTTATGCTAAATTTAGGGGGGAAACGGTATGTGTGCACAGGTCACCTGACGTAAATTTTCTGCTAAATTTAACTGGGAAACTGATTGGTGCATAGGTCACCTGACGCAAATTTTATGCTAAATTTAGGGGGGAAACGGTATGGGTGCATAGGTCACCTGACATAAATTTTCTGCTAAATTTAACGGGGAAACTGATTGGTGCATAGGTCACCTGATGCAAATTTTATGCTAAATTTAGGGGGAAACGGTATGGGTGCACAGGTCACCTGACAAATTTTCTGCTAAATTTAACGGGGAAACTGATTGGTGCATAGGTCACCTGACGCAAATTTTATGGTCAATTTAGGGGGGAAACGGTATGGGTGCACAGGTCACCTGACGTAAATTTTCTGCTAAATTTAACGGGAAACTGATTGGTGCATAGGTCACCTGACGCAAATTTTATGCTAAATTTAGGGGGGAAACGGTATGGGTGCACAGGACACCTGACGTAAATTTTCTGCTAAATTTAACGGGGAAACTGATTGGAGCATAGGTCACCTGATGCAAATTTTATGCTAAATTTAGGGGGAAACGGTATGGGTGCACAGGTCACCTGACGTAAATTTTCAGCTAAATTTAACGGGGAAACTGATTGGTGCATAGGTCACCTGACGCAAATTTTATGCTAAATTTAGGGGGGAAACGGTATGGGTGTACAGGTCACCTGACGTAAATTTTCTGCTAAATTTAACGGGGAAACTGATTGGTGCATAGGTCACCTGATGCAAATTTTATGCTAAATTTAGGGGGGAAACGGTATGGGTGCACAGGTCACCTGATGTAAATTTTCTGCTAAATTTAACGGGGAAACTGATTGGTGCATAGGTCACCTGACGCAAATTTTATGGTAAATTTAGGGGGAAACGGTATGGATGCACAGGTCACCTGACATAAATTTTCTGCTACATTTAATGGGGAAACTGATTGGTGCATAGGTCACCTGACGCAAATTTTATGCTAAATTTAGGGGGAAACGGTATGGGTGCACAGGTCACCTGACATAAATTTTCAGCTAAATTTAACGGGGAAACTGATTGGTGCATAGGTCACCTGACGCAAATTTTATGCTAAATTTAGGGGGGAAACGGTATGGGTGCACAGGTCACCTGACGTAAATTTTCTGCTAAATTTAACGGGGAAACTGATTGGTGCATAGGTCACCTGACGCAAATTTTATGCTAAATTTAGGGGGGAAACGGTATGGGTGCACAGGTCACCTGACGTAAATTTTCTGCTTAATTTAACGGGGAAACTGATTGGTGCATAGGTCACCCGACGCAAATTTTATGCTAAATTTAGGGGGGAAACGGTATGGGTGCACAGGTCACCTGACGTAAATTTTCTGCTAAATTTAACGGGGAAACTGATTGGTGCATAGGTCACCTGACGCAAATTTTATGCTAAATTTAGGGGGAAACGGTATGGGTGCACAGGTCACCTGACATAAATTTTCTCCTAAATTTAACGGGGAAACTGATTGGTGCATAGGTCACCTGACGCAAATTTTATGCTAAATTTAGGGGGGAAACGGTATGGGTGCACAGGTCACCTGACGTAAATTTTCTGCTAAATTTAATGGGGAATCTGATTGGTGCATAGGTCACCTGACGCAAATTTTATGGTAAATTTAGGGGGGAAACGGTATGGGTGCACAGGTCACCTGACGTAAATTTTCTGCTAAATTTAGCGGGGAGACTGAACTGGGGCATAGGTTAGCAACGTAAATTTATTGCTAAATTTAGCGGGAAAAGTATTCGAGGCCAGAACACACATAGGTGAAAATCTTGAGGAGTAGCTTAATAATGCTATAAAGTAGATAATTAGGTTTAAGAAAATAACAAAGCCCTACAAAGCAAATTAATTGTTACATCTGTAAAAGTTGGGCTTTGGTACAGTGCAATGCAGCTGTGCCTACCCCTAACTATAGGGTCCGATCGAGAAAAGTAAACCCTACTTTTCGGCCCGCTTAAAAAGCTACGCGTCGCAGAATGCTTGAACTCCGCCAGAATGTAACCCTAACGGTCCAAGCAAGATGCCAAAGTTTCAGCCCGATCCGATAACTTAATCAAAAGTTATAAGTCATTTTCTGAAAATTTCAAATGGGAAAATGGCCGCCGACGGAGTTTTCGAACACATGGGGCTCTATGCAGGGGCAGATTTAGAGGGGGGGTCCGGATGTCCTGACCCCCCTCTTGATTTCTGCATGTGTAAAATTTAGGGCGTGAAACGAGGGAGAGGGGGAGGGGGTTCCTAGACATATGGTACGCTGACCAGCACCTGACCCCCCCTTCAGGAAATTCCTGCATCCGCCCCTGGCTCTATGACACCAGAAACTGAAAACTGGCAAAAATGGGCTCCATTTTCCCATTGCAATTTTCAGAAAATCACTTATAACTTTTGGTTAAGTTATCGGATCGGGCTCAAACTTTGGCATCTTGCTTGGACCGCTAGGGTTACATTCTGGCAGAGTTTGAGCGCTCTGCGATGCATAGTTTTTTTACACGGGCCGAAAAGTAGGGTTTACTTTTCTCGATCGGACCCTGTAGTTCATGCACAAATGCTATAGTCGACGAAATTTCTGGTATAAGCCATGGGCACTGTACTAAGCATGTATCTGCTTACGATAATTAATAAAAAAGTGCATAGCAAATTGCTGGGCAATTGTGTGGCATGTGAAATGTTTCAGTCCGATTCCTCTGGGAATGGGCACTTCGTCGGTTACTTTAGTGACTGGCTTAATGCATGGCATGTACACTCTTTGGCAATTCCTGGAATGGAGATACCGGCCCTAACCCGGGTTTAAAACCCCTGGCACCCTCCCAGGACCTGAACCAGCCAATCAGTGTCGAGCTAGGGTTTGTGACGTCATCATCCAGTTCAGCCTATCGGCATCGAGTTAATTGGCAGTTTAACTTTTTGGCTGCACCGAATTCGAGCCCCCCCCCCACCCCCCCTGTTGAGACAAATCATGTTTCACGTAAATAAATTTCAAAGTTGAGACATAAAAAAATACGGCATCCCATTTTATATTAAACTGCTGTTTATAGAACCGCTCTCGGTTCACTATATAACAACAAGCCAATAAGCAAGCTTCAAACAATACCTTGAAACGGTGAGAAACGAGGCTTTCCAGGTCTTCGCCGCCACCAGCGCCGTCAACCATGTCATTTCGCAATGCTGGAATGATCCCGGGAAATGGGAAGTTGTGTGCAAACTCGTTTAACTGTCCAAGTCGCCTGTCAGACAGGTTTAACTTGAGGCTCGAGACTGAGACGTTCAGCTTGTGCCTAGAAAGGTGGAAACACGGAGCATGTCATTCACACACACATTACAGAACTTAACAGAGGTGTGACCTAGTATATATTCATGTAGTGCCAGTCATAGGTCTAGATTTACACGTGTAATGTGTGAAGCTGAGGGAAATGCAATGGTCATGTAAAACGAATCGGTGGGAACACCAACCTTGGCAGAAACCGATAGTCGGGCTTGACGCTGTTCGAGAAGAGGGCCTGGAGTTTGATCTTTGGAATGAGGTGCATCTCAGACTCCGGCAAAAGCCTGGCCATCCTCCACTCGTCTCCTGGATTTAAATTGTTATGAACAAAGAGTGATTATACAACTAGACAAGTAATTGATCTTAAACTGAGCACTTTCATGAGCAGAACAAGCAGAGGCTTGTAAGCCCAAGGTAGAACATGTAAGCATCAAAAATAAGAGTTGTGACAAAACGGTCGACACTATGACCATTGAATATGGAAACTACACATTGTCGGGCGTAACCGCTGTTTTGGTGAATGGCTGAAAAAAGCGAACTGCTGAACAATGTGAAAAAGAAAGGTTAAAGCAGTTGGAAATTGAATGCCGCCTGCGTCAATATTTAATACTTTTTACCCTGTCCGTCACACTAAAATGCTTATAGCAAGACAAAAAAATTTAGAGGTGTGTTTCTACCTGAATCTGTGAAGAGCACCTGAATGTCCGAGAGACAAATGTTGAACCGGTCGTAAAGTTTCTCTTCAATTTCCATTTTTGTTGCTTCCTGGGAATTGACATGGTTTGAGTAAAACCCCTCAAAATATGCTTCTTAATTAGTGAGAAAAAGGCTTACCTCAAGCAGTAGTGAATCACCTTGCAGCTCGCTTTTAAAGCTGAGTTTCCCCATGTCAATCACAAGGATATTCCCACTCCTGTATAAAAAAAAAAGAGAGGAGTGGCAGGTGTCAGTCACCAAAGCCTTAGCTGCGCACGTACAAGAATAAGATAGACACTTGCTTTTGAAATGATCCGTGCTCATGAACAACGAAGTATGGAGACTTGAACTCGATGTTGACAAAGAATGTCTGTAAGGATAATGTACCATATTATGAAAGTTTACTTAAAAATGCTGACAACCTTGCAGCATTCAGGCCCGGACGGCGGCGAGATCTAAAATTGTGCAGGCTCGATCGTGCCGACAAAGAAGAGGAAGCGGAACTACACTTTGCGTGTTATTTGTGAGAGATCTCTCGCTACTTTTGTTATTTATTTTTCTCTTCCAGTTTTATTATAATTTATTATTTCATTTATAATTCAATTTTTTACGTAATTTTTTGTTATTTCATTTTTTTTATGTATATTATATATCGAGCCCACAGGGGCTCGAACTTCATATATTACTGTATATATAAACCCTTAACGTCCAAAACACTCTCAGCATGTCACTCATTATGAAGCTCACTGCGACGGACCTTACAACGCTCGGTCGTGACAACTTTCTTGTAGGAAACGCCTCATAAAACATACTTTGCGTTAAAAAAAAGCTAATGGTGTCAGCCCCATTATTACAATTTCAAGAAAGAAAGAGTGGTTACAGCTCATAAGGGGTTCGGACAAAAGGATGCAAGAAGGAGGGGATGACCAAGAAACTGAAGAGACAAAACGACGCTTCGAGCAAATGCTCTTTCCTACGTTGGGTTTCGTAAATTAAGGAACAATGAAAGAACCCCTGGGAAACACCCACCAACACGGCACTCTTGCCTCGGTCAAATTTCACCGAGGCAGGACTGAGGGCCGGAACACGTGCAAGATGTCTTTACGGTATCGTGCTCTGCTCATCAAAGGCAGCCATACTGACCCTCCGGTGCGTGAGAGCATAAAGGAGGCCCGTTCGACTCCACGTGACCAGCGAGCTGAGCTGTTCCACGGCCATGTTCCGGAGGTCCTCGGCCGACACGGTCGGCACGCTGAAGAACGTCAGCAGTTCTGACACGGAGTGCTGCAAATAACGTGCAGCCCGTTCACGTTTCAAGAAAGAATGCAACGGGGAAGCCTCCGATGAGCGGCGGAACGTTACATCATTACCTCGTGGTAGACGACTTCTACCGGTTCAGCGTACAACATCAAACCATAGTCCGCCTCGATGTCCAGTGGATTTCGCTCGAAGTCGAGGGCGAAGACATACTGGGGTGACGTGTCTGAATAGAAGTGAAAGAAATGTGCTTCTTTGTAAGCTGCTGCAGGTGTGAGTGTATCCTTGATTGGATATGTGTGACTTGCACATGACTAGCTACCACCAGCTCGCCCACGCACTTAGTCGTTTTATTATTTGTCAAGCTTCTCAAGTAACCAAAGGCAAGTTTCTCGAATGCTGCTTCTGTTACAAGGTAAGCCGACAGATGGCGCCACCACCCAAGAAATGCGGCAACGTACGGACTTTTCCCCCTACTTACCAAGACATAGAAAAAATTGTGAGCAACAGCAGAGGCTTTATTCTCGACGTTTCGAGCAGAGCCTGCTCTCTTTCACGTGAAAAGATAATACAAGTTGCAAGATGTTTCGAAGTAGAGAGAGAGAGAGAGAGAGGGGGAAAGAAATAATGAAGACACACGCCGACTCCAAAAACAAACCCACACATAGCGGGCCATGTTTCCAACAACACATATGTCTCTTTATTATTGCTTTCACTCTCGCTCTCTCTTTCGATCTCTTCACTTGAAAAAGAGCGGGTACTCTTGGTGAAGAATCGTTACACTTTGGATACTCACCAAGACGGAAAGAAACCGGCAAGCATGGCGGGAGCGGTCCACGTTGTAACCATTTAGCAAACATTAAACCATTTGCGCTCGATGTCACGCCTTAAGACACCTTTAACGTGCCTTGTAAACCCAAGTGCTTTCCAAAACAGATTAGTTCTCGGGCACTCTAGCATGGTCCCTAACCATGCTAGAGTAAACCTTTAGTAACTCGAGAAAGCAGGTCACAATGCCTACCATTGGCCGACTTGTCCACCGAGAGAACCGTCACAAGGTCGTGGTCGTTAGAGGCCCCCTCAACAACGAAGCCCTCTGTGCGCGCCGATATCTTGAAGGCGCCCCCACCGGGCCGGGTCTCGAGGCTGGTCAGGAACTGGGTGAGCGTCACTACCAGCACCTCATGGTTCCGGCCCCTCCCCACCAAGGACAGGGTGCAGTTGGCCAGCGTGAAGTTAATCTGAAAAAGACCGCAGTGAAACATGAGACGAGAAAAGACAGCAGCTGGCATCGGGCTTACCGGGCATGCTTGAGAACAATTTACAGTGAATAAGCTCTACTGGCCTAGCAATGATGCTTAGTTCAACAGGTAGCAACATCTGATGTGAAATTTTTGCAATTCTGAAACGACCTGCGGTCGCAATCATTGGACCCGATCTTGAGCTCGAATGTCCGATGACCTGCTGGACTGTCACGTGGTGTTCGGGAAATCAATGGCATGGCCTCCCCAATGTTGCCCCTTTTGGCCACCAGTCGTGCTGACTAGCAGCCACTGAGGCACCTCCTGTAGACAGCTCTGGGGCTATGCATCGCAGAAATATAAAGCTTTACATGAGAGTGGCGCTGATGAAGCATCAATCTATAATGTATGCTTAAATAAAGACTTGGAAGCGATTTCTGAAGTTTTTTGCAACATCCGATCGTGTTGCTTTTTAGGATAATATAGCATCTTATCCTGTCTACACCGGCTTACAAGAGCTACCTGAATGACAATTAATACAAACTATCAACAGAATAAATTATTTTTGTACGAGAAAGTATGGTATACGTGAGTTCCACTGCATCAATAGCAGGCGCAGACATGGCCAAGAAAGCGGGAGCCAGATGCAATGTCTCAGTGCTTAAAAATATTGCGTAATACTCCTAACTGATTCAGATCCCTTCCCCCCGCCCCTGGAATCTGTCTCGCAAACTGAAACCAAACATGGTTTCCAATTCGTACCAAATTGAAAATAAAAGAAAAGAGCCAGAGTTGCAAACCTTGTGAGCAATGTAGTGCTCCGGGACTTCAGTCGAAGCATCCGCATACTCTATGGCTTCGTAGAGTTTCTCTTTCTCTTCGGGGGTCAGTCGCGACCAGAAGCTTCTCTCCCGCTCCCCGATGACTTCAATCTCTTCCTCAGGCTCCACCTCCGTGTCTCCGCCGCCAAACCAGGACGCCCACCAGCCTTTCTCCTTCTTCCGTGGCACGGCGCGGTTCGGCTCGCTTCGAAGCAGCTGAGACACAAGTTGAGAAATCAGGTGGTGTTACACTACTAATTAAGTCACAAAAAACTAACACAGAATGAATTGCAGTGTAACACTACTACAGATTATAGCGAATGACAAAGGCCAACAGTTCAAGCTGTCTTTAAAAAGAAAGATCCTTCTTAATGTACTGTTCAGATAAAGTATCGACCAGATGCAAACTGGAACGAGGAGCTGAAGCTTAGAGAAAAAAACAATCAGACATTTAACACATAAGCTGAGAGCATCACTTCCCCTTGTTTATGAAATTGAATTAGCCAAAATATTCTGCATTACGACAAAAGTGTGTTACCGCAAGTATCTGTTCTTTTTACTAGTTTTGTGTCGAACGGAAAGGTGAAACTCGGCAAGCATTTTTTTTTTCACACTTGATCTTCTTCCTTTACAACAAATTATCTGGCAATTGTTTAACTTTCCACTGCTTATTCAAGCTGAAGACGCTACCAGATTTGAAATGTTTCTGCTCCCATAATTTACTGGCTTTCAAGCCTTCCTAAGAACTTGCTTCTGTTACTACATCCTCACTATCATTGTGTACCTGAACGCAACAAAGATTTATAATCTTTGTCAATCAACATAGTTTTACTATATATATAAATAAAACTCAAAATGAGAAAATGAAAAAACAACAAGAAATGAGTTGAAGACACATTTCTAGTTGTTGACAAAAGTTAGCCCATGTGAAAACTAAAGCAATGTCTCAGAAGTTTAATTTTTTTATCTTAAGTTTTATTTGGTAGAGGTGGAGCCATGAATAGAAGAGGCTGCACAGCTTTTTTTAAAGTACATAATGACCTCACAAAGCTAAAAAGTAAAAAATAAAGAGAAGAATTTACCTCTAACTTGGCTTCTTCTCTGGCCATGAGCACATTGGCAATGTTCAGCTTGTCCTCCAGCATTTGTACGTCCACCCTCACTTCCGTGTCATTGGGCATCTGCAGGCGCTTCATGAACAGCTCCTTGTACTGACGATAGACTCGCCTGTGAGAAGAAGACGTTCTTCGTCGAGAATCGGTCGCCAAACATGCAGCAATGAATGACCAAGTCCAGAGAAAAACAACATACCGGTGCTCCTTTATTGCTTTCCAAGAGAATGGCCGCACATATTCTCCGATGACCGAGTTGTAGGCATACTTCCACCACTCCCTGGCGTGGCCCTTGCATGGAACGTTGGGGTGGTACTTCCTGTACCGCTGGTTGATCTCCATCAGCTCGAAAGACCATCTCAGCAGGATCATGCCCAGATACTGAAGGGGACAGAAAAGAGTCAAAAAACAAGCTTTGTCTTTGTAACGGTAATGGTGCGTGTTTATTTAGACAGAGGGAACTCAATCAGCCCTGGTGGGCAGCCAGTCTCTCCATTGTAGAAGAGAAAAGTAGCCAGTGCAGCACAACTGCTAGGCTGGGGTCTTTGACGCGCGATGGTTATACTCAACTGCAAGCTGGAAAGATGCTCATCCACATCGAAATGAGCAGAGGTCAGAATAGAACTCAGGGTCCCTGGGTTCTGCAGCACAATCTTTTACTCCACGTGCTTGAGGCTGTGATATGCCAACACTTAGCTTTCCTTTGCTTTCCTCAAAAAACAAAAGTTTCTGGATCTATGACAGCTTCGCGAGACTCTGGAGAGAATTTCAGCTCAGTATCTCAAGATGAGGGCATGGAAATGAGTACCTTAATAACCCCCTGTCATGCATTCCCTCTCTTTCACATTTGCGTGCAAGCAGCATGGTGTTCTCTTGCAGTAAGGGCGAAGGGGAGGACCCACAACACCCTCCTCACGGTGACTGGTCGGGATCGAGATAAGACTAAACTGAGACAAGTGAAAATTTCTGGCTAGAGGAAGCGACCCTGAGGTCAAGTTTTCATAATTTTCAGAATTTTGGTTACACCACTCAAATTATGCAAAGTTCCTGATTCTGGCAAAACCACAACATAGCGTGTTTTGACTGGAGTGATATTTAAGCAGTACTGCATAGTTAGGCAAAAGAAAAGCAAAAGATTGTTGCCAGACCTGCTGCCGAGACAACTGTGTTGCGACGTCTTGCAAGAGGACATCCACGAGCAGTTTTGGAATCTTTGACTCCAAGGATTTGTTGAAGATTATCTTCACTTTGGCTGAAATAGGCTTGAGGACTATAAAATCGAGAGAAAAACACCATTGCTTAAAAGTTGTCACCATTAGACATTCCACAGTGAATGATCGCCACTCACTGAACTCAAAGTCATCCTTTCCAACGCTGAACGTCTGCAGAGCTTTCCTCATCAAATTCTGAAGCAAAACAAAAAAACAATAATGTGACATGCTGTAAAAGTACATTTGCATTCAGATGTAAATGTATATTTGTTTCAGATTCTACACTGGATAGTTATGGAACTGAAAACTTTACAATGTAGGATACTTTCGGATGTTTTCCTATTTCACTTTGATGGACTGTTCTAGTTTTAACAAGCACACTTGCCTAAAGGCGTGGGTGAACTAGAACAAAGCAACTCCCATGCAGGTACTCTTATTGCTACACAGGAGCATACAGACAAAGGCAAAACAGTTCTTTTGAAAAGGTCTGTGTAAGTGCCCATATACTAAAGTATGTCAAAGTCACCGTTAGTACTGCTTTAATATAACAAAAAATCAAGAGTTGCAATTTGCGCTTGAAAATCTTTTTTCATGCCATCACATAAAAAAAAAAAAGTTTTAAAAATAACATGAGATGATATATTGTACATGTTGAAGATTTTGTATAAATTGTTAAATTGAATCTAAAATTATTTTAATGATATGACTACAAAGGCTTAGCACAGCAACAGCAAAGGAGAAGTTCACTCACTCTCCAGTTTGACGAGGGAAGCTGAAGACGAATAAGACCATCGGGAGAGCAGCACGAACTCCAGTAGATAGAAAATGATTCCAGCTTCACAAGCTATATCAGAAATACAGAAGGAGATTAGCTGTGGCTAGTAACTCTGCTGAGCCATGAGGGAATGCACCCCTACCATAATGGTTACTAGGTTAGAGCTCTACTTTCCTTCCCCTACACTACGGGGCAAGGAGAGAATATTAAATGCATACTTTATAAAGTTAAGAAGAATATAAAAATTTCGAGCAGATGCCTTCTGAGAAACTTGCCCTACACATGAAGTTACAAAAGCTGAATGACAATACCCTGCTTTTTCCAACTTGTCCGTCAATCAATCAATCAATCAATAAGTTTTTGGTTTTTTTTTTTCGAAGTGAGAAGTAACCTTTTTTTAAAGGTCCCGACCTACAAATTGCGAAACAATGTCGCCTGATCGGGCACTGATGACCAACACTGGCGACAAAGTCCAGCAGCACACAATACACAGATAACAACAAAACAAAATTATAAATACAAATACTGTACTTTTCGCGTTATAATCCGCACCCGGTTTATAATCCACAGGGGCCAATTTGAGGTCAAAAACAAAAGTTTTTACTTAGATAGTCCGCACGCCATGCATAGTTTGCACCTGGTGCTTAGTCGACACGAAGATCTTCTCATACATGGCACACCGTGACAAATGTCTGCTTTCTTAGCTCACAAAGAAGCTTGTACTATACATAAATTATCATCAACTTTCATTCACAAAATCCGTCACGTCTCGTCATAATGAATGATCTCGAAAAACAAAATTCCTGTATAGTCCGCAGCCTGTAGCCCGGAAGACACATTACAAAGGCAATACTGCGCTACCACAACAATGAAACAAAATACAGAAGAAAAAAAAGGCGCCAGATAGAAGGAAGCATTGCTTGCCTTGTAGATGGTCTTGGAGGCGGAATCAAGCTGAATGGGCTTCCATTTGCTGCTCGTGGTGATGGCAGTAAGAGACTGCAAGACAAATCCACAGGCAAACGGGAACTTCTGGCTGGTCACGGTGTCCTCGTAGCGGATGTGGACGTTCTGCACCGACACCTGTTACCAAGGGCGAATGGACAATGCAGAGTTGGGACTTTAGTAAAGAATGCATAGGGAGCTTGTCAAATCCCATGACTGAAGGTGAAAGGGGGCATGTCGTACCTGCACATTGTTAACAATGGTGCCGATGAGATTTTCAAAGAAACCTCTTGGCTTATCTGGAAACATAAACAAAGATTACAAACTCCAGTTAGAGCCTTCAGCGACATTAAGGTAAAACCCTCCTATTAACAGGGCGACGAAACAGTAAAATCACGAAATTCTACTGAACACTTTTTAACGACCAATCACATGGCACAACTTCGTATAAAAGTGGAAGGAAATAAAATAAAAATAGCTAGGTCCAGTAGAATGAAATGTATCTATAGCCGAGGTAGCGAAACAAAAGAAAGCTATTCCGACAGTATTTCTAATATGTCAATAAACAGATCACAAAAGGTATGCTTAGATATGCTATAAAAATCACTATTAATACTTTGACACCCATAAAATTTTTGCCAAAAGTGAGAGCCTGTTTAAGTACCATAGATGCTTGAAAAGGATGAGTGGCTCTCCGCTTACCTTACCTCCTTGTGCATACACAGAGTGATTTATCTTAATGAAAACAAATTACTTTTTATAAAGAGGTGGTTCATTGCTCCACTTTCGTTACATGCTTTTTGAACTCGGCAGACATTAAAGAGAAGGGTCACCGTCACAATCTCTAGATCACCGTCACAATCTCTAGGCTCGTTGATGAAACTCTGTTAACTTCCTAACTGGTAGTTTCATGGGTCATATTGAAATTGCAGTATAACAGGCAATTACTATTAGAAAGGCTAGAGCAATTTAAAGAACTTCGTTTAAACATATATACAAGAACCAGACTGCAGATATACTGAAAATGTAGCGGCGTGGCCAACAGCCGTAGGGGCAGCCGCATTTCTCTTGGCCCAAACGTTATTCAAACACCGAGTGGAAGAATGAAGTGTGAGAGGACGACGGGGAAAAGAGGACACGAAGAGTGTGGGGAGGACAACACCTCGGGGCGACTTGAGACCAGCAGCCAGGACAGATGCTGACATTGTATCCGCAGCTACTGTCGAATTGGCCATGTAGTCAATCGGTAAAATAAATTATGTATTGTAGCAGAAACGGACATAGGTTCCTGCGTATCACATCCGAGACTGGGAAGGGCTTGCGGATGCCATTCAAAGCAGATGCGGGGTTTCCTTGAGATAAAAAAAATTGCGGTGGCTTAGCTCGGCTATGCCAGGATATACGTAGCGTGAGCCTATGCGCACAAAACGAGAGGCGCTGTCAAGCGCCCCCGGTGCAGCGTCAGACTTGGCTACTGCGCAATGAAGGCGCACAGCTGGGCACGCAGCGGCGCCAGTGCGTCTGCCGCGGCTATGACGTCACTCCTCTGGAATGCGCAGACCGGCGAGGTGCGCGCAGTGACGGCAGAGCGCGTGGCGGCGGCGGCAGCTCCGGCATGCCAGCTCTGCGCCGTGTGACGTCACTGCTCCTCGCGCTTGCGCAGCACGGCTCTTTTAGCATCTTCGATCAACTCGCACCGGAATCGCCCTGAAACCAGCACAGTGCACAGCGCTCCTCGGTCGTGCAGCGCGATGTCGGTGCAACATCGAGGACAAACTGCGCCGCGCCGGTGCACCGCGGCGAGCTCCACCTTGCGTCACTTCACGTTTTGTTCGTTTTTTCTTGCGCAGGTCAGCGCACGGTGCCCGTCTGCTGTCAATTTCTTCTATTCTTTTACTCGCGGATTTGACGGTCCCACAGAAATAAACATTGTGGACGTGATTGCCGATGGGGTAAAGAAGCGGGTGACAATTCCACATGTATATGTTGGCCATCATTATTGGTTCAAGAAAACGAAACACCAGATAATAGCCGTACCTCGCTGTCATCGAAACGCCTCGCGCCGCTTTCCACGAAGTTCGTGCTTTCCGAGCGCTCCTTGCCACCGCAGCAATCGCCAGTAATCGCGGCGATGGCGAGAAGCTCGTCGTCTCGCCGTCAGAAGACCCAAGGAAATCATCTGGTGCAGCTGCGAGGCATGTTCGTTTTTGCAAGATCGCCATCTCGATAGTCTGCGTGTCTGCTACTCCCGCCATCTTCTCGATTCCCGCTCCTGGCCGCAATGCCTGATGGGACTGCCCCCCGGCGCACCGCCGATTTTCTTGGTGCGCGTTGGGGCAACGAAAAGCCGCACCGGGAGGGTGCGCTTCATTGATCGAGGACGTCCGGTGCGCACCAGTGCACTTGATCGAAGATGAAGGGGCGCACCTCAGTGCCCCAATGCGCACCGGTGCGGATGATCGAGGATGCTATTTAACAGCCATGTGAAACTGCTCAACCTCGGCCAGTGTAGCTCACGCTACAAAAAATTGAGAACCTCCGCGGCAAAGAACCAAGATTTTCTGTTCTTTCGAAAATTGAGAAGAGGACTTTGTTTCGGCCGCCCCAATTACAGTTTGAGAGCCACCTACCGAGGTCGTTGTCCGCAAACGGTTCCTCCATGAGCTCGAGCCTCCTGGACTTGCGGGCCCTGGCGAGCAGTCGCTCTTTCTCGGCATCGTAGGGCTCGTCCGTCACGGGACCAGCCAGGATGAGCACGTCCTCCACGTGGACCAGCACAGGCTCCGACGAGAGTGACAGCCAGGGGATGTCCACCGACACTTTGCCTGTGTCAAAGAAACAAAGTTTGCCCAACATGATGTGAACTTTTTATGAAATGTTTTAGGTAATGTAGTTCTCAAGCAACAACAGAACCGTGAAATTGTGCATATAATTAATGCGTTTGACAGCTTAATGCGGGGACACCTGAAACAAACAACTTTGTATCTTGAGGTATACTTTTGCTGCACTATTTAAAAAAGCGTTTTATTTTTTTAGGTTGCATGAAACTGCCTGTTCAACAACTATCTGCTGCTCAGAAATCTGTCAAATGATCTTCTTGGCCTCAATAACTCCTGTAGTTGTTAACTCTGCGTATTAACCAGCTCTGTGTTGAACGGTCTCTATATGCCGTTGTGAGTGTGTCAACACACAACAGAAAGTTCAATCGTGGAAATTTTGAGGGACGTTCCCCCTCGTGTGTCTATAAGGTCGATCAAAACCATCACTCTTTGGGGAAGTAGAGAAAAGTGTGGCACAAAGTCTTACCAATGCATCCTGCTTTGACCTCAATCGGAAGTTCCAGCTCATACTGAAAAGTAATCATGCAGAATGTGGCAGTATAAGTCTCTTGCAGATGTGGTTTATCTTAATATATGTTACTGCTTTTCTTTCTTTCTTTTCTCCAAAGAGCTTCTTAAGCGAAACTGTTTCGCTACAATGTATACCAGACGCGCGTTCAAAAGCTTACCAGGGCCTCCGCTTTTAACTTCAAGTCCGTCAGTTGTACAGTTCCTAAAGGAGACGGGTTAACAGATTTACGAAAAATGAACCACGCAAAAGAACTGAGGTCGCACAGATCGCGCGCATCATGACGGCGCGCTCACCATTAAAGATTCCAACGTTGAGGTTCTCGCTGTCGAGGTCCTTGATGTATTTTCCGAGGTACTTGTTCAACAGGTATGCTACCACACCCTCGAACATCTTGCACCTCTATTGTCTAAATCCTACGCATGACCTGAAAACAACACGCGTAGCTATATTGTTTAACTACGCACTCATGTGTGAAATAATGAAATCGTGCATCTAGCAGGTGACACGGCTGAAGCACGCACCCTCCTCACGAAGGTGGGCGGAAGTTGCTAGCTCATCGTAGGGTTGATTGTGCCTGACAAAGCGCTACACAACCCAGTAGGTTATGACATTTGGTCGAGACAAGATAAATAACCTTCCTTGTGTCAACAAACGCTCCTCGCGTCGTTACCATGACGCTAAAGACGCCACCGATTTCACTGCGAATTCTGGATTTTGTTGGCTTCGGATGGATAAACTTTCGATTGCCGAAATTAGCGACTTCTTTAATGTTTCGTTTCCGAACGTTCTGAGATTTCACAACGAAACGGCGGTTTTACATGATATATTTATATTTCTACCTAGTTGGCTCGGACGCATTTCGCACGCTTAAAATACAGTGCTTTGAAGATGTTCTGTAAAAATAAAGATAAAAAGGTGAGTAATATAAAACAATAATTTTTTTTAGATAATTTTTTTTTTTTTTTTTAACGTGACATTTTACATGAAGACATTGCACATGACCACCTGTTGAGCGCTCTTGCTGTCGCCGAAGAAACTGAACGACATTTGCAGTTTTGCAGATTTCATATGCCAACGCGAACAGCACATCTGTGTGCTCAACATCCGCGGTCTGTGAGCGCTAAATCACGTTTGAAAGGATTGTCTCCAGACACGGACTCTGCATGATTATTAAACGGCGCCGGAGGTAAAAATGCAACAAACATAATTCTTTATTGAATAATTAATAGTCCCGTGTATACCTCCCAAGCCTCTTCCCATCTAATCCTACACATTTCTTTTCCCAGCTTGTCGATTATCAGCGATCGGGATTGTGTTAGATGTTATATTGAACGGGATTCAAAATTAACCTGATTACAGCAAAGAAAACGCGAGTGATCGCTTGCAACAGCTGAGTAAGCTTTGATTGCACAAGCGGTCGCTTAAATATGTTATTAGTCAATTACGCGCCAGGTTTATGCGAGCATATAACGGTGATCTTACGCGTACAACTGATCAGGGTCGTCATATAATCGTCGAACGTTAATTTTTTGTCGTAATATAACATCCCCCAAAACACCACGAGCGAATCAACGAACCTACCATACGCACGGTTCGGCGCAGGGAGTTTTGCCGCAGTACACCAATTTGAGCAGACGAAACCGTACCGCTCCGTCTGCTTCGTCGCGGGCGCTTCGCCGAGCTGAGATGATTCTGTTATGCCGGTCGTTTGTTCCAGCTTTCCTAGGGCTTAACTCCCATCATGGAGGGCACTGGAATCGGTGCAACCGGAGACTTAAAACAGTTATCGATTATACGTTGCCGAATTGCGGGCCCCCGCGGCTTGTCAGTAAATGTCACAAGCCACCGGGGCGCCTAGCGCCCTCTGTCGACAGAAAACGACTAAAATAATCTGGCTGTCCTTTCAGAAACTAGCTCGACGACCCCAAATAATTAAGCATTTGGTTATATGCAGGACGTAAGTAACTTTAGTTTGTTACATATTACCTTTTTACATAATAAAATTATGTCCCATATTCCCGCATGCACTCAAATCTGGTGAGTGTTGATAAATAAAAGACACAAGACATAATTAGTGAAGTAAAATATTCATTTATTGAAAGCTTCGTTAATCTGCCTGCAGATTGCAGTGACGATATAGCTTCGTGCAGCAACCCCTACCAAGCTAAGATAAATGTATCACAGTGATAACAAGGAAATCGAATTCAATGTTTAAAAATGGAAACAAAATTGTTGGTCCCTTGCTTTATTGCTGTATTCAGTAATGAGAAACTATAATGATCTGCAACTCTGACATAATTTACCAACAGATTTGGAAATGTAGTCTCAGTTTTCAACGATGACATTAACAACTACAAGTGAAGATATGAGGTGTCCCAAGTCACCAGGCTCGATCTAAAATGGACCGTAAAAATCAACGCCTGCACGAAGCAATCTTAACTTTTCGTTAAAGGTGTTTCACAGGCTGTTTGTTTCTTGTAAAATGAGAAAGCTTAGCTCCCTTTCTGTAAAAAAAAATAGGGCCAAAAACTTGCATTTATTTTTTAACTAAAAAATTGTGGCAGTTGTGGTGGCAGGCTGCCATCAAAATAGCGTGGATGATATTTCGTACTTGATTGAAACTGTTTAACGAAACATGTTTTTGAAACCCGGCATGAACGGTAGCCCGATCTTTGAGGACCCGGTGAAAGTTTGACGAAATCGCAGCACCGGGCAAAAGCAGCACAGCACACATCGAAAGTCGCATCAAAAGAAGCATTGAAAGCAGATGCCGGTGCGGAGTCTGCTTTCGATGCGAGCTGTGCTGCTTTCCCCCGGTGCTGCACTTTCGTAGAACTTCCGCCGGGTCCTCAAAGATGAGGCTACCATTCACGCCGGGTTTCAAGGATCTGCTTCGTCGAACGATTTCAATCAAGCACGAAATATCACCCACGGTACAGTGTACTAGATCCACGGCTATTTTGTGGCAGCCTGCCACCATTGTGCTGTCCACCATATTACTATGATGGCTAGAGATAATATAACTCTACCAAAAAGATGGCCAACCGTGGCCGCATTCCCATCCATAGGCAGAGCTGGTCAAACGTGATCCAGCAAATAGACATAGAGATCAGTGGCCCTGCCACTCGACTTGGTCCACCGCCCGCCGTTGACCCTGGCAAGTTTCTTGGCCCTAGTTTTTAAAGAAAGGGAGCTATGCTTTCTAATTTTACAAGAAAAAACCGACCTGTGAAATGCACCTTTGACGAAGAGTTTAGGTTGCTACGTGCAGGCGTCGTTTTTACGGTTCATTTTAGATTGAGCCTGGTGACTTGGGACACCCTATATTATAAATTAAAAATTTTATTACAAAGCTACTATGGCACGCTCCCTCTATCCCAAAATAACTTGTAGGTATCCACACATCAACTTTTAAGCCAACTTCTCTAGAGTTATTGCTACCTGAATTGTCTGTTCAACGAACAAAATCAGTTTCAAATTAAAAGTAAAAAAAACAATTGTTAGAATGTTTCACAATTAGAGCAGTCACCTTAAAAAGTTATAAAACAATAAAAGCTATTGTCTAAATTCACCAACAAAAAATGTGAAAAATAGCAAATTTGTTAGCTACCTTACATACGCTATTGTATTAAAAGTACTAATATTAGAACTATCGTCGCCTGTATACATCCTCACAACTACATTCTCTTGCTTCCTCAAAAGGTCCTTGAAATGCCACCCCTATCACAAGTCTCAGCAACATACGACAGCAATAGGACAACCCAACCCTGTCAGAAAATATAAAAAAGTTGCACATAAAAGCTAAAGGGGTAGAAAAAATAACCAAAGGCTCGTAAGGGTCCCCCTTCAATTTGAACAACAATCCAACTTCTAGCTACAAAAATAAGAAACTTTCAGAAACCTTGCATATATAAAGGAAGTGACATGCCTGCACTCGAAGTCTGAAATATTTCTCTCTGTGGAAAAGTTATTTCCAAGCATTCACCCTTTTGAAGTTGCACGAAATCAATTCTTACACAAATTTCGATATGCAAAATGCTCCCTAGGTAGACCCGAATTCGGCCATCCACTTCTCGTATTTCTCCAAGTCTTCCTTGCTGACGGATTTGTTGATCTTCCGAATTGCCTCCTGAAAGTCGTCGGCGCTCACGGGAAGTTCCAGCTCTTCCTTGGACAAGTTCCGGATCTCTTCCGGTGTGAGGCCGTTGATCCGCCTTCGCATGGCCATCATGGAGGCGTCTCTGAAAGAAAGCATCGCCTCAATTAGCCTAAGAGTCTACCGCCGAATACGTTTACAACAAGGACCGTCGCGCAAAAGGTGCAAATTTATCGTAGGGTATCCGCATTGCCCCTTTCCAGCTTCGCTGATTCAGTTAATCAAAGCCCCTCTGTTACTACGGCCCAAAGGTAACTTTGCCAGCTTGTGCTGAAGGCACCTTCATTCCTTTAATTTTGCATTACTGTGAAACAATCAGAATTTAAAGGGGCACTGACACCCCGAAGATCATATTTTTTAGGGGCGAAGCACCTTAGGGTCTAGCCTTGTCCATCCGGCGTCCGTGATCACATTGATTGCCATCCCATCCGTCTTCTTAAAAAAATAAAAAATGTTTGCGCAGTCGACAGGATTCAAACCTGTGCAGGGAGACCCCAATGGAATTCTAGTCCATCGCCTTAACCACTCGGCGATGACTGCGGGACAAGTAGGGGGCTCTAAGATCTGGTAGTAACTCAAGAGCTGGGGATGTCATGGATGAAACGTTGCATGTAGCCGCTCAACGTCCATACAGGAGAGGGCGCTGCGGTCAAATGCGTATATAATCGCGTTAAACTTTGCATGCATTGGCTCAACGTTTATAGACGAGAGGGCGCTGCAGTCAAATGCTCAAATGCGTATATAACCACATTCCATACCACACATTCTCTTTCTGACATGGACCGTTGACTTAAGCGGTGGAGATGCGTTCCCACAGCTTCTAGTGGATCCAAGCTGATCCACTAGAAGAACCACTGGCTCTGCATTTCACCGACCATAAAGCAGTAATAATGAAGTCGAAACGCAACCCGGAACTCAGCACTACTTATGAGCAATAAAAAAAATCAGCACCATCAGCACTAGCTATGAACAAAATCAGCATCATCAGCACCACCAGAGTTTCGCCCCAATCAACATCATTCACCACGTGGAGATGCGGTCATTTTTTTGTAGTTTAAAGCGATGCAAGTTGCAGTCATAGACAAGCAAAAGATACAACGCAAAAAAAAAAATTTCGCCACGCGGTTTCGCCTTTTATTTGTTGTTTTTCTCTCCTGCTCACCTCCTCGCTTCTTTTGATTTGTGACGTAAAATATTATTAAATTTAGAAGCTTTGCAAGCGAAATTTCTGTAACATTTAATAACGGCATTCGTAAAACAAGTTTTTTAATGCAATAGCGAACGCACTACGGCCCTTCTTTTCGAAATACCGAAAATCGAAGTCCGGTGTGATGTCGCCTCCTGGCTTTTTATCCTCCCTCGGAAAACATGGCGGCGCTCGATGCATGTAGCAGAGGATCATCGGGGAATCGGACAAAGTTGTCTTTTTTAGGTGCCCGACAACCTCGCAGACTTTGAAAAGGAAATAGCCAAACGGTCAAAACAACTGGGTTTGGTGTCTGAATATCGTAATTTCGGTTGTGACTCCGACGGGGCGGCCTTTCATGCAGAACCGGCGCGACGTGGCCCCTCACGTCGCTCACAAGAGTCCACTGCGGGTTCTCTTCGACCTCGCACCGTCACAAAGAATCTGAGATCACTGAAAGGGCCCTAAAAGAACTTCAAATTCGAAAGTCAAGTGTCCGTCTGCTCACAGTGATAAGCGGCACGCCAGCGGTGGATCGTGGGTTGCGGGCAAACACAACACTTCAGGTTGGTTCGGAGGCGTGAGAGAAACTCGGCTCGCAGGGCGGCTCAGTATTTGACTTCACTGCATTGGCGCAGATCACGCGGGAACTTTAAATTCAACATTTGGAAATTGTTTTTCTTACTTCACAAATACTGAATTTCCAAGTTTCGAATTTTGAGGGTAATGTCCAGGCATTGTTTTCGATCGTTTCGGATAATAAAAAAAATTATGATTTTGACGTGTCAGTGCAAACTCTTCCTGAAATACAAATTGAGAATGTCAAACTAGGTTGACATGAGCTGCAGATGCAGCCAATGTCTCCATTCTTTTTATTCTTTAAGAAAAAAAAAGAAAAAACTGATACAAACTGGTTGAGTCAACCAATTTGTTTATTATAACAACCACTATCTGAGGTAGACAGGTCACTGGCAAAGTCTTCAATCTTGTCAGGGCATGGCCAGGTTGACCACCCATACAACATGAACATTGAAAACCACTGCAGCAAATTTGTGACAGGGAGAGGAATTGTGGCAATGGCAGGCTTTTCCTGTACACACCTGCAAACGTTGGTGATGTCGGCCCCAGAGTAGCCGTCCAGTTTCGCGGCAATCGCGATCACATCCAGTTCGGGGGAGACGTCCACCTCTTTCAGATTGATCTTGAGCAGGGCCTCTCGACCAGCACCTCAAATGAAATTGAGACAAATAAATTCTATAGAAATGCAATGAAAAAAAGCTTTTCCTTTTTTTTTAGAGAGAGAAAGAAAAAACTTTCATGTTTAAAAAGCATAGGACAGGAATATGGTCTTTGTTCACATGCTTGAGTGTTTGCAAGGAACTTGATGACAGTCGGAATTCTCCATCCTGATGTGCGAATTCTAGTATATAATTCAAATTGAATAAGGACGAGTCATTCTTCGGCTCCCTAGTGTAAAGGCAAACCACTTATCTCAGCTCTCCTGAAACAGTTAAAACAATGAATGACACAGCACTCTTAGACAGGAGCCACCACCATCCCTACATTTGTACTCTTAATTCGCTATCTCCCGACATACAAATCTGGTGTAATATGCAATGCCAATTCGAGTAGCTTGAAAAAGCAATCTTTCAGATGCCCACAAAAGCAGAATTATCACCCAGGAAGAGGAAAAATGGAGAAGCTACAATGGAGACCGACAGGGATCACTTTTATGAATCGGGCAAGAGGGATTCAATGCTGTAGCCTGTCCACACTTTCGTGAAGTGACGCACACTTTTAGATTAAATCTTGGGAAAGAGAAATAAGAAGCTACATGGTATTCAAACTGACAATAAGGTTGCTACTGTAATAAAGTTACAAAGAAAGGTGGTGGGACCGCAGCAACCGTAGGCTGCAATGCCTTACTGTTGGGCAAAGGAATGTAGATTCTCTTCTCCAGTCTCCTCCGCAGCGCTTCGTCGATGTCCCAGGGAAAGTTGGTGGCCGCCAACACCATCACCACCTTGGTGGGGTCGTCGATGTTGGTGATCCCTGCAAAGTCACACAGGGTGCGTGACTCTTGACCTTTTGCCAATCCCTTCTTCCCTAGATTCATAAAGAGCATGAGGCGCTTCTCCAGGCCAGACTTTGATAATTTATTACACGAAACAAAGCTCAGTAATGATTTCTTGCTCAAAGTGACGAGATTTTAATTCACCATTTAAAAAAATAAAATTTAAAGTGCATAGATGGGACTAGTATTTCTCTGAAAAAATTTCAGCTTAAAAATACAAAATAATTGCAGCAATATCTAGGACGCAATACACAATTTAGGTGGAGGTCACGATCCACTCCGGGCCCCACCCACAGACCGGTTGTTCCGCCGATTACTACTGTACTGACTTGGCTGCTCTGCCGAACAGGTTCGCAAGCCTAATGTCTCCCTGTAGCGATGTCCGGTTTGCCCCCTGACACCACCTGCTAGTTGTGCGAGCAGACAAATGGCATTGCATGGAATTATCTACTATTGAAACACAATCTATTATTGTCTGCAACGCCCGCAAGATGGGCCCGTAAATGCGGCATATTAGCGTCCACCACTGTCTGTGCCCATCTACTACTCTGCCCCCATTTAACGCCATCTGGAAGGCCTGCAAGACGCGACTATGAAAGCGGCGCATTGTCAGCATCCGCCATCGCCTGCATCTGTCTGCTATTCCGCCACTGCCTACCACCACACAGAATGCCCGCAAGACATGACCACGAGAGTGGCATTCTAGCGCTCTATTATGAACAAGCCACGGTCCGATACAAGCGTCTGTTGATGTGCACTAAAAAGTGATCAATAGGACTAAAATTAAAAAGAATGGGCTGAAATTCCTGCTGCCGCCAAACCGATTCACAAAGAAATGTGTTAGCATTTCGCGCAGCGTGTATATATAACAAAGCACGGTGAATGCAGCCTCTCAGCACTTTCCCGCAGGGCGAGCATTCCCAAAACCCCTCTTCTCCCTGGTGCAAGCGGATAAGGTCATTTAGCAAGTGCATAAAGGACGTGCACGTGATGCATGGAAAACGACAGAGCCATTTCATTGTGCATACAGAGGCGACAATACCAGGCGCTTACGGCCCGGTGGCATGGTAAGTATGCGCCAAGAATGGCACAGCGGGCCGAAGAACGGAATCGCAGCCCGTGTGTGTCCACGGGTCTCCAAGGCCGGCGGAAGGAGCTTTTGAGGGTGTCCAAAGCGCACACCCGCACCATGGTTACTTATTTCAAGAGGTTAGGCGATAGGACGCATAGCAACGGTTGCCGCACAGAATTGGCTGGTTATAGAGAGCGGACAGCGTGATGTAACACCTAGCAACCGAGGTGCGATGGGGGACAGCGGGGCTAGGGCGTACTTGGATCACTGGCAGGGCACCCCGAAGCAGCGTGTACGGGTGGGCCAAGGTGGGTTATAATATTTTGTAATGAGCCATCCGCAAAATGTCACCATGAAGTGTCGTGAATGGGGGGGTAGATTTACATACACCCTAGTGATGCCCCCGCCGTCCCCCACTGCGCAGCGCCAAAATTGGCGAAGGGGGACGTCGCCGGCAAACTTCGGTTGTGCTAGGTGCTATGTCAGGGCGTCGCTCCCTATAACCAGCCAATCCAGTGCAGCCTCCGTTGCTATGCGTCCTGTCGCCTAACCTCTCAAAATATGCACGCCGCCACCATCTGTCGATGCCTGCAGAAGGTGTTTCCTAGCCAGCTTCCACAGCCAGTGGGGCTGTGCTGACGTTGCAACCTTTGAATACTCCAAACCGTCCAAGGTCAATGCATGTACCAGGGCACTAATGCTCATGCATTAAAAACTCAACAGAATAGCTATGGGGTTCTTTCAGCTTTCCTGTTCTTATTGTTTCCCCGCATAGCGTCAGCGAGCAAGGTGGGTGAGCGAAATGACGCACAATTAAAATGAAACCTAAAAATATTTGCTCTGGCAAGTCAAGTGCCCTGCTCAAAACTCGAGAGCTACAGGCCCTGGGAGTGAACTAACAGGGACACACCCGTACAAAACTGATGCGAGGAGAACAGCCAATTGCTTCCGGCCAAATGGCTCGCAAATTCTTACCTGTCCAGGTAACCTCTCAGTAGTAGAACTATGGTCGCTATCACGACGGTTCCACTATTCACCGGAGCCGCTTTTAAAAGAACTATTGTCTTTATTCAGCGTCGACACATGCAGACAAGCAAATCAAACCAGACTGAACAAAATAGTTGACGTGGGATGCTGGGCTTACGCGAACCACGCAAAGAAAACAACCAACCACACAACACTTTCGAAGGCGTGTAATTGGGACATTGTTCTCTGAAAACTATGTCGGTTGAGGAGATCCTCTAAATGTCTCGGAAAACGCAAAATAACTCTCACTCTTAAGAATAGACGACCTCAAGGAGCTACGTAGTGTTTGTAATCGCTCACCGCAAATGCCGACAGCCATGTTTGTTATCGTTTTAAACCAAGACAAAAAAAGCAACCTCACTATATTTTTAAAACAATAATGACTATCTAAATCATTTATTTCTCAAACATAAAAATACGTCGAACAAAAGACTATTATGTCTATATTTCAGTCTATATTTCACATGTCGATCATCACTCCAGCCGATGGGAGGTGTAAGCACTGGGCGCACTGGGCGGATCCAGCTTCTCCACCTAAATTGCATATAGCAATGCAAATATAATGCAATATATATATTAAGTTGTTGTTGTTCTTTTGTTAAATACTTGATTCATCTAAACCCCTTAAAATAAAAATAAAATATTTTTTTTATTTTATTGTTTTTTTAAGTCACACTTTAGCCTAAAAGAAAACGTTGCCCCGTTTTGGTGTAGCGTGTGCATTATACTAATAGCCATGTTAACAAAATTTCAACATGACAAAATTTGCGCCTAAAACCTTTTTTGAAAGGTCTCATTTTTGACACCCCCAAACACATTTCATCACTTGCAAAGCTTGTGATGCCAACGCATAGTTTAGCTGTGTGGGCTTAGCTCTTTTGAGGTTACCATTGGTGCCCGGGAATCGGGCAGTGAGGAGAAAACAAAAGAACAGCAGTGAGAAAGAGCACAGAGGAAAAGGCACGCATATTTTCAGAGATGATTTTCATACTTTATAAAATTAAGAGGAAACTTCCTAAAGGAATTTTCTACGTCCTTCGGAAGCGTACCAAAGTTTGGCTAGAATGACCTTTCATAATATGTTGCGCAGCAAAAGACAAAACTGACCTTGCTGCGAACCCACTCCAACAGATTTGCTGTGGCTTCAACCAGATGTGCGGAGCATCTGCTCAGAGACAGAGCGGTGGACTTACCGTCCATTTGAATGAGCAGCTCGGACTTGACGCGGCGGCTGGCCTCGTGTTCCGAGTCAGAGCCCCTTCGAGAGCAGAGGGAGTCAATCTCGTCTATGAATATGGTGCTTGGCGCATGAAACCGGGCCTGGACCAAAGATAGCGGACAATCAAAGATGAGACTAAGCAACCTTTCTTCTGGCCACTCGAACTGGAGGAGCTAAAGTTCCCAGACTGAAGGTGTCAAAGCCGCAGCGATGACGCTCACTACGTCCCACTGCTGTAACATTTTGTGCTAATGCGTGTGCTGCCATGCAACCTGCAGCCTCCCCTCATACTTGGCGACAGTGACCAGACAAGAGGTATGCATGTAGTAAAGAAACCTTACTCCTGGATACCACAGTGCTTGCACTTCCACAGGTGACAAGCAACACGACACAACAATGAAATATTGTCTTTTTCCATAAGCAAGTTCGAGCAAAAGAAAACACCAGATTGCAATAAAAACCGAGGCCTCCGCCATCGCATGGGATGTAATCCACCTTCTTCCAAATAGGTGCTGCCACATGAACACGCGACTGGGTTCGAGATTGAGTGGCTATACTCAGTTTCCCCTTACGACCAACCGCGGCGGACGCTACGAGCCATACGAGCCGGTCCATGGCCAGGTGAGTGTTACCCGACCTTGAAGAAGGGGTGCAGTGGTGCGCGGAGGGCATACAGTAAACTTTCGTTAATTCGACTTCGACGGGACCTTGAAATTTGGTCGAATTATCCGAAGGATCGAAGTAAAAAAGGACAGAAAGACGGTTAAAATTAAACTTCCTTTTATTGTTCAAAGTACTCACGGATGGTCTGCTGCCATCTGCGCTTAAAACGCATGATCATAAGCATGCTCCGGAGAGCAGCGTAATTAAACACCCCGTTCCCAAAAAATCGCGCACTACAAAAAACAAAACAAAAAAAGAAGAGAGAGAAAAAAGTAAGTTTTACAAGCTGATTTTGGCGCCGGGCAGCCAGACCGTCGGCAACAAAGAAAAATAGTAACGACAAAAAAAAAAGGGAAAAGAGAGCCTGCGCTTTCCGACGCGCAAGATGGACTGCACACAATGCTACAGAAAAGCACTTCAAGAGCGCGCATATCGCTGAGAAAGCTTTACGAGCCGACTTTGGTGCGAAGCAACCAAACCGTGGCAACCAAAAAAAAGCAAAAAGGGAAAGTGAATTTGCATTTTTTGGTGCGCAAGATGAACTGCACATGATGCTACAGAAAAGCACTTTGAGAGCGCACGCTGCCTCTGCGCTCCACCACGTGCTATGTTCTCCATGCTACTCCATGCCAGATTAGTTGCACTGGCTCGTGTCATTCGCTATGGTCCATCTCAACGGCGTAGAGGAGCAGGCGCACATTTGCACACGTTCGGTTAAGCAGCAAAGGGCCCGTGTTTCGCCGCACGTTGGTGGTTTTTCTGCCATGGTGCCATGCAGTGTGAGCCCGCGCGCCTTCGCTCGGGACGAATTATTAGATGCGGAGTCTTCCCGAGCTCGAACTATCAAACTTTTTTTCGCATAGAAATGTATGGGTGTTAGCCGGGACTTTTGAACACAATCGAATTAAACAAAAAGTTGAATTAACCGAGGTCAAACTAACGCAAGTTTGCTGTATTATGTGCTACATTCACGGAGCTGGATCGGCCAGGATGGCTCGTAGCATCCACCGCACTCGGAGGTAAGGTGAAACGGAGAAAAATGCATGCGCAATGCCTCTCACGCCCAACCGACACCCAAAACTGCAGCTACATCTTGTTGGCCATTGAGACGCCGTGACCTAGGTATGGCTCCCACAAAGCATCGCTTATGTCCTCATTGTAGATCACCTTCAGCCCCAAAGTTGATACAGTGAAACCATGATTATACAACAATTGCAGGACCGTGCGAAATCGTTGTATAATCCACGAGTCGCATCTTCAGATAATACGATAATTACGGATACAGTGATCAGCCTCGCGTGAAAAAGACAAACGGCGGTTTTAAACGATGTCTAAGCTAATAATCTGCTGTACTTTGACGAAGTACAGCTGATTATTATTATCCATGTCACTTTTTACGCTCCCTAAAAGCGAGAACGGCGGGAACCAGCAGAAGCGTGCTCACTCCTGGGAGAAGCAACAAGTTGGAGAAAGTGGCGCGCAGAGGAGAGCAAAGGTAGATGAGAGAACGACAGAATAAGCTGAGCAAGGATGCAACGCGAGAACGCCGAGGCATTTCAGAACCCGGGGAGGAGAAGAGAAGGCGCTGTCTCTTGCTCCCTCCCGGCGCTGTGGCTGTCTTGGGTTGCCAGCGGAGTTTTTAGACCCTCTGATGAAATGGTGCGCAGGAGCGCAGAACTCTCTGCATTGCCGCGCCACCGCCCACCTCCTAATGCAGCTGTCGAATTTGTTGCACGTTTCCCGTCGGAACATCAAGGTTCCACTCTACAAAGAAGCCATCATCCCTCTCTGCTAAACCAGAAGGAAAAGAGAGGGGGTACCGAATCCATTTACTCCCGAACCACTATTTTTTAGACTGTCAACCCCAGGCATCTAATATAACAACAAATATGAAACAACATGACCTTTGCATTCTTAGTGTTAAAACAGCTCTCTATGTTTACTAGAAAAATACTAAAATAAAAAAGGTGTTATTTTCTCCTCGATGGCCTACACTGAGATGTTGTAGAGGCAAAGGTTAAGAACAGTCACGAGGCTTGAAGCATAAAGAACGGGAAGGAGAGGCTCACCATCTCGAAGAGGAGGCGCACCAGCTTCTCGCTCTCCCCTCGGTACTTTGACGTAAGGGTGGAGGACGACACGTTGAAGAAAGTAGTACCGCACTCCGTGGCCACTGCTTTGGCAAGCATGGTCTTTCCCGTGCCGGGGGGCCCCACCATCAGCACCCCCTGCGGAGAGGTCACAGCGTTTGCGGCGCAAGATGAGAACAACGATAATATTCCCTCGCGACAGGCCCCGCAAAATATTTATACAGGAAATAAAAAAAGGAATTTCAACATTGAACGGCGCTATTTATTTTCGCACAACAAATCGCACCAATTGTTGACATCTGTGGGGGGAAAGAAAATAGCACCACTGTTCTTCAGACGAAACTTTGGAGTCTGCATGATTCAACGTCGAAGCTAGCGAGTGATTGTCGAGTACCCAAAAATCAGCAGTTTTCAGGGCAAGAAAGTCAGAAGTGCAAAGGAGCTATCGAAAGTACAGTCTCAACTACACTAGAAGACATACTAGGTCCCTCTTACAAAAAGTCTGGCTCTGTACAACTACTGTAAAATAGAGAGCATATGCCCAGGTCACATAAAGTGCCCACCTGCGTCGTCACAGAATTGAGAAAATGTTATTTAATGACCAAACAAGTGCAGAGGCTATTGCAATGCCTTCCTAGTAACTGCCATCGCACCCAAATGGCTCGCAGCAAGCAACGTCTTACCACAAACTCAAGCGCTTTTTGTGATGCAGCAAATACGTGCCCAACCAAGGCTATCAGACCAGCACCCGTTTGGGCAGGTCCTGCAAAAGCCAACTGCGAGAAAATAGAGCTGGTCACATTTACTAGCCAAATCTATACGTGCTTCGTATCTTGGCCGATTCCGGAACGTTGGGCGAACAAAAACGGCACGAGCAATTGCCGTTCTACGGCAGGCTACCTTCCAGGGCCTGCGGATGCCCTTGAAGAAGTCCGGCATCCAGATGGGCAGCACCACAGCTTCTTCGAGCAGCTTCTTGGCCTCCTGCAGGTCGGCAATGTCGTTCCAGCGCACGCTGGGATTCCTCTGCAGGATGTCCCTCTCCAGCGTGTCCACCAGGTCATGGTCGTAGCCCGTGCCGTCAAACCGCTTCTCCTCGGGCTCCTGCACCGGTTGACATTGGGGATGAGATTGTAGTGTGTGTGCGGTGCCACTACGGAGCATGAAACGCGTCTTCAACTGGTGCGTTTAACGTCCTATCCCACCCATGCGTCGACGGTATTGTCCCAAAGTGGCGCGAACTGCGTCCCAGGAGGAGGCGCGTCATGCCGTCGGATGTCACGATCCAGGCGGTCGTTCGTCAAAATGCCAACGTGCTCCGAACAACCTCACTGGCACCCCGCAAAAGGCAGGGGAGGGACACGAAGAGTGCACTAGAGGGGCGCACCTTGTCCTTGCTGGCGCCGTCTTCCTTCTTGGAATCCTTGTCTTTGCGTGGCTTGTCCTTGTCCTCCTTTCGAGCCGTCTTGGAGTCCGCTCCCCGCTTGACGGGGTTGCTGCCACCCCCGCCGCTCTTGCTTCCGCTGCCGCTCCCGTTGCCCCGGTGGCTCGTGGTGCGAGACGTTTCCGAGCGTCTGTTTCGACCCACCGGCCGAATCGAGGGGCCCGGCCTGGAACGTGGGACGAATCGTATGCCGAGTGTTTTTGTCTCTCACTTGTACGATAGTTCAAAGCGTGATGCCACTGAAATATTCTTAGAAGTAATAAAGAAGATACGGCAAACTGCTGAGCTTTTCACAACTCGGGCTCCAAGATGTTAAAAATAATCTTGCTGGTGTTCCTTCGGATCATGAGATCAAGGCAGCTCGTGTAATTCGTGTTGATCTCGTATCTTTTAGTTGTATGGGTGATCTCCAGCTGTTTTCTTTTGATTTAACCCTCCATTTGTTTGCTCTTCTTCCAATTGTTTTTTGCCTCAGATATACTGTAATACCGCTGACAGATAACTTACCCATATTTTCAACACAATTTTTACAAAAACACCGAAAGACAACCCACTTCTATTTGCAAGGCCCTGGCCAATGGTCACCTTGGCAAAATGGTGTTACTTAGCCCCGGCAGGAGATTAGCGAACATTTCTGACCGAGAATGGCGGTCGAATTTAGTTTGTCTCTCCCACCTGCAATTGCAAGTTTCGCAGGTTGCTGAACCTAGAACTAGCACTTCTCAACTATTTGTTTTTATTGCACACCAAAAGTTAAGCCACTCCTAAATTTCACCCTATTTGCTTTCGATTTTAGGTGGGCCATCGCTCGGGTTATTACGGTAACATATACAGTTGAACCTCTATTTTATGAAACCCGATTTTACGAATTTCACAATTCAACGAACAAATTCGGATTCCGCACACAGCCTAAGCGCGAGGTCTACCTTCCTCAATTCTACGAAGTTTCCGATTTAATGAAATAATTAGCGGGTCCCGGTGACTTCGTTAAATCGAGGTTCAACTGTAACTTCTCGGGTCATCGTATAAAAAGAAAACTCAACAGAAGACACGTTGAAAATAAAAAAAATAAAATGAATGCCTGATTACTAGTATTTTCCTTTTGACCCCATCTTTTGTCAGCTTTCTTCTAAAGTGCCGAGTTGGTACCAGACAGCCCAGAATCCAACCCTTGTGAATTTCTTCGGCATTCCTTTTGCTATCCCAATTTCTGGACTCACAGGAACACCGCCGAGTGCGCTGGCGAGGAAGCCAAAAGCTGCTCAGCTTACTGGTACCACTACGCGAATGCTCCCCACAAGCTCTGTCGTCCCTCAAACTGTCAACGAATCCGAAAAATGGAGCCTCAACTTTGCATTCAATTCCTAGTCGGGACCACAGCTCTCTCTCAACAACTGGCAGGTACGCCAAAGAGGCGCGAAGGAGCGTTTCGGCTCACATCGAGCGCGACAGTACATGCAAGTAACAGTGCAAGTGTGGGCCGTGACGTGACCAACGGAACGCTCCTGCCCCGGACAGCAAAAAGAGCGAGTTGGGCCGCCGCAGACGTACTTGTGCTCGACGGGCGTGGGTGCCGGCCAGACTTCGGGGTCGCGAGGGGTCAGCCAGGCCTCGGGGTCCAGGGCTCCTTCGTCGTAGCTGATCCGACTCGTGGGGATCCGCTCCAGATGGCTGTCCGAGCGGAAGCCGCTCAGCACATTCTGAATGTCCTTCACATACTCATACTCCTGCGCAAGCTCCTGCTGAATCTACGGGAACAGAACAAAAAAAATAGCATTATAATTAACTTTATGATTGGTGCCGAGGAGAAAATTCATCTCTGGCAGAATCCATTTGATTTCTTTGTCTCCCTTCCCTACTCCACTGGAGGGAAACAAGGAAGTTGAAATTAAAGATTGTCACGCTACAATATACTATCAACAACTTTATTTTTGCAGGCTCAATATTTCGCAAATTTACGAAAGTAGGGGGGGTTTGTAAATATCTTGCAGACACATAAATTTTACAATTTGCAGTGATGTGCTATGTATTTATTACCGTAGAGTGATATATTCGCGAGAACAATTTTTCCAAATATTTTTCCCGTCGTGAGATTCGCGAAAATGAACTCCTCACGAAAACTAGGTAATTTACAATATCCTGTAAAGATTAAAGTGCACACGAATAAAGGGCAGATACTACTTACTCTCCTACTTGTCTATATATTTTTTGTGCTTTAATCCAAACAGTATGTAATACCAACTAACCCAAATACATACTCTCATATAATATACCAGTCAGTTTCCCCAATGGTAGGATTCTGCAGAATCCCGGTGGAAATTAGAAGGGTACTTTCTCACTTAATTTGCTCGAGGACTTGAGTTTTTCAGAGCTTAAGCAAGCGCTGGACAGTAATTAACATTTTTCTAGGTTCCAATTTTTATGCTCCTGCATTGAATTTTTTAAGTGTTTAGCTTACACATTACATATATTTTGCGAGGCTTCAAAGTACAAATTGCTTGTTGAGATAGTAAGACATAAAGAAAATGTATAGTTTTATACGTTGGCTAGTCAAAAATTCAGGTTGAATTTCTTTTCTTCGTGATACTTCGGCGTCGCCCACCTTGAGTTTTGAGAGTGTATAGTGCGACTAGATAATCTACATGTTGTTTACAATTATAGAGGACTGAAAGAGGCAGGATGAAAGCTGTCAGCCCGGCAAACATGTTGCGCTAAAAGTGCTCAGAGAGTGGCTTGAGCTGACGATGAACATCTTGCCACCCCTACAGATCTGAAGTTTAAATAAAAATAAATTTAAGAAGTTGCTTCTTAGCAGTCTGGAAAAAAAAGGAAAGACCCACACAAACTTCTCTAACACAATACGAGACCTTAGTGCATGTCATCTCTGCTTTATTCCTCAGTCTCAGGTTTCTGTGATGTTGACAGTGCACCTGCTAGCCTGCAACTTTTCTGTTTTTTTCTCCACTTTTTGTTGCCACAACATTGATGCTATAGGCGAGTAGGCTCGAAACTTTTTATGGTGCGGGTCACATGGCACGTCATGGGTTGACACAAGGCAGTGTAGGAACATTGTGTAAGGGCGCGTTCCCACTGGAAGCGGATTTGCAACCACAGAGCGGATCCGAGCGCTCTCAACAGCAAAGCGGCTGGGGCGCATTTTTGCCAACCGCTTCGGGACCAATTTTTTCTAACCGCTTTCTCAAACCAGCAACCAATCACAATGCGACACTGACGTGACGTCAGTGGCTTTCAAAACAAAATGGCATTTGTCGCTGGTGAGGCGTTCAAGGCGCTGATGTCCTTACGTTGCAGCGGACAAATCCACAAAGAAACAATATTTTCACGTCCATCACTTAAATCTGCCGCGAAAAAATTTGACTAGTAAGTTTAACACACTTCGCTCCGGTGGTTTGGTTCGGGTAAGCTAGTTTGTTTATTATTCGGGGTGCCAAAGCTCGTCGCTGCACTGCCTTGTTAATCCTTGCCCGCAGAACATCAAAACCTGCCCCCGATCGACCGAAATGACAGCTCTTAAACCCACTAAAGCAGTCGAGTGAACTACTAAAAGCTTTCAACACCGTGCATGACTGACAGGAAGGTCGATAGAGATGTCGTGAGCCTAATTGCGTAGCCAACAAACTACGACGGAGCTGCCAGGGTACCTGCGATAGCTCGACCTGTAACGTTTCTACTACCAAAAGAAATACAGAATCTATTCAAGAAATAAAATGTATGTACCAGACGACGCATAGGTAATCCAAATGGCATTTATTTGAGCTTAATGTCAAACAAACCGCAGACTCTATCGACGTGCAAGTGACAAGAGGAGAGTCCGCCGCCAACGAAGCAACGACAGGCTAGCACAGAACACATTCCCCGCGCCATGGTCCACCAGTGACGCTTGCTACTTCGAAAATGATAAGAGCGAATAATGCAGGGAGAAAACAGGCCTTCTATTCCGAAAACAAGTTCCGCCTGACTTCGCACACAAGCAAAACCCAGCTAAGTAAGCCTAGCTGGGCTTTCCTTGTGTGTGCAAAGTCGAGGGAGTCACAGGCGGGTTTTGAGGGGCCGCATATCCTTTCTTCATTGCCTGAACTCATGATGCGTGCGAACATCCTGAAGAAAAACCTTCAGTACAAAAATGGTTCCATTTTGGTTTTGGATCATGGATTAAAGAGAATTTTGGATTGTCTCTCAAATGATCACGCGTGAACAAGAAACCGCCAACCGCTTCTTGGTGTGTGGAAACCGCTTTGCAAATGCAACCCAACAGCCAGTGTGAATGTGCCATAAAAGTGTCGACGAGGTTGCACCACACTCAATCCTTGTAAGGCAGTACTGCCTGCACTGCTCTCAGATGCAAGAACGAGTGTACCTGCTGCCAGCGCTCCTTGCGCATTGGATCCCCGGCAATCATCTGGATGTGGCGGTGGATCTGCTGTATCACCCCTTGGTAGTAGACAATGGCCGACTCATAGTTCCCAAGAAGCGCAGATTCACGGCCCATGCGCGTGTTCTGGCAAATGTCTGTCACGCTCATATTCATTTCTGCAACCAGCAAAACCAAGAAAGGAGGCAGAGGAGTATCAATGCAAATGCACTTCTTTTAGCACCAAGCTCTTAGTTTCAAACACAAATAAAAGCTTTGTAGCAAATGTGCAACGAAGTTAAAGCCCACTACTTGCTGCAAACATTTTTTGGAATGTAAGCAATGCTTTTTCATGTGTGACCCCCTTCTGAAGCACTGTTCAACTGTAATAGGTGTAGAAATTTTGTTCCCGTTCTGAGTTCGACAGCAAGCAATGACAATATGTTAATGTGTATGTGTGTGTATATATTAACAATGGAGTGATAGTGTAGCCTAAAACATCTGTGTAAAAAAAAATGTGTACGATAACGTTTACACACAATAAGTGATCCGCGAGAAACAAAGTTTTAGATCTTTTTTAATGGTCCGCAGCTAATAGTTTTCAATTGACAGCACAATTTATGACTTGAACGAAATTAATAGTACACGTAGGTACGACCTATACTAAGAGGTTCATATATGTTATAAATTTATCGGATAACAACAAATTCGCAATTCTGCAGGGGACTGTTGTCAGTGGCGGCCAAATAGGTCACCCACACCTGCGACATTGAACCTAGAGTACGCGTTCACCTTTAAACAAAAATACTACACAACCCGAGCTGTGAATGACATTATGCGTAAAGAAAATATTGGCCCTCAGCATGCCCTCACAATCGAGAGGCATAAAGGTCCAGGAAGTCGCTAAATGACAGCAGAAACGGGGAGTGTGTGCGTACTACCTTGTCCAGGCTGTGGTCACAGCAAGCTGAAACCGTCTCAACGAAGCCGAACGACTCGTACGGGTGCCCCTTCTTAATCCCAACGTTTCACCACTGAGTCTTTTCACGTGCATTCATAATAAAGACAGAGGTCGCGGAACAAGAAAATCTGTCGGCGCACAACACACACAACAAACACATCACCATCCGACGTTCTACGGATTGACCTTAACTTGGTTCTGAATTGATCGTAGGCGCTGAATTGGCCAGTTTAGTGTTCAGCTGCCTACATAAAAAATTCAGTAAACTTTGGAAGACATCTTGTCTTCTAAAACATTTCTGTATAGTTAAAAACTTTTTATAACTATTTCATTAATTTTGATGCTCTACTTTTAGTTTAGCTTATTTGAGCTTAGGCCACATGCCACAGCTATAAACGAAATATAAATTAAGCGGGTCGTAGATATATTTTATATCATTATATTTTTTATAAAACATATTAAATAATAAATTGCATTTAAGTAAAATTTACTTTAAGATAAGCAAAACTAATAACAAAACAAAAACCCTCTTGCGTCGGCTGCTTCGGTACGTGTGTAACAACGGGGGCACAGCCAGGGCCATTCATTTGTTCGTACTACGATGATTCGGAAATCGAGCTGAAATTCACTGAAGTCGCCTATTTACTGAAACCTTTGAAGGCAGAACGGAAAGTCTTTTATACAAGTTCCAGATTGCCACGCGTCCAAGTAACTGCAGTTAGTCCCTAACCAATCAGTCTACAATGAAGGTCATCGGCGCCGAGCTGGTACCTGAGGAGATGCCCCGTTCAGCGTCGGAGTCGACTAAAAATCTTAAGTATTCTACGCAAAGGCCGTGACGACGAAGATCGCAAGTACACTTAGAAAACTCGTAGGTTAGACCTCCGGTGCTATAAATAAATTAGTAACTAAACCATCGACAATTAATTCACGAAACGACGGACAACACATATAGACTTTCCGCTGATACTGCTCTGTCCGTGCTCGAAACGTCATGAAAACCAGACTTCCAGTGCCTCTACATCTCAGGAGACTGCTGACGGGCGGCTGCCACCGTCACAAGCCATGGTGCCTCGCACTTAAACGAACTGTAACTACAACCAGTACTCAAGGTAAGCATGCCAGTTCACTTAACTAGCTCTAGCATATGCGTCCATAAAATCCGTAAAAAAATAAAATACATATGATATATATTTAATTTATTTATTATTAGATAACTCGGAGCATATCATGCTACGCATGAGCTCAACAACTCAAGGCCAATGATCAACCTATGTGTCAGTGGAATAGAAGCCTCGAAAGCATTTTGTGGGATCTTTACTATAAATCACTGACAGCTTAAGAACCTCGGGGCGTGGCGAGCCCCGAGCACTTTGTCGCTCTGCAGCCAATGAAACCATCGTATTTTCCGACAAGAGCGCCGAAGAACTATAATCACATAAAGCAAGAATCGTGAATGTTATAAACCCACAGCCTGTGTTTCCATGCTTGCAAGCTCTTTTAATTCTTTTTTGTCCCAAATCCAAGCCTTAGAAGCTATATATAAGTACTGTTGGCAGATGGTGGCATCGAGCAGGAAGACGTGCTTTCCCAGTACTACCGCCTCCTCGGTCAGGGCACGCTGAAACCGGACGAGAATCAGCTCAAGGTGGCCCAACTCCTCCGTGAACTCCAGTCCAACATCTCCCAGTATGCACCCCGCAGCCAAAGCCTCTTTGAAAAGGTGACCGTTAAAAGGACCTTCAGACGAGGCGGTCAGACTGACATTTGTTGTGACCTGCCTGTGTGCGGCTTTTTCCAGTGGTTCTCGGGGAACAAGCCAGTAGTCAAGCCGGCGGGGGTCTACATCTACGGCGCTGTCGGTCAGTCCAATACAGTTGGCCGAACACTCTTTTTTTCTCTGTTGGCGAGCTAATAAGGTGCCCTCCTCGTCTAGGCCGGGGCAAGACCATGCTCATGGACATGTTCTACGAGTCCGCGACCCCGGAGAGCAAGCAACGAGTGCACTTCCACTCTTTTATGCTGGATGTCCATAATCGTACGTTGCAAATCCACACGCATGTTACCTTACTCTTGCAAAATTTTCCCAATATTTGCCAGTTTTCCGAGGAAACGGATATGATCCCCATTGCAATTGAGGCCTTTAAAGCTAGAACTCGACTGCTCTTCCGACTCTCAGGTTAGGTCGACACCAATGTTGGCTTTTTCCTGTGTGCGTTTTTGGAAATCACTATTACAACCAAAATTCCCGAAAGGAAGCATATTGTTTCGTCTTTCACTTCCCGAGTGTTTCTTTCTGCAAGGTCGAAATTCGAGGCCACCTTCACAAAACGCCCGTCACCTCCAAACCTGAATTCCACAAAAAACGGCGGAGGAATGCGGAGAGCGAGTCGTCTGCTTCTCTCACAGGAGTTGCGGTGACGTCAGGACGACGGCGAGCTCTGATTGGTTTTGATTGAAACAATACTGGGTAGACCTCAATGCGAGATGCCTTGAGGTCTACCCACTATTTTTTGCAATCGGCCAATAAGAGCTCGGCGTTTAGACATTATCGCAACCCCTGTGCAAGAAGCAAGCGAACTTGCGCTCTGCATGGGGAGTTTTTGTAGACTGTTTGTTTCCCTCTGCTACGCTGTCTGCAACGTTGACACTGCTACTGTACATGCATGCCACTAGCCTCATCTGCAGAGTTCCTGACCTTTTAGCCAGATGCAGAGGGCGTTGCGGGATGGAAAAAGCGATCTACGAAAACTCCCTAATGTCTGCCTTATTGACCAGGCATCCACGCATGGAAACAGCAGTCCGCCCAGGCGGGCCTGGGCCGCAAATCCCCGCAGTACGACCCCATTCCACCCGTGGCGGAGGCCCTCTGCGCCCAGGCCTGGCTGCTCTGCCTGGACGAGTTCCAGGTGACGGACATTGGGGATGCCATGATCCTCAAGCGCCTCTTCAGCCACCTCTTCAACCTCGGGGCCGTGGTGGTCGCCACGTCCAACCGCAAGCCCGACGGTGGGCAGACTGCCGGCATGGTGCCCATGACTCCTTTCCTTTAGCGTCGGTGCCTCTTTCTTTGCAGACCTGTATAAAAACGGACTGCAGCGCAGCAGCTTCCTGCCCTTCATCGACGTGCTCAAGGTTTTTGGCTATTTCGTTCCTGTAGAAATCTACAATGTCTTTGATCCTTTATATTGATATGTAGTTTATTTGGGTCTGTGTCTTCTTCCTTCAGTGCCATGGGTTCAATCACGTTGAGTAGTCACCAGCTCGCCCGCACTCTCGCCCTTCTTTCTGTTCTCATCTGAAGGGTTTGAATCCCAGTCGAGTTCCATGTACATCTAAAGATCCCAAGAAATGAATTCCCAGCAGCACATAATTATTTTGTTTGAGGTGTTTAACTTATTTTTGCAACTACTGTAAAATACCGACCATACGCCCGATCCACAATAAGCAATTTTGTAACATTTGCAAAATATACAAAGGACATATTTTTACATATTGACCTAAGGAGTGCTCATTTCCCAGTTTTACATCATTATCTTCAAATTCTGAATGGGAGCTTGCTCGGGATTTTAAAGTAATAGGTATATTTCCCTGTATCGTGATGTTCTCTCATTAGAAGTGGCATGCCAGTTTTTTTCGTTGCGCTTTAAGATTGTGTTGAATGGCAGACCCATCAATTGGAGGCGGTCTTCACACAGTAGCTTAGATTGAACAATTACAAGCACTCCTACTCTGCAAGCTGCTCTACTCCGAGGCTTTCAAATAAAAAATGATAAAAATCTATTTTAAAAAATACATGCTCACAATCCGTAAAATGTTTTACTTATTAACAGTCCTCGCACAGCAGTCCGAGCAATTGTTCCTAATTTCCACCATACGAAACAGCCCTAAACGTACAGTGTCAAGTTTCGTGTGGGACGGGGCAGCACCTCTGAACATGGCTTCATCCTCGATTTCGAGCAGAAAAACTGCATACCAGTGGCACTCGACTCCGGGATCGACTACAGGATTCAGAAGGGGGCTGCCAAGACTAGCTTCTACCTCGTGTGAGTGCCGTTGCTACAGCAAGTGTACGAGCTTATTCAGAACTGGTTTCCTTTTCCTGCTCTGGATTTCAGAAAGTCTGAGTGCGATGCTGATGCAGAGTTGAACCGCATGTTCAAAGTTCTGGCCAGCCAGGAAAACGATGGTTAGTTTCACAAATGGAGCCAAAGAACCTAAAAGCTTCAGGCGAAGTCTTCTTTCGCAGTCATTCGGCCGCGCATCCTCACGATCAAGGGGCGCAACGTGGAGTTTGCCAAAGCCTGTGGACGAGTGCTCGACTCTTCCTTCTCCGAGCTGTGTGACCGCGTAAGTGCACAAGATGTGTGGCTGTATTGGCGGCAATAAAAGCAAAGGAGAAAGAAAGCTGCAAATCAAAAGCCGTACCGTAGCAATTTCGCCAAACACTGATTCTAGCAGCAAGATAAATGGCACTCTAAACTAAAACAGGTAGATGTAGAAGACCACCAGATCACCTCCCTTACAAGTTTCAGGCTCCTCCATGTCCAACAGAGCATCCTTCGAGTGTTTACTTTTGTGCTTCCAAATTGGGTGTCAGTATTCTGGATAGGTGTCAACACATAGGGGCTAGGTACTTCTGACAAAGGTATCTGTCATTTTGACAGGGGTGCCTATACACCAGCATAGTCCACAAACAAACTCGTGTTTGCCCACAACAGGTGCGGGCACTGCACATTGTGCAGTGCCAACAGCAACGCCACCGCAGTGGCACCATGTCAGGGAGCAGAGTTTGTGTATAGTTCCGAAGGAGATGTCACTCTTCAAGTAACACCTCCTTCAAAAAAAGTGTCACTGTTCAAGTGACGCTATTTTTTATTAAAAAGTGCAACTTGAAGAGTAACCTAGTAGGAGACAGAGTAACGGAGCACTGCCTCATCACATGCAGGCCGTGGGGGCGGTGGACTACCTAGCCCTGAGCCAGGTCTTCCACACTATCCTGGTGCGGGACGTGCCCCAGCTGAGCTTGCGAGAGAAAACCCAAGCCCGGCGCTTCATCACCCTCGTCGACACCCTGTACGACCACCGGGTGCGCCTCGTCATGTCCGCCCAGGTATTTAGAGGCCGAGTTTTAATGTTTCGTATATTTCAGCCTAACTGTTGACATGGAAAACACTAATTAGGTGGTGCGAGCTGCCACCCGATTTAAATGGTTCAGCTGTTCTCATTTACGTATTAACTTGTCCAGGTGCCTCCCAACCAGCTCTTCTCCACTGTACAGGGCCCAAACACCCTCACCGATGAGAACAGGCACCTGATGGACGACCTCCAGCTCACCGATCAGGTGATGAGGGGGACAGGCTGCACACGCTTTCTAAATTTCTGAAGTCTTCTACAACCAAAGATTTCTTAAAAAAAATACCTAGTCCTAAATATATAACTTTTAGAGCGCAGCTCTTAGGCATCCGTTTCCACGTTGAGCTGCGTCGGCGTAACCGCGCATGTTGCATTATCGGACATTACAATTTCCCCGCTAAATTTAACGGGGAAACTAAATGCAGTTGGGGTCCCATGTGATGTCAATTTCCCCGCTAAATTTAGCAAGGAAGCTTAACCCGCTAAATTTAGCAGACAAATTTTCCAGCTAAATTTAGCGGGAAATTGTTCGCTAAATTTCCCCGCTAAACTTAGTGGGGAAATTTTCGCTGAATTTAGCGGGGAATTTCCTGTTAAAAAGGGGAGGAGGGGTATACCCTCCCCCCTCCTCCTCAAGAGTTATGCTCTAATTTCGCATTACAGAGAATTGTAAATGTCTAATTTTTTTATTTCTAGGGTATTGAAATTTTAGACGTAAGCTGCTTTGCGAAATATGGCATGCAATAGCGAAGACTGTGAAAAATCGAAACTTCTGCCGGAGATCTAAGATTTGTGATCATCCTCTCCTGTTTGTGAACTGTTTAACTGATATGGGGATAAATAAATCCTATCAAGACAAACCTTCGTTTAGTTATAACACGATGACAAGTTTAGTCATCTTGTTATATTTAAGCATCTACAGTGCAATCCACTTATAACAATAATGAGAAAACCAAAAATTTCAGTCGTTATAACCGATTTTCGTTGTATGTGGACTAGAATCTGATTGTTTCTAGACTAGAAATTCTAAAAACTGATCGTTTTAAGCAATGCATTGTTATATGTGGTATCATTATAAGTGGATCACACTGTATTACCAAAATGACTTGTTTATCAAAACTGCAATGGTACTTTTCTGGAATTCAATCTTAAATCCAAATTAGATGTACTATAACTAAGGTGTGCATTCTCCGGTTTTAACCGAAAAACACCGATAAACATCCGTCAGTGACGAAAATATAAAATCGGTTAAAACCGAAAAACACCGGTGGTTGGATATTTTCGCCCTGGTTAAAACCGAAAAACACCGGTCGTTGCTAGTTTCCGACCTAGCGAAACCCTTTCCCCGTAGAGGTTCGTCAAACGTGTTATCTCATGGATCCTGCATTCTTCCAGTGTTTATACATGGCTTGCAGGTGGCGCCAGTCTGCCCTCCTTTCTGGGGGTCAAAAGCGTCTAGTGAACGCAGTAGAAGCTAAGCTCTCATACGCCTTTCCCCTATTGTGTCTCCCATGGCTCCCTTTTGTGAAAAAATTAACACAGTGGAGGGTAGGCTCTCACGTGCCTTTTCCTCATTGTGTCTGGCCAAGTGATGTTGGTGAAAGCCATGTATTCATAATTGCGGGTTGCGAACCTCAAGGAACGTGCTGCCATGACGGCAGCACATTCCTTGCCTGTAGATGCAAGAATGAAAGTATGCTTGCATCCACTATAATAACCAAGTGTGAGAAATAGTTGCTTCCTAGAGAAGAAGTGTATAAACTATGTGAATAAAATTGGAACTCTCTGTCTGTGATCAACCGCTTTTTTTTTTCACCGATAATCACCGTTTTTAGCCTCATCGTGAGACGTTCCACCGAAATACACCGGTGTTTTGAAAATAAGTAAACACCGAAAAACATCCGCCGATTTTTCTCACAAATAAACACCGGAAAGTACACACCCTAACTATAACTATCATTTTGTAATCACTTAGACCACTTGCACATTTTGTTTTCTATATTTGCTTCTAGGGCCTTTTCTTAGTATAAACTCCGAGCATTAACCTGTCGTCCAACCAAGCAACCCTGCCTTTTCCCTCGCAGAGCGCGAGCATCTTCAGTGGAGAGGAAGAGATGTTTGCCTTCGACCGCACAGTGTCCCGGCTGAGTGAGATGCAGACCGAGAACTACTGGAACCAAGCCAGTAAACACGTTTATTAGCTGCGTGGACAGCCTCCTCACTGCTGCGTGCTGCGCGCAATCTGCTCCTTCAGCACCATGATGCTCTGGCGCTGGTCTGGTGGAAGCAAGGCGATCTGCTGATCCGAGAGCTGCAGCACCTGCAGGCAAGGGAGAGAACCGGAAATGTCGCCATCGCTGCCATCCGGAGGCGTGCGGGACACCCACAGACCGGAGCACAGAAGTGCCGATGCATTTACCCACTGCCTCTCGGCAGTGCAGGCGTAGGACGGACGACGAGATGGAACCTCCCGTGTGGACTCCCCTAGTACGAGATTGTGCACACTTGTAAGTGCCTCGGCACGAATCTACTCTAAAAAGATAGGAAGGCGTGGAATGGAGAGCGTGCTGGTAAGGATAATATAAAGAATGGGAGCACAAAACACAAGGGCGGTTGTGAAGTGTGCAGAGTTGGCTATGGAAATAGCGACAATGCTTACGGCCTTTGCTGCCACGGTCTACGTTACGGCAAGACAGAGCACATGACAGAGAGAAAAGTAGTGATGAGATTTTCAGTCATCTCAAAAGAGAAGATTATTCCCTTGTAGCATTCGACAAACAAGGTATGGGGTGCGGCACGAATTATGCCAGCCTGATGATCTGGGGCCTGTGGGCAACAGATGGCTTCAGAGCACGGGCTCTCAAACGGCGTTCCCCACAGTACCCCCAGGGGTTCCCCGAGCTGCCATATTTCATCGCTTGTCCCTGCCCCTATGTAAAGTGTTCTTCCAGTTTAAGCACTATCTCATGAGATCTAAGTCAGCCATTGATGCACAACTATGTGCAAAACACTCCCTAGCATGTGCACCACTGTTAACAAGGTCTGCATGCTTTTGCGCTGCAAGGGTTTGGACAGGGGTTGTTCGGCTACCAATTGGGAAAAATGGGCATTCCTCAAGCTGTTCTGGAGCCCCACATTGTCCCGAAATTCTACAGACGGTGCAGACGTCTTTCGTCGACACACACGCTTGCGAGAAAGACGACTGCCACTTCTACGAGTCGAGGACGGCGCACCTGCATGATGAGGGCGGCCTTCTCCTGGTCCTGAGCCGAGATGACGGGGTTTCCGCCGGGGCGTGCCGGGCCGGGGCCCATCCGGGGGTCGTCCCTGCTCCCGATGGGGGCCGGGCCCCCCGGGGGTCCCTGGGAAGCGAAGGGGCGACTACGGGGGTCGAAGGGGGCCCCGGCCCGGAAGCGGGGGTCTCCGCCGGTCCTCAAGTCCTGGTCCTCGAGGGGCTGCGGCTGGCGCATGTCCCGGTCCCCCATGGACACGCGCAGGTCCCTGTCCCCGCGGGGGTCCAGGCGGGGGTCCGGGCCCACCATGCCTGGCCTGCCCGGTGCGGCCAGCGGGGCCGGGGCCATCACTGCGTGCGGTGACGGAGCGACGAGCAGAGCGAAAGTGTTTGCAACAGGAATACGAGGCCGCTCGCCAAGCTTTGGTTCCGAGTTCTCTTTTATTTTGACAGTATTTGCAATGAATACATCTCATCAGAAAAGAAAGAAAAGCAAAAGAAATGTCAACACGAAGCACTTTCAAGAGCCATCTGCTCGTGCCCAAGGAGTTCCTTGCATTTTGCGCAATTGGCAATAAATAATCGAGTGGGGCTGAACGAATGGCCGAGACTATTTTTGTATTAACCTTTCCTTGTCTAAAGGCGACACCTGGACATCTGAAATGTTACCTCTTTGTTTTCCCCATTTTTTTTGCTGCACATACTTTTATTAATTATCATGTCTTGATACACTAGTGAGTTGCAGCGGAGCATTCTTTGGCCCCTAGTTCACAGCTTTGTTTTCTAGCTGCCACACACTGCAAGACTTAGTTGGACGTGCGTTAGAGCAAGGCCCTCACTAAAAAACGTTCAGCCTTTCCGCTCTCGTGAAGAAGAAAGACCAGCGGAGCTGTACTCGATACACTGCCGTAACGCGCACGCGCCCGTTTCCCACTTCGCGTTTGACACGCTGCCGATCGTGGATACGTCTCCGACGAACCAGAGTAGGTCGCACACGGTGCACGTGACGCCAAACGGGTAATCCACGAACTCCCTCCGGAACCTCGCCGTCGCGCCTCGCGCTTGTGCTTGGCCTTCGCGGCACGATCGCCATCCATGGCGTTGGCTTGCCGGCGCCTTTTACATCGCTGGTTCTGTTCTTGGCGGAAGCTTTCCAGGCGAGCGATGCGCTCATCTTTGGCAAGGGAGTCTGAAGCGCTCTACGCAGTGGAAGTCGAGGCGACAGCGGCTTCGCGGCGGTTACGGACCCATTCGCGCTGCTGCGTACGTCGCCACTCCTTCCGCAGCCAGTCTTCTTTCTCCGAAAGGGCGAGCGGCCGACCCATCCTAAGTCCAAACCGAAACTGATAAGGGCGTAGGAAATAGCGCGCAAAACAGACGAGGACGAAGAAACACGCGTGACGAGCGCATTGCTCTTTACATGTGCTTCTTTTTTGTCGTCTGTTTTTCGCGCGGTTTCCTACGATGAATTCCCACCAACGCGCCCAACTATCCATTCTGATATGATAGCTGGACTGGTTGCCGCCATCTACGAGCGACGGCGGCAACCAGACTGGTTGTGTGCTTGACGCCGTCGCTTATCGATGGCGGTAGCTGTCCAGTTAGGTTTGTGTCGACAGGCGTTTGATACCGGACACAATCCTGGGGAACCTAGCCCTTAACAGCTCTGCCATAATAGGCCCTGTACTTCATATGCCACAAGCAATCAAAAGAGTTAAAACCAAGCGCCCTTAGGAAGTACCTCAAAAGAAAAACGACCGCACAAAGTGTGCTGCAATTGACAGGGGTAGCTGCTGCGTTGCAGAAAGGCATATTGAAGGAGATTTGCCTTCATCCAGTGTGCTGTATAATGTTTGCAACGGGTTCTTTGCTTTCTGTGGAATTGATGTAGGAGACGTGTGTGAGGAGATGTGTGCTTTGGTAGAATGATTGTATGACATATTGCATGTGTGAAAGGACACAGAAGCGCCTGTGACCGCACCAGCGGTGGAAGAAGCAAAAGTATGCAAGCGAGCTGTTCCATAGAGGCACAAAGAGTACGCGAGAACGGCACCTAGGCGGCGGCAGTGGGGCGGCGAGGGAGTGTGTCCGCACAGCACAATCGCAGGTGTATTTCGCAATGGCGGCTGCCGGAGGGGGTGGGGAAGGCAAGGATGAGAAAGCGTCGCTGAACAAGAACAGCGGCGGCCTAAAGGGGGGAAGGGAGGGGGAAGAGAGAGAGGGAATTGTCGTGCGTGAGGAATGACGAGGAGAGGGAGAGCAGAGCCTCTGCTGTAGAGCGGGGTTTTGCATTCGTACATGAGCATGTTTTTCCCGTGAGGGGGCCACCAACAGTTACCGCTGTAAAACTTTCCTCTCCGCCGCGGCTCTTGTGCACGGCGAAAAGAAGGGCACCGTGGAGCTCACCTCGGGGGTCAAAGGGTGCCGTCCTGAGCGGTTCGGGCACCGGTGGGCGCTCCCCTAACAGGGCTGGTCTACCGGGACCCACTGGCGGACCCCGACCTCCTGTGGCAGGCACCAGACGACGTAAGTTAGGTGTCGCATATGGACAGGCACAACAACTGCGGGCTCTCCACCCTAAGTCAGCATGTACATAAGGGACTATAGACAAAAACGAGGTTGCTACGAGCAAAATCCGTAATCGTAAGCTGCAATTGATAGATGGTTTAAGCTTTCACTCGACCACAAAGCTTTGACAAGTCTGGTGGTCCATTATAGTCATAAATTGGAAAGACAAAACAGGGAAACTAAAATACATCTGCTTCTGACCCTCAGTGTTCTGTCTAAAATTTTTTCATAGTGTACCGCAGTTCCTATAATCTACCGGTACAAGACTAAGAATGGAAAAGGCATGTGTGGTTGTTCGTGGTTTTACTTGTCCTCTTTTAAAACTGATATATCAGCTAGTCCTTCTTGCAGCCCACACGTTCTGACACTGAAGAGATTCCCTGGTGTGGTGCGCTATCCATGCTCTAAAGCTGGCCGAGAAATCTCGGGATCATGCCTGTAGATAGTGGAACTAAGAATTTTGCAACATGCAGCAACATAGCCGGAGTAACCCAACATGAGCCAGAGAAATTATCTACACACGGTTCGAAAGCGACGTTATTAGACTAAAAATCCCGAGAGATAGCCCACCCAACATTAAGAGCAAATCGGCTAAAAATAGGGAGTAAGCTAACTTTCAGTCTACAATCAAGAAAAGTTGAAAAGAATTGCCATTTTTAAGTTGTGTCTCTTTCAAGCTTGTCATGGTGATGATTGGCACCAGCAAAGATGACTGTACTTCCCAGTCGGCAACGTTCGCTTATATCCTGCCATAACTAATAGCCCCTTCCCCTGGTAAACGCCGAGCGCTCCGCGCTAGCGGTTGTGGAGCGGTTGGTCTCGGTGAGCGAACGGTCACGTGGTCCATCCCAGTGGCACGTGCTGCGGAGCAAATCGAGCGGTAACGCTCCCAGCGCCACCGCTTCCAGAGCGTCTGCTCTCGCTTTTGAGCAGCTGCGGTTCCCATTGCTATCTTGCTGAAAGCATGAAGTTCTGATCGGAACTTTGTGCTTTGACAAAAAGTTTTTTTGTTTAGTACTTGATTAACGGTGACCCCGACGTTAAGACACAATTTATTTTTCCTTAAAGTTATATAAGCCCGATGAAGGCAACTAGAAGTACTTGTACGAGCCGTAGGATGCTATTAAAGGGCAACTCCGGCCAAAACTGAAAATGAAATAAAATACTGGTATCGTTGTAGTGACACAAAATACGACTCCGGCCAAAATATTACGTCCGTAGGACGCCGCATTCTCAACTAATGCCGATAACAAAAATGCGACCCGCCGCGAGCCGCCGGTCCTTAGCGGGCGGCCAGCGGGTTGCCGATCGCTAATGCAACATTGGGCCGTGACGTCCGTATCATTCTCTTTTCTTCCTGCAATGCGGGCGTTGCGCGGAGTGCGCTTCTTTGAGCCGCTACCACCGCTACTTCGGCTTGTGATTGGCGTGTTTAGCCGTTGCTTTTATATGTAACCCGTGTAGCTTCGGTATAGCCTTTTGTTAATTTGCTTGTGAGGACTTTAAGACTCGTTTTAGCGAGCAACTCGGTGCGCCCAAGACTGCCCAGCTGTTCCTCGAAAGATGCCGAGTGCAACTTGTAGCGCTGTGGGCTGCTCAAACAACCGTCTGCGCAACACGGAGATGCTTTTTCACAGGTGTCCGACGGACCGGAAATTGGAGAAGGTGTGGGTGAACGCTGTTCGACGAGTGGACTTTGGACTTCGGCTTTTACGCACCCAAGGAAAAAAGAACGAAAAGCAGTCGTGCTCAGCCCAGCACACGTGTGTTCGGGCGCCGCGCCCCGCGCCGGAGCCTAAAACCCTCGTCTCTGGGACTGACCCGCAGCATGAAAGCGAAAGGGCCCCCAGTACTGTACGTCACTGGCAGCGCTGCGTAAAGCAACGCCGCTCCATCCACGGAGCTCAGATGACAATTTAGGCCTAGCGACGAGTACGGAAGACCACACACACGGCGACAGCCGCCGAGTACGGCACCGAACGAGTTCACTTGTTTTCAAGTCGCTAGCTTTTGGGTATACAAGTGACGAGTACGGCATAGCGTACGCACGGCGGTGGCCGCCGAGTACGGCACCATACGAGTTCACAGGTTTTCCAGTCGCTAGCTTTTGGTTATACGCACTAACTTTTGCTACATATGGTCGATAACTACAGAATTAAAACAAAATCAGCATACCTCCTAGCTTTAGACGGCTAGCGCAACAGAGGTAGGTGGCGCTCGGCCTGCATACTCGTTGAACGAGAACGATCGTGACGTCACGTTCACATAGCGGCTGATTTCCAGTGTTGCCAGGGCCTCGAGCGGCTAGTTTCGGTTTTGTTGGCCGCGCCCCAAACAAAACTTTCAGGCGTCGATATCTTTAAAACTACGCACAATAACGAGAAAAAAATTACACCTTGCAATTCAGGGACGCTGACTGCACTAAAAAAAGTCATAATCCCAAAATCGAAAGTATGGACCGGAGTTGCCCTTTAAAGGGCAACTCCGCTTAATTTAAAAAATTTTGAGATAGTGGCCGATTTTGCTTTTTGGAGCACTCAAAAACAATCCCCAATCCTTTGTTTCACGAAAAGTAAAATATTTTTCGTGTAATTTTACTCTAGCCATGATCACAAACCGAAACCGAAACGGTGGCAAAGCCGGACAACATTGTATATTCGGCATCACTAAGCATGTACACCCACGTGATATACAAGGGGAAGAAGAAGCTCCCCTCTAATCAGGATCCTCCTTTGTGCCTCCTGGATTAGCACAGGCGTCGCTATTCTCCTCCCAGAAGATTATAGAAGATTAACCTGTCACTCAATATTCTTACAAAAGCAGCTTCCCTCTCCTCCTTTTACTTGGTGTTCAAAAGTATGCGATGCAACACAAGCCGCGCTCAACGAGGCGATCGGCTTATCAGTAGTATCAATAGTCGAGCGCCGGGCCGGCCGAGCGCGTCACTCACGTCTTTCACGGCGCTGGCGCCACCCGTGCTCTCCCCGGGAAAGAAAACAAAATTGAAAAAAAAAAAAAAAAGAAGCTGTACATGTTTGATGACGTCGCGGACGTGCCGGGAGAAGGAATTTGGAGGAAGCGGAAATGCAGCCGGGCAGTGTTGTCTGGCCCGCACGTCTCAACCAAAACCAGCGGATTTGTGCTTGTCAAACTTTGACAGCGATTTTAATGAACTTCTAGGCGGAATTTCGCCGTAATATTTGCCATGGGGGTTTTGTAGATGATAACAAAGAGAACTGCATAGTTTTGCACTACTGGAAAAGAAGCGGAGTTGCCCTTTAAGCAATACCAAACACGTATGCCGTAAAGCGATCGCCATCTCCGAAGGCGACTTCCATCTGCGGAGTATTTGGCGTGTTGTCTTCTTATTGTTCCAATTACATTACAGAGACCACAAAACGAACAAACGACATATACCTAGCTCTTCATCCAAATAGGCGCGCACAACGCCTTCGACGTAACGCGCTATCTTGGGCCTTTTCGCTGGCCAGCCAAACGACTCGGCAAACACTTCGCCGAGAACGGCTGCCTCGTTGTCACTCGAGCTGGAGCTAAGCTGGTATCTTCGTCGCCGTCACTGCGTTTTTGTTAGACCTCCTGAAATTAACTGCAACGATGTCACCGCCGCAGTATGCTCGGGCGAGTCGGTTATGACGAGGGGAACGAAAGCCCACCCAGCAATCGAAACAAAAAAGCCGCGAAACTCCTTCACTTCCCCACGGGAATGTCGATAACGAAACTGAAACGTTGCGAGAGACGACTACAGATCGTACTCCTCCAAAAATGGCTGCGCAGAGAACTAACCCGGACCGCTCGACGCGCTCCGCCACTTTTCCACGGAGCGGTTGGAGTCGCTCGGGGAGCGCCCCACTGGCTCCGGATCTACAAGCGGCACACGAAGAGATTGCTCTTATCTCGCGAGGAAAACAAGAATCCGCTCACCGAGCGCTTGCTATTTGTTAGGGGAAGGGGCTATAACTAGCTGCATTTAAGCCGAGGCCATCATTGATCCTAACACTACTATTACAAGAAGTGAACTATTTTTTGGTGTTTAAAAAAAAATATAGCAAATCAAGCCAAAAATAGGGGTGGGCTATCTTGCGGGAGTGGGGCATCTCTCGGGATTTTACTAGGCGGCAGGGTGATTAGCAGACACGAAGCACACGTCTGTCACGCAAGGCTTCTGTTCTGTTTTACTTCGAGCGTACCCTGCTTCTTCAAAAATGCTACCAGTCCTAAAGAAAGTAGAGTAGAAAGTGAAACATCTCCAATAGATGCTGCATGCCATTTGGCAACTCTTTTGAATTACCCCTTACAACAACTAACACATTTAGTCACAGGTTCCTTTAAGAAAACATAAGACTTCAAAAAATAAACTAGGAACAGTAGGGTACAAAGACGCACCCAGTGCGTCTATGTACCCTATTACCTACTACGGTTACCGAAAGCTTCGCCCAATACCATAAAGCGTCGAAGACTCTGCAGTCCTCTGACGTCTATGGAAAACATATCAAAAGGTGGCGATCAGTCAGGCGGGTTGTTGGGACCCACCTCCAAATGCCGCGTCGTTGAATCCCTGCTCCGGAGGGAACCCTTGCTGCTGGGGCGCCGGAAGGGCCCCGGCCCCCATGCCCTGCGGGGCCCCCACCAGGCCCCCGCCCTGCTGGGGACCCCAGCCCATGCCGGGTCCGCCGACCACAGGCTGCTGCTGCTGCTGCTGTTGCTGCGGCTGCAGGGGCATGGGCTGGGGCTGGGGCTGTGCGGGGGGCAACTGCTGGGGCCCTGTGCCCAGGGGCCCCATGGTGGGATTCTGGCGATGCAGGATGCTCAATGCCACCTGGGGCTCCACCACCTTCATGATCACCTGGGCCTGGAGCAGTGCATAGGCCAGCTGCGGGTTCTGCAGCAGCATGTTGCGCGCCTCTCCTGGGTTGTTCTGGATGCACAGCTGAGGAAAGAGGAGGAGGAGACAGCAGTTGGGCCGCGCGGGTACGACGCCGCAAAGACTTTGAATGTCCGAGAAATTTGCTTCCTTCTTTTCGAGTCGCGCATCATGCTGGTAACAATTAGTATCGGCTAGTAATGGTGTTCGTTACAATTCGAGAGAGCCACGCTATCAAAGAGGGGCTCTAAAGTTCCACGGAGGATTGCAGCATTGTGTCTTTTGAAGATGACAACAAGATGGCGGGCACAAATTACTAACAACCAGTCAATGAATGTCACCACGATTGTGGAAACCACTAAATGTGGGCATCCTCCACAGTCGAGAAATTTATCGGCGAAATGGATATGCCGGCCCGGGTCATTGGTTCGATGTTGAAAAGCCCTCGAGCAATAGCCCATGCAGACTCTAGTTGTCGGGGGCCTCACCTTCATCTGTTTCATGAGCTCGAACATCTGCTCGGGGGGGAGGCTAGCCACAGCCTTGGAGATGGCCTCTGGAGCACGCTCGGGTTCCACCTCGGCACCGTAGGGGCTCTACAAAAGGGAACGGTTTTTGTCACCAGGCGCTAGGGTCACTTTCGCGGGATTCGCAAACATTAGCCCGTGAACTCCAATAGGTGACCGGCGTTTGAGCCGGAAGTTTCGTCATCCGAAACAAGGCTTCACATGGACTTCACACTTCCGGTTCGTACGGTGTTGGTCATTATTCGTTCAGCTGCATCGAAAGCCCTTCTTGTGGTAGCCATGTTGTATTCGCAATTAAAATGGTCCACTGCTCCGCGGTATATTGGCCAGTACAATATGTTCTCTCTTTTACTTCAAGTAAGGGCTGCGCGAAATAACAATCTCTAACAGAGTCTCTTGACACCCCGAAAAAGGTCTCGATTAATCTGCGAAGGGGTGAGTACTGGTCGTCGTACAAGGCGTCCGCGAGAATGCGGTATGCGATCTCGCAGGAGATCAGTTTATCGCACAACAAAGGGTCGACAGACCGTTTCATCGACAGACAGTTTAATCGATAGTTGGTTACATCGACAGCTCAGATTAGCTTTTTATGTAATGAGCTGCCGCACAGCGTTGCCACGAAGCGGCGTGAACAAATGGCTTGCTATAATATAAATAAAAAGGACGGGTCAGCTAAATAAACAAAAGCAAGCAAGCAGCACCTACATCTTGACGGATAATAAAGCGGTCGTAGGACCCTACGTAGCCCACATCAATATCGGTGCGCATTTATGCATGCTTTCTTACTCGGCATCATTAAAAAAACGTATGGGGGGAGGGTCACGGCACACTGGGGACAACTTATTTGAAGTACAAAAAACATGCGAGTGTTTAAAAGCAAGGGTTCTCACATAGTCGGATGTCATTGAAACAAACTTTTTGTAAGGAAGTAGTGTTTCGATCGCGCAACAAAAAGTATGCCAAAACTCCGATCGGGCATTTCAGTTAGCCGCATCCCACGGCAAACATTCATACCTATTTCAGTCGGTGATGTGATCTAACGTAACCATCAAAAATAAACAAAACCCAATGAAGAACGCTGGCTCAAGAGGAAACCAAAATAGCTAACCTAGCCAGAGCTTTCACACGACGATCCGGGAAGCGCGTCGCGAGTGCAGCTTGCCACCAGCCGCACTGACACCGCGCTTTTGTGGCCATTCTCGACGCCTGTGCATACCGATTCCTACTTAACTTATCCGTAGAAGTAACTTCAGGCGCTAAGAAATTTGTAATTCACCCAGCAACAGAGAGAAGTGGCTCGAATTGATCGGGTTCAACACCTGCATAGATGCCGACGCAGCACCATAGACGCCACGGTGCTGCGTCAGCTGCAAGCTGCAAACCAGAGGTGAGTAATACCCAAGGTGCTTTGCGGCTGCTGCCATACGCTGATCACCTATTCTGTCCCCACAGGAAAGAGCAGCCACTCTGGACTGACATTGTTATAGAAATCTATTTATAAAATAAGCTCTTGCTTCCAACACAGAATAAGATTACTGGGTTCAAATGTTTACCTGCCAAGTTCGGAGAAACCAAATCCGCGAGAATTTCGAAGCCGGGGGGGGGGGGGTTGCGGTTTTTAAAAATTAAACATTTAGGCAACTTCATTACATTTATATTGCACTGCTCATGCTAGCGAGATACAGCTGGGCCTCGTTATGATTGCAGCCGTTTGTTGCAACGGCAAAGATTCCTTGCTTAAGTGCGGGGAGGGGGGTAACAATTTGCGTTTTCCGGGAGATTTTTCTGTCAACTGGCAGGTACGAATATGTGATTTATGCCATGCTGCCCTCTTCGGATGGAAGTGCCCATATTATGGCAGTAGGGTCGAAAAGTCCAATGAAAAGAACAAATCATGTCAAAACCCAGAACACAGCAAATGTAACGTAGCAGTTCTTCGATCCCCCCAACCGTATTGATGTCACTGGCCTAAAATAAGGCAGAGCCTCCTCCACACGCGTGGCTCTCTTAACGGAGTGGCGGCGTGAGTGGTAGCTGAGTGCCACTAGAGCGACAAACAGCAACAAATGACAGCGACACGCGACAGACGACTCCAACAGACAGCCTGTTTGTCGGAGTCCACCATCCCACCTGGCAGACACGACGCAGAACACGGAGACAAGAAAAATTGCTTCCTAGTGGGACTGCAGTTGTAAACAAAGCAATTCAAAATACACAAACAGGATGTGGCGACGCGGTTTTCGTGTTTCGCTCTTTGGGCTAAAACATACCGACAAACACGGTGAAAGTGGAGACGATTACATTATTTTTTTATTACAGCTTCCGCTTGTCCTCATTTGCCGTTGGAGACTTTTCGCAAACAGTTGTGACATTCGACACCAAACGTTTTCCGAACTAGAATTCCCAAATCGTTCCTTTGTTGTGTTGTTCGAAGCACTCTAAGTGAGCGCCATGAAATTTCACGCCGATTTTGAGGATGTTTATAACTTCAAATCTGAATGATTAAAAGCAAGCGTTTTTGGGGGGGACAATACGGCATTCCATTATACAGACCGTGATGACAAGTCTCTCGTCTGCCGGAATGGCTTGCCGCGGAACGTCGTGTCCTACTTCGTGGTGAGCGGTGTTACTTCGGACAGTTCTCGAACATGGGTGTATCCATCCTGATGAAGAGGCGTAGACCTCGGCATCTTGAACCACCTCACGCACCAAGTTTTCGCTAGCAAAACCAGCCACAGCAAATTCCTTTTCGCAACAGTACTGCCAGCAAGCAAGCCGCACCCGCAAGCCACTATGAGCAATCAAGGGACCGGAACTGCGGGAACGATCGGTGGCCACCAGGGACTTCTCTGAAGGTCGAGCGGCGGAGCGAGCAACCGGAGGGGAATTGAGAGGCAACAGAAGTTAAAAGCGGGCGAGGAGGATAAGTTTGTCTCTGAGAGATGTTCCTCGGTGGGACTGCTTGCTGCGCTTCAAGTCCAACGACAGACAAAAACTCATCTGTCGTCAATCGTTTGTCGGCGCTTGTCAGCGTTTGTCGCGGGAGTTGGTCGTTATAGTGGGACAGCGCCAGTGACACGGAACTGTGTGGTGTCGCAGGACGAAAATCGGTGTTTGTTGCTCCAGTGGGGCAAGGCTATGAGGGAGTGGCAAGCAACACTGAGCAGAATCGTCGCTTTGAACGCCAGCGTGCTGTGAGCCCTTGGTGATACCAACAAGGCTAGGTGCAAGCTGGAGTCCAAGGTTATATTTCAATTTCCCTGAGCAGAGCGAGGGGTGACCGGGCGAAGCGCAGTCTGTTTGGCAGCCTAGCTTGCTGACTGTTTCGATTAGCTAGGACAGAGGTGCGCAAAGCGGGGGAGCGATGCGACGTCTGGGGTCGTGGGGGCCTAAGAAAGCCGGGCCGCTGATGGCTTTGATACTGCTCTAAAGGGGGGGAAGGTGGGAGGGAGGGTTGCCTGAAAAGTTTGCGCAACTCCGAGTTAGGCTTTAAACAGGAAATGGTTGGCAAGCTAGGCTGCTAAACACGTCAACGGCTGCTCCCTCGGTGCACCACTGCTCGGTTAAGAGAGCTCCTTAAAGGGCAACTCCGCTTCATTTTTGGTTTTGAAAAAACAATGCAGTCCTCTTCAGTACCGCCTAGGAAGACCACATGTGAAATGTTACGACGCAGTTCTGTCTAAATGTTTCTTAAACGGTCCGACAAACTTTGCAACTCGCCAAGTTGCCGAAATCGGCTGACTTGAGCGGGCGAATTCAGGCGCAACCAACAGCGCAGTCAAGGCTACGGCATGGGCGGAGCCAACATTGAGCTAAACGTCATTATCATGGCCCCCTATTGCTTGTTTTCACTTCTCCGGGCGAGCGTAGCGCATGACGTCAGCAATGTTGCCTCTCGGCACTCAGCGGTGTCCATGTGATTGGTGTAACGCGCCTGCGCAGCGCGCTTCTTGGGAGCCGTCCGGCCGCCCGCCGTTATTGCCGTCTTCCGCGTCACAACCGCCGTCGTCGTCTCACCGATTGTGATTATTGTCTCTAGGAGTTTCGTCCACATTATGAACACCACGTGCGCAGACTTATGCCGCAGTTGTGCAGACGTCGTCGAATGCCGTAGACACCAAAACGTGGCGAAGAGTGCAGTGCAGACAACACTTGCGCCTGCCACGATCCCGCCCGTCGTTGGGCCGAGGATCACGTGACATCTCGTACCACGTGATGGCCATGTACTTGGCGACCCCAGGCCAATGTTGCCGGGCGGAGCCGAAGTTTCGGTTTCAATTTCCGCTCGTGTTTAAAATTTGATTTAAAAATATATATCCCATTTTTCGCGAAGCAAACGACGTAGTGTGTTTTACTAGGAATTTTTAATTCGAAATCAATCATTATCCCGAAATCTTTGGAATTGAGCGGAGTTGCCCTTTAAGCCCCGCCCACGGAGGAGGCTCTGCCTTATTGCAGGCCAGTGATATCAATAACCGCAGGTCAAATCAATACTCCCCAAAAGCTCAGGTGACACAAAACCGACCGAGATAAGAAATAATACACAAACAATTTACACAATGTCACTTGGACATGTCACACGTGTGTATTAAAGTTGAACTGATCCAGTGCTTTGTGCATAATTACCTCAACTGGTGGTCCCCCTAGTGATGCCTGCAGATCTGTCAAGGAATAAAAATAAAAAGAAAGAGGGAATAATTTATTAGACAGAAAGGATCATTCACTGCAAGAGTCTCCCCTCTACAAAGTCCGAGTCGGCCCTTACTTTTGAGTTCCTCTTTGCTCTTCTCGCTGGCAGCGTTGTCCACACGCAGCGGGCGACCGTTCAGATCGAAGGCGTTGAGGTTTCGCATGGCGCTCAGAGCGGTCTCTTGATCCTTGTATTCGCAGAAGCCATAGCCCTTGGGTTTGCCCGTCTCGCGATCGTACACGAGTCTGAAACAGGGTGGAGACGCAACGGTCGGTGCCGGTGAGCGGGACAGGCGTCGCAGTCATCGAACTCACCGGAAGCTCACGACGGGACCGACTTCGGAAAAGATATCCTTCAGCTGCTCCTCGGTGGCCTCATAGGGAATGTTCCCCACTTGAAAGAGAACGGGAGAGGCGTCGATGAACTACGAGCGCGGACACCGCGTCTAGGCTTGGGCCAGCTCCAGCTTTCGAACATTAATGGCATCAAATCCGGCCACAGCATAACGTCAATTATGGCTACGGTATACTCTGTCATAAACATTTTTGCATACTGTCATTAACAAGTATTCGATCCTAGATACAAAGAAAAGGTGCCGGCGAAGGACGGGGCCGGTGATCGCTTACCGAACACCGAACGCACAGAGCGTTCTGCAGCCGATAATACGCCTTGGACAGCAGTCATTCTGACACGGGGGCGATCAGGTACGGCGATATTTGTGTTGGGGTGTCACCAATGTCTCCTAGCCTGGCAAATTTACGCTCGCTTTTCAGGTTTGTCGGTTTACGCGTCTACGCTCCGCCGCCTTCGTTGACTTCACTTCTCCCGTTGTTTGTCGATTGGATTGAATGCTGGATGAAATCTGGAATCCAATGCAAATCCAATGGAAAACAAAACTGTAGTAAAACAAAATAAAACCAACGCCTCCTAGCGTCGATTAAAGTCGCAGTCGGCTCGCGCAATGGTGTTGAGGATAGAGGAAGTCTGCTTCTGCTTGTAATCGAATAGTTGTTGGCATTAGTTACATCAAAAGCGGATCTACTCACAAATCCACTCATTGTTCGCAAAGCTTTAAAGACTCGGAGAGGTCTAGTAGGCGCGTATAAGTGTCAGCAAATCTTTTGTTCCGTCTGATCTAAAGCAAGCAAGATGTCCAACTTCGCCAGCCAGATCGTCAAACAGCTCGGAAGCAAAGAATTTCGGCAGTACTTATGCAGGTAAACTGAACGTTATCGCGATTTATAAATACAGTCTTCTTGAGTAACGGTTTTGACCGCAAACATATATTTGACTCTTTCATCTTCCTATCCGCGCTGCTGGGTGGCCGACCGCACTGACCTTGCAGCACGGTAAGTCTCATCTTTGATAAAGCGTACTTCACTGGGGGACGTAGTAATGCGCTCCCTTTAGTAATACTTGATACGAACGATGCTTGTCCTGCAATTACCATCTTGAATAGGTGTCGATCGTTTTAGGCTTTCAAAACTAAATTTCAAATATTAAAAACAAATAAAAAAAGGCAAGATATTAACTTCGTCTTTCACTCCTTTTGTGCAGCACTTCTGGGGCCCTGGTAAGGCTACTAGGACAACGGCAGTGTTCTCAGGCCCATCCTCAAGACTGAATCATCGACGACTTTCTTTCTAGTTGCCAATTGGGGAATCCCCATAGCTGCAATCGCTGATATCAAGAAGGACCCGAGCTTCATCAGCGGCAAGATGACCACTGGTATAGTTGCAGAATGTTTTCACATGACAACAATCCGCTATTTTGTTGGGTGTCAGCACAATGAAAATAGGCCTGCGCATTACATATTTGAAGGTGTCAGATGCATCTCTGGAATCCGTGCCTCCAGCAAACACTAGACAGCTCATAACAATGAAGTAGTGGACATAATTTTGTTAACGACGACACTCTATTGCTAGCAATACTCCATCATCTGTCGGTTACCTTCGCTGCTTGCTGGGTGGCGTCGTCTGCTGTGAAGGCAATCTGTACTGTTGTTTTGCAGCTCTGTGCATCTACTCACTGCTGTTCATGAGGTTTGCCCTCAAGGTGCAGCCTCGAAACCTGCTTCTCTTCGCCTGCCACTTCACCAATGAGGCTGCCCAGATAACGCAAGGTTGCAGGCTCATACAGCACGAGTAAGTTTTGAATTAATCTTCTGCTTCTTGCGCAGGAGCTGCTGCGACGTCAGAACGATGCCGAGCTCCGATCGGCTTTGATTGAAAGGATAGTGGGTAGACCCAACACCACCTAGACAGAAGGCCTCCACACGCGTCATCATAGTCAGATCGATCGAGGCGAGAGATTGGGCACGAGTGCTGCGTCAGTGTTCGGCTGCGGCTCGTGGCCAATCAGCGCGTTGAAGGTCGGGCTCGGGTCCAATAGCCGACCGAGCGCGATCCGACTGTGATGACGTTTCATAGAAGAAGAGGAAACCATGCGGAGGCCTTCTGTCTAGGTGGTGTTGGTAGACCCCAATCCTAGATGCCTTCAGGTCTACTCACTATTTTTTTCAACCAACCAATAAGAGCTCAGCGTTCTGGCATCATCGCAACGTCTGTGGAAGTAGCAGACGAACTTGCGCTCCGCAGACCAAATGTAGCAGGTCAGCAGTCCTGGAACAAGGGCTGAAATACTGCTGTCTACTTGTGTTTTGCGGCAACTTAATTTTTGCCAATTTCGCAAATATGCAATGTGTCGATAATGCAAAGGTGCAAGCGAGCTGGACAAGTACGAAAATAAGCCCTGGAGAAAGGGAACAAGAGGGACAGAAAACAAACACAGATCTCCTAGCTGTGTTTGGAGATTTGTATTTGTCCTTTGTTCCTCTTCTTCCCTTTCCCCATGGCTTATTTTCGTAATACAATGTGTCCCCTGCCAAAAAGAAATGTAAACATTATTTTTCATTGCAAAGTACACAACGGATTGCCAAATACCCAGTCTGCCCAAATGTAGTATTACAGCGATCTGGAACAGATGCCAAAATTTCAGAACCGTTGTCTTGCTACAAAGTACTGATTTCCTAAAACGTTTAATGGGAAATTGAGGCCTGTTCCCGACATATAGTGTCATTCGCCTCCAAGTATCCATGGGCTTCGTCAACTGCTTTGTTGACGAAGCAGTTGTTCCCATTGAAATTTTCCAAAAAATTACCGGTAACTTTAACACGATAATGGCAAGCTCCGATACTCTTGCATCTGGTCTGGACCGCTATTGCAACATTTGGGCAGACACTGAGCATTCGGTGATGTGTTTGCTTTCGTGGTGAAAAAAACACGACAATTTCTTTTTACTGCTTAGACTACAATTGTGCAAAATTAATTACCAAAAAACACCATGAAAGCACCCACTATTAAAATTTTCCAAATTTGGGAAATCTGCAAATTATAAGTCGAGTACCCACCCCCTCCTAAGTGCGTGGCACCAGCTGAAAATATCTACTCTGTTGTGGCGGCCACGAGACTGCCAGTGGTGATGATGGGGATATCATGTGAAAATGATGTGCTTTCTCAGATTCCATTCACCCTTCCTTCGAATCTCTTCATCAGCTGCCATCTTAAATTTTATCGATTTCACCAGACAAGCTCTTCTGTCCATACTCCGTTTCACAATAACTTGGTGCACTGTGGAGGCTACGGCCCACGTAACCCAATAAGAGCGTCGGAGCGAAGTTTCATCCATCTGCTGGCTAAGAGTCGTCTGCTGCGAAACCAACCAACTTCGGATGAATGTCCACTGCCACAACATTGCCGTCCGCTAGAATAGCATGTTCTTTGGGAACAGTTCATTAGGCAACCGTACACTGAATTTACCCTTGAATATCTGGTGGATGCTAATGCCAGGGCGATGTTTTGAGTGGAAGCGGTCGACTACACGGCTGCAGTGCTGCTATCGCTAACGGCCATGGCACTACAAGGAGAAAAAAAAATCTGCATCGGAAACGTATGCGACGTCACCTTTTTTGGTTTAAAAATAATTGAAACTAATAAATGCATGAATATGTATTCCTGTTTTTTCTTTTATATATTCTCAAAGTTGCCATTGCGCGAAGTCAGTAGCCATTAAAAGAAGCCTAGACCTACTTTTTGTCGCAGACGGCGCTGTTGCTGTGGCGGTAACGGGGCCTCCGTAGCCTCGACCACGGAGTGTTGTCACGTGCCCTGCTTCGACGCTCTTATTGGATCGCGGGGGCCGCAGCTATATCAACTATACACTTGACCCACTGGCAATGGCAAACTTCCTGCTGCAAAGTTTCAGCAAATTACAGGAACATTAAACCCAAAAGTATGACATTGTTTACAGAATGTGGCATGCAACAAAATAGTACCTCTGGTGCTATGTTGAACAACACTGCACCAGAGGTAGTACCTCTGGTGTCAGGTGCACCAGACAACTGTCCTACCGCCGATCCGTTTGAGAAGGGAACATTTCCGTGTCATCTGACCGTTCAAGTCAAACCCACGTCCCTAATCTGCAATTTTATAAATTCACAGGCTTGGTGGGGTTTGATAGATTGGGCGTTTCTACTCCACGAGCATGTCGCCACTGCTCGCACGAAGTTGTGTGCAACTGTAGTCGCAGATAAGATGAGAATGGAAGGGAGGTTGTTCAGTTGTCTCGCCTCCTGCACGAGCTTCTTGCCTTCGGTAACGCTTCGGCGTCTCATGGGTCTTCGGCGTGTACACCCAGTATGGCAAAATGCAACGAGCCCGCGCTGGAGGCTGTGTACAGGAAAGAGACGCCCTACCCTTCTCACCCTGTCAGTGACAAGTGACCACACCGCTCCACGATACTGTATTTCAAGGGACGTCTGGCAACCTCGATTCTCTAACGGAATGCCACACTCCCGCGCCAGCCAGCCACCACCAACTTTCCTTACGCATACTAACTTTTCCAGGTACCTGGGCGGTTCGCGGACCTGAGGCACCTCCTTTCGTAGTCACTCCCACCGATCTCCGTTCCCGTCCCCGGAAGAAGCCGAGCCCCTTGTCGAGAAATAAAAACGATTGCCGCTTTACTCGTTCGAGCCGCGAAAGAGCACTCTGTTCGACACGACAGGTGGCAGTGGTTCGGATGTCGGGATGGCACTGTTCCCCGCCGCCGGCCCGCACCCGTCACTTGACGCACAGGAAGCCCCTGACGTCCGTGACGAATGCCTCAAAGGCATCCCTGAAGCGCAGCCGGCTCGGCCGGTCCAGGCTCAGTGGCTGTGCCCTGGTCAGGGTGGCCAGGGCCTGTGCCAGGCGCTGCCCCACCTCGGCGTCCGCCTGGCTCGACACCAGCGCCTGACCCAGCTGCTCGAAGTGCTCCTGCGGTTAGAAGACGACGTGTCTTGTTAATATGGACACGTCTATTCCACACAGAAATGGTCCATTTCGCGAGTTTCTCATAATAATGAGACAAAAATGCTCGTATTTTCCCTGTTTGTCTCCGAAAATAGTCTATATAACAGGGCATCCATATTGACGGAACATGACCGTAATATGCTAACTTCGAGAATCCTGAAGTCCACATTTTACTGGCTTTACTGTTCCTGATATTCATTTATGAATTCCTAACTATGGTAGGTCATTCAGACAACTCAACTCTATTATATTCTGTAACCATCCACTAATACTACACAATACTTGCCAAATATCTGCAGAAGTGGCCTTGTTGCTACGTGCTAGGAATGAAGCTACTGTAAGGTAATATTTGTGGCAGAGGTCTTCAGACCCGTAAAAATTAAGTCTGTTGTGGTTCAGAAGCCTGTTCAGCCTTGAATAAGGCAGGGTCAGTGGCGTAGCCTGGAAGGGAAGCTTATGGGGCACCGACCCCCTCCCCCAAAGTCCAGCCGACCCTGTAATATACACATGCATTTTGACGCCAACGCACCCCAAGTCATAGACATCTCTGCCACGGGACACCCCCTCTCCACGAAAAAAATTCCTGGCTACGCCACTGGGCAGGGTGACAAGCAATTGGCCTTGAACGGCCCAAGGACTTGGAAGTACCGCAGGCTTTGTGTACTTCCCGCACTCTTTTCCCACTAATCTGTCAGAGCAGAGATTACAGAAGCCAGTTCAATGAGCCATCGCTTGAAAAATGAACATTTCCATCATGCGCTATGGCACTGACAAGATGCAGTCCACATCTTGCAAACACCGTATTTATTCGAAAATAGGTCGACCCCCCTATGAATAATGCCTGTGTGTATATTTCTCTGCAATGATCAAGAATAGCCTATTGTTGTGATTTGTGGAAGAGGCCCAATGAATGACGAGGCACCGATAACGTCAGAACATGCAAATGAGTTGTGTGTGGATCGCATTCCAAACGTTATCTTTGCTTTACCATTCAATGGCTCCTTTTTGTAAGTCTTAACAATTGGTCTTCGTGGGTTCTGTGGGAAAGTAGACACGCAGGTCTGTTCATAAAAAGGTCAGCCTATTTTCAAATAAATACGATAATCTGGTGAACCACTCTACAGATTAGTCCTGCATACCTCTATTCTATGTTCACAGAAAAACAACTGCATCTCCATGTGGTGAATGATGTTGATTGGGGCGAAGCTCTGGTGGTGCTTGTCTGCGTAGATGCTGAGCCGCAGCATGCCGAGCCTTTCGTTCGTTTTCATCCATGTCACGCTGCGGTCAAATGCTCAAATGCGTATAGTATTACCACGTTCCATACCACACATTCTCTTTCTGACATGGATGAAAACGAATGAAAGGCTTGGCATGCTGCGGCTCACCGTCTACGCAGACAAGCACAACCAGAGCTTCACCCCAATCAACATCATTCACCACGTGAAGATGCAGTTGTTTTGTTTTTTCTTGCCCTACACGAGCACGGGAGCACATGCTCGTGAGCGCGTGAGCTCACGAGCAGGAGCACGTGCACCCGACGGCGGATGGACATACGGACATGGCTAGCCCCTAAGGAGCTTCGCCCCTAAAAAGTCTGTTGTATCACCAACAGGCAACACCAACAAGCAAACTGTCTGCATATTTTAGTTTCTGTTTACGGCTACATAGGCAACTCCTTGTGGGATACAAGCCCAGCACTGGTAACTCTTTGTGCCTATCTCTGCAATGAGACCCATAGAGAAGGTTATCCTACTCTAACAGGGTGGAGAACAAAAATAAACGTGATTTAAATTGCGACTTAAATCGGACCTATTTTACTATGTTACAAATCAAGCAAAAAAATAATCCCGAAAATATTTTTTTCTTTACCGTTTATAATTTGATGCCTTCTATGTGCATTTGTTTTGTATTTAAACAGTCATCGAGCAAAAAAGATTTATATGAGGCTGAACACAAGCAAAAAGAAGTGCTAATCTTTCACTTCGCTCACAAGCTATGTCATGTCCTATTGCAACAAAACCTGAATGCAAAAGACAAAAACTAGAAAGAAAAAAAATAATGTCCTATTTCAATCAAGTTAGAACTCAAAAGAAAAATAAATTTTCACCTCAAGAAAAAAGCAAGTTTTGCGTATTGTTTATATGCCGCGCGAAGTAGTTCTTACAAGAAGATTTGGTTGTTGGGGGAAGAAGCAATGCTTTTGGCACTTGAAACATGCATGGCTTGATAAGATAACATATATCTACCACACCCTACTACAATGCCCGCTGGGCAAAGTAGGTAATGAATAAATAAATAAAATGCATTACATTATTTAGCTCTACACAAAAGAGGGAATTTAGTAATGCTCCTCAAGGAGTCTGACTTTTTTTTTTTTACTTCGGTTCTTAATGTAAAAACAAATATATAACTAACACAAAAAAATAAAGCTGTTTTTGTTTTAGTATGGTGAGCATTACTGCGATGAAAGGTTTTTAATTAAACTGTACTTCTAAATTTAAAATAATTCTTTCTGTATTGTTCTTTGTGATTGGATGAATTGATCAATCAATCTGCCATCTTAAAAAATACACCCGATGGTAAGGATTCTATTTTCCAGCTACAGTGATTTAAATCAAAGTAATCTGACTCGAATAAATCAAATGTATTTAAATCAAATACATCTGCTTTATTTTTATTTTTTTAAATCATAATTTTCTTCATTCTGGTCTTGACAGGTCCATGAAAACCTGTCAATATGATATTGCCATTTTCAAGACCTTCAGTATCACTCGAAAAAGAACCTCGGTGATAAAATTCATGGCTCGAGGAATAAAAAATAAATCTCCTACTTCATAGGTCAATCCATGTTGAGAAGACAACAGTAAACAGTAACAATTAATATGTTAATATTCCGAAGCCACAAGTGTCAAGAAAAACAGCAGAGTCCAGAATTAAAAAAAACAAATGTGCTGTGACCTCCGGCAGGATTAAAAGGTCAGGGCGTCTGTATCAGACGCTCAGCCTCTAGCACAAGGGTCTCAATCACATGGCCCGCGAAACACGGCCCTCAAGCATCAAACGGCTGGCTGGGAACCCCCATTCTCGTGCATCAAGAGGTTATATGTGTCATAAATATTGGTCTCCTGTCGTCAGTATATTTGTACTTAAAGCATAGCTCTGCACTTATAACATGTGCACATATTTTTCTCTATTACGTTTTCCATTGAACTCGGTATATTGGATTGCTTTAATTTTTGCTTCCGAGCTCTTTCTCATGTTAATCACCAGTACGACAATCCAACCACTCTAATGGTTGAGTCCTAAAGCGCAAGCTCTTTTAGGACTCACCACGACTGCACAAGCTCTTGCTCTCTAGGAGCAACTTCCTAAGATAAAGCTTGAGCATGGGTTTTCAGGAGTCGAAGAACACAATTAAAAGACAAAAATTGCCTTAAAACGCTGCTATAAAAATTGCCAGGCAAACAGAAACCGTTGTATTAAAAGTTTCTTTTTCTTTTACAGCAGAGCTGTTAAGGGCTAGGTTCCCCAATATCGTATCCGGTGTGTCGACACAAACCTACCTGGACAGCTACTGCCATCTATAAGTGACGGCGGCAAGCACACAACCAGTATGGTTTCCGCCGTCACTCGTAGATGGCGCCAACCTTTCCAGGCTCCATCTATAATAGAAGAATGGATACTTGGGCGCGTTGGTGGGAATTCATCGTAGGAAACAGTGCGAAAAACAAACAACGACGAAGAAGAAGCACACAGTGTATCGAGTACAGCTCTGCTGGTCTTCCTTCTTCACGAGATTAGAAAGGCTGAACGTGTTTTTTTTCCCCCTTTATTTTTAAGTAGTGTTGAAGTCAATCAATTTCCCAGAAAATTTGGCGACATGGCAACGAGGGTGTTTGTCCTCTTTTGTTCTATTAAAAAAAGTGCAAGCAAGTTAGCGGTGCAGTGTAATTTAAAATCTTGTTATCAGATCTAGGATGAGCCTAAAATAGTCACATTAGAAAATCAAAGCTAAGGATGCAAGTTTACAAAAGCAGAGATCACGAGGTCCCTTCTCTAGAAAATCTCAAATGGGCCAGGGATTATTTTCGTCACTGAAAGACTTGGCTACTTTGCAAAGAGAAAATTACTACTGTTTATCATTCTTTTGTACTCAAGCATGTCCTGGGCACTCTCTGCGTGCGTTGGCCCTCAACCTTACGGGGGTGGGCTGCCCCCACACCTGAATGAGTTTGAGACCCCTGCTCTAGCACGTGATTGTGTTCTGTTGTGCTTCAGCTGCGTGTGTACGCTAAAGGATCACGAAATGCTGAAGCGTCATGGAAAGTTGAAAGCCCGCACTAGAAGCAAGATGACTGAAGGACATCCCTGCCGTTTGAACCCTACCAGTGACCATTAAAACTGTTTTCAATTCTACTGCCCCGAAATACCACTTCCAAAGGATAATTCTTGTAACCATCGGGCAACAATGCATTCTACACATCCCCGTTTCTCCTACGACGAAACTTTGCGGTCTCCGAACACACGCAAAAGGTCGGCTCGCCGGCAAAAACCCCTCGACCTGCTGCCCTGAAAAAAGAATGGCGGACAGGCCTCACCCGGTAGCAGCAGAGCAGGGCAAAGAGTGCGCCCCCCGCCACCAGGGTGAGCTCCGAGTCGAGGGGCTGCAGCAGCACCATCTCCAGAAGCAGGCGCAGGAAGGGCTGCAGCGCGTGGCCCATGGGCGTGGCCTGCAGCTGTTGGCGATGCACCTCCATGGCCAGCACCGCCACCAGGTCCAGGCACAGGCCGCACACTTCGGCCGAGAAGCTGCCGAGGGAACGTGCCCAACAAAACTGACCGGTTAATCAATCGCGAGGGGTACACTTGTGACGAGAGAGCTGGGGAAGAAAGCTACAAATTTTCAGCTTGACGCGTGCCAATGCATCCAGCTCCAAACTGTTTGACCATGATCATGCTGGTCAAGGTCACGCTTGGAAGATCGCAAGGTCTGCGATGCCAGAAGTGAAGGCTACTGGTAACAGTGAGCAATTGCCCGCCATTGACAAAATTCAAAGAAGGCTCGTTCATCAGGTTGGCACATTGGGGGGTGAGCAGAGCTCACATCGATGAATTGGGAGGGTTAGCAGACAACCGCTCCCGGGTTAGGTTGGAGCAAATTTTGTCACAGAGGTCCCAACTCATGGCCTGCTTAAATCCGACAAAATCGACCTGCATCGTCCAATCGGAGGCATTGCCTAAAAATTTAGGCAACCACTCGGGTCGGCCAAAGCAGAACCACTATTTGAAGGTCAGGTTCTATACCGCTCAGCTAAGTTAATCATGGTCTGTGCTGGGAAGGTCAACTAGAAACTCGAGCTAAACAAATTTCAGCTCTAAGGGTCGCGCTCAATAGAGTGCACCATAAGCTCAACTCAATGTAATAGAATCTGACCTTTAGTACAGTCATGCGTGGCTATGAGCCGACGAATCCCACCCTCAAGCGTATACTCCTAACCAAGCTAGTAAACCTCACGACCAGAAGGAGGTAACACCCATCAGTTTTGTTGTTTAAGCACTACAGTTGAACCTCGATGTAACGAAGTCGGTAAAATTCGCAATTTACTTCGTTACATTGAAATTTCGCTAAATCGAAATTTGGCTTTAGCATGCAAAAAAAATTCCGAAACATTTTACGGGTATGAAAACTCACCGAAAATGACTTTTATTTAGGGGCAAACTAGTCCGTGAGTTTTGCTTGCGTCTTGTTGGACAGTAGCAGCGGCGTCATACGGCGTTCGAGCGCCCAGAGCGCTTGCACGGCATCTTGCTGCCCATGCGACGCCGTGTACCTCCTCAGTACGTCCATTGCGAGCATCTGCCTCAGAATCGTCGTCGTCCTCCGTCGAGTTCCCGACCACATCCTGCACGATGGAAGCGTCAGAAACCTCTTCCGTGGCAACGACGCACGAGTCCCCGTAGAGGTAGTCGTCCAGAGAGACATCGTCGGGGACAACACCGTCGCCACGGAGGGACTGCCATGCTCCCAGAAGTGCCTCTTGGTTTGACTCCGTCTCATCTTCACTTGGAAAGGACGATACTGTGGGAGCACTTCCGCTTCCTTCCCCGAGAGCACTGGCTGCTGATGCTGGAGGAGTTTCAAACCCAGCTTTCCGGAAACAGTTCTGAATGGTTCCGTCCGTCGTGGCTTTCCAAGACGCGGAGAGCATCTCCAGTGCTTGGAAAATGTCCACGTTCGTTGAACGTTTCAAGCGAAGGTTGAGAAGGAGCTTATCGATCAGCCGCCTACGATACACACACTTCAAACTGTTGATAATGCCCTGGTCGAGCGGCTGAATCAGGGACATACAATTCGGTGGGAAGAACTACAGCTCCACGTTTGTTAGCTCCAGGTCTGGCATGTGGTGCGCGGAACAGTTGTCCAGCAGTAGACACACACTGCGGCTGTCATTCTTCATCGCCTTGTCGAAGTCACCAAGCCATCCGCGGAAGATGTCACGGGTCATCCACGCCTTTGTGTTGGACGTGTATTCGATCTCGAGGTCCCGAGCACCTTTGAAGCATCTCGGCCTTTTGCTTTTTCCAATTATGAACGGCATCCGCTTGTCATTCACGTCCATATTCGCGCAAAGAAGAATCGTGACCCGCACCTTGCTTTGTTTCCCTCCGTGGCATCGATCTCCTTTAAGGGCCAGTGTCCTATTTGGGAGCATCTTATAAAAAAAAACAGTCTCATCTGCATTGTAGATGGCAGCTGGCTTGTAGCGCATAGTGATTCCCGGCAGTTCCTTTTCGACCCCAGCAGCAGCTTCGGGCGTATCGGCCGATGTCGATTCCCCACTTGTCATTTTTCCGACAATTGCGTGCCGGGCCTTGAACCTGTGCAGCCATCCACTGCTCGCCTTGAATTTGTCTTCATCCAGAAGACATCCAAAGTCCTTGGCCTTTTGCTGCAGGACAGCCCCGCTCAGTGGGATATTTTGCACACGAGTGTCCATGAACCAAGTGAAGACTGCCTTATTCACATGCTCGTAAGTTGCAGCTTTCAGTCGCTTTCGTTGGCCGCTTGTGCCACTCTTCAGAGAGCCGAGAATATAATCCTCTGCTTTTAAAATTGTTGAAAGGGAACTCTGCGGTATACCAAAGCGAGCCGCGACATCCTTCTTCCGTTCGCCTTTGGAGATGGCGTCCAAAACGTTTGCTTTCTCATCCAAAGAAAGAACTTTACGTTTCCCCATGGCAGCAAGCACGTGAGTGAACCACCCGGTTGAAAAATAAAGCTGTTTAGGCGGTGCCAATGTTTCCAACCTACACAGCACTCTTGCCCGCACAGTTTACTTGCCCCCTGCGCCTTTGCTTTACATCACGCTCGCAAGACGATAATCGGTCTTCTCGGTCCTCTCCTAGATGGCACTGCCCGTGCGGTCGCGCCTTCACGTCGCTCCACCGCTGAAGTTGGCTCCCGCGCTACCCGTGGTACAGTGGACTATTGATGATCAGTGAATGTCAGTGGTGATGCTGTTATGCCGTGTTAACTTTTTGCTCGGCATTTTCTGGCCAGCCCCGCGGAATGCGCTTTGCCGCATGCCTCGCCGGCGCTACCGGCGCCGCATCCTCGGGCAGCCTAGGAACGTTGGAAGGCCTGTCCCCGTGAAGTAACCTCTCAAGCGCTCGCATTTGCGCATAATTTTTTTTTAACCACAATTTTTTTGCGAAGTTGTTTTTTAGAGTCTATTTATTTATTGACTTCTATGGCAATGGTGCTTCGTTATATTGAAATAGGAGCAAAATAGACTTCGTTATATAGAGACTAAAAATACATGGGGTCTATGGGCAAGAAATTATGAAAAATAAAATACTTCGTAAAATCGAGGATTTTGTTACATTGAAGTTCGTTATATCGAGGTTCGACTGTATCTCTTTTTGCCACTGCAGTCGGGTGCACTTTGCATTAAGGCCACACAAAGCACGAGACACCCCGGCACACCTTGTGAGGCCCAGCCGGATGGAACTGAGCAGGGCCTGGAGCAGTCCCTCAGGCAGCTGGCACACCTTGGAGGGGTGCAGCTCACCAACCAGGGCGACCAGCTTGAAGTACTGCAGGCACAGGGAAGGGAACTACAACAGCAAGGAGAGGGGGCAAAGGTTAGCCTCCGCGGGTAGACTGGCTTGCCCCTAAAGCCACTGCGTGCAGTTCGCATGGCCCCGCCAGCCCCGTTTAGTGATAAGAAGAGGTTTGGGCATAGTGGAGAGTTTTGGAATAACCTAAGGAGTCGTGTGACGACTCGGCATGCCGAGACGGCGTGACTAGCGATCAACGTGTAACGAGGCAGTGTGCTAAGGTTGCCTAACTCAGCTTTTCTTTGAGTCTGAAAGCTCTCTTGGATTCTTCTTACGAGGTAATAAACAAAAAGAAAATGCGCAAACCAGCTAGTGTGAATCAAACATAATTACCCTAGCCTTAAAGTTTTTTGTAACTATTCAAAATTAACAGACTTTCTCCTCGAGCAGTCTTGGATATGGTAACTTTGGTAAACGACGAACAGGGCAGAACCCACCCCTCTCTGCCTTACTATTACTGTTTAAATAGTATAGCCAACATGTCCAAAATCAAACTTTTGTCTCGTCTTTAATATTGGTTTTTAATACTGCTTGCTGCTCGTTTCATAGGAAGGAAGAAACCGAGTTCTGCCTCAACCCAACAAGTAGTTATTTCACCTCACTGAGCTACTACGTACAATACTCCGTTATACATCAAATTTACACAGCACCAAACGTGGAGTCCATCCTGGGCTGTGTGTGCCATACTCGCACTGCTTGGACGTTAGTTCACCTGGAGCAACTGGGCGCTGAGGAGGGGCAGGAGTAGCTGGAGTCCCTCAAGCACCACTGTGGAAGCACACACGGGCTCTGGCTGCAGGGCCCCCTGGGGACTTGAGGGGGGACCCATGTGCAAGAAGTCCTTGGACAGCAGCTCCGTCAGCAGCTCCAGCAGCTCCCCTAGGTCCTGGCAGTGGCTCTCCTCAGCAGCAACCTCCACGCTGAAGCGCCCTAGAGGTGCACCGACCATTAGACAATTGGGCCTCAAACCAAGTTCCTCGGAACCCTGGAACTCCCCAGAGCACCCTCATGGGTTGCTCGAGCTCTCAAGTTCTCTCAACTGTCCCTACCTCCCAAGTAAAGTGTTTTTGCAGTTATTTTAGCAGAATTTAGCCACTCATTAATGCCTAACTATAAGCCAAACATACCCTAGTACGTTCATTATTGTTAACAAGATCTGATGTCTCCTGTGCTGCTTTATTGCACCAATGCTGATGACACCAAGAGTGGTTCCTCAGCTGCCATTCAAGGCAGGTACGGGCTCCTCAAGAGAGTTCAAGAACCCCTGCATGAAATAAACGGCCGTTGTTTCAAAATGAAAGCTCTATTCCTGCAGTCACTGCAGCAACAGCTATTAAGGATCTTCGTGACTACACTGTCGCACACTAAAAACACACTACTGTTTGCAAAAACTAAAAAGATATTCAAATATTTTTAATAAAAACACAGCAATTATTTATTTAAAATGAGATTCTCCCACTTTCCAGCACCAATGCCCCCAGACGCACCCTAAAATAAAAAAAGAGCCAACGGAGCCAACCTGTGGTGTCCTGCGCAAACTGCCTCGCCAGCGCCAAGCAGCACTGGCACAGCTCCCCCGCGTCCTCCGCGCCCAGGAAGCAGAGCAGACGACGTGCAGCCGCCCGAAACAGCTGCAGGGCTCCGGAGGCCAGGGCCGGCTGGGGCCTGAGCAGCCCCACCAGCGGGGCCAGGCCCCTCAGCACGGGCAGCAGCAGCGGCTTCACCAGGGCCAGGTTTTGGGGCGTGGCCCCCTCTGCCACGCCGGCCAGGGATTCCAGTAGGTCCAGCGCCTGGCTTCGCCGCGGCTCCACGAGGCTGCGGCGTGCCTCGTCGGGGCCGCCGAAGAGCTCGGTGAAGTGCAGCTGCAGCGGCCCCAGCAGGGCCTCCCAGAGGCGGGGGGCCTGGGGAGACCGGTTGGCTGTGCACGCTATCACCAGGGCTTTGAGCAGGGCCCTGTGGGCCCCTGGGGCCAGGCTGCCCAGCTGGCCCCGACGCTGAACCAGGGCAAGCAGGCTGGGACATGCCGCCGCCTGGTGACCCCTGTAGGAAAAACAATGCGGAGAAAAAACTCTTAATTGGGCACTGCCACATCAAAATCATATTTTTTTTATTATCCAAAACGATTAAAAACGATACCGGGACATTACCCTCAAAATATGAAACTTGGGAGTCCAGTAATTGTGAAGTAAAAAAAGAATTTCCAAATGCCGAATTTGAAGTTCCCGCGCGATCCGCGCCAGTGCAGTGACGTCAAATTTTGCGGTCTCCTGCGAGCCGACTTCCTTTCGGACCTCCACTCCACGCTACGAAGCAAAGCGCCGTTGCCACCGCGACCCGGAGCGAGGAGGAAGTGAGGAGCGGGATAGAAGGGTGCCGGCACGGGAAAAAACCGGTTTCTTCCACGACTCACCGATCATCCTCTGCTCGAGCGCCGCAGAGTTTTCCGAGGGAGGATAGAAATCCAGGAAGCAACATCACACCGGACTCCGATTTTTGGTATTTCAAAAAGAAGGGCCGTAGTGCGTTTGCAATTGCGTTAAAAAACACGTTTTACGATTGCCATTATTAAATGTTATAGAAATGTCGCCTGCAAAGCTTCTAAATTTCATGATTTTTGACGTCACCGATCAAAAGAAGCAAGGAGGTCAGCAGCGGGGGAGAACGCCAAAAATAAAAAGGTGCGCACGCGCGCAAGAAAATTTGTTTTCGCGGTGCGTTTTTTTTTGCGTGTCTATGACTACAACTTGCATCTTTTTAGACAATAAAAAAAATACAACCTTTGGGGTGTCAGTGCCCCTTTAAGGTATGTTTGCAACCATAGAGTGATTATAATGTACGCTAGAGGTTCAACTGGTGCTAGTGTCCATGTGGCTTCCAAAAGGTAAATTGAAGCAGTCAGCAACCAGTCTACTTTTGTGGTGCTTCTGTGCATTCCTATGGGAAAACGTGCATGCATTTTGTCTCTTCTCCGAAAAACAACATGAAACATTTTTTGTTATTTGAGTCATACCAAATAGTATGCACCTTTATTAACATTGTTAAAGCGTAATTGCTTTAGCTAGCGTATTTTTCTTCATCAGTGAACATGTTCAACTTCGCTATTTTTGAGGCCCAAACCCCCACGACTCCCGTGCACTACGACGTTACGGTGCCCCATTGGTCCACTGGTTTCGGTTAGAATTTGTTGAGTTTTCCCCGCAAAACTTTGACTCGGCAGCAAAAACAAAGTTTGGGTGCTGTCTTCAAATCATAATTTAATGTTTCGTGCAAAAAAAAATAATTGCTTTCAAGGTGTCAGTGCGCCTTGAATTCACCGTTGACGCACGAGTTTGAGTGAGATGTTGCCATGTTCTCAAATGACGATAGTATCTGTAAAATCAACATTACCTGGTGGCTAGAACACAAAGCTGTCACGGCATGCTCATTTACCGACTTGTACAAGCGGCTCAAATATTAACAACGTTTGGTGGTCTAAACGTGAAGTCGTGAGAGGAGGTTCAGAAACATACCGTATTTGCACGAATAAAACACGAGTTTTTTTTCTTCGGAATTACGTGCTCTAAAAGACACCTCGCGTTATATTTGGAATCGAGTTTAGCCACGAGGCGCACAAGTCTGAAGAAAGCTAGAGGAGAAAGCCATACCTCCAGCTCAATGCAGAAAATTGGGTGGAAAGAGAAGTTGGGGTATGGGAGGGAATTTATTAGCTATTGAGCCAAGTGAAGGGGCGAATAGAAAACATAAAAAGCAGTTTTAACACTTTTGTGTTTGTACAACGCGCGCAGGCGGCGGAAATGCAGCACTGGCCAATTCAAGCCAAGCCAGGCCAAGTCAAGTGAACACAAGCCAAGCCAAGACCGCCGACAGTGTTTACGCAATCGTGGGACACAAGGTGTTTGTATGCAGTGGGACCAGAACAAGAATGAGTGTGATCCTGTATCAGGTGTTCCGCTGCCTTTTTTCTGTCTGCGTAATTTTTAGTTTCTGTTCCAGAGTGGTCTGGTGTTTGTGCGTTGGTTGCTTGTGCTTCACGCCTTGCTTTGCTTGTGCTTGTGGGTTGCCGAAGAACTCACGCGAAAGGAAAAAGAACTACCAGACAAGCGGCGCCGTGTTGCTGCTTATGTGCGTAGTCACCAAGTGGATTGTAAACGGAAGGACCTGAGCAGTGAAGATGAGTGCAGTCAAAACAAACTGATATTTCTTCTATTTCCATTGTCTGTGCACTTCTGCTATGCCCCCGAGTGCGGGAAGTGTACGCAGCCTTGGCTCGCGTTATAATAGTAATAATTTTTTTTTTCTTTTTGAGGGCATCAAAATCTGCTTTCGCGTTATATTCGTGGTCGCATTATATCCGTGCAAATACGGTAAGCTGAAAATCGCCGATGCCACGTGCAAACTCCCGACCCGTTCTGCTATAAAGATGCCCAAAAGAGAGAGGGTTTTTTCAGCCATCTTTCAAGGTGGTTAGGGTTTCCGCCGAGTCACAAAGCTTCCAAATTGCCGCCGCACATTTCGAGAAGAGAAAGGTTGGGTGCCGACCTCTCGACATTGTTGAGGAGGGACACGAGCGTTTGGCAGGTGCCCAGGGCCAGGGTGGCTTCGCTGGACCACAGCTCCAGGTTAGAGCACAGCTTGCCCAGCACCCAGTCCAGCACGTAGGGGCCCGCCTCGGAGTCCCGGCCAAAGGCCGCCACCAGCGTCGGACTCATCTGCACGCCAGGCAAGAACGGACCCGAATCGATTTGTATGTCGTGTTGGTGCACGAAGCAGCCACGACGAGAAGACAGAAGGAGCCAAAGATATAAGTGCAATGCCAATAGTCAACCCCACTTATAACGAATGCAATAGTTCCGCGAAAAGTGGTCGTTTTATTAGTAGTTCGTTATATCCGAACTTACCTCTAAAACGTTATAAATAAGGATGATGAAGCTGGTACTGGTAGTTTTACTCTGCCAGCTTTTTATAGAAACTGTTTGCACAATTCTAACGCTCCCCCAATTCTAACGTGCAGGCAGATTTAGCTTTCAGAAAATCATAACGTAAATTGCTACCGATTCTACCGCGCAAGAAGATTGACCACATACCTCATAGAACAGAATTTATGAAACGCACGCCAAAACAAAAATAAATGCCGTACACTAGTCCGACGATGGTTCTTTGCTGTCCACAGAAGTTAATAATACTTGCTGTGGTCTAAAGCGTTTCCTACGCATGTACGAGTGCACGGTTGTCGCCTCTGACCACATACCTCATAGAACAGATTTTATGAAACGCACGCCAAAACAGAAATAAATGCCGTACACTAGTCCGACGATGGTTCTTTGCTGTCCACAGAAGTTATTAATACTTGCTGTGGTCTAAAGCGTTTCCTGCGCATGTACGAGTGCACGGTTGTCGCCTCTGACCACATACCTCATAGAACAGATTTTATGAAACGCACGCCAAAACAGAAATAAATGCCGTACACTAGTCCGACGATGGTTCTTTGCTGTCCACAGAAGTTATTAATACTTGCTGTGGTCTAAAGCGTTTCCTGCGCATGTACGAGTGCACGGTTGTCGCCTCTGACCACATACCTCATAGAACAGATTTTATGAAACGCACGCCAAAACAGAAATAAATGCCGTACACTAGTCCGACGATGGTTCTTTGCTGTCCACAGAAGTTATTAATACTTGCTGTGGTCTAAAGCGTTTCCTGCGCATGTATGAGTGCACGGTTGTCGCCTCTGACCACATACCTCATAGAACAGATTTTATGAAACGCACGCCAAAACAGAAATAAATGCCGTACACTAGTCCGACGATGGTTCTTTGCTGTCCACAGAAGTTATTAATACTTGCTGTGGTCTAAAGCGTTTCCTGCGCATGTACGAGTGCACGGTTGTCGCCTCTGGCAGGGTCGTCTTTCAAACACTTTGCGAGTTCGTCGGACGTCAGGGATTGCGAGGCCGCGCAATGCTGCTCCGTTGTTATCTTTTTCCGCCAGCGTGATGCCCTTTTGTTTAAGGGGGGACATGGGCCTGAGCTTCAAAATTTTTTGAAAAAAATCCATTTTTCAATTTTGAGGTTTTCGGTTTTAGAAACTAATTCTACACCCTTACACTAAATTTCATAACCATGTGCCAAATAGTTACGTTGATATAAAATATTTTCAACACGTTGTGAGGCAGTAACAAAGTAAAGGAGTTCAATGTTTGAATGCATTTTTCTCAGTTCCACTTTTTGCTGCAAATTTCATACGGAGGAATCTTTTGTTTGAAGGTAAAATTATTCCGATACCACAATCAAGATGTTTCTGAACTGAAGTTTACTGGGGAATCAGGCTATCTACGTTATTTTGTTTTACATTAAGGTCCTCATTGATAATTTCAAAAATTGACTTAGGAGAGATGTGTACTATCTCATATTTTGAGGTTATCACTCTTCCTGAAATATTTACATTTAAGTTATAAAAACTAAATAGCCCGAAGTCCCACATCCCCCACTTTATACTCAAGCAGTTAAAATGGTGCTTAATAGCTTCATTTGCATATCATAGATTTCTTAACGATGAGTGGCACATCTTGTTATGCAGGTACTTAAAGTTGCCCTAGAGAGCTGAAAGTTTGCACAGTACACCTACATCTGAAGCTAAATCTCCCCTGCTAATTTCATTCCGATCACTTGAGTAGTTCAAAAGTTCAACCTCTAGCCAGTGTCCCCCCTTAAGGGGCAACACTTATTTATTTATTTATTTATTTAATTTTCCCTCAAGGCCAGAGGCATTACAGAGGGGGAGAGCAAAGAAAAATACAGAAAAGGAAAACAAGCCTAGAAATAAGTTAAACACACTCAACAAATAAAAGATTAGTAATTGCAGTTTTGAAAAGGTCAAAGTCCATGATGGTGGCAATTGTCCCGGGAAGGTGGTTCCATTCTCGTGATGTACGAGGGACGAACGATGAATGAAATGTTGTTGTGTTAGAAATTGGAATACCAACCTTGTGATTGTGATCGTTGCGAGAAGAAACGTAAAAAGGACGGGATATTAATTTGTCGCGCAGGATAGAATTGTGAAAATAAATCTTATGGAATAAAGAAAGGCGAGAAATGGTACGACGCAAGGCTAAAGGCGGCAATGGTAGAGTAGCTTTCATGGCAGTCACGCTAGCAGTGTTGTGGTAGTTAGAAAGGATGAAACGAGCTCATCTGTTTTGAATCGCTTCCAATGCAGTGATGAGGGTGACTTGTCCAGGATCCCAGAGAGAGGCTGCATATTCCAACCTTGGACGAATTAATGTTTTATAAAGGGTCAACTTTAGTGCAACTGGAGCTAATGAAAAATTTCGTTTAACATAACCTAACATGCGGTTAGCGTTAGAGGAAACATACTGAATATGATTCTTCCGTGAAAGGTGAGATGTTATGTGCACGCCGAGGTATTTATAAGACGACACCGGCTCCATATAAACCTGATCAAGAAAATAGTTAGGATTGTCAGAAGATTGCCGAGATACACGCATAGACTTACATTTGTTAGCGTTGAGGCTCATTGACCATAAATCACACCACTCAATGATAGTGTTAATGTCGGACTGTAGAACACTGGTGTCATGATTATCTATTATTTCACGATAAAGGACACAGTCGTCAGCAAACAGACAAATAGACGAGGAGATGTTAACCGGGAGATAGTTAATATAAATTAAAAATAGCAATGGCCCTAGAACAGATCCCTGAAGAACCCCGGAAGTAGCAGATACAAAAGATGAGTTACTATTATTGACAGTAGAAAATTGCGAGCGATTTGCTTTTTTATAGAGCTTTTTTTATATAACTTGCGATTCAATTCAAACGAAATTTACATGGCTTACAATCTGACTACAAATATGTACTTGGTTTTGATGTAACCTAATTAGTTTTGTTAATATTGAAAATTCCATTTTCAAAAATTATGGGAAGGATTAAAACAAATTGAAATACTCAAATAAAAAAATAAACATATATCAGTGAATTAAGAGGCATGTGGAATCCAATAAGGCATAAATGAAAGCTCTAGAATGCTTTATAAACATTTTAGGACATAAGGACAGAACGAGCGGGTTGGTAAGGATAATTAAACTTGAGGAAGAAACCGAGAAACCAATAAATCATTTTGATACTGGAAAGTTAAAAAGTGTCCTAAAAATTAAACTTCAGGAATAAACCCTTCTCGGTTTCTTCCTCAAGTTTAATTTTTAGGACACTTTTGAACTTACCAGTTTCAAAATGATTTATTGCAGGATGCTTAGAAGGTACCTAAAAAAAGTGATAACCCTATGTAATATATCTGTACCCCTTACTACACATGTCACAGATACACCTGGCAGACAAAGAAAAAAATATGAAGATTAGACATGTGCAAGTGGAGATATGGCTTCCATAAAATAGTAAAGGGTGTAAATAGTTCACTCAGAAATAATATAAAAAAGCATCCACAGACTCATTTTACTTTGTTTCCAAGACAATATTTCAAGATGAGAGAGATTTATTTAAAGAAAAACCTTCAGGATAAGATGATAAGTGCCCGCCAATCTTCGAAAAACACAATTTCAAAAATGTGTTTTCTTAGCATATTTTTCCCTCAAAGAGCAGTGTCTCCCCTTAAATAAAGCCTCCTAGTGGATTTTTTTTTTTCTCCTCATCTTAAAACGACAGACACAAGTCCGTAGACGCGAGAGAATGTGCATGATACGGGGGGGGATTGGTGGCCGAGTGGTCTAGCGCACACTAGCTCGGAGCACGTGGAGCGAAAGCTCGCGCTGCAAAACCCAATGATCATGGGTTCAATCCCCACCCCTGCCCGTTTCGATCTGGATGAGCATCGTACCGGCGTGCGGTCATGTATCACTACTGCGTGGTGCACGTTAAGACCCCAGGCTAGTGGTTGTACTGCACTGGCTAAATTGCTCATCTACAGCGTGTGACTCGTCGAAACTTTAATGGCTGTCCAACTACACGCTGTATAAATATTCCCACAATCCAATTATTATTAACAGTATGATGCTTTGAAAAACGGTTGTTTTATCTGGACCAGTTTTGATGAGTAGGGCCTTGAAATTGTATGTTTTCTGAAAGTTGGTCGTTATAACCGATAGGCAGTTATATGTGGGATCGTTGTAAGTGGGTTTGACTACATATCGAAATGGCCAAACAAAAAAATTACACTGGGTGAAAAGAAGAGGAAAAAAACTGACATTTCGCTGCAACGCAGCATGAAGGCTCACTTCCACAGTTGTATTTGGCTGTGCCTATGTTACAACGAGATACGACCAAGAGTCGCAGGGATGTTTGTGCCTTGTATGTTGCATGCACAGCTACTCCTCGAATTGGTTGCCACGTGCCAGGCTCTGTACAAAGCACAGGAGCCCCGGCGACCCGCAGTCGCAACTCCATGCAGGTGTTCACAAGATCAAACGCCAGAGTGTGAACGGGCCGTTCCAGGCATTGGGGCGAATACTGACCTGCGAGTAGTAGCTCTCGTTGGGCAGCAGGTAGGTGAGCCCCCACCGTCGAAGGAACCACACCAGCGTGAGGGCCACCTCGGGGCTCAGGAGGGGTGCCAAGCCCGCCTGAAGGGCCGCTCGCTCCACTGCACACAACTGCAGCACCGCCACCATCAACCTGGAAGGGAGCGGCAGGTCGGTCGTGCGATTCCCTCGGCCCAACGGACGTTGTGGGCTCACTCGCAGACGTGTAAGCCGCCTAGAGCCGCTGGCGTCTGCTCCTTCGTTTCTGGGAAGTTTTCTATTGTCGAGCTATTGCAGAGCCGTGCCGGCGGAATATCGAGTCACCGAGATAGAGAAAATCAGCCTGTGCATGACATGGATTTGCAAACGGAGTTCCTAGAAACCGAGAAGGTTGCCACTGCACCTCCGGGACATTCCTGGGGCGTCCAAACTCCTCAGTCATTCCTACGTCCAAGTGTCACTTTACGTCTTTCCCAGTTTAGGCATTTATTAGCGCATCGTCGGGATCTAAGCACACCCAATTTTGTTCCTAACGTGCACAGCGTCACTGACAATTAATTTTACAGCTGCCAAATGTCTCGCGGCAAAACATAAAAATATGAGGCTCCTCGGCCACCTTCCGAGGTATAGTTTGGAGCTGCTCGACACCAAAAATATGAAGTACTACCTCTGATTTACGATATTAAAGTTTTCAGTTAAGAAAAAAAAGTGTTCTTTCTGGAAAGAGCTACCACTCACGCACCTGACCACGGGGTCTGGACTCCCCTGGCAGACGGGGGCATCCCCTTGTCCCAATTGGGACAGCAGGGACAGCGTGGCTGGGCTCTCGGCCCCACAGTTCATGCTGTACTGGGTCACGTCCCGCGGGATCAGCGGCGTCTCGCCCTCGCTTACTGTCGTCAACAGGTGTCCTGCGCACAGTGTCGCATTCAAATAAGGTTCGTACAAGTTTATTACTTTTGCACTCATTCTCTAACCCCCATTTTTAAGTGACAAAGCTTTCTGTTTCAAAGCCGCACGAAGAAAGAGTCGAGCATAAAGCATGGGGGGAACCAATCTGCAGCCAAGTTGCAAAGTACAGAGGTGTGCCGTGGTACCTCTCCACTTCGAAGGTACCCTGTAGCTCCAACATACTACTACCCTGAAACTTGGCATTAATTTAGTTCCTTGTACGGCAAGCGCAAAAACCAGGTTATCCATTTACTTTTTTTGTCATTTCTCGGGTTAAATTGCAAACATTGTAGAGGTCGAAGGTAACGAAAGTGTAATAGACAGTAAAAAATTGACCGCATCTCCACGTGGTGAATGATGTTGATTGGGGCGAAGCTCTGGTGGTGCTTGTCTGTGTAGACGCTGAGCAGCAGCATGCCGAGCCTTTGGTTCGTTTTCATCCATGTCAGAAAGAGAATGTGTGGTATAGAACGTAGTTATATACGCATTTGAGCATTTGACCGCAGCGCCCTCTCGTCTATAAATGTTGAGCTAATGCATGCAAAGTTTAACGCGATTATATACGCATTTGACCGCAGCGCCCTCTCCTGTATAGACGTTGAGCGGCTACATGCAACGTTTCATCCATGACATCCCCAGCTCTTGAGTTACTACCACATCTCAGAGCCCCCTACTCGTCCCGCAGTCGTGGCCGAGTGGTTAAGGTGATGGACTAGAAATCCATTGGGGTCTCCCCGCACAAGTTCGAATCCTGTCGACTGCGCAAACTTTTTTTTTTTTTTGCCCTACACGAGCACGTGAGCTCACAAGCACGAGCACTAGCAAGATCAATGTGAGCACGGACGCCAGACGGACAAGGCTAGACCCTAAGCAGCTTCGCCCCTAAAAAAAAGTCCAAAGAATAACTGAATGCGATCTTGGTGATACTGCAATACATCTCGTTGACGAGTGCGGGTGGGGAAGCTCACCGGTCATCAGCACCAGCCAGTGCAGGTCCTCGAGCAGCTCTTTGTGAGCTGCAACATCACCACCCGACCGTGGGTCGTTCCGTAGCACCTCTTGGAGATGCTTTGTACGCTGCTCCAACAACCTGGGCGCAGACGAGCCGACCGTTGAAACCTCAGCCTCACAACAAAGGAAGGACCTTGAAGAGTCAAAACAGGTAATGCACGGCTGCCAGAGGAGCAGTGAACGAGACGTTGCGGTGTTCGGTCCTAAGCTCAGTTACGACCGGGCCTTTTCCTTAAGGTGTTCACACCGGCGATGTGCAGAAGTCGCGCGAGAACTTTCATCGCAAAAGCAACCATCGCGAAAAAAAAAGCGACACATTTTGACAAGACGCAAGCCGCCCCGACTTTTTGTGATGCGATCTAGTCACGGAGTAGCTGAGCCAATCAGCGCCATTCAAAGCGAGAGTTTTCAAGAAGCGACTCGCCCATCGCGAATTGCCAGTGTGACCCATCTGATCTTTTTTCAATGCGATCTAGTCGCATCGCGCGAGTGCTTTACAACGCCGGTGTGAACACGCCTTTACAGTGACGAGCCCGCAGAGGCACTAATCGACGCACCGGAACCTTTTTCGACGTAGAGTGCTACAAAACAAGTGGGGAATACCCCTGTCTGCTTCCTCCGTCAATCGGTACACAAAGGCTGCTGCTCCAAGGTTACTCGTATGTTGCAAGCGGCACAAGCTGCGAATAAAGCAACTTATCGTCCATTCAAAGCAAGAGCCTCGACCGGAGGAAAAAAGTAAGGCGAAAGCACACCGTTAGCACTCGATTGACAACAATGCTTGCAGCCCCGGCGACCGGTGAATACTCCTTATGCTACATTTCCATTTTCGTCGATTCGTCGACACTAGAGCAAAACTGGACGGCTCGGTATCCTCGCAGTGTCAGCCAAAGGTTCCCGGATAAAAGCAAACCATCTTTCTCGCGCTACATAAACGCAATGCGTCTGGTTAGACCTTCCTAAGGATTCAATCTGTCCCAGCTCACGTGACAGAGCCAACGATTTGGGAGATGCAAAACCAAACATTCTAAAACATAAATGAAAACAAAAGATACGTACAGTTAAACCTCATTACAACAGATCAGGTAACAGCAGACATTCAGGTATAACATACTAATTTGTTAAGTCTAGTTGGTCTTTCTATCTATGCCATTGAACAAACTTCGCTTATTACAGATTCTGTTATAACATACATTTGGATATAAGGGAGTTTTTAAGTAGTTCACCATGCAATTACAGTGGACTCTTCAACAGCAGTCATTATTTCAGACGTTACGCTGCATTGATTCAGTAGTAGTGGCATTCATCTTGTTAAAAACTGTCATTGTGCTCGGTGCCTAGCGAGCCTTGTATGTCCCAAAGCATACAGTGATGACGATCATCAGTACAGCTCAATAAAAAAATCACTACCTTTCAAACTTCAGAAGTTCGAATAAACCAGTTATTTTCTAATATTCATTCTCATTTCATCAATCTCACTGGTTAAAACAGACTCCAGTTGTAATTCATCCCAAAGTTTGTAGTAATAATATATGCCCCCCCCCCCCCCATTCTGCATACTCCTCTTACAACAGACAGAAATCTTCATCACTATTGAGGTCTCTAATAATGAGTGCATACTGAATTTGTCTCTTTTTTAACATCAAAAATGCATTGTCTCAGTCTCCAGTTGAGGCTCGCGATCAACTCTGGGACAGCAGTGCAAACAAACACCTCCGTTGCAACCTAGTGACAATCAACAAAGCCTGTTTTCAAAGTTAAATCTTGTATCACCCAACAACAAATTGCAGACAAGAAAAACTCTGGACCCAGCGTGTTCTGTCACGGGACGCAGGGACCGGCGGGTGACAGACCCAACCCTAATGGGCTCTGGCTAAAAGCGGAGCACGACTAACACCCACCGTCGCAACTATGGTGCCCGGAGAGCACTTCCGACCGGCGTGTTCATCGCATTGTCAAAAGTGGTCCCTCAATTTCCGCCCAGCCGTCGTAAAATCGTGGCACGGTTGCCCGTCGCAATCATGGCGGTGGTGCGGTGGCGAAGGTCAGTGCTGAAGATGCCCATTCTGCTGAAGGTCGTGCCAGAGCAGGACGGGCAACGGAAACCAAAGCGGACGACTCTCGCGTGCGCTCGCCTTTTTCCCCGGGCGTTTCTACGATCTGCTCCCGAGATGCAATTAGTTGCGGCATCGAGACCACTTTCGAAGCAGGGGCGGGACAGGACGACAAACGCGCCCATCAGAGCCATGTTCCGAATGCCGTAGTCACGACCGAGGTATGTCGCCCTGCGAAAGGGACGCCCGAGGTAAACTCACTGCGAGAGCAGGGGCACGGCGTGAGGCAGCACGTGGCGTCCAAGCATGCCCACGACCGCCAGCTGGTCCCGGTAGCGTTGCCGGTCATCCTCCTCCTCCTCTGCCACCTCGTCTTCGTCGTCGGAAATCTGGGCCGGAAACACCGTCCGTCACTGCCACGCGCCGCACCCTCTTGGTCTGGCCGAAGCTTCGCTGGCCCCGACTAGACCACAAATTGGTCGTGCCCTCACTCTCTTATTCCTCAATGCTGAACACAGCCGTGGTGAGCTGAATGCTGAACACAGCAGACTGGTGAGTATTGTGTACTCACCAGTCTGATCTTGTCGAATAATCAGATCATTTTTTACTTATCTAATAATCAGATCAGCAAGTTCCAATATCTATAACACACTCACTTTCCTTTGCGAAGCTCGGGAGTCAGCACTCACAAAATTTCAGGGCACATACAATTCTTTTTTTTTTTTTTGCTACATGTAGCAATATTTTAGGTCATATTTTACAAACTCAAGGGTCTTCGATGTTTCCACTGTGCTCAATCCACAAGAAACAATGTGAATTCTACACAATGCCCACATTGTGTACACTTAAACGTATGCAAAAAAATGCACAGTTGTCGAGCCATTGTTCTAAAAAAAAAAGGGGGAACCGTTCCACACAACTGGGAAGCAATAAGGTTACCGAAATTTATTATAAAAAAATTAATGTTATCCCCATCCCTAAACTTTCCACGCTGAGGGATCATCATTACCGAATCTACAACCACCCATGCCGCCAGAGAGACGAATCCAAATGAGCTACCACATTGTGACGTCGAGCGCGAGCTTTGGCGGAACCAGTGTTCGGGCCCTAGTCCCCCTCACCGGAGTCCTGGTGCCGTCGGGCGGGGCGAGGCGGCTGCGCAGGTACAGCTGGAAGAGGCGCAGGGCGGCGCCCCTTAGCGGCTCCTCGGGCAGCAAGGCCGCGTCCTGGAGCAGGGGCACCCAGGCGTCCAGGAGCTGGTCCAAAGACTCTTGATGGTGATCTGCCTCCTCCCTCGACAACCCGGGCTGCAAGTACACATGTCCGTCGTCGTTGCACCTCCAAACACTCCCGTTTTCTTTGGACCCTTCCTCGACAGAAGTCCAGAACTGATTTTTGTGATGGAAAACGGCCTAGAGCTGTCAATACTAGCATCAATGGTGCACCAGTCCTCAATGTGGCAGATTTCCCGTGGATTTGTGGTTGAAGCATCCATTGCCGTTCATGGAATTGAGGGGCAATGGGCGAGGACTATATGTGCGGGTAATGCAGCTCACTGTCCATTGCAAATGGTGAAAACACAAGACAAAAACGAACAATGCCAAATGCATGTAGCCGCGACGGCCAGCAAATTGAGCTAGGACTAAGAAAAAACAAGGGAGCACACTAACAGATGAAGTGAGGTCTGTGAGCATGCTCGCATATTTTATGACAAAAAACAAAACAAAAAGCACCGCAAAGCACGAATGGACGAGCCGAAGAAGTAAAGACACAAGGCGATGAGTCCACTTTCACAGATCAACTAGTGTAATTTTTCACGGCTTGTTCCGATGGCTTCTCATTTTTCTCCCCTTTTCCCATCACTGCTTCACATTTACCAGCACCAACTGCTGCCCGGAGTAAACTTGTACCAGCCAGAAACGGTAAAATACCATTTGGCCATGCTTCGAAGGACCTCAAAAAAAGTCTGGTGAAAGTTCACTCAACTGAATGCATTGAAAACTATGAAATTTTGTTGCTGGATTATACAAAAGTTTGTTCATCTGATTAGTTTCCTGAACGGGGGTTTGTCCACATGGTATTTCACTGTAAACGAATGGATGCACAATGCACACAGCTGAACATCGAGGAACCTTAAGAATAAGTTTTCTCGAAACATTCACTCAACTGAATGGATTGGACACTATGAGGTTTTGCTAGCATACTGTACAAAAGTTTGTTCATCTGAATAGATTGTTCAACTGGTGCTATTTCACCGCAAACAAAGGGATGCACACGGCTGAATTCTACAAATCGGGAGGCGACTCGCGCAAACTGTCGCTCAACCAAAGTCGGTCCCCACCTGGGGCTGTAGCAGGGCCTCTGCCAGGGCACACAGCCGCTCCAGGTAGGGCCCCAGGAGGTCGGGCCCCAGCAGGCTGGGCGGGTGGAAAAGGGCCAGCCGCCCCACCAGCTGGGCCACCCCTTCCCTCGGGGGCCGGGCCCCCATCAGGTCCAGGAGGCCGCCCCCAAGGAAGCGGCCCAGGTGGGTGCCCCGCTGGTCCCGCTCCCCGACCAGGGCCCCGTTCAGGGTGGCCAGCTGCAGCAGGCATTGCAGGGCCACGTGTGCCAGCTCGGGGTCCTGGCCCAGGGCACCATACAGCTGCAGCAGCAGCTGGGGCGCCTCGTCAAAGGCCCCCTTCCACTCGGGGCCCGGACGCAGGGTCGGGCTCTGCTGCGACTCGAACAGACCCACCAGCTTGCGGGGCACTACGGCACCAGGGGAGTCAAGGGAACCACCGTGCGAGGACCGCGGGAGTTGGAAAATTTGTAACATTGCCATCTTCCACCAAGAGAACTAGGACAGTGTACAAACTAGTCGACAGAGGTAGGGTACAGGCAGAGCCACGAAATGGGCTATGCTTTAGAGTATCAACACTTTAGCCGTCTCGGTACCTAAAATTATTGTTGCCAGTCATATCTCGAGCTTCACCTGAAATCGCAGGAAATGATTTTCTGTTCTTCGGAAAGGTTAAAGCAGTCCGCAACAGCGCAAAGCGCTATTGCCCTAGGTACCATACCCGAAGCTCGGAAAATCGCATTTTCAAATCGTAACGATTGCCAACTGTGCCCACACTTTTCTAGCACCAAAATGGCGGCGCCCACCAAGAAATCAAGGGTCGATGCTTCAAATGTAGCTTATTTAGCGAGGCCATAACAATCTGGAAAGCTTGAAGAACGACACCGGGAATCACCTGAAGCATGCTCAAGTTCACATCATAACAGCCGAGCCCTACTTATAAGATGATTATGCTCCGTTAGAAAGTTGTCTGGAGCTGGACAGGTAAACTAAACTGTATAAGTTAAAATTCAGAAATACACCCGACCATTGACAATGTCTATCGGTCCGTTAGAATCCTTTCGTCATGTGCAGTGGCTCCCATGCCTCGAATGATCGCCGGGCAAGTCTCCACTGCATGGACATGAAGTGGAAACCAACATCAGTACCTTACCGCCATTCCCGGAGAATTCTCTGGATATCTCAAAACACAAATAGCACAAAGGATGAGGACGAACAGAAGGAGACGGGACAAGTACTGACTAGCAGCCGATGATTCATGCAAAGAGGAGAAGAAAGGGAAGGGTGTTATGATGACGATGATGACTACAATTAGACCAACATTAGTAATGAACGCTTAGAAAATCGTCCTCCTTCTTTTCGCTATTTGTGCCTCACAATCACTTACTCGTCTATCCCATTATTCGGGAACACTCTGAAGCTGTGGACCGAGACCCCTCAAGCAGAGACAAATCAAAAAGGATACGGGGCATGGCAAACTGAAAGTTCCACGAGAGCAGCTGCTCCGAGAGTAGCAGCAGCCTCCGTAGAAGGGCCCGGTCCTCGGGGCTCAGGGCATTGGGACCCAGGCGCCCGGCGGCCTCCCGCAGGCCCTGCTGGCAGAACTGGAACACCTTCCGGAGGTGGGTAGTCTGCGGATCAAAGAAATCATCCCAACTGTTCCTTGATATCAGCCTCCAGTGTGTCGCCTCTACGACCTCTGCGTCGACCTTAAACACTGTACCTCTTTCGGGATGATTAACAGATTGCAAGTGCCAGCGGCCTCTTGACCTCATGCAAAGACAACCTTTCCGTGCACCACGACTTGCACTCAATTTGCGGCGTTTCCGAAAGGTAGATCCTCCTATTTCTGACAACATCTGCCTTCCGACTGGGGAGTGTTAGCTCTTCTGGCATTACAATATGACGGCGCACGTCGGAACGAGGTTATCGTTGCCTTGAGGTGTGAAATCTGAGAAAGCTGCCACTGTCAACTTTTGTATCTCCAGACATGATGTAAGTTAACCACTTGTGACAGAATGTAGCCCCCTTGGGCAGCAAAGATCAGATTGACAAGCCAGACAGCTTTACACAGCCAATCTCTTAACAATGGCAAATTAGGATATTCTGCAAGCGTTCCAAAACTGTCAAGTGAAGGTTATAACAACCCACTTGTCTGGTTTCCAGAAGGGAAAAAAGTGGAACATCCCCAGCGCACAACGCATCCCAACGTATTGCACAATAGAAAACTGGGACAGGTAATTATGCAATCGAGCACCCACCTCAAAGGCTTTTTTGGCTCGTAAATGCACCTCCCAGGTAAGGCCGACGTCCGTGGCTCGAGTTGAGCTCGAAAACTCCACCAGTAGGGCGCTGAGCAGGGAGCAGCCCACAGCCCTCTGTAACGAGACAGCAGACGGTTAAAAGATGGATCCCGCAAAGCCCCTCCAGGGTTATGTGCAATCGTAACAAGTCAAGATAAGACGCAAGGTCTTGAGGTTCAGTAGCCACTGCACTAACCACACCTTCTATACAACGAAAAGGCAGAGAAGTGGCTACAAGGCAGACAGAAAGAAGGGTGTCTCGCTGTCAACATGTCTCTGGCTGAAGCCACTTACAAGATGAGGGTTCCCAGCAGCCACCATCTGTGCCGCCTGCTCGAGCAGCCCGTCCAGAGCCTGTGGGTCACCGTCTACGCTGGCCCTCTTCGAGCCGAGGGCCAGCACAAGGGCCAGCTCTTCCCGGACATAGTTCTCCAGCCTGCACAGACCCCAGGTAGAGCTTAGATACAGCAGTGACCACTTACAACGTAACCGCTTATAGTGCAGGACCGGGTATAACGCGGATTTTTTAAACCACCAGTTCGCCTCCCATAGAACTCCATGTAATTACATACCGCTTAAAATGCAGGCGCGTGAAGGGAAATGCCGGTTATATTGCGGTTTCTGGAACAGCCCGCCGACCGCGCCGACCGACCGACGCAGCGAGCGCGCTTCCCTGTGCGACACTAGATAACGGCGCTAGCCGCAAGCGGCACTCACGGGGCAAGGAGATTGCTCGAAGAAGCGGGGAGAAGCGAAGAGAGAGGCTTCAGTCGGCCATAGCGACGGAGGGACGCACGCACATGTCGTTGACGGCGCAAGACGTTGGAGCGAGCCCAACCCAGGGCCAACCAGCCCAACTTTCCCCCGCTGCGTTGGAACAGCGCCTCCTCTATGCTGGTTGGAAACACCCCCAACGACAGACCAATCGCAGGTCAAGGAGAAGTGTTCGCGTGCGTTGCATGCCAGTCGCGGGCCGGCTGCTTCTATCCGCAAACATGCCGTCGGTGGTGATCGTCGATGTAGACGGCGTGGTGGAAGCTCATCGTTCCGCGTAAAAGCGCTATCCTTGACTGTGAATTTTCGTTGTGTGTCGCTATGATAACCCAGCACATATTAGAAGGGAAGATCCACCTACTCGTGCGGCGATGTCGTGGCGGCACTCTCAAGACAACAGAAACGCCCCTGTCGTCGTGTTTGTTTACTTCGACTACAGTGGTGCTTTCTAAGCATTTGTGTTTTCGAACATAGCCCGGATTTCTTATTTGGAGCATTTCATGCCTGTGCTCAAGTTGAAGGTATTGCTGGCGCGTACCGTATAAAGGATGCGAATTTTCACGCGTTTTCATCACCGGAGAAAAGCGATTAGGGTTAGCAATCCTGAACGCTCACAACGTCCGTCCGCAACCCGCGACGCCGTTAAAAGGCTGCGCCAAAAAAAAGTCACTCATTTCTTTCAAAATGTGTGACACACTGGAGAGAGAAATACTAGTTTGGTGAAATAAAGACTTCTCTCAAACTAAGCTTTATTTTTCATCTAAATAAAATAAATTGTTTTACAAAGGTAAGTTGTCTCATGGCATGTATTTTGGCCTGAAAAATTGATGTTTTGGTTATAGCGCGGTACCGCTTATAATGCGGATTTTCGCGACTCCCGCAACATAAGTTATATGCAGTCTACACTGTACCCGGAAAGCACTAAACCCTGTCGGGTACCACAACACGCTTTACGGGTGCTACAGTGAGTATAACACCCGAGTCTCAGGGACTCCAAAAGGAGAAATGTTGCGCTTGTTCTTCTCTTGGTATCTTTCAGTCTTTCGTTCCCTTTAAAAGCCAAAACTAGAGGGCAGCTTGTAAGCAAAACCTTAAAGCTTGCGTTTCACCATTCCCATGGTTTTGCGACACATTCTTTTGGATTGCAAGGTTGGACGCACCCGGGCTGGCAGGCCATCATCTGGAGCAGGTGGTTGCGCAAGGCGCTCCACTCTCCCGGCGCCATCAGCTTCCACTCTCGGATGAGGCCCTGTTTGAGCAGCGAGGCCGCCTGGAACTGGACGTAGCCGACCTGGCTGGACCCTGCAAAACGACCAGGGTCAGGATCCCAAGAAGGAGAATGACAAATGTCACAGGAAGACTGTAGAGTAGTGATCAAACCTACCTCAATTAACTGAGTTCCAATAAAAAGATCCCTCAAATATTACGATACACACAAGACTTACAGAGAGACAAATCGCTGTCAAGCAACAATTGTAAAACATGAACCCTACAAGGGATCAGTTTTAGCAATTTTTCCTTACATAGCACAACTTCTATGGCTGGTAAAATAAATACCCTGACATCTCATTAGCCACCTCCTTGGTTCTGATATGCATATTTATTATATTTATTTTGTGTGTACAACATGTGTGTACATGTGTATGATTGTATATTATTGAAGCTTATTTTTGGTGAAATGTAAAGTGCTCAAAAGCGTTATAGTCCCACGGGAGAAATGTTTTCGAGCAATGTTGCTACATGTATAAAGTTTAGGGCGACATATAGGATGACTTCCTAGAGATCGACGCCAAGTACGGCGTCTAGGACGACCTCTCGGACGACGTCTAGGACGACTTCTAGGACGACCTCTAGGATGACCTTAAGGATTATGTCGAGAACGATGTCTAGAGGACGACGTATAGGACAACCTCTAGGACGACTTTAAGAACGACATTGAGAATGAGGATGACGTCTAGAACGACGCCTAGAGGAGGACACTTAAGGAGGCCGTGGCGTATTTGCATGGGCGGCCATGTTTGCCTGATGATACCTGATGGCACATTTCAGTCACAACGCTGATGGGCGCCACTTGTTTTTCATGTACAGTGAGAAGTAAGGTCGTCCTAGAGGTCTAGGACAACTTCTTGGACGACCGCAAGGTTGAGGGCCGTTTTTGAGCATACGATTGAGCGGCGCGTGCCACTCAATCACATTGTTATGGCCTTTTACTCTGATTTGTCGTTAAATGAGACAAGTAAGGCTTTCACCTTAAAAGAAATATTATGTGCACACAGACGCATTAAAAGGAACAGAAAGCCATTCTAATTATGAGTAAATTATACAAGAATATGGCACGAAACACATTTAGGGCACCACCAGAAGAATATTAGAGATAGTTGTAATAAATTCAAGTATAGTTTACAAGGTTTTTGCCTCTGATACACACTCTTCCAATATTTGCAATGAAAGAGCTATGAGCCTCCGTAAGAGTGTGGCAGAATGTAATCCCTATGCATAGCTTCAACTATAAAATATTTACCCAAGTAATAGCCACACTATTTATGAACAAGACCCTTGTGTCTACTTTCACACAAAACACATATACAGCCAATCATTGCGCTGCGCATAAATAACATAGCGAATAACCAGATGGAGAACACGATTCTCCATACAAATGCAATCTTCACAAATGGTATCTTCGAACGAAGATGTTATCTCTGTCCTGTAAACAGCTGGAATCATGCTGTCGATCGCAGTGATTGGCAATCTGCGTGCTTAGTGAAAAAGCGAACCCTCAGGCTTTTTTTCTTAAACAGTGCGGCTATTACTCGAGTAAATACGGTATTATAAAACACAACCTCCTCTATGTGGGTGCTCTGACTTGCACAATACACAAGCGTAGATTAGATCCAACTCAGAATACAATGATATTGATAATCTGCCCTGGACAGGTGTTGCAGATAAGCACCCTTCACCAAAGGAGGCTCTAGTAGCTTCCCCTTTAGAAATGCTGATGCATCGCCCTAGCAAGACCAATACAAAGTACACGAGATTTTTTTTTTTTTCTCTTCGTAACCTTGAATATAAAACCCTTTTGAATTTAAAATTTGGCGCGTCATGTTTGGATTTTATCAAAGTTATTCAAGATTTATCCAAGATACATCCAAAAATACAAAATCCGACTTATATAATGCAGGAGCCAGTCATGTGAGCACCACCGTATGCGTGAAAGAGGTACAAGCTGCAGAAATAAAATGCCAACCAAGAAAAATTATCATCATTTCTGAAAAACAAAGGGCAGACTGGGAAAAGTGTGTGGGTCTTTCCCAGTGTTGTCAAAGGAGGACGTTTACTGGGAAATGCAGTTAGTTTGAGCAAGGCATTAGAGCTATTTTGCAATTCACTAAGCTGGGTTATTGACGGGCACCAAATTATACTACTTAAGATGATGCCCTGAATTATCACTTTCCACCACGCAAGCATAGTTGATAACAGCCTTTCAATCTTGACAGAAAAATACAAAAACCTGAGGTCGCTTGTATGTGCTAACTGCGTTACGCTTTGTACCGAAAATAACAAAAGCTAGCTAGCCATGAGGCGGGATAAAAAAAATCAACAGAAAAGAGGGAGAGATAAAGAAAGGAGCACAAAACAAAAGAAGTCAAAACTTAAGAGCGACCAGAGCTTCTCAGGTTTCATCATTATCACTGGTCTGGACAAACTGGCATGCTCCAACACAAGCATACAAGATGTGTGCCCCGTTGTGTCCTCAGGATAGAAAGTCTAGACTGAAAAGTATGGTTCTATACAAAACATCTGGCTGGAGATTTCTGAACCAACATGGAATAACAACGGACATTCAAAAACCAAACACAACCTAATCTAAATGGACAGTTGCTTCATCACTGATATCTAAATGATATGTGCTAGTTTACGACGCTAGGTTTTCTACAGGTGACAGCGTTTTGCATGCGTAAAAATTCTTTCCTCGATTTGGGAAAGGATTATCAAACACAAAAAAACACCCCTTTGTGAACATTGCAAATACAAACATTTTATTAAAAGTTCTACTCGTAGCTAGAAGAGAAGGCCTGGGCTGTCTATGTACTTTGACATCACTGCAATGGGTGTGGTTTCATTGCTTATCTGATGACAATTCATTGTGATAAAACAAGCACCCTAACTAGAAGGTGGGCTTCAGCCTGTGACATTGACCGCAGTCTTAACTCCATTGTTATCCCAAAGTCAGGCATTTTCACGCAGCTGCATCCTTGGGACAGGGTACTCATAACTGAACCTCGGAAGGTTAATGCCATGTTTTGTATTCTTGCATAGCAGGCAGTCAAGTGCATTTTCCTAATAAACCTCTTGTGGTGGAATCCCACAAGACATCCTAAAACAGCGACGAAATGTGAGTTTCAAACACTTTGAACAGCATAGAGGTTTGATGGCAATGAAGAGGCATGTTCAATGCTTCGGAAGTTTTCTCGCCAAAAACAAGATGCAAGCTTTTTGACTAACTGAATAGTGTGGAGCCTGTTGATGGCAAAGCAGGTGTCTGAGAAGACAACTCACCCAGTAAGCACTTGCATAGCTCGAAGGGTGCCCGCGTGCTCTGGAAGTCAAGGAAGGTCCGTTCTGCCGCATGGCGCTGTTCACTGCTCACTCGGTCGGGAGGGGCCTGGAGTGAAAGGCACCATTTAGCTCTCTCCAAATCGACTCAAAAGAACGCCTGAACAGCAATGAAAACATCCAGAGTGCCCAAGTCAAAGAGCATGACACTGTTAGCCCAAACAAACAATCACTAGTTCTGCTGTTTACCTTTTAGAATTAAAAACAACTGCCATCAAAGCTACTAGTGTGATGTAAAGTGCTTGTTCACTGAACTAATCTAAGGAGTAAAATTTGCTGCAATGCAATGCTGTGTCCAAGTAAACTGCAGAAAAAAGTCTATACGTCCTTTGACATATTATGCAGAGCTCAATGTGTGCCGACCACTCGCGCAGTCAGGGGAGGAACCTAGGGGGTTTCAGCCCTAACTCCCAGCTCCCATCCACCCCCCCCCCCCCCCCCCCCGTCTCTCTCCCTTCCCTCCCCTCCCCTCCCTTTTTGAGCGCCCAAAGACATGGACATTTCAGCCCACAGCAAAAACGATACACTGATGTCGTGTGAACACTCACCGCACAATGTGCAATAAACGTAAAAATATAGCAATTCACTCATGACACAAGCATATCAGCACGCCACTGTCACAAATCCGTCCGCATATTGTTTTGCGATCGTCAATGGGACAACATTCGAGACATCGCCACACGTTCTCAGCGCGGGCGCGTTCCACTCTAAATCCAGTTCGCTTAAAAAAAAAATTAAAGAAAGGCGGGGGTCTGGCGACGGCGGCCAATGTCACGTCAACGTCCAGCCCGACTGAGCTTCACGCAACACCTGCTACAGGTATTTTGTTGGGCGCCCTCAGTACCAGTGAAAATCAGTCGGCCCGACAGCGAAGCGTAGTCGATTTTTGACAGCGCTTCACCACTGGCAGTACTCCCACGCGTGTGCAGCGATGACGCCGCCCTGTCAAACAGCCGATTGTTGTTAGGATTCCCGTGCAACAGCGACCAGCGCCGTCGTATTCTTTCGACACCGAAACAGCAACAAAGCGAAGACGGCGAAGCTAATGGGGGTCACCGAGTGCATCCACCCCAAGTCTGACAGGCGGACGGTAGTAGAAGAGTGGCTCGAATGAATGATCGCTTTGCACACTCCTCGACAGGAAATTGAATAAATATTGGGATAAATGTTCCAACATACCAATAATATTTGTGCAGCGCCTTCGAGTTCGCGCATTACGTGCGCTGCCATGTCGAATGAATCCAGGCGAAATCACTCGAACGGCTAGAGCTAGCGGAACTAGCTTTGGAACTAACCAGAGTTCTGGAGTTTTAGAGCAAAGAGGGCAAAGAGCTACTCTGGTCAAAAGAGCTACTCTGGCCGCAGTGTAAAAGCTACGGCCACGGACCGTGGTTACGGCTGAAGCTAAAGCTTAAGTTATCGAGATTACTTGATTGCTGTTTTATATCTTCCCTAAAATTAATCAAACAAACAAAAGAAATTACATTTCAGAAAACAAGCAAGACACATAAAAGCTCAAGTGCAGAATTAAATGGTGGGTAACTACCGCCACCATCGACGCTTTCAAAACTCTAGGAATTTGATGAGGGATTGGTTGACAAATGGACCTTTTCCGAGAAGCGTTCTGCGCACGCGCGAGCGCCCGATGCCAAGCGGCGGAAGTCGGAACGAAAAATTGAGGAAATTCGGAATGCGCCTGTGGATAAGCGAGTAGAACAGGTAATTGGGTTACACTAAAAAAGTAAGTGGACGGAAGGAAAAACACAACGATTGGGTGGACGCCACGTTGCGTTGGGCACGCGACGCAGCTCGGAGAGCGAAGAAACTGGTAGCGTAGCTCCCGGTATCGATTGGTAGCGCAGGTAGGTCACTTCCTCGATTTTTAGTTAGTTCGTGCAGCCACCGCCTGGTGCCGTCGGTATGTGTAAAAGGTCCATTGCCTCTTAAGAATATAAAATACTCAAATTTCTTCTATCGGCTTCATGTCTCATTTGTAGCAGTTGAAGTCCCAAGATCTTTAATATGAAAGACAGTGAAAATGCTTATTCATTAAAGTTTTTATTGAAAAATATGTGCAGGGGCACACAAATGACGCATGCACATTGTACTAAACCCAACCATTTTTGGTGGTGGAGTGGTACCTTTGCTGTAAAATAATTTAAACAAATTCTCTGTAGAATAAAGATGCCAGTTTTCTTTCTGTTTGTTTGCTACACAAAACCCTTTTACAAGTGCGAAGCAGATGTTATCACTGAAACATGCACAGCTGGAGAGATCCAAACATGTTCCAAGTCAGTCAACACCACAGACACCAGGACCTAGGCATGCATATTCACGGGCACCAGGCATATATCTCTTTTTCACAGGGTACACCATAGTGCTCCAGGACCTGTGCAAGCGATACAGGCTGCTTGCACAAGGATGGCTGTGCTCCAGTGCACGATCCACACCAGAATGATGAAACAAGTCCTCTTCTTAGACTAGTCCAAATGGGACAGCTTGGCACGCCTGCGGTCCACAACTGGGATGCTGTTGGTGGGCTGTCCAGCAAGCCCATGGAAACGGCGTTCCACAACTTTGTCGAGGAAGCGAGTCAGCTTGAGGGCATTGCTAGAGCCCGGTGCCAGAGACTTGGGGTTGTGGTTATCCTGCAAGGGAAAAGGGGTTCATTGCTAGGTTAAACACGGAAGCTTTAGACCACAGCAGAGAATCCATAAACTCGTACAGAGATTTTATTTTTATTTCAAATATTGCAGGTAGGAGCGCTGCTCAGGCAGGAGGGGGTTATATATCAGGCGTGACAGAAACGAAATGCTCAATTATATTGTCACGAATGACAATTGATGAGGCGATAAAGACTGAAGAAACTAAATGTTTAATGGGGCGAACTTGTGCCCAAAAATAAAAAGGGAACAGAAGAAAGCAGAGCGTTGCGGGCGTCGAAGTCGGCGTGACAGCAGAGTCGAACGCTGGGGCGAAACTGACTGCAACTCGCCACGCGGGGCCCCTTATGTACATGCGTCAGCTTCTGGAATAATCGGCGTAGAATGTTCGACGCATGGAACATTCGGACCTCGAACAAGCACCACGATTCTCCAATTTGCCAGAAAACTAAATTGCAGGAATAACAAAAGATGCGTCGCTCCCAGGAATGGAACCCTGGCTTTTCGCGTGGGAGGCAGGCACGATAACCGTTAGGTCATGTGCGCACTGCCTACTTGGCCAGCTGCGCGCGCTGCAATATTCAGATCTATGCTTTCGACAAGTAATGTCAGCAAGCAATTCTACGCAGGGAAAGAACAATTTTTGAAATATTTTAGGTATGGCAAAGTAAGGTCGAATCACTTGTAGAGTGATTTAGTCTTGTTGATCTGTGAGGAGCAGGAAATATATATGTTGCACTTGATAAACCAAATCTGTTGTGAACGAGTACGGTAAATAAAATATTTTAGCCTGGCGATTTGTTGGTGTAGGTGGAGCGGCTCCAGTTCCAGCTGCTCTAGCACATTAGTTACTGTTGATGAAGAGCGATAGTCTGATGAGACAAACCGAGCAGCAAGACGTTGAATACTCTCCACCACCATAATGTCTTTAACAAAATATGAATCCCATACGATTGAGGCATACTCTAGGACTGGTCAGACTAAAGAATGCTTGAAGCTGGCATTCGAGAGACACCCCTTTAATTTTCTCCTTAAAAAGCAGTTTTTTTAATGTCGCATATGAAATTAAAATACTCGTCCCAAGGTTACTTTTGATTGTTAGATTCAAATACTTCACACAATAAACAGTCTGAATGCACTGATGCCCAATGTGATAAGTATGGCTTTTTATTTGTTGATACAGTCATTGCAACTGTTTTGGAAAAGTTAATTTTCAGACTTTGCAGTTCGCACCAGTCCACGAGTTTGCAAAGAATGTCACGATCAGCAGTGGCTGATAGGAACTGTTCATGATAACAGATAAAATGACACAGTCATCAGCAAATACTCATAACCAAACAAGTTTGAGTGCAAAACAGGTGATAAAGCTGTCATGCTACCCACCCTTTCGTTTATGTTCACAATAATGACTGCTGAGGAAGAAAAGACCTACCAAAAAAACCTGGTCAGTTCCACACTCGTCGGCCACTGTGGCCGCCTGTCGACCCACCGTGCTGGGCACTAGATCAGTCTTGGTGGCGACTACCAGAATAGGCACCTGGTTGTCAGCAAACATCTCCTGGTCAAACTCGAGTAACCTGCATGTATCAGTATAAGCTTCTGTTGGGACATGCACACTTCCAAACAGTAGATTCTAAATGGCGGTTCGTTTGTGGCTGTAGTTCCTCACCCATTAGACTTCTTGGCTTGCCAGTCTCGGCAGAATACTTCTGCGAGCCACTTCCGAAGGTTTTCGTGAGATTTTCTGTTCGTCAGGTCATGCACCAAGATGAGACCTGCGTGTTTGCACATCATACATACACTGCCAAGAGTTTGCGGACCGTGGATGTGGTTTCAAAACCTGAGGATTCCTCGGGCGTACCGTGGAAGGAGTGGTAAAAGACAGCCCTGGCGCTGCGATGACTGCTCGAGCCTCCGATGTCCCAAAGTTCGACGAAGTAGCTCTTCTGCGAGGCCGTGCCTTCTCGGTACTCGTGCAGCTGAAACACGGTGAAGAGTTAATTAACGGCACCTCTCGCAGTGCCCCATCGCGCCCACCTTGACTTCTACGCTGCAGCCAACCGTCCATAACGCGTTGCCTAGAGGCCGATTGTAGCAGAGCAAGTGTACCGCCGAAGATTTGCCCACACCTACGAAAAAGGCCAACAATATTGGAAACCGTCAAGAGCAGGAAACGAAAGCTACCTGAATCTCCGACGACGAGCACTTTCACTTTGTCCACCTGTGCCATGGCTCCTCCCAAACAGCCAACTTGACACAGTGGTCAAAACTTAAAATCGAAAGTAAACGTTGCGATTGTTGCACGCTCTTGTGATAGAAGCCAGATCATTGGAAAAAGCCAAGCCAAGCAAATTCTACCAGTTGCTGCTTCTAGACTTCCTCAACAAAAAACTTTCGCCTCCCACAGAAACCTCAACCATAATTTATATACGCTTTTATTTCGAACAGGAACGCCAAACTCAAAAAATCTAAAACCAAACCAGGCGGCGCGCGTAACATGAAAAGCAACATGGCGCGTAAAGCAATGCAGTCGTGGGAGTGCGGCGAGTGCGGGTGTCGCTTTGGTCGTCGTTTATTTGATACCGTGTCTAAAATGAACACGAAACATCAAGACAAATCAGACGGTAAGAACCGATAACCATTTTGAAATCTTCCTAGCCCGGTCCACAGACTTACGGAGGCCAGATGGACGGCGCGGGAGAGGTAGTGACGGAGGTGCCCAGCTCCCTGAAGAAGCTTGTGCGGCTGGCCACGCGCGGTTTCTACAGCACCGAGCACGTCATCGTGGTAGACATGCTGATCCGTAACCCCTGCGTCAAGGAGGACGACCTGGCCGACCTGCTCAAGCTCGAAAAGAAGCAGCTGCGCGCCGTGGTGGCGACGCTCAAGAGCGACCGCTTCGTCAAAGTGCGACTCCGCATGGAGACCGGCAGCGACGGGAAGGCGACCCGCCAGAACTACTATTACATCAACTACAAGGTGTTCGTGAACGTGGTCAAGTACAAGCTGGACCACATGCGCCGCAAGATCGAGACTGAGGAGCGCGACTCGACGAGCAGGGCCTCGTTCCGCTGCACGGGGTGCGACAAAAGTTTCACCGATCTCGAGGCCGATCGGTTGCTCGACTTCGCGAGCGGTCAGTTCCGATGCAGCTACTGCAGCGCGCCCGTCGAAGAAGACCAAGACGGGTTGCCGCGCCAAGACTCGCGGTTGCTCCTCGCGCGCTTCAACGACCAGATCCAGCCGCTGTACACCCTGCTCCGTGAGCTGGACGACGTGCGGCTCGCGCCGCAGCTTCTCGAGCCAGAACCGACGGATTTGAGTCAGCTGTTCAAGAACCGCGGTGGCCGGGGCAGTCCGCAGCCGCAGGGCGCGGGCTCGCGGGGCCGCGTCGACGGCACCTGGAGCGGGGACGCCACCCGGCACCAGGGAGGCGCCAACCAGGCCAGCATCAGCGTGAGCCTAGGAGAGGCCGGACCCGCCGCTCCCGCGCTGCCACAGAGGGAGACGCCCGTCTGGCTGGCCCGGAGCACGGTGCTCGACACGGCAGCCGCCACGGTGAGCAGCTTGGCCTTGACTTCACTTGAAGAGTTACTGCTTAATATAACGAGGTTGTGACACTTCCTTTATTTTTGCTCGGGAGAGAAGCCGTGCCGCAGAAAGATGAGTGGCCTACGGGAAACGTGCGACGACAAGACAGCGGTTCTGCAGCGCAGTACTCCTAGCAAAACCATTTTTGATAAACACCTTGTACACTTCATACGTGGCAGCCGACGGACAGCAAGCATTTCGTTAGCAATAGTTTCTAATCAATGTCAGTTTACCCGAGCATCGCACCTCACAAAGCATTTGGGGCCACAGTCTACGTTAACCTCTTATGCGAAAGACGGAAATTAAAGACACACATCCCCTCCGCGCATTGGGCGGAAACACCTGCAACCATATCTTTCTCGATAGGCCTACTTGATCTGTCTGTGAGCAAATAGCAGTCTGATAAAATGAGAAGCGAAAGATGCTTCTCATATAGATTTTATTTATCCCGGACACTGGCAAACGTCGTCCCGTAATAATTTCCAAACCCTCAAACACGTGTGCACTTCATAAAAGCGTATTCTAGCACAGGTACTGGAAAAACATGGCAGCGTGTAAGCATATCTGCCACTTCCACCGCGGGGACGCTATTGAATCCTAGCTTCGAGCCAGTCCTGCAGACTGAATCGCATGAGGGCACATACAGAGCAATGCTGGACGTCGGTATGTTTTCCATTGTCAAGGTTCCTAATCTAGACTCTGGAGATTGAGGAACATGGCGACATTAAGATGCAGGAACGGCGTGTACGTTGAATAGCGAAGTGAGCGGCCAAGAATGGAGCCTGTGAGTAGGGATGAATCAGTTGTTGGCAATATTAGCCCAGTGCCTGTCTGCGGAGGTGACTGCTCCAGTCATTGCGGACAGATGTGGCTGCCAAGGCAGAAATTAGCTGTGTGGTCAGTGCCATTACGTATACCTCATAGCAGAAAGACTTTGGCCCAGGGTTTGTTAGCAACACGTTATGCGGTATTTTGATTGCCTACATTACTCATGCTCTGTCTAACGAGAAAGACAATTTTGATAGTCATACGCTGAACTGATCACAATCTTTTCTCACTTCCAAGCCCATTGTTATTGACAAACGCGGGTCACAGTGTTGGTAGTTATTGCAATATTAAAGTAACTGAAGCATCTTTGGGTCAATGTTCAGCCCACAGCAGTACGTGAAGAGGCGGCCCCGGTGCTGGCCGAACAGGGTGCCAAGCCCCACAGCGCCATCATGGAGGCTCTTCTGGCCCATGAGAAGCAAGAGGCCGCTCAGCCCCCCAGGGACTCCAGTGATTCGGAAGACGGCCACGGTGAGGAAGCGACCCTTGCTTCCCGCTCGGAACACTCAAACGATTTGAAGGGCCCTACGCTACATGGCAGGACCAAGAGACTGATACAATGTCGTCTGCAGCGATTGGTCAGCGTCGCGCCGCTGATCAATCGGAGCAGACAGCGTTGTCCCGGTCCCTTGGTCCTGCCGTGTAGCATAGGGCCACAAGAGTACATTCACTGGCCGGTTAGAAGCTACGAGACCTTTCTTCCGAATTTCTTGCCTCCGGTACGAGCTCTTTGCAGTTGCAATGCTTCGATGGCGCCTGCATGACCAAAGCTTGTGCCGTGAAAGCACTTCCGTTACATAAATTAGGAGCTGCTAGGAACTGACAGGTTGAGTGTTCCCGTACACTCCGGAACTGAAGAGGGCCAATCTAACTTGAACCTTCGGAAAACGCCAGTGCAACAACTGTTTTACTATACCCAGTTTAAGGAGCCAAGTCTTGGCTAGTACAAGTGCGAGCATGTCACCTCAAAAAGACGCCTGCGTTGCGCAAGCAAGCGCACATTAGAAATTGTAGCTTCCATAGTAACTGGCGGGATGAGAACGACAGGGTGTCTTCTTCTGGGGCACTGAAGTGCTTTTTGAGATCCTCATTTGTCATTATTCTATTTATGAGCTCCAAGCATCTTAGAAAACCCGAAATTAAAGTCATGCGCGGCCGATTTGCGTATTAAAAAAGTGATCGAATGTTTTGACACTTACCGTTGGCGCAGAACGCCAATGGCGCTACCGAACCTTGCCGAATAGAGTCGAACAATGGACAGCGCTTGGCAGCCATTCGCAAGCGATGGGCTCCTGCGTGGACGTGCGGGACTGTTCGGCCGCTCGTCCACGTGGGAACCCATCGCTCGCGAGTGACTGACAAGCGCCATCCATCATTCGACTATATGCAGCAAGGTTCGGTAGTGTCCTCTGTCATTCTGCGCCAACGGCAAGTGTCAGCAACTTTTATCACATTTTTGAAATGCAAATCGGCCGCACGTGAATGTAATCTCGGGTTTTTTAGGATGCTTGGAGCTCGTAGAGTTTTGATTATAAAACAAGGATCTGAAAATGCTCTTTAAGCACCGTTCACACTCTTGCGACTGACTAAGACCAGACCGGTTTTTAAGCCTCTTGCAATCTCTAAGTTAGGACCAGCTCCGCTGCAGCGGAGCTGGTCCTAACTTGGAGATGGCAAGAGGCTTAAAAACCTGTCTGGTCTTAGTCGGTCGCAAGAGTGTGAACGGGCCTTTAGCGTCCTTAACTGGTGTCGAAGGTAGAAAGCTTGCTCCGGAAGCAAAACAACCGAAGGGCCTCCCTGCCTTTCTTATCCCGTCAGCAACCATAGGAGATAGGAGACTCCAGGGCCTCAATCAGTTCTCATATGTTTTCCCCTCGATGCCTTCTCGAGTATTTCCTTTGTCACGCTAGACCTTGGTGGCACAATGGTGCTCTGTTCCATACGCAGCCATGCCAGAGCAGACGCAAGACGCCCAGTCGGAGGAGGAAGACGACGAAGAAGAGGAGGAGGAGACCCAGGTGATGGTGGAGGGCGTGCCCGTTGCCCTCCAGCATGTCACCGAGGAGATGGTGTCACGCATGACGCCCGCCGAGAAGGAGGACTACATCCGGTTGCGCCAGGAACTCTACTCCATGATGTACGACTGAGTTTTATTTGGTGGTGGTGGTGGTGTGGCGTCGACGCACGGACGCTCAACGAGTTTCCGCCTTGTATTTGGGCGGCTTGAAGAGCTTGGTCTTCTTGCCTGTCTGGAAGCTCTTCCAACTCGTCACTCGATTCTCCCGGCTCTCCTGCAAGAGTGTGAGGATGTGGTCGTCACAACGAGGCCTCATCCCTCGGGGTTTGTGCGCGTCAATCCATCGTCTAGGCCGACAAAGTTCTGTGGCAGAAAGACAATGTTAAGTGCAGCGTGATGGCAGCAATGTTTCAGATTGTGCTGCTCACATGCTGGAATTCATTTGCATCTTCATCTTATTTTTGTGCTGTTGGAAATCAGCAAAGTTATAAATGTTACTAGCGCACAATTGTTCAGTTCCTCGCTGTGTTGAACCTGCCAGTACTTGACAAGCGTCATTGAAACAAAAACCCTGACTGGAGTGCCTTCAACAACAAAACTCACCACTGATGAGAAAATTACATGGCCACAGAGACCATGCTAACAGACCCAGTGCATTTGTGCTTTGAAATGACCAGGTGCACAGCAGAATTTATTTGATTTACTGAATGGACTGCTTTTATGTCTATACCCATCTTATCCAATGTAAAAATGCCACATACTAGTTTAGTGTACTTGTTATGTATCAATGCACACTACGCCACTTCCGAAACCGTTCCAGTCACCTGCGGCCAGTCCCGCGTACGCTTGCTCTTCACTGCCGCTTCTTCCTCTTTACTCTCGTTCCCCTGCGCATCCGCGGGACGGGCCCGTTTGGTGCCGCGCTATCCCTCGCATACACTATATATTTAACTAAAACAACTTAATGCTTACTGCCACATTCCAGCAGTGTTTGTCACCTTGAACAAAAATATGGGGGCTATTCACACCAATGGAGCGCAATTTTAGTTCTGGTGAGCATTTAGCATACCATTAATTATTTCTGGACAAAAATACCACGTTTTCGTAAGTGTGTATGAGCTTTCCGGGCCTGAAGAATCGCTCCAGTCTCGCACTGCATGGGGCCTGCATATTTTGTAGCCAGATGTCTCCTGCTGTCGAGCTGCATTAACAACTGTGCCTAACAGGGTGCAGTGTTCAAAGAAACAAATCACCAAACTAGAACATAACCCTTCCAACCCAGACACCTAAAAAAAAATGTGGAAGAATACAGAATTTTAAACTCTGATGAATGGCATAGAAGACACACCAAGTGCAGAATGCACACCACCTGAGGAAGTAGCATGAAAAAGCTACAAAGAAATTGCACCAGTTTTCCCAACCCTGTATACTGGGGATAACTAATCTCTGAATCGATTATCCAAACCCTACCACCGACGTGGTGAAGCAGACCGTGAAATCTGTCTACTGGCATTCACATATGTATGCCCTGAACAGGCCAAAACAAAGGAGGACAGTAAAAGATGGTTCTAGGTGGAACTCTAAAAGGACTATTGTGATGAGCCTCAGACTAACGACCTGGTGATCTTTGGGTTTGTTGAGTCTACTAGAAAAAAAGCGCTTGAAAGAGGTAGTCACAAGGTTCCTCTCTAGCGTATGACCTAAATATCTGAACTGCCTCAGTTAACATCAACACTTCAATTTATTAATGCTCATCTAACGTAGAAAGCATGTATGGATGGAACTCATCTGTCCCATGAAATTAGTCATGTAGCTTTAATATGGACATCGTTAATATGCATATTCCGCTATATTGACAGAACTTTCGTGGACGAACGGGTAAATGCAAGCATTTAGGTATTCTTACTATGAACGGCACACATTATTGACAATTTCTGGAAGAACAGAGGTGTTGGCTATACTCTGTGTCACTAGTTGTGTGTAGTACTGGCGAAGGCAATGCGAGGCGAAGAGAGAAAGGGTGTGCACTAGGAATGCGGGATGGGAGAGGAGGAGAGAAGGGAAGAGCACTAGAAACGGTGGAGAGGAAAGGAGGTTTCTCTCTTCCTCCCGAGCCCTCCTAGTGCTTTCCCTTTCTCCCCTCGCCTGGCATTGGCTTCGCCTGTACTGCACACAACTAGTGACACTGAATATAGAGAGAATTTCACCGAAGCAACCAAGCTTGCTTAAATCTCGACAGACAACTGAGCAACACACTTGCTAGAAAAACACTTGCAGCTCGACCCAAAACAAGCATGAAAAAGAGGTAATCGAATCTGACAACACACCATCCACCCGGGCGAACCAGAAACAACATGGTGGCCGGCGCCTGACCCACCTCGAAGTTCTTGTGCCACTCCCGGTCCCGCTTCTGTTGCTCCTCCTCTGCGAGCTCTTGCTCCCGCTTGCGCTTCCTGCAGGAGTAGCGCCACATGCTCAGAATAGTGTGCTTTACTTTCTGCACGTCACAAAAACAATGCACTTTTTCCAACGCCCACTTCTGTGCATCAACGCGGCTCCTCCGCAGGTATGTGCCATTTCAATATAACTCAGTACTCTGTCGGATACCCACGGGCTTGGTGCATGACAATCCACAGTAATCTCTCACAGCGGAAGCGGTATTTGACCTTTTGTAGCAGGTTCTGTAGCAGGCAGAATATACTGGTTTGGAGCACCCTCAGACACTTTTAGAGCAGATGCCAAGATCTGTTAGCAAATCACTCAACAAAAATGAAAAAGTGATTTCATCGCTAAATAAGTTCATCTATTATAATGACTGAGGGTTTCTATTTGACACTGGACCATATTACTCATTACCTTTTGTAATAAAAATAGATAGGGTGCCAATGGAACATAGAACCTTATTTTTACAAATAAGGTTCTGGTCAGAGTAGGTTCCATTTAAAATGGGTACTCAAAAAATTGTTGAAAAATGAATCATGATGCAACACTTCAGTTGGGATAAAGCTGCTCTCCCCTCCAATTTCTATACCAGGTAGTTTATTTAGCCAGGAAATATAATTTTCTGTAAAATGACTGCAAAATCCACCATATCAGCTAAAGTATGCCCATCAATAAAAATGTGCCCCCCCCCCCCCCCCCCCCCCCCCCGCCATCTAAGTTTTAAAAACCTACCTAGCTCAATACTCCAAAATTATAAACTGCAAAACAAGCACCCACAAATATTATGAAAACCTACACTTCTGCTTTAAAATTGACAGCACTCTAGCACATTGGAAACAGAGCCAAGTGAAAATTCGCAGCTCTTCCGATCGACAGCCGAGCGGAAACTACCTTACTACTGCATTTACGAAAAAGGGGAGAATTTTTTTGCTTTTTGGTAGTAGCTTTCTAAAACTAGAGATCACCCTAAAATTAAGACCAAAAAAAGTACCTGGAACAGCTCTGAGCATAACTTCCAAGCCTATCGCATTAACCCAGGCCAGAGCCATATTCGCGTCTCCAGCTCGACACTCGCCCTCCCGCGGCGGAAACGGGAAGCGCTCTAGTGAGGGTCCCCCGATTCTCCTGCTCAGCGGGCATGGCGGAACTGCTCGCGATCATGGCTCGCGAAATGTCGTTTCCGAATGCAAACAACACTCTTCACTGTCCCAACGTAGTGCTGCAGCCGGTATGTGATTGTACCTTACTGGAGAGTTTTAGTATTGCGCATAGAAGCAAACGCAAGCGGTGTGCGTTTGCGTTAGAGTTGCGTGCCCCACGTTGTGCGTGCGCCTCATCGCCACGCGCCATCCAAGACCGCGATTTCGGGCTCCGCGCACGCGCAGTGTGGAACGCGCAAAGCTAACACAAACACACAGGGCTTGAGTTCGCTCGTATACGCAATATTAAAACTCACTACTGTTTTACCGGCTTCCAACGCCAACGAAACGTGCTGCAGTGAGCAGATGTGCAAGCAGGTAGGCGTTCCTTCGAACTGGAAAGGCTGAGATTGGCAAAACTACGGCGAGTAAATACAAAAGTAAATAAATGTTATGAAAAACTAGTAATCAAAAAAAGCTTTTTTTAACTTTTGGGTATTTGGTCTGGAAGTATATTGGCGGCGACTTTGAACGCTTCGCCGATTGTCAAAAGTCGCGACTTTGATAGCACAATATACTTTACGCACAATTGAAGTGATTTTACACGGATTTAATTAGCTAGAATGTTTTCATTGATTTTAGACTTTTTTTTTATTTTATTTGTAATTAAAATGAAGCAATTGGAACCAGTGATGATAATTAGCACAGTTTTCATTATCATATTTCTTCGCGCGTTTAAATTTAGATCATAAGCAACAAATTATATTAGAGCTTGAAGAATTACTTATTCAAATATGTGAATTCTAATATTATTATTATTAATACAAATCGCGGCAATGTAATCTTCTAATTAACGCCAAGATCACGAGAATTCTCTTTTTAACCATAATAGTCTTTCCAGAAAGGTATAATTTTGTTTTCTTTTTAGCATATGAAAAACTCTGACATAGTTATCAAGATAGAGAAACAGTCAAACGATGGATGTAATATGAAGTTCTACGCGTCACGCGGTGCTATAAAAACACACACACACACACACTTCAGCTGTCTGACTCGGATTCCGTCTTGGGTTATTGCAGTGAGAGCAGCGTTTATTGGTTTATGCGTTTCGTGGACATATTGTAAACATCGGAATTATTCACTTATTCTCGTGCTGAGATAATTGTCATTATTTCCCATGACAATTATCTGAGCGAGAAAAAGGCAGCGAGAACGCACAGATATCAGCACTGATTTTTACAACAACTACGAACCTGGATCGAACAGTATGTCACAAAATAAAGTTTCCGCGAACAACTTTTTTAAGTAAATATTTACGATGTGAGACACATCTTGAGTCATGAAAGAATTCGAAATTAAAACCTCTGTCGAGAAGTTAAATCCAAAATAGAGGTAAGTTTCTGTTTCGCTCCAGAATTAAAACGCGCATCCTTCTGTAATTAATACGCTAAACACCGTTCTTGTTTTCAGGTTAAAGAGGTGACCTGCGCTCATAAAACATTAGCTTCCTCGTATTACCAGAAATAATTTATGTCGCTCAGTGAAGCCAGCACACTAGACAGGCTCAACAGCGGCACGCATCTCTGACCCTCACTAAACCCGCCATCTTGGAAAATGAGTGGCGCCACCTATAGTTAGTTGGAGTCGCGAATATAAAGAGAGTTTGGCCATTCATTGGCCAAAAGCGGGCTGGACGTGTTCCAGGACATCTTCACAAATTCTATTTTGGCTTATCAGAAGCCGTAAATAATACCCTGGCGGAGGCCCCAGAATCGAAATTAATAAGCACATCGGAGTAACTCTCTGTGACTGAAAAATGGTGCACATGATGTTTCAATCATGGTCATCCAAAATCATGGTGGAAGAGCGCGACTAGCGAAACGATCGAAATAGTTGGAATGCCAGGCACCGAGGGCTGGGAACCCTGGCCGAGCGAAACAGAGTTTGAGCGGCACATTCATTTCTTACGTCTTTTTGCTTGATCATAATCGAAACATGTGCACTATATTTTCAACCATGAAAATATAGTGCACAGGTCTCTTGTCCAACCAGAAGCTTTTCAGCTTCTGGTTGGACAAGAGAGCATGCCAAGCCCTCTATCTACGCCTGGTGCACGCCCTGGCTCTGCCCGCTTCTCCCAATTACCAAACACTCTATACATGGCTCTGACCCAGGCACTCACTCATGTCAGCTGCTGCTCCTAGCACTCGGGTGCAAGGCGGGAAAGCTGACTTGCGCACTGGTGGAAGGTGGTACGAGGCAGCACAAAGCCATGCCGCCGACATGATAATCGAGTGATTTCATCAGAAGTACCAGACCCTGGTTCTGTCTTATCAGAGTGTGCTCTGACCTAAGTAAGATGAAATAACCTATACGGTGAGTAGGTGAGTGGACATGCTGTGAAATATGTATTTGTACCATTTTTCTTACTTCCTACCCCTCTCAATAATAGAGTCAATTAATAATAAATTATTTTTATGTTGTGCTTTGCTTAAAGGGGTGCTGAACCGAAATCTGGATTCCACAAAACATGGCGGCCAAAAGCGTGCAACGGGTGCTACAAACACCAAAACATCACGCATATAGCGATATCTCGAACGGAAGATTGTATTCCTAAAAAAAAAGGGGACGCATTTGACAGATATGTTGATGTCTTGTTTCTCCAAGAAGAGTCGAGAAGGAGAGGGAACAACCTCAAATCTTCTCTGTCTCGCCGCCTTGAGGGGGCGAAGCGAAGAGAGGAAGAAACTAAATACGTTGACGTCATGCGCCTCGTCGGCCTCGATCAACCTCAACCTCTTTTTCAAGATATCGCCTTACGAGTGGTGTTGTAGGGATTGAAGCGTATTGCATATAGCTCCTGCATTGTTTTCTTAAATCTAAATTTCGATTCACCATCCCTTTAAGCCCATCTCGGCACAGGTTAGGCATAATTATTAGCAAAAATGGCATTGTGGCGCAAGATCTAGCAGACTTTCAATCACGGTGCAAATGGCGTAGTGCTTCCATCACTGCTCTCATCAATTCACAAATACCAGGGAGCCACGAATTATGTCTGACGTATCCGAAGTTTGAATTATCAGAAATTCATCTAAATATGATGCAAGATAAAATTATAATTTGTTATACGGACGGCTGCACATACAAAGCAGATATTTGATGATCTCTTCTGTACAGGCCTACTAATCATAAGCAGATGTGCCACACACAGGCACATAGCCAGGATATTGTTTCGGGGGGGGGGGGGGGGGGGGGGGGGGGGGCACCTATGATAAAATGTTGTATGAGTGGGAGGGGGGAGAGGATGTCCCAGCAAAATGGAAGATTTCGAGGGGGGCCCGGGCCCCATGGGCCTGCCCCCTGGCTACGTGCCTGGCCACACATGAAACATTGGTGAAATGCATGAGAAGTTTATTTATCCCTCATAAATGTTGTCCACTGTGGACTGTTTAAACAGCATATGACACCTCAAAACAAAATTAAGTTTGTTCATTCAGAGCACCGGAGCACTGCAGAGAAGCAACACCTGCGGAAGCGAGCTCCACGGGTGTTACCTCTCCATAGTGCACCGGTGCTTGGTATGAAGCGTGCTCAATGGGGCCACGAGGACAAAAAAATGTATGAATTACACCAAAACGCTGTTCGAATTAAGTGGCATATAAATAGATGGAAAACATAAAGGTACAAACAAAATTTCGAAATTTGCTGAAATAATTCAGAAGTATGAAACATAACGATTTGAATTATCATGAGCCTGCTGCATGTGGCCGTGTTTGTCAGGTCGTTTGTGTGTACTGATGAATGCCTTGTTTCAGCCACAAGTAGAACACGAAGGCCTTTATGTATGTTGGTGCTATGCCTGTGGTTGTGAGTTGAATGAAGCATGGAAGCACCCACCTTTCTTCTTGGTCTCTGTCCTCCTGTTGTCGCCGCTTGCGCTCCATGTCTGCAAACAACTTGGTCGTGAGCACGTAGACTGCATGCTTGTACTGTAAGAAGGAACACTCTGGTCAGTCGTTAACATACATACAGCTTGCATAGAGAACAAAAGTAAGGTTGCCAAGCAGGTACGAACACTGAGCTAAGAAAAGAGGGCAGGTGAGCTGGATCTGGCCTGGAGCAGTCGATAAGAAAAAACGGATGTGGTATGCAACAGAACTAAACTGTCCCCGTTGTGTACACCATCTCTTCATACAAGGCGTAACTTAAAGCAGTCGTATGTGAAACAACAAACTGTTTGAATAATACACATCAGGAATAACCACTGAATCTTGAGTGACGCTTACCACAACAAACACATTTTGAATAACAGAGAATAGTTTGCTATACGAGCGAGTCTGACTACAGCCAGCACCTACAAAGATAAAATTCCCAAATAGGAAACCTGTGGTTTTACAATCCTCTACAAAGGGATATAGGTGCCAGAGATCCAGGCAGACTACATTCTGTCAGGCCTACATCCCCGCTGTGCACAAGTACATTGCAATAGCAGTCACGCAATGTGACATGTTCGAGACTACAACTCTTTCATGTTTGTGCCACAGATGTTGTGTATCTACGTGTCTGGTGGTAGAAAGTAGGGACTATGCATTTATTACTTAAACGTGAGATTTGAAGATTAAGCTATCACGTGAGAACTTTTTGTATTCACATTGTACATACTTATTCACAAGTTTGGGGTAAACAGGAAAAGTAAGGCAGCAAACAAATTAAATTCAACTTGAAAAACTCGAAACCTTATCATAAGATTCAATGGCAGACCTGTGAAACTCGAGTTCCTGCTAGTTAAGGTATGTTCATACACAAACCACAGCGCTACCTCAGTGCTATAAGTCAGCGCTAAATATAGCACTTATCTGCGACACAGCACCAAAAAGACATATGCAAAGTAAAAAAAAAAAATTTTTTAAAGAGCCCAGATGGGAAAAGGGTGGCATAAAATAAATTTATAATGAACAAAAAACATTTCAGAGCTATGTTTACGGCACGAAAGAAATTTGTAGTTGGCGCCTCCGGGGAGCCGCCACTGGTCACGTGAAAGACCTGTGCGCCGCTGCAAGTTACGCCGGATCTGTTCAGCGCCGCCGCTGAAGCGCCCCAGAACTCCCACGCCGCCGTCACACGCTGAGTGCCGCGCACCACAGGTTGAACGCGTTTTTCCACGCCGTTGCCGCCACCACCGTCAATTTCTGACCGGCACACAAGTCTTTCGCGTGGTGTTTGCGCTTTTTCGGGAGCTTCCTTTGGGCTCTAAAAGTTACTTATTAATCTTTGTTTTTTTGTTGCACTTCAAGTGAAGACACAAAGCTCCCGAAAGGGCATAAGCACCATGTGACCATAGCAACCAGCCACGTGATCAAAGCGGCCATTTTTCCGCGGGTGCCAACTTCGAAAAATTAATTTTTTTCATTGTAAATTCGTCTTATGACATCCTTTTTTCATCTAGGCTGTTTAAAAAAAATGCCTTATTTCCTTTGCATATGTCCTTTAAGTGATACAATGATGGTACAGCACTGCATCAGTTCTAAGTTTCATTCAAGTCAGCGCTGTTTCTAGTGTTGATTTAGTGCCGTGATGCCTGTATGAACTGGCATTTAGAGTGTCCCCAAACTTGGAAAATCCTCTCCCTCGAATATTCACAAACCCTCGAGAGGTTCGGAATGACACCAGCGGAAAGGCGAAGCAAGCGCCACACACCTTGGCCGGGTCGTCCTCTTCTACTGTGTCCCCCTTGCCGCTCTTGCGCTGCTTGCGCCGCTTCTCCTCGATCTGCGGACCGAGCGCCGTGCAGCATGCGGCAAGCGCTCAGTGGCCTGCCCTCAACCCACCATCATGTCCGTGCGACCCTTGGCCTCCTCGATGATGTCCAGCGCCCTCTGTCGCTGCTCCTCATCCTCCAGGCTCTTGTTGGCCTTATTCAGCACTGGGGGGACCACATGGGCTCAAGGTCACAAACCCCTTCGCAAAGGCTACACTGCCCACCATCGTCCATTCCCGCAACAACCCATGCGGGTTCGCCGCATTTAAGGTAAAAAAATATATATACTCTGCTTTGCTCTTAGGGCTTCCTATAACTAACAGTTAGCACTAGCGGCAAAGACCTTATAGCAATAATACTTATTACCAGTTTGCAATGCACCAAAATAAAATGTTGTACAACCTTTGTATTTTTCAGATAAACACACTCTACAAGTGTGTTTACAAGTTAAATCAAGCGTGGCATTCAGAGCTGATGGCACAAATTTGGTACAGCAAGCTTTTGACAAAAAATTGTCTGAAATTGAGATATTGATTGCCAGCTGTGGTTTATGATGAAGGAGCTGAAGAAACCAGTTGATCAAATTACAATCATAAGTTTACCTCAAACCTTCCAAACCAAGGATCAGCAAAAAAAAAAAAAAGTGAGCACGAGAAGAAACAGATTGAACCGTATGCTGTTTCTTACTAACCATAGACCAGTGTTGTTTCCCCGATGTCGGGAGAAATCCCGTGATCACTGTACGCTACATGATCATGTGACCCTATAGGTGTCATATGATCCCCCACAGTTACAGGTCACATTTACTAACGTTTTGCACCGATTAATTGAGGCGTCACGAGACGCTACTGTGCCACACACCACGACACCGTGACGTTATGTGGCACACTGATAGCATGCTGATGACGTGTAGCCACCATCTGCTAAATTTAGCTGAAAAAAAAAAAAACGCCTGTATATTTCTGACTTTGTTTGTAGGATCAATCTCTCTGCAAGTGCAGATACACAAGGCACACGCGACTGCTGGGAGGAGCTTGCTCACCGTCAAAGGCCTTCTGTGCTCGTTCCCGGTCGTCTGGGTTCTTGTCTGGATGCACCAGGATGGAGAGCTGCCAAAGGGGAGAGAGTGGCCGCCTGCGCCGAGCGCACCACATTGCTCCTACTTACCCTGCGGTACTGCTTCTTGATGTCTTCCAGTGGTACCTCTGGGTCGATTTGCAGCACCTGCACCACCAAACACCGTCACACTCTTTTAGAGGGTGCACACACTTTTCGTAAGGTGCACGGACACATAAGCGTGCCTGCTTGTGCATCTGCAAACTCAGATGGGCAGTTGTTAATGGCACTGAAACAGACATAAATTACTCCTGCAGGTTTGTCTCCTGTAGACACAGGAGACAAACATCAAACATGGCAGACACAGACTGCCGAGAATATTAAACATACATGCCTTTTTGCTTCATTCTGAGGTGCAAGTCAGCCCTCGTGCTCCATTCACTTTCAAGCTGACAGGGGAGCCAAGGCGACAAGCGTGAGCTAGTTTACACATTTGCTTCAGAACATACTTATCTAGAACACTTGTTCCACAAAAGCATGTTTCAAAACCGCAGACTTGTGTCAGTGGCCTTCGCTGCCCCGTCAGCGTAAAGGTGAACAAAGCATAAAAAAACCGCATCTCCACGTGGTGAATGATGTTGATTGGGGCGAAGCTCTGGTGGTGCTTGTCTACGTAGACGCTGAGCCGCAGCATGCCGAGCCTTTCGTTCGTTTTCATCCATGTCACGCTGCAGTCAAATGCTCAAATGCGTATATAACCACGTTCCATACCACACATTCTCTTTCTGACATGGATGAAAATGAACGAAAGGCTCGGCATGCTGCGGCTCACCGTCTACGCCGACAAGCACCCACCAGAGCTTCGCCCCAATCAAAATCATACACCACGTGGAGATGCGTTTTTTTTTTTTTTCCCCTACACGAGCACAGAAGCACGTGCTCACGCGCTCGTAAGCACGTGAGCTCACGAGCAGGAGCATGTGCACCCAATGGCGGACGGACATATGGACATGGCTAGCTTCTAAGGAGCTTCGCCCCTAATATTGCTGTTGTTGTGCCTGCATGCTTTTGTCTTGCTGTGGTGAAACCTACAATTCGAGTTTCACAGTTCTTAGTTATTTTTGTTGTTTAGTTTTATGTACCACGCATACTGCACCTCTGCATGAAGAAATTAATAGCCCAAAATAAATAAATGTTGTATGCTCCGGTCTGAAAATGACGAAGCAGATGCTTTGTCTAAATTTCTTGTCTACAGCTGAGATACCAGATGCCCATTGAGGCTAACTTCCAACTATGTAAACATACACATTACAATTAATTACCTCATGTGAACATAGCTGAGTAAACCCATTTATAACACAAGAATACATTCTGTAAAAGACCTAACTTTTGCAAGGACCTAATTTTTTGACCATGGTGACTTTGAAAATATTGCAAAAAATGTATGTACAAATATATCAGCCTATGGTAACGAACAAGCAGCACATCCCCCTGAATCGCAAAATTGTGTGCCCACAAAATACTTCTAAAACCCACACTTCACAAAACTTGCAAAATATTGAGCCCACACAAAATATAGTAGTTTACAGTGTGTTATTTCATTTCAGCATAGTAGTGAATGGAATGGGAGTTCGGAAAAATGAGTAAGGCAATTTATAACCAACTAAGAAAGTAGTTACGACCTATTACATTGGTATCACGACCAAAAAAAGTGATAACCATACACTGAGAATGAGAAGACAAACACAGCATTCTGCCTTCTTCTGCAGGTTTTGGTGCTGTTTTCTACTAGGCTAAAGTTTGCAGGCAAGTAGGTTAGAAAATATCAATTTAAACCCTGAGCCACAAACAAAAAAAATAAACAAACAAGTCTTGCACGTCTTGTCCGTTATTTTACTTGCCCGTGTCTCGGGGTTTAGATTATGCCGATTCCCATTTTTCTTTTATGGCACAACAGTAGCTCGCTCAAGGTAATACCTCTATTGGGCAATGAGCAATGTTTGCCACAAGAACAACTGAAACAGTCTTGACTCCAATATTGTAGAAAAAATAGTAAGGGTGCAGGCGAGCTGGTGAATATTAACCATGTTGAAATTAACCTGAGACTGGAGTAGAGAAGAAACATCAAAATGTAGAAGGGACAGAAAATAGACAGGACGACGTCTCAAACTCAGCTGAGTTTGAGACGTCGTCCTGTCTATTTTCTGTCCCTTCTACGTCTTGATGTTTCTTCTCTACCCCAGTCTCAGGTTAATTTCAACATGGTTCAATATTGTAATGTTTTTTGTGCTTAAAAAAAAGAAATGCTTTGAATACATTATCTAAATCGTGGTGTGCCCGCCTTTGAAATGTAATAGCCCATTTGCTATATCCTCCAAGTGCCCCGGCCCGCGCTAAAAGAATCATGGGAACGGTGTTCGTGATCTGTAATTTTGACCCTCTTCTTGGTCACACAGACTTTGAGCGTAATTTGGAGTCACCCTGAACAAGCGCCTTATATACCCCAGTGACCTGTCATATCGCTTTTAAAATCTCTCCTCAATGTCAGCGTTTTTGATACTGTCTATGCTGTCCACCCTTCAACCTGGATGGGCTGCAGAAATCTCTTCCATTATTATCATGCTGATATTAAGTTAGAAACGCTAGAAATGCTATAAACAGCCCCGCGGACTCTGAGCTAAAACTTGGTTTTTGTTGTTGTGAATTATCGGCTTTTTAAGCAATTCCTGCTCAAACAACAATCATAAGAATGATAATATTGTAAGAGATTTCTGCAGCTCAGCCAGGTTGAAAGGTGGATTGCATGCACAGTATCAAAAATGCTGACGTTGACGAGCAATTTTAAAAGTGGTATGACAGGTCCTTGGGGTATATCAGGTGCTTCTTCAGGGTGACCTCGAATCACATTAAAAAACTGTAACCATGGAGTTGGTCAAAAATTAGCGATCACTAGGGAGCTGAAGGAACACCGTTCCCATGATACCTTCAGTGCGGGCCGGGGCGCTTGGGAATACTGCAAATGGTCTGTTGAGGTAATCTCATGGTAACGCTTTTTCAGAGACAGAGTCATGATGAAAATAGTTAAATTTTGTTGGACGAGCTTCTAAATGCTCGCAGGGTGTCAAACGAAAGAATCGCACATAGCTATGGCTCAGCGTTAGATTAGCTCAACCCTCTTTCTTTCCGTACCTTCTTTCAGAGATCTCTGTTTTTAATAATAGTTCTCCAAGATTTTTTTCCGGTAGTTCTGAACAAGAATTTACAGATCAGCCTCGGGATAAGCAGCTTAACAACGTGTTTATTAGCGAGCAGCTGCAGAGGATAAAAAGCTTTTTTTAAAGAAACGACAAGCTCTTACCTCGAAGGGGTTCAGGTTGAAATATGTAGAGCCCGGCCGCAGCAGCCGATCGATCTGTTGTTTGGGCGTGAGAACAGAGTCTCGCTTCTCGATTTCCTTCACCTGAAATGATCAGCGAACACACATGAGGCGAAGAAAGAGTAAATCGCGAGCTTGCCCAGCTCTCGGAACGAGCGAGCGTCTCCGCCGCTCTCGACAGGCTCTCAGCGAGAGCAGACGAATTCCTTCATAACATTTTATTTTGTGTGAACCCTGGTATCTTATTTTATTTCGCCCCTTTCCGACTTACCTCAGTGAAGAAGCTCTGTAGGATCGAATCATCGACGACGGCAGCTTCCACGGACGCGTCAACCGAAGAGGTCGCCATTTTGACAAATGAAAGGCTTGCGTAGAAAGAACAGGGCGATTTTATTTAGTTGCATAGATGGCGCAAGCTATCAGAGCCGTCATCCTTACCTCATAAGTAGTTTTAATTTTATTTATAATCAAACTTCAATTTAAAAGAAAACGTTCTTTTTTTAGCAAAATATTATTTTATTATTAGTTTTTTTTAATTGTCAATATTTATATTTTTATATAGTATTTAATAGACTAAACATAATGGTCTGAAGCGAAAAAAACAACATGGCAGCTTCTACTTATGTTTTTTATTTCTATTCAATCCTTTCATCTGGCAGATTTTGAGTAATCTGGAGTGCGTGGTTTGCGGGCGGATTGAGGAAAGCATTTGCATCTTTCGTAGCAGTAAATATGAAAAAATACGTTTAGCCTATGGTTTCTGCTTGTATCAAACAAAAACGCAAGTAGTACATACGCAACCGGTCGGGCGGCAAAACTTAGTCAAGAGAACGTAACTCTAGGCGTTCCGCGTAGTGCAGTACCAAGTTTTGTGACCGTCGTCTGTAGTACTTGATGGAACGCGGTTGAACTGAGGATCTCATCAGCACCTGGAAACCCGAGCTAAAAGCGAAACATGTGCGGTGGAAGGGAAGAGCACTTCACGTTTGGCCCCTGGGAGGTGACTGGACGCTCCAGCCACATCCTCCAGTCTCAGTGTCCCACTCCGAACGTCTGCAACGCTACTCCGTCCGATGGCACTGGAGAGACCAACAAGTCCTGCGTCTTTTGCCGGTACGTAAGCGCAGCAGGAGCTGTCGAGGCGAGCAATCTGCTGCGCTCCAGGGACAACCACAACACGTTCCTCACTCGACACTGGGAATACAGAGCCGCTTGCGATAATCCACTTGCTGCCTCACATATGATTGTGCCAATTCGACGTCATCATGCAGTCGAATCAGTGCTAACTGACATCCCCCGGTTGCTTTGCCCGATCCTTGTAGTATATACTAACCACCCATACCTCGCTTACATGTTTCATATTCACCATTAAACGGGCTATGCTTGCACATAGTAGATTCAGCAACAAAATGTCAGTCGTGCGAAACTAGACATTTTATCACATACAGGTACGTTGAAGAGTTGAAGCTGCCCACCCATCCCGACATGACGTTTGCCAGCAACCTCCTTCGTCTTGAACACGCCGACGGCTACGGCATCGAGTTCACCTGCATGGATGCGCTGCGGTGTCTGAGCAGTGACAACTATGTGCCCAAAGTGGCGGCTGCCCAGGCTTGGAGGGAATCGAGGTAAGCCGCCCTGCTCTTTCGAGATCCCGTCGGCTGCCTAGCTATGCAGTACCATTGGTGGATCTTGACTTTGCAGGCCCCTGGCAGACTATCCGAGGGACGACCAACCGGCACCCTTCGATTGGACGTACACAACAGATTACAAGGGCACACTGTTTGCCAAGGACAAGGGCATCACTGTAAGGCGAAGACGGAGTTGTCACCGGCACTCGATGATGCAGTTGCCGAAATGCCAGTTTGAGAAATCGGTACTTCGGCGTCGGGTTAAGAATGCATTAAAAGGTTGGCCCCCGGTGTGAGCTTTCTACTTTTGATAACACTTTTGTGTCTTGTGAGCAAACGCAGCCAAATGATGAAAGGCAATGAGCGAGCACTGGAGGTGGAGCTTCTGCATTCTTTACCTGTCACCAATTGCAATTGTAAATTTTTTATGTTGGAGGCATAACTAAACGAGTGTCCACCGGCATTAGGACATGCACAAATCGTGGCTTTCGTAACCCTTTTGGACTTCCCTTTTTTGTGTTCCCGTGTTTAAAGGGGCTGTGCAACGATTTTAACGTTGGAAGAAATTGCATCTTCTACTTTTGACATTGTTTATCTTGTCACAAAGGACAGAAAACAGATCTCCTTCCTTCGAAATCTTGAGACTCTGCCGTGTAATCGCAAGGCAAAAATTAGAATATTTCCCGACCTGCAGCCGCGAGCGGCGCCCACGAGAACTATGTGGCGTGATGTCAGAGGGAAACTTGTAAAAAGATAGCAAGTTGTGCAAATACCTGCTCGATAAAAGCTAACTTTTTTATAAATCTTGTTCCAACATAAATATAAATGCGTCAAAAACCTAGTATCCTCGACAAAATTTTTATTATATGGAGTTTTAGTTGCGTCATCTATCCAAGGTCAACAAAACCGTCAGCTCTATCTGCTACCACCAGTAGCCGCCAGAAGCTGGAGGGGGACAGGGGCAGAGCTAGGCGGGAGTGGCCAGACCCGGACAAGTATGTTGGCACTTCCCTCCTCTTGCCATGTTGATCGCGCTGCGCAAGCACGTGGTCACGTGACTGCAACGGTGAGTTCTCGCAGCTCACTGGTGGCTCTAGAGAAAGAGAGAGCTTCACCGGAACCCCGCTCATCCTCCTTTCACGTCGCAACGCACATGACTCGGAAGATGCTGAAGGAGTTGAGAGGTGCCAAAAAGCTCAAGCTTTTTGGCACCTTTTCGAGTACCTAAAAAGAGAAAAAGTTGTGCGCATGCAATACACTCTAGTAGCACATTTTTTGATGGATTAGGGGAGTCGGTCAGCACCATCCACACATCCTTTAAGTGTCCCGCCCTTCCCTGTCCTCGCAGGTATCCGATACACAGGAGCGCATAGACATGAACAAGCTCAAGCTGAGAGAGCAGATCGTCTTCTACCAGGACATTTGCCTCTTCGAGGATGAATTGGCAGACCACGGTGTCGCCCAGTGCTCCGTCAAAATGGTGAGGTCACTTGAAGCGGCCATTTAGGCCTTGGGTTACTGGACACATTTCTGTGCGTGCACTTGCAAGAGCACGAAAACTCTGGTGCTAGGACATGAAGGATGTGATTAAAAGTGGCTATTTGACAATAAATGCTTGATTCCCAGGTCTTGTAGTGTCAAAGTAGGCAGGATTTACCTCTTAATTGAAAGGAAAACGTCAACCGGATTGCAGTGTCTACGCCACGAAATGCTCCTCCGATGGTCAAACTCAAAATATTGCATCTCATTTATTTCATCGCAGCGCATCATGAAGAACAACTTCTTTGTGCTTCTGCGTTACTTCCTGCGCATTGACAACGTCCTGCTACGCATGAACGACACAAGGTTCTACCATGAGGTATGTTTGTGACAAGGATCACAAAGCGAAGTAAATGTAATAAGAGGAAACAAAAATTGGATGTCGGTCATGGCGGTGCCCATGCACAGCTGCTGCAAAGCGTCTATAGGGAAAATCGGTTTACTTGGATGTTATTTCTTCGGCCACACGACTCACTTGTACTTCATTCGGCTCATTTATACTGGGCATCCATTTTGTAGAATTATGCATTGTATTGCGATATCAGTTTATGGGTCCCTTAAATCGGATATACTTCATTCGGCACATTTGTTTTTCGTGTCTGGTATATAAATTTACTAATTTTATTACATGTCAATTTATTGAAAAACAGGAATCAGTTATATTTTATTCAGCAGGTTGCAGATTTTCACACGTACAAGTAGGCCTTGATATGAAAGAAACTACTCCATAGCTTGCCAAAAATAATGAACACTATTTGAATAAGAGTCAATCCTAATGCTCGAAGTGGAAGGCTCAATTTTTAGCGTAGAAGGGAAGAAAATCCGTGGAAACAAACACTTAAGTGTGCTTAGTCACCCTAACTAGAACTCACTTGAGATTGCGATGGCGTCGTCCAGACTTTCGGAACGGTCAACCACATGCTTCGACCGTGGCACTCGCACTGTGTGTCAAGCTTTACCGCTTCCTACCAGAGCTTTTGGGTGAAGCTTCACTGCTTTGCACCAGCACTCTTGCATCAAGCTTCACCGCTTTACATCCATGTGCCTGGAAATGTGGCTGATGCAGGGGAGCATCTCATACTCTGTTTCACCTTACGATGAACCACAGCAGACAATGCAAGTCTTTGGAGCCAATCCAACGTGGTGCGAGTGTCGGGTGATCTTGGGAGGGGCGCAGAGACTTGCGGGGCCCATTGTCTCGCGATATGTTCACAGCACTGAATTGGCTGCCGTGGTTCGTCGTAAGGCGAAACAGGCCCTGGGAGGTCAATGTCTAAAAGTCTGCTTACTACTATAGGTCGGCATGCTTTGGTCACAATTATAAACTTATCTCTTAAACAGTACCAAGAAAAACAATCACCTTTATCTAAATAATTATAATGCAGTTCGCCCAATCTACAACACGTTCAAATGGATCACCCCATACTTCCAACAGTTCCATCGTGGCAGCTCCCCAATGCTGACAGGAACCAACAGCTGTCGGGGATCTTGAGAGCCGTTTTAAGACTCCTTTCTTATCCGTGTGCAGGCTGGCTGGAACTACATTCTGCGGGAGTACACCAGTCGAGAGTGCAGCGCAGCCCAGTTGGACGTGAGTCTCACCCTCCTCTCCTTTGTGATCGTGACCTTGAAGCCAAGGGGCCAGGAGAAGCGATGAGAGTGCAGGCAATTGCTGTATATTTTCAGGGTGTCTACGGGCCGGGGAAACCGGGTATAGTCAGGGAAATTTTAATTACCGGGAAAAATCTGGGAATTGTCAGGGGAATTGTCAAAAAGCGAGCCCAGTCGGGGAAAATGAGCCGGAAACGCCATCGAGTGCCCTGAGCAAAGACTTAAGACCTTGGGGGCAGAAAAATAGGCAATAAATTCTGCTTCGAGCGGAGCGCAGGCTCTGCTCACCCGGTGTACAGTGTACTACCTGATGCAAAAGAAACAGCCGACAGATCCAGTCCAACCCTTGGATTGGATTGAGGGCGCGACACTAGGCTAGATCCAGTTAGAGCTACTAGATTTAGTAACAAATGGGAAAGTCGCAGACCCCAATCTGATCCAAGCCTTAAAGGGATACCACAACGAAATTTCGACGCTCGTTTCTTGGTCTATATGTGTTCAAAAAAGCAGTATCACATCGAACATACCAATATATTCTTAAAAAAGGCACGAAAAGGAATTTTAAAATAAATTAAACGATTAGCAAAGAGCACCTGGTGGGTGTCGCTCACGCCTCGTTTGTAATGCCCGTGTAGGAACCTTGAGAGCTAGTGACGGTAACTGTCTCGTTTCTGGCCACGAAGAGAGAAAGGAGGACCTCTCCTCTTCCCGAGAATCCCTTTTGTGAGTCCCAGAAGTCACTATTGTCCCCCTACAAAATTATAGAAGATTAACCCGTCGCTCAAAACTCTTACAAAAGCAGCCACTTCGGTGGCTGGAACGACTAGGCCATCCTCTTGATGTCAGCCTCGCCTTAGCTTTGCTCGTCCCGAGACGAATTACATCACGACTGCGTCGTATGTCACGTACTCTCTGCTGGCTGTTCTACTAGCGCTTGCCAGAGTGGGCCATTTATAACGAAAAACACAGCCACCAGGCTCGAAATACAAATGTGCGATTGTCATTTACGGATATTGTGGATCATATTCAACTTATTTTTGAACACAACGGGTATATTTCAAATTTCATTGAAGTATCCTTTTAAGTCAAAAGTATCCGAAAGTATGCATCTGGTGGCCATGACTTGGCCATGCTGCCATTCGGTTATTGACATGTGTAGTTAAGCATCCTGTTTTCGTTGTGTTTCCAAAAGTGGCCTCTTCACTGACGATGTCAACGGCAAGAAAGCGCTCGTTTAATCCGGACTGGACGAACCCGAATATTTCATGATATGCCAGTTGGATTAAGCCTATGCAAAATGATCCTCACATTGCTCAATGCTCAATGCCTTGTGTTGTAAGGGTCTCATATATTTAATTGCCTCGACAGTGGTAAGGGAATTTCTCTTGAAATTGTCAGGGAAAACCTGGAAAAGTCAGGGAATTTCACAATAATATTTTGCTAGACACCCTGATTTTGCTGGAGGTCACGTGCACCTGAAAACAAGCAACAGCACAGGCAGATTTAACAGGCATAGTAAAATGATGTGCAGTGTAAGGACGAGAGACTCTTAAATCATTCCGAGCAGAAATTATTGGTCCAGTGGTGCTCCAAGGAAAGATTCAAGAGGCTACTCTAGCCGAAGTGAAGTATAGAAACTAAACGAGGCTTCTGTCATTAAATATCCTAATAGAGATACACTTTCTAATACTTTGGATCAATGCAGCGCTAACTGGATGAGTCACTTATACAATGACTGTCCACACAAATAATCACTGTCCCATTTCTACCAGTGATGGTGAGGTTCATATACTTCCGAGCCAATGCCATAAAACCCGGTACTCTTGTAAACTTCCAGTGGTCTGCCATTGCAACGGCCTTCTGGTGGTTAAACAAATTTAACGAAATTGTGATTGGGAGTACTCTTGGCACCATTTTGGACAGTGCAATTCAAAGCATTTTGGACAGTGCAATTCAAAGCGCGTAAGGGGCATCCATTCTTATCGGCAAAACTGCGATCAGCCACATGGACATCGGAGTGTGGCACAAGGCACATTCTTTCGGCCGCTTCAGACAACGATTCCTGTCTCTGGCCCAGCTCCCGGTGGCGGTGCTGACGGACCCGGCCGCCCTGAGCGAACACATGCCCCTGAAGAAGACGGTTGTCGAACGCCTGGAGCTGCCGTCCTAGGCCACCGGGAGGGCGGTGCCGAGGCTTGAGCGCCAGGACCTGTAGGCCTCCAGGGGTCCCGACTCTGTCAGGGTTCGCTCGAGGTCCACGCAGGCAACACGCACCGACCGCTCTAGAGAGCCCGACCCGGAGTTGGCTTTCTCGGGCGGCTCTCCTCCACGGCGGCAAACCAAGTCCTGCGGAGAGCGGCATTAATGAGGCGTTGTCGAGTGCGTCTACAGCCACTCCGAGGCAGTTTGTACAGTCTTCAACGATACGAGAGACCCGTCGACCAGGCTGGATTAGCTTTGGCCGGGCACATATTGCTCGGTGGCGAGAAAATAAAGGAAGCCTGGTTCTATTCTCTCTTAGAATAAAGTGTCTCTGGCCAGAGTGGGCTTCGCACCATCGCATGAATTGCCTCGGCAAATGGGTATTTCATATTGCGAGAGACCTATTGTGGGAAACTTTACATGTGTATGGGCAAAATGCCCAGGCCATGCAGCGTGCCTACTGTCTCGTTTGCCATGGCATTATAGAAGAGTGCGGGACATTGAGGTTTGGCCAAAGAGTTTCCTCGCTTCATCAGAGGAAAATAACGGAAACTGTAAGCATGTGTTGTCCAACGCCTTAAAATTCTAATTAGCATGTGACCTTTTCCCTATATGCTTGTTTATGAGGCTCATGGCCTCTTGTAACAAGGCGATCATCTAAAAAGCCTGTTCTACCATTGGTTGACTTCCATAATAAAGATGCCAGTTTCTACTCGCATATTGAGCAGGTTTTTGAGGAATTCTTGTCCACCGTACAACAAAACACCCGAGCCACATGCTACTAAAATTTCCTCCCGATGGTGATGTTCACAGCATAGGTATCATGTTTCGGTTTTGTGGCATGTCACGACATGCCTTACTTTTATGGGATGGTGATGGGGTCTCTGGCATGGGCTTACCAGCAAGTTCAGTAGTGCCAGTCCTCTGGCACCTGGCTTGCATTTAGCTCCTGGCAACTCCAGTTCCAGGATGCAGACCCCGGACCCTGCTGGCAGCAGGACTGCAGGCCAAGGCCCTAGGTCCAGTCGAGATGCCAGTCGCTGCCCAGACCCTGCATCTGCGTGTTGGAGTGCTCCAATCATGCGGCCGAGATTGCCGCTCAGGAAAGTCTACCGTCAAAACACGAGCAGGCTTCAATGACCTTTCTAAAGGGTCTCTTCTCAAACTGCCCTGCTGGTAGTGCTCGAAGCCGGGAAATTAATTATCAGTGTGAAAGAAGGTGGACTACTTGCACACAATATAAGCCGAGGCACTCAATCCGGCCTCTTTCTGCGTCTGCAGTCCCCACAAGCTCTTATTATCTTTCAAACTGTCAAGTAGTCCCCGAAATACTAGACCTCAACTTTGCATTCCATTGCCAGTTTGGACCACAGCTCTCAAAAACTGGCGGGTACGCCAAAGAAGCGTGAAAGACTGCTTCGGCGCATGTCTGCAATAGTACTATGTATAGAGCCCCAGTTAATGCCACGTACCAGGCATTAACTGGGGCCCTGTGATGACCTAGAATTTCTTGTATGTGTAGGATTCCGCGTTTCTGGTATATACCAATGGCCCTAAAGCAGTGGACAAGAGGTGCCTCGTTCGGCTGCTAGTCGGTACGTCTGTTGGTTGTAATGAGCAACAGTGGGAAGGTCTAACCACCCAACGATTGGGCGCGAGCTCAAGATCGGGTCCAATGACTGTGGCTGCGGGCCGTCTCGGAGTTGTAAAAATCACACCTAAGATGGTGCAACTTGTCGAACGAAACTTCATTACCCGGGGAGTATTAGCAGCGAGATGTTTTGGTGGTGCCCTCCTATGGTTCCCTCTCATGACGTCAAAAACAAGTTTGATGGTGTTTGTGATTAGCACAGCGGAAGCTTGAAGTCGGTGCGCTCTCAAAGCAACACTGTCAACACTGCCAAAATTTTAATTCTTACTTCCCTCTTATTTCCGTTGATGAGAAATCCTTTGCTGACGCTGTAGTCAGCATTCGGCCAATCGTGGCAGGCCGACCAAAGCGACACTTTTGTTCGCACACGTCGACAATAAACCCTGAAGTGGAGCTGTCCTCGAAAGGCTCGAGGTACACGTAAGCACTTCTTATGAGTTATGAATGCGAAAGCATGCACGCCACTCTTTCGCTCCCTTCTTTTGTCGACGGTCGAGTGCGCGCGTTGACCTTAGGCGTGGAATGATGGAGCCGCTGCCTCGCGGACACGCAGTGCCATGGGATGGCCGGTCATTGAAACTGACACGCAGCGGCCAATGGGAGCCTCGTCAACGCGCACCAGCCAATAGGACCGAAGCCGAAAATTCATCAGCTTTACTCCGCTCCTTTGGGATCGGGGAATTTTTCTGCCGTTGGTCAGCTTTTCACGTGGTTTCATAGCTGGGAGCTGGCTTCACTTGGAGAAAAGATTTAATGTGCTGTTTGGTGCGATTTCGAAGCTGATGACGTCGGCTCACTCCACAAGACAGTTAATGCTTTCGCATTAGTAGAAGAAGCCCAAGCCTCACGAACAGAAACTTCTGTCTACAGCTTTATTTTCTGTTAACCCGCAACACAGTCTGCAATGAACTATCCGCGTGACTCCTTTTCTCTTTGGGACCTAGACCCCCTATATTCCTTTCTTGTCGGCACTGGGACGTTATTGAAGCAGCGTTCAAGTCTCCCGCATGTTCCCTGGAGGTTGGGGAGTCTGACAACCGAAAACCTGGAACCCTAATCACCGGCTCTTCAACTGTTCTTCAGTTCCTTTATGTGCATCAGTTCTTGATTATTGTGTTGCCACATTTCCGATTTGCTTTTTCTGGAATCTTCCTCTCTCGGGCTGGGGCTCTCCCCTTCGCTCATAGCAAGCCGCAAGACTGCACGTCTGTTTATTGCTCAATCTTGTACGAAAGAAAGCTTTCATTCTTGCAGAAATAAATTGTGTGTGTGTGTGTAGTGGGGGGGGGGGGGGGTAGGGGCAGGGCAGGTTATAGGCGCGGCTCACGACGGAATCATATCCGATCCCAAACTCATCAACTGGGTGGAGTTACCCCTAAAAATTAAGGAAAAAAAGAAAGTTAGGTAGGCACTATAAACGAGGGCATTAACAAACACTCTTGGCAAGGGTGCCTCACCGCCGGCATTCCCGGGAACCCAGGTACTGGCCATGCTGAGCAGTGCTGCTTTACACGGTGTGGCATTTGGCGGTGCCATCGCAGGGAGCAGGCTTGGTCGCAGCACAGCCGCCAGGGGCTTTCCTGATGGGGTCTCGGGGGAAAGCAGCAGAGCCAGACGGGTAAGGGTGCAGGCCCTGCCAGAATCTGGGACAACCACAGACCCCTGTCCTGAAGGAGATAAGGGGCTGTTTGTACCGAGCAGACCAGCCGAATGAAATACGGCAGGGAATGGGGAACCTTGGACTTTATTCCCAAATTGGGAAAGTGGAGTCGAGCAGGCAGCCCGCTCAATTTTGCAAACCGACACTTTTGAGTATGGCACCAAATCTGATAGGTTGATCGGTGCCCTTGGAAATGTTTTGTCCGAAGAGTTCAGATAAATACTATGGCTTGCGATCATCTCCTCATAGGTCAACCGCCGCTTTACTACAGCACAGCGCACATCAAAGGCTTGAGCTAAAAGTCATGCTGGCAAGCTCAAGCTCCTCAACAGTGCAAAGTCCAACGTTTGGGTGAGAAAATTGAAAATCTGAGAAACGGCATCGCATCCGCAAGGACTGGTTAAAGAAGGGATTCAACTCGGAAGGACCAACAATCACTGGCTCGAAATTTATTTTGTTTGCACTACCTTAAAAGGACACTGACACCCCCCCAAAAATGTTTTTTTTGTTGTTTTTGCCAGTCGATTTAATATGGTGTTAGGAGACTACCCAATCAATATTTTTCTGCATAGCGACATATATAATAAAGCCAAAAAACTAAACTGCTTGAAACCGAAATAAGAGCACGGAAGCTCATGGCTGGAAGTCACGTGGCTACCAGTGTTGCGGAGTTGCCACTCCGGAGTTGGAATGATTCCGGAATCATTCTGCATTTTTGCGACCCCGGAATGGAATGGGAATGGAATGACGGCAACGTTGAGGAGGATGGAATGGGAATGGAATTAGATGCTTTTTGCCCGGAATGGAATGGGAATGAAATGGGACCGGTGCTTTATATATTTTTTTTCTTACGTTTAGTTATACTGAGCTAGTCAGCGAGTCAGTTGTTCAGAAAAAAATGAGTGGGAAACTGCAATCCTGCAGGGAGCCCTAACAGACTTACACGCAAAAGAAAATGCAATTAAAAAAAACAAGCGTGAAAGCAAAGAACAAAGGGGGGAAGAGGGGGGAGGCGGTGGCGCCTTTCACCAGCAAAGTTCAACACATGTCCGAATGCGTCTGCGCCTGTGATATTGCACGGCTCAAGGGTATGTCATCAGTCGACGCGAGCGTAATCCGCTGCTCTGGTGATCCGATACCCGGAAAGGAGGCCAGACGTGGCCTCGCTGTGCGGACCCAGACTTTGTACACCTGCGACTCATCTTGAGCGCGCTGTTTCTCGGAGAGCTCACTCCTGTGCCGGCCATCTCAGGTCGCAATCCACGAGGTCTCTGTTTGGATGATGCTAGGCGAAACTTGAGGACTGCCATTCATGCGTTGGAGGCGAAGGGTAGGCAGGTTGGACCGTCACAACAGGGATGCCACCGTATCGATTTTTCAACCGTAACAGAAGATAAGACATTTGCTCCAGAGTGCTTCAGGTGGTCCACTATTCTCGAAAATTCCAAATGCAACGAGGTCACCTACAAGCTACAACGAAAGTATGTATTGTCCTTTCATACAGCAGCGTGGGTGAAGTTTCATGTTCAAGGCAACACCTGCAGATCGTGACGTCATGTGATCAGTCTTGACAGGAGCGGCCCTATTGGACAGGGAAGGGGTGATGTTTTGATGGAATTTATTTAGAGGTAGAAGTCTTTTCGCATCACTGGTCAGACAAACAGGATGCCAAGGAAGGGACCTCGGTCATTCCTTGATGGAACGTTTTTTTGAACCCAATGAAGACTCCCCTTCGTCCGGAACCACTACCTTCAAGGCGAAGTGCCAAGCCTGCGGAAAGGCAATTTTGGGGACAAAAAAAAACAAAAAAACTTCCAATTCAAACTTAAAGCCTCATCACAGTTGGCGTCTCAAAGAAATTTGTAAAATGTATTGCATTCTCATTATTTATATTTCTGCCCTCCCTAAAAAGTTCCTGTATTTGTATTTCCAAAGACTTTTGGCCTCTTTTTAAAATGCATTTTCGATACGTATCGGGATACATTTTTACAGATATATTTGAGACTTGAGTATCAGTATTTTAGCTACTTTTTTTCATCTATCTTATTATTTGTATTTCCAAATACATTTTTGAGTATTTCTGCCCAACCCTGCAACGCAATGCAGCTGTCAAGTGCCAATTTTTACATTTAGGAATTAGAGGAATGGAATGCAACGATTCAGCCACTCCGGGAGTGGGAATGGGCCCAGTGTTCCCATTCCTAGGAGTTGAAAGGAATTGAATTATCGAAAATTCTAATTCCCCAGAATGGAATTGGAATGGAATGGGGCTGCCCATTCCGCAACACTGGTGGCTACACCCGACCACTTTTTTTTTTCTCCTCTTCTTCAGCGTATAAAGCAGACGACGACAACGAATTTGCGTGCACCGTTTGTTGTGCAATTGTTTCACACCTATATCCCTTCCGTTCAATGTTCTGTGCTTGAAGATTGATTGGCCGGCACTATGAACCACAGTTCCGAAGTAACAGCCTCACATCCATCGCAACGTTGGTCCACCGTACGCCGTCATTGCGTCGTTCAGCCCACGGTATGTTGCCATATTGAAAATGACGTTTACATGTATTTCCTGTGATCTGTGCAACATTCTTTTTTTCAATCAATGTATTTGCAGTTTTTTGGAAGCCACAAAAATGAGGTTCATAATCTTTTCCATTTTTAATATTGAACGCATGCCTTTGATGACTTTTGACATTGAATGTAATCGGTACATATATAGTTCGAATGACACGTGACCATAAAAAAGTGAGTGAGTGCGACTGAAACTGGCCAATTCTTGACCGGCTCTTTTAGGGCAGAAAGAAAACCAATTTCGAGCCACAAATCATGTTCTGGGTAGTTGGACTCTTATAGGTCATATTCAAATCAAAACCTTGGTGAGCATAAATATCCTGTCAGTGCCCCTTTAAGTTAAAACATGTCAAGTTTCTAAAACCTTTCGACTCCATTTAGAGGTCTGTCCTGTGCCATACCATATTTACTCAATTGTAACGAGAGTTTTTTTTCAAAATTTCCCCTCGCCTAATTTAGGGGGTTCGAGTCATAACCGAACCGCCTCAAAATTTGCCGTGGCGGTGTCGCGGCACAGGCTCTATAAAATGGCTACGACAAATCTCGCGATCGTTCAATCTTGTGCGGGGAACATATACATGCTGGCAACATCCAATCCAATCCTATTCTTGTTTGCGACTCATTGCACCCATGTGCCCGTGTTTCGCGGGCTGCTATTTTGTGCTTCAAAGACTCTGAACTTGAGCAAATGGCAACGCGACGAGCTCAGTATGATGCCCGCTATAAAAAAAGCGCAATTCTGATGGATGAGGAAATTGGAAACTCTGCCGCGGCTCAACCGCTAGATGTGACAGAATCGACTATCCGTGGATGGAGGCTCCAGCGTGAAGCGCTCTACAAATGTAAACCCGACCGAAAAGGCTTCCGCGAACCTCGATGTGGCCGTCACACAGAACTCGAAAAAAAAGTGGCGGAGTTTGTAATTGAGCAGCGAAGCTGCCTCTTGGGGGTCAGCATCGAGCTGATACAATGAAATGCCTGAGACATAGCTCAAGATATGGGGATACCTCACGAGAATTTCAAGGCTTTACGTGGATGGGTGCAAAAGTTCATGCGAAGGAATGGATTCTCCCTCCGGCAAACAACGTTGATAAGGCAGAAGCTACCATCGGATAACAAAGTGAAGCTACTAAAGTTTTTCCCTCACTTTACTCGCGTTACATTAATATTTTTGTTTTTTTGTTTGGCGCTGTGAAAAGTCATTACTCGCGTTACAATTGTGATCGCGTTACATTCAAATAAATATGGTATGTGTGTGTCTCGCCCTTCTTCCAAAGTGTCTTTTTCTTTTTGTATTACTTTCGTCAAATTTCTTGCATTTGTGCTTTTCAATGTCCACAGGATGCAAAAGAAGGGCTAGTTGCCGACTGGCGTGTTCTTACCAGCAGCGGAACCAGGAATGGTGCAACAGCAGAGAGTACGGCCACCCTGCTCAAAGCTGGCACAGTGCCACCAGCCAGGTACCACACCGCTCAAGGATGGAAACTCTGCCACAAGAAGACCCTCGGGCAGCCGTCTCGTTACCGTGACGGCTGGATCTGTACACACTATGAACAAGACGGGCAAAAAAAGGCATCATGACATTGCTAATGCCTCAATTCTGGCTTGAGACTAGAACAGAGAGCATTACTGGAACTAACATGATGAGAACAGTAGGCGCTTTGTGTCATCGTTAGTGGATTTGTGAACCACACCAAATGGCAAACGAGACGCTGAAAGATCCGCCTGCGGCGATGCCGACTCGTCTCACCATTTGTCGCAGGCAGAACAGTGAGGTGCATGCTCATGAGAACAGAGTCAAGAGACTTCGCCATCAAAACCACACGGTGTGTGAACACCACGCCCATGCCCAACGATTTCGCCGAGACGTGTCACAGGCCTGCAGCCGTCGTTGCTACTGTACCGTGAATTAACACGAGACTGCTATTTTTTTTTCCTCAAAAAGCGAAGCGTTTGCATATACTCCATCTGATAGACGGCGCCACCACCTGTTGCAGTGTCAAACACATGACTTGCTGTATTGGCAGACCTTCAGGGTCACACCTGCTGTATCTATCGGTATTATTATGGCCTTTGACTTAATAATAGCAGTTACAGCTATAACCAAGGGTAACAATGTTTCACATGCACCAAAGGCAGCTTGTGAAATTCCGTGAGAAAGTCTCCGTTTACTGATACACTGAATGTGCATATGTTCACCAATGTTCATCGTTGTGTCACGCGAACAAACACTTGCCTTGGTCCCGCATTCGACGCAACTGAGCCAGCCTGGCCTGCGACCTTGCCAGGGCGCTTCTGGCCTCGGCCAGAGGCCCCAGGTCGAGGGTCTTTGTGCACAACGTCGGTCTGGGCGGCGAACGGAGCAGCCGCAGACCTCCACCACGATCCAGCAGCAGCAAGCCAGAAGTTGCATGGGAAGCTGCGAGGCCTTCAAGGTGACCAATAGCTTTAAAAGTAGGTTTCGTGGTGACCAAATATTGGTAGCACATTTAATTCCCCCGGCTGAGAACAAAAATTTGCCTCCTCAATTACTCGCGTGTATTCGCGGGGTCAAAACACTTTACAGCACTGGGACAAACAAGCCGCATCCTCGGAAGTTCTTTGATGCGCACGATTCAATGGCTGCTAACATTTGCACACAGCAGATAGCGACAAAGGCCAATGAAATACGCGGGACGCAACTCGTAACCCTTCTAGTTTGAAGTTGCATGAGAGCAAATATTTTGCGAGATACACTTTATCTTTAGATCATACAAGTTTGTAAATATTGCGGCAAAATCTTATTTAAACCTGCGTTTCCTACCTACCTTGCCTTCTGTTTCATTTTATTACAGAGAAATTACCTTGGAGGGAAGCTAGATTGGTTGCAGTAATCCATGAGCATTTGATAGCTCAACTTAATCAAATTACTTGGCGAAAGAGCTCCAAAGAGCCATATTCAAAGAAATGCTAAGAAATGAAGATCACTCTCAACATTTTTTTAGCACGCCGTTCGGCTAAAATCAATATCTGGAAAGCATTGATACCAATAAATAAATCGACTGGAACACCAAATATTTGTGGGCTACTTTGTTTCTGTTGAAGACCTGGCTTGTGTGAATGAAATTGGCATAGTTTGCAACAGGATAAATTATGGCCTGCTGAGAAATGGAGTGGTATTAACTAAGAATCTATGAACAGGAACTCCCAGCAACAGGCATTCGGAACTCAAATTTTTGGGCTCAATAAATGGTCAGGTGCACATCTGCCTCGTTTGAGCCCCGTCTTTTCTGCATGTTACTAAGCCTCCAAAGATTGTAAGGCCAAACATGTTGGCGAGCGTTTCAACCCACCTGAGTTTGTTGTCAGCTGAGCCGACACAGCCTCTCCTACCGGCAAGGGACCGCAGTCGAGCAGCAGCTGTGGAGGCTCTGTGGTGGCTAGCTTTAGCTTTGCTTGCCAAGGCACAGACCCATAGAGCCACTGGATGACCAAACTATCTATGCAGAATTCCTCTGCTGCCTCGAGACCCTGCGGAGTCCATGCCCGCAGCCACCGTTGGCCGTGCCTCGCTAAAATCAGCCCAGAGCGGCCAACCAGTACAAGTTCAGCTCCTGAGAGACCAAGATCCAAAACGGCAAATGTAAACACCACGTCTGAAGTAAAGTGCATCCTACTATTCGCCCGAAAATATCAGTGCATAGATGAAATTCATCGGAAGGCAGAGGCATAGCAATGGGGCTGTGGAAGGCTCAGAATCCTCCGTCCCACCTCCCAGTCCTATTGAGAATCGAACCTAACTTTAGACATAATGATATGAAATAGTTAAGTAGGCCCAGAAAGTGATGCCCTATATCTGTGAGCATGGCGTCTCAAAGACCAGGAAAAGGCAAATGAAAACTGGTCCGCACGCCCTACCAACAATATAAAAGGTCACCGGAGATGATCATGGCGAGAGAGGTGGGTAGTGTCAGCACCTCTTTGGAAAATTCCGTGTTAATCTGGAGAGAATGAACAATGCACCAATGAAGCCAAAACGAAGTGAAGTATTCTGGGCAAGCACATTTCCTCCTCTCCTCCAAACAATCCAAGGCTGTCTAAAGCATACACGGTGCTGCCGCCAACAGCCCCTCTAGCCACACACTATCTTTGTGGGTTTTTATTCCTGCGAGATAGTGCATTTAGAAGTTCCCACCTTGGAAAGGCTCAGTGAGCGCTGGAATGGCTGGATAGAATGCAATCCACTTATAACGATAATGAGAAAACCTAAAAATTCAATCGTTTCTTAATTGGGGGTTGTGTAGATGTTTATACAGCGAGTAGCTGGTCAGCCATTTCAACATATCGACGAGTCACTCGCTGCAGATGAGCAATTTAGCCAGTGCAGTACAACCGCTAGCCTGGGGTCTTTAACATGCACCACACAATAGTGATACACGACCGCACGCTGGTACGATGCTCATCCGGATCGAAACAGGCAGCGATGGGAATTGAACCCAGGATCCCTGGGTTCTGCAGCGCGAGCTTTCGCTCCACGTGCTCGGAGCTGGTGTGCGCTAGCCCACTTGGCTACCAATCCCCCCGAATTCAATTCTTATAACCGATTCTCATGGCATCTGGACTAGAAACTGATTGTTTCTAGTCTAGAAACTTTAGAAACTCATTGTTAAAAGCAGTACATTGTTATATGTGGCATCGTTGTAAGTGCCTAAGCAGCACAGAGATGGCCAATCATTGGCCAATGGCTGGCAATGGTTGTTTGGTCAGTGGCCAGACAGTGGCCAGCCACTGGCCGATGACTGGCCTTTCTCTGGCCAATGGCCACTGGCCATCAGCCATCGGCCAAGCACTGGCCGGTGAATGGCCACTCTTTGGCCATTTGCCGAAAGACCATCGCCAGCCATTGGCCAATGCTTTATCAAAATCCGTGCTGCTTCAGTGGATTGCACTGTATCTCCCTTTCCTGAAAAAATGCCCCTAAGTTGAAGAGACATCAGGTGCATCACCAGTTTGCAGTGGTTTCGCTGTGCATTCCAGGCTTCCGCCACACATTCTATAGTGACGGCTACCATGTCTCACACCGAACTAGACCTGCTTCATCACTCTTCTTTCCCTATGTTGCTGCTGCACCATAAAACCCCAAATTCAATTCACTTTTCTTTCTGTAGCCTGCTTGTCTCAAGACACACGTCATTGATAGAGTGCCTACATCTACATGAAGAAAAGCCAGCTAAAGCAGACAACACCCACCGGCGTTGTCAGGACACCAGCTTCCAATGGCCGCCACCGGCTGGCCCAAATCACAAAGCAGGTGCGCCCCACCATGGCAACGTTGGCGCACAGGGGTCCAAAGCACCCGGCCGTCGGGGAGACCTGCCAGCAGCACGGGGGACTCCGTGCTGCCCCCAAAGAGGGCCCCAAACGAGTCTCGCCGGAAACCACCTTTGATCTGCTGGCTTTCCCTGTGCACGCTCACGCAGCGGAGCACCGGGCCACTGTCCGAGGCACCCGTTCCGGTGTACATCTGCCGGCTGCATGCCACGCGGCAGAGCGCGGGGCTTTCACCGTTGAGACGCAAGTCCCAAGACAAGGGTCCTCCCTCAACGGCGGCCACAAAGCCACCCGAAGGATTTGGGCACACAGCACGCACGTTGGGGATCAAGCAGCCAGACCAGGATTCACTGCAGGAATGTTCAACGAGTTTGATGCACGGAGCGCACTGCAAAAACACTGGCCTTTCGTGGTCGTTGTAAGGGTCCAAAGCGAGAATGAAAAAGCTCTCCGGAGGAGTATCTTCTTCCGTCTTAGGTGCTGCCCAGTGCCTCAGTTCTTCGCATTAAAAATATAAATGTAATTTAGGATTTAATGTTTAAAATTTTAAATTTCTTCAGAGACAAGAAACAACTGTTTCCAGTTAATGCGAACTATTTTGCTTACATGGTTCCCAAGATTAAAGAAGCAGTGTGCATTTCATTCGCCGGAGCCACTTCTGGCTGCATTATCCTGTTTCATGACTCCCACCCTCCTTACTCACTGCTTTCCGGCAGTACAGTTGTGTACATAGGGAAAGGCACCTCTACAGAGCAGGTCAGCCCTCTGCTTGCATAACTATGTGCTGGATTACACAAGCATAAAAACAGTATTCTTAAAACGTTTTACAATGTGTGTTTTTAAACATTTGAGATTGCACCCTGACTTAGTAACGAAAATTATTGTCATTGCCTCTGCTATTGTAGGGAATTTTTAGGCACTGTTCCAACAAGTATGCAGTAGCAACAGCTATACTATGATGGAGCACAAAGATTAGTTGTTACCTTTAGATTAACAAAGATGCAACAGTTCTCTTAGAGCATAATTAGTGGAGAGTGCTATATAAACAAAACTGAAGGGTATGCATTCTTGCCGTTAGATTGGGCTAACCTCCAAAGGACAAGAAATATTAAGATCCAGCTGTTCCTCGCAGTCAGACGAGTCTGTGCTCGGCGTTACGAGCGTGTCTACTACATGTGAGTATTGTCCTTGTGCCAGGACAGAAATACACAAGCTCTCTCTACTATTTTGGGCCGACAAATAAAAAATACAGAAAGAGGAGCAGTCATGCGGCGATATGTTAGCACTTAAGTTTTTCCCGCACGACAAAATGTATTGAAAATACACAAGAAAATTCCAGCAAAACAGGCAGCCAGCCTGTCATCAAGCATCTGACAGAAACTTGGCAAAGACCATAGATAGCACAGAAACCTGCTTTGCCAGTAATTAGGAGAAAAAAAAAATAAAGGTAAGGAAAGGTGACAAAAGTAGGCTATTTTGGGTGCAAGTATCTTCTTGAAGATTAAAATTATTGGTAGCTTCATACGATTTAAGCCACCATCCATCTCAACCCAGCCTTTACGATTGGTTCATTTGTTGTTTATGTTGGCAATCCTCCCCACAAAGGTACAGCGATTTGAAGCGTCTCGACGACTGCAGCTGAAATTAGAGCAGCAAGACCTGGTGCCACAACTGCACGAGGAATGTTTTGATGGCCAACTGAAACCTCGAGTGGACGCTGCTATGTATGCACACTTCCACGAGTAGCATGGGTTTTTTCACCCTTGGTGAAGAAAGTTAAAGTCAGTATCAAGAAGTTCATGGTGACGCAGAATCTGATGATCAAATTTCTAACATACCTAACTTACCTTGACTGTTCCCGACTGCACTTCTACGCAATTCATCACCCTTTACACTACCAGCGCACCCATACTTATAGAGCCTATTTCTAGGCCTTAGTGGAACATGTATAGGGTGTCCACTATTAATCTCTGCACTCTAGAAGCCAGAAAATCGGCACCTGCTCATAGAAAGCTCAAACCTTCACTGAATCTGCATTGAGGTGGTGGATCTTAGCTGGTAAAATTTTAAGGCATAGCTTTCTTTTTGAGATAAATGAGACCGGAAGGATATTGCCAGAGTCAGCAGCGGGTGGGTTCATTGACGACCGAATTAGCAAAGGTGGTGACGTGTGGCGCAATCTCCCGACAGGTGTGTAAATTCGTTGGAAACAATCTACATTTGACGGGGATGCGAGTGTGCCCTCAGGCAGTAAGCTTACCTTCCGACATCCAATGGCACAGTGTAGAGGCCACCCTGAGTAACAACCAGGATAAGCTGGTCCACGGCATAAACCTCTTTGATGCCCGACTTGCAGTCAAGAATGCCCTGCATGGTTTCACCGATGGCACAACAAACATTTTCTAGGATTATGCTCGTCATCAAGTGAAGAAGGGTCCAAAAACACAAGAGCAAAACAGAGAGCTTGATTAACACCTTTATTAAATGAAACAAGTGCAGTCGATCTGTTTTCTAGAACTGAAAGGCTTCAAAGCACCGTTTCTGTCCTTGATTGCCCTTGTCCTGGTCTGAGACCCAACTGTGGATCCTCTTGAACCGTGTGATTCAATTACCTATGCCATACGAGAACCACAAAAAATCATGCTGCCACATTCGAGGAATTCTCAACAAGTTGGCTGGATTAAGCAACAACAGGTCAGACAATGCAAGCAGGTAGGCGCACGTGCTAATGTGGAAGCACGTACAACATCATTGCTGCGGTCACTGCATATAGCTCCTCCATCTGTGCCCGTCTATTCATCTGTGATCCATCCATGCCGCACAAGTGAATATCTGTTTCAGGGTTCTCTAAGGACATCCAGTTGTCCAGTGTCCGAAAATTGCACTGTCAATTCACTTAGTTGGTTATTTACACTTACCCAGAACAAATCTGGATGCGGTGCAACACGTTTCAGAAACAAGGTTTGGCACGTGTTAAGGGGAGACAATTGTTGCAAGGAATTTAGAATGATTTTTGGATTTATAGCAGTGTTGCACACATTTCTTCAAAACAGGAAAGAAAGCCTGTTCCTTGTTCCTTCTCAATCTTGGAACAAGTTCCCAGTGAAAGTTGCAGTGTTTCGAAAGGAACACATTCCCACTACGTTTTTAAGATTGGACTGCGTTGTTACAGTAATGTTACATTTGCATATTTTATTGAAATGTTGTGCTGGATAATCCATAGATAAAATGAAGCAAGCAAGTGAAAATATCCAGATTGATCTATGTGTCTTGTCGCCACAATCACATTTGTCACAGTTCATAGTTAGATACTATCTCTTGATGTGCAATCTGTTTACCAGCCTAGCTTGCCTATCGGAGGTTAAAACAGTTGATGATAAAAAGCCTGAATACCTACTAAATTCTGGTAAAATTGCAGATAAATAGGCAAAAGAGTAACGCCGTTCCTCTCTACATTTCCTAGACAATGAAACTACTTCTCCTTGCACTGTTGTAAGATGGAATGGCGGCGTTCCTCCGTTCCTCCTAAAACGAACGCGATACAGGAATGTTGTTCCTTGGAACGCCGTTCCATACAACTTTTATTTAAAGTGAATCATTAGTGCATGTTTGTAGGTTGTAACTAAAACTCCTGCGTAGTCTGTTTCTTTTTTTATTGATGACATTGGTTTGTTCAAAAAGTGAAGCCTCCTTTGCAGGCGGGGCTTGGGCCGCCTGCATGCTGCGAGCACTTGTCAGTTCCAACGAGGCTTAGTGCAAGCTCGAGCCTGAGATTATATTAAGGTTTCCCCGAATAGAGCAAGGGATGACCACGCGAAGCGCAATCTGTTTGGCAGCTTAGCTTTGCCGGCCGTTTTCTGTTTGGAAGCCTAGCTAATTAAAACAGACGGAAAGCTAGGCTGCCAAACAGATTGTGTTTGCCGCGATCAACCCTCTACTCGGAGAAACTTCAATATAATCTCAGCTTGCACCAAGCCTCGTCAGAACCGCCAAGCACTCACAGCATGGCGGCGGCCCGAGCCCCGCCCACGGCCTTAGGACAAGTCAATGACATCGCTACCTCTTCTTTTTCGGGGGTGAATATATTGCTGGCAGCCGGCATAGGAGCTCGGAGAAAAAAACAAACGGCATTGTCCTCTCATTGGCTGGCTACGTATGGGACAATTAAGTGCCAAACGCTGGCATTGCTGAAGAGAGGAGTGCAGCAGCACATCTGTAATCGACGGTGAGCGCATGCATTCGCATACCTTTTATCGCTTTATTACAAAATTGTTGTAACCGCAATTGCACACGCTGCCACTCTTTGCATATGCTGCCGCTTCGCCTGGTTTACAAGGCAAAAGAGATGTGGTGAGTGGCTAGGTTTTGTTACCTGCGTTGAATGTTACAGGCTTTAGGTGTCCTCTGATTTGCTTTTGCTATCACAGTACCTGTCTCTCGTGTTCATGCCCGCTAAGTTTAGGGTGACAAGACGTCCCGCTTTGGCCGGGACAGTCCTGTTTTTGAGGTTCGCTTCTGCCATCCCGTCTTTTTGTCCCAATAAAGAATCATGTCCTGTTTTCGGGACACGACTTTTTTTTTTTTTTATATATATATGTGCATAGACTTTTACAGCCGAGTCTTGCAGGATAATGTCCCGCTTAGGAAACTTCAATAGTCGTCAGTCAAAATACGCTCACACCAACAAAGGACCCGAAGCAGGACCTTCCAAATGAGTGCGTGCAACTGAACCGTGAGTCGGACATGACCATGACCCCGACCCCAACCCCGACCCCGACCCCCCCCCCCGGCTTGGGATGTCCTATTTTCTACCTTGAGGAATATGGTCACCCTAGCTAAGTTTCTACGGAGCAGCAGTCAGTGTCACATGCGTCATTTTTAGGACCCACGCACGGAATTGGTTCCTATTTACACACCCTTGTAAAACAATCAGCTAGTTGCACCACACTGTCAAGGGCAGCAGTTCACAAACTTTTGGCCGTCGTGGACCACCTGGCGAACTCGGAGGCCGTTCGGGGACCCCCAATACATTCTGTATCAAAGGTCAATTCCGGAATAAAATAGAAAAGCTTTTATCTTTTTTTATTTATTTATTTTTTTTTTTTTTTGGGGGGGGGGGGGGGGGGGTGTGAACGCCCTCGAGGAACCCTGGGGGCTCGCGGAGAACCGTTGGTCTAGAGTCTAGGCTGCAAAACAAATAAGCAAAGCAGCTAGCTTTTTTTTTTTTTTTTTTTCATATTTGTTTTGTTTGCAGCCGGCCCAATGTCACTTCAAATGTCACCCAATGTCACTTCAGGCTGGGCCCGCAGGCCTTTTGGTATGGGCACTCTGCCTTCTGCGGCCCTTGCAGGCCTGGATCTCCTAAAATATATGCAAATAAAGTATAATTATTATTATTATTATTATTAAAAATATGCTAGCAGTAGCCACGTGACCGCAGCCAGCAAATGAGACAGCTACCGGCAAATTTTGTTGAGAAATATGCTTGTGGTGTGTTTACATATATGTTTACGGACGACTATGTATTAAAACTAAAGCATCGCCGACTCCTTGGGTCGCACGTTCTATCTTACCCGAAAAAGAAGTCTGGCATCCCCAGTTCCATCGCACGTCGTTGGAAAATCTACCTCGTAGAGATTCGATACTGGCTGACCAAGGTTAAATTTCAGCAACAGGATCTTCGTACCATACTTCAACAGTCTTACTCTGGTCTTTATGGACACGCCGGAGAACTGCGCAAAGAAACAGCGAGCGTTCGAACCAGTGTCCTCTTGCATTGCGGTGCGCTCCCGCGATTTGGCGTCCTTCGCGTCCGCGCCAATGTGCGCCGCCATTTACGGACCTCCGACGTGTCGATGACAGTGAGACTGACGCAATCGCTCCGACCAAAGCCGCCTGTATTTTGTAGTATTTTTTGCTCCGACTCACGTGTTGCAAGTGTTGCAAGGCCCGAGCGCCCCTTGCGAAAAAATTGGTAGAGTGCGGGAGCGCGCTCGAACTGCCTAGTTTTGCAGTTGCTCAAGGTCGGTATTGCTCAAGCGCTCCGGCGCGGGGTTATAAGCAGCGTGTTTATGTTTGTAAATATCTCAAATTCTAAATTGATGACCATGCCAAGCTCGGGTTTAGGGTTTCGAGGGATCAATAAGTGTGCTTCTCGATGCGTCATGAATATTTAAACACGAATCCAGTCTTCGATCTGATCTGTAATATCATACCGAGCTGCGCTCGGAGCAGTGAGAATCCTCCGATAATGTGTTGGGACTGCAACACATGCGCGATAATGCTTATCGATGGGAGGAAGCTGGCATACCTTTATAAATAGTAGATTGTGACAATCAATGACACAGCGCGACTCCCGTCGTCTCTTGACTTTTGGCCACTCTGCGCGTCTTGTAATCTTTTCAGACAGATAAGAGTGAAAACACAGGCGAGCGAACTGGTGATATTATGAGAAGCCGGTGACTGGATCGAGACCAACCGAATTTCTAGATATGATGTTCCGCGGTTCAACCCGTGAGTTAAAAACAAAGGAAATAAACTGTTTCTCTCGGCCTGCACCACAGGTTTAATTTAAAATTAAAATAAAATGAGGGCCGTAATTGGCCAGAAGTTTCTTTAGTTCTTAAACTATTTGTCCTTCTCATTTTTACAGCGGAGCTGTTAAGGGCTAGGTTCCCCAAGATCGTGTCCGTGTATGTCGACACAAACCTACGTGGACAGCTACCGCCATCTATAAGCGACGGCGGCAAGCACACAACCAGTATGGTTTCCGCCGTCGCTCGTAGATGGCGGCAACCTTTCCAGCCTTTCCAGCTATCAAAGAAGAATGGATAGTTGGGCGCGTTGATGCGAATTCATCGTAGGAAACGTCGCGAAAAACAGACAACGACGAAGAAACACACAGTGTATCGAGGACGGCTCCGCTGGTCTTCCTTCTTCAAGAGAGTGGAAAGGCTGAACGTTTTTTATGTTTGCTTTTATTAATTTTTTTTTGGAAGCAGAGATTATTTTATATTATCGTTTTTAATTTTTTAATGATTATTTTGTTTACGTTTTATATGTTTGTAATGTAAATGTAAAGATGTTTACATATTTACATTTTCCCCCTGAAAAGGATCACACTTAATTCCTATTTTCGTCCAGTATTCGTATCATGTGTTTCTATATTTTTTTATTTTTTTTTGGAGGGGGGGGGGGGGGGGAGGTATGAGGTTTTTTTTGTTTTTTTTTCGTACGTTGTTGGTTGGTGATTGGTCATAAAGTGCTGTAAATTTCCTTTTCACTGCTTGTTTTTATTGTTTATTCCTGAGCACTGTTATGTGAGAGTACATGATTTTTCGTTACAGTTTTCTTATTGATACTCTCATTATTTTTGGTGAGAAGCCCAGAACCTGGAACTGGTCTTTGGTCCTCCTCACTTGTGGAATGTATTCTTGCAAACTTTCGAATTTCTCAATTACCTTAGTACCAGCCTGTATTTTGTAATACTGTATTTTAACCAGTGGCTGTAGTATATTTTAACCTGTAATACTGTATTTTAACCAGTGGCAGACCCAGGGGAGCGGGGAGGGGGTATGGCTTTGGGCCACGGTGGCTTGGGCCCACTGCTGCGCGGACTGCGCGCAAACCTTCGATGAATTTGAATGGTTTGTATCCGAACATATCGAACTTTCAAAGTTCGACATTTGAGAATGGGCTTTAGAGTAGCGGGTATCTGGTCTTTGAAGGTCATTACTTTGAGCTCCGACTCCTGTCCAGGCAAGTGGAAAAGGGGATTACACGCTTCGAAAACCTTTTGTTTCCAGTTAAGGCCGGCGTTCTTCCTTCATGATCTAGCCATTGCGAGTCAGCCTCGCCCGTCGAAAACTCAATATTTTGCATAATATAAAATATATATATATATATATATATATATATTTAACGTATAAAATTAATTAGTGCCTGTTATGGTCGCGGAATTAGTCAAATACGCATTTGAAGACCTCCAGGCAAACCGAGAACGGCATAAATTTGGGCTATTGTTATCTCCTCTCCATTGCCCAGTCTTCTGTAGCTCCCATTTCTCACGAAAATGGATTAACAAAATAATATATTCGAAAGCGTCTTTCTTTTCATGTAATTTTGGGGCATCTTCACAGTTTCTGCACAAGAATTTCTGTTACGCCACGATCGAAGAGGACCTGAAAGCACTGGATGATGCCAGCACCAGCCCTCCGTGATCCCCTTGTCCACGCCCCTTTTTTTGCTGGCCTCCTCCTGGATGCCTCATTGAAGTAAGGGTCAATAAAGAAGTTCTGAAGTTCTTTCTCTCCCCTATCACAACCAAATTTGGCATGCATATACATTAGAATATGTAGAATGCAACCACCTAGGTTTTGATGGATGTATCTTTTCTCTTCTATATATATATTTATGAAAAATTTAAGAAACGCTTGTCAGCCCCTTAAAATAACATTTTTGCTCTTTCCGATTATTTTAAAATGAAAAAAGCGTCGCATACTTTTTTTTTTTTTTTTTTTAATGTTTATTGCACTCAGTTGTCTAAAAGGAGCGAATTAGTTTATTTTTGCTACGCTTTTTTAAGTGTGTTGCCATACCCCACATGTGCACAATAACTTTTTTTTTTTTTTTTTTTCTGTATGTACAATGCATCGAGGACCTAAAAAAAAAAACAGCTATACAGCGATGTCTCGTTAATATGGACACGTCCGTTCCCCCCAAAAAATCAAAAATAGTTCGAGTTGGATGTATTTTCCCAGCTTGTCCCCGAGAATGGTGTATTCTTATAGCGGGGTATCCATATTGAAAATACATGACTGCATCAAACGTAACATTCGATTTAAAGAGAGGATTAAACACCACAAACTGTCAAATTTGGGGGTTTTACGTGCCAATACGACGGGCATATGGCACGCCCCAGCGGAGGACTGAAGATTAACTTCGACTACCTGGGGATCTTTTGACGTGCAGCCGAAAGCTCGGTTACACGGCTCCTTCTCCGCAATAAGCCTCTGTCATATTGCGGGCACCTCGGTCGGGGTTCGAACCCGTAGGCCGGCGCTCTCACCTCGGAGCCACGGAGGCGGCTAAACACCATAAACTGAAACTTTTATTTCGATACCGTAGATAATAATATATATATATATATATATATATATATATATATATATATATATATATATATATATATATATATATATATATTGTTTCCCCTGGCACATCCCGCAGACATGCATTTTTAGTGCCAGCGCTCGTTCTACGGGAGAACGCTTCATTCAACGCAGCGACCTCGAGCTCTCGGGCTTGTGGCCAAAGTTGTAGCCAAGGGAGCGAGGGAGCTTATGGGGTTGCAGCCCCGCCCTCGCCCCCCTCCCTCCCTCCCTCCCTCCCCTCCCTCCCCCCTCCCCCCTCCCCCCCCCCCCCCCCCCCCCCCCCCCCCGAAAAAGATTCCTGGCTACGTGCTTGTATACTTGCGGCATACAAGCATGAAAGCTGTCCCTAAAGAAATACCTTCCCGTACCGATGAGGAAAACAAACGAGAACGTGGGACTCAAGTGCAAGAACCAGCATCGCGGGTCAGATACTATGTTTTGCGTAAAAAAAAAAAAAAAAAAAAAGAAAGAAAGAAAGGTTTATATATATATATATATATATATTACGCAAATATTATTATTATTCAAGGACACCTCCGATTCGGAGTTTTTCGGTATTGCCCGATAAAACCGACTTCGGGTTTGATTTTCGTAACTTATCGGTATTTACCAAAAACACGGGCACAAAGATATCTATAAATCAAGATTGCGCTATCTCCTAGCTGCTTCGAAACGGGGGATATCGGGTGCGGTCTTGAATTATGACAGTGGTCGTGTCGCTCACCGGGGTAAAGACCTCCCTCTACTAAATGTACATCAACTAGATCCAACAGGCAATGAGGTGCACAGCGGGATTTCATGACTAAATAAACATGCAGACAGTCTTCCGATTTGCGGTGGCAAGTCGCCTGTCAGTTGGCCCCGCATATATCGATCGAAAGGAGACTTTCGCAACCAGACCGACAAGACGGCGTCGCGCATGTCTCGCTTGTTTTTATCTCAGACAGAGTTGAAGCGAGACGTGGGCGGGTCCCTATCATTTTGTGGACAGCTTTTCATAGTGTGGTGTTGGTCTCTCACTTGTCCGTTGCCCTCTAACTTTTTCATTGACACACGTTACGTCGACACTCGTTATTACAAAAATAAAAGCACTGATCTTAAATGTCAATGAAACATCGCGTGTTGACGAACTGATTGCCACCGATTCTAGACGGCAAAACACCGTCGAGGTATCACGGCGAAACGTTTGATACGCCGTGGAGGCTAAGAGGCGGACCGCGTTGAGGAAAGAAATGCTACAGCAAGGAGCGTCACACGTCCAATCCCCGACCATATTTTACCGCACACTTGAGTGCCATAGTCACGTACGGCGTAAGGTATGTGTCAATCCCTCCATGCCGCGCTCGGAGCAGCTCATGTATGACGCAATCAGCGAGCGGGTGCCGTGCAAGGCCAAACGAGTCTTCCCGATGTGACGTCCCGCAGCGGCTGTTACCAACCTTATTCAAACACCGCGTCGCGCAACGGAGCCAGTCATCGGAGCCACTGGCCGCGGCGCGCCGAAGAGCCCGATGTAGAAGTCTGGCCGGCGCGTCCAATAGATCGGCCGCCCCCGGGGCGGTGGGGGACCCCCCGCGTTTGTCAACACGCGGGTTCACACCCTTGGGCAACAAAGAGTACTTTATTAGATGGTACAACAGCTAGAGGGCGTATGTACACAACGAGACGCAAGCAAACGTCGTAACAAGTGGTTCTCCGCGCGTGGACGGACTGGCCGCTCACGAGGCACGGCTTGGCGTATGTACAGGGGGGTCTATGTACACGGTACTTGGCACGGGGACTAGAGTGTCAGTGGACCCAGGGTCTGGCGTGCGAGTCGAAGTTGAAGTCGAGGTTGCCGTCCACGTTGAGCTCGTGCTGGATCACCTGGTCGACGTCGCAGTGGAGGCCCTGCACCGCGTCAAGGTCCAGGTCCAAGTCGTGGGGCAGCGGGTCGTTGAACGAGAGCAGGCGGCCCATGACCTGCGAGGGCCCCAGCGGTTCGTGGCGGTCGCCCAGCGTCATGGACTGCGTGAGCGTGTCGGCCAGCGGGCCCGCACCGTAGCGGTCTAGCTGGACCAGCGGTGGCCAGCCCGACGGCGAGGAGCCACCGGGCCCCAGCGGGCCGCATTGGAGCTCGAGCCGCGGCGGGGGCGACTCGGGGAACGGGTCCAGGGGTCCCTCGGAAGACGAGGGGCTAGGCGAGGCCCTCAAGGCCTCCAGTTTCTTCTTGAGCCGCCCGCGCTTCTTCTCGTAGCGCGGGGTCTCCATGGAGGTGGCCCTGCGGCGAGCCGCCTTGCCTGGCTTGGCCTCCGGGTTGAGCATCCACCAGGAACTCTTGCCGGCCCCTTCGTTCTGGACGCGCATGAAGCGGCTGTGCAGCGACAGGTTGTGCCGGATCGAGTTCTGCGGCCAACGAACCCGGGTCTGAGTCCGCGCAAAGCAGTGGGGCCCAGCGGGTGCCCGCTCGCCGCTGGCAGGGTGCCCGAAGGCCGCGTCTCCATGGCGACGCCGAGCGGGCACGCGCGTGCATGGGCCAAGGTCACCCCTTTGGGTCGAAGCATGCGGCGGCGAGGGCCGTCACGTGCGAACCTACGTCACGTGACGCCTCGAGGGCGGCTGCCGCACGCGAAGCTGCGGCCCCCGAGGCGACGACGGGCGAGGGGCGGCGCTTGGAAAGAACCCGGGCGAGAGCCAAGTCGCGAATCGGCGGCGCAACAAGTGCCGCGCCATGGCGGCCGCTAGCCCTAACGCCGGCCACGTCTTACCTTCCAGCCGGCCGAGCTGTTGCTGTCGCCCTTGTCCTTGAAGTAGGGCACGTTCTGCACCATCCAGTCGTAGATCTGCGACAGCGTGAGCCGCTTCTCCGGCGAGCTCTGGATGGCTTGCGTGATAAGGTCCGCGTACGACATGTTGCCCCAGGCATTGCGACGGGACGAATTCTTCTTGGGGGCCGCCTCGGCGAAACCGTCCTGCGCGACCCCCGGCTTGTCGTCGACGTAGTTGTCGGGCCGCGGTAGCGGCCAAGTGTTAGACCGGGCACGAGTCTGCGGCTCGAAGCCCGGTTCTACGTCCGCGAGCCGCTCCATGACAGGGCGATCAGGCGCAGCTGGGAGGCCGCCGGTATCCAAGACCCAACGCGCGACCGTAATCCATCGGGCAGTCGTCCGGCGACCCGGGGCGGGGGCTCAGCGGGCGACGCGCACTACCGTGGTACGGGCACGAGTCTCCGACTGCCGCCGGGCGGAGCCAGCCGCCGCTGCTGCGCCGCGGCGCCCCTGACGTCAGCGCGCACGTCAGCCCCCGCGCGCGCTCGCAGCGCTGCCGCCAACGATCGCCGTCCAAGGCCGCGCCGCCACACACCATGTGTCAAAGCTCCTTTATTGTGGTCAAACAGGCTAAAAATGGGCAATGGAGAATGTTAACTTACACTGAAGGCATAACAGTATAAGCGGCGGGGCGACCGCAAGCACACCCGCAAAGAGGGACAGAGAGAGACACCCGCCACCGGAGTTCATCAAGTCTTGAGGGCTACAGAGGCCCTGCAGCTGCCGTTGCCTTTGCCACTGGGTCCTGCACGGAGCACTGCTGTTGCTGTTGTTGCTGCTGCTGCTGTTGCTGCTGCTGTTGCTGCTGTTGTTGTTGTTGTTGTTGCTGCTGCTGCTGTTGTTGCTGTTGCTGCTGGGCAGCCTCACCCAGCAGGTTGCGGATGTTCAAACCAGGCTCGAGGTGGCAGCAGAAGGCCTTGCCGCAGGTCGGGCAGCCTGGGATGCAGAGGGGCACCCGCTGCTGCTGTTCTTCGGAACAGCCCGCCTGCTGCTGTTGCTGCTGCTGCGGGGGCGGGAGCTGCAGGAGCTGGGGGGCGTGGGTGCGGCTGTGCCGATCCAGCTGCACCTTCTGCCTGAAGGTCTTGCCGCAGGGTGAGCAGTTGAAGGGCCGTTCCCCAGTGTGAGTGCGCATGTGACTCTCCAGGTGGGCCTTCTGGTTGAAAGACTTGCCACACGACGAGCAGACAAACATGCGCTCGCCCGTGTGGGTCTTGATGTGGCGCTCAATGTGTTCCTTGCGGGTGAAGGTCTTGCCGCAGGCCGAGCAGCTGAAGGGTCGTTCGCCCGTGTGGATGCGCACGTGGCTCTCCAGGTGCACCTTCTGGCTGAAGCGCTTGCCGCAGTGCGGGCAGCAGAAGGGCCGCTCGCCAGTGTGGATGCGCATGTGGCGCCCAATGTGCTCCTTGCGCCGGAACGCCTTGCCGCAGACGGTGCAGCTGAAGGGCCTCTCGCCCGTGTGGATGCGCAGGTGGTTCTCCAGGTGGGCCTTCTGGCAGAAGGTCTTGGCGCACGTCGGGCACGTGTACGGTCGCTCCTTGGGCTTGGCCGAGGGCTCCAGGGTCCGGGGGCCAGGCCAGGCCGACCGCTCACTGGCTGCCACGTGGCCCGCCATGTGCGTGTCCAGCTGGCCCTTCTGGCTGAACACCAGGCCGCAGAAGGAGCAGCTCCAGAGCAGCTGGGTGCCGCTCCCGGGCAGCTCTGTGTGGCAGCTCCGCACGTGGCACTGCAGGGACGCCGCATCCCCAAACGTCTCGCCGCAAACCCCGCACCGCTGGGGGCTGGGTGGCTGAGCCATGGGGCCCCCCTGCGGCTTGGGGGCCTCCAGCTCGACGCCCTCCTTCTTGTCACACACGGTGCAGTTGGCCCGGCCCTCGGCGTGCAGCACCACATGCTTGCAGAAGTCGTTCACCGAGGTCGTGGCGAAGGGACACAGGGGGCACCGGTGCGTGGTGGTGCCCACCTCCGCCGCCTTGTGCAGCCGCACCACCGCCTTGGTCTCCAGCTTGTCTGCAAGGGGGAGGGGGGGGTCAGTGGGGCCGGTGGCGGCGCCCCCTCGCCGAGGGAGCAGCGGTGGCAGCGCAGTGTTACTTGTCCGGGGGGGCTGGGGTTAGTGGCATGCATGAGAGACGTAGAGGGGCGCTTGGGGGGGCGTCTGGCTGTCGTCTGTGTGTGTGTCTGCGTGGGCGGGGGCAGGCAGCACCCACCTGTGGGCGGGGCGTGGGTGCGCGCATGGCGCTCCGCGTGCTCCCTCAGGCGGAAGGTGCGCTGGCACATGGCGCAGCTAAAGGGGCGCTCTCCAGAGTGTATCGTCAGGTGGTTCAGCAAGTGGGCCCGCTGGCCAAAGGGCTTGGCACACACAGAGCAGCAGAAGGGCCGTTCACCTGTGTGTGTCTTCATGTGCCGGCCGATGTGTTCCTTGCGCCGGAAGGCCTTGCCGCACACGTGGCAGCTGAAGGGACGCTCCCCGGTATGTATCCGCACGTGGTTCTCTAAGTGTACCTTCTGACTAAACGACTTGCCGCACGTGGCGCAGCCGAAGTTACGCTCCCCCGTGTGCATCTTCAAGTGCCTCTCTACGTGCTCTTTGCGGCGGAAAGCTTTGCCGCACGTGGGGCACACAAAGGGCCGCTTCTTGCCCCGGGGACCCCCGTCGCCGGGGCAAGCCGACGAGCAAGCAAGGGGCTTACCGCTGCCGCCATAGCTAAACACCTCCGGCGGGGCGTGCGTGCGCATGTGCCCCTCCAAGTGCTCCTTATCCACGAATATCGCCCCACACACTGCACAGCTGAAGAGGCGGCTGGCGTGGCTCTGCATGTGCTCGTCCAACTCCTCCTTGATGGCAAACGCCTTGGCGCACACCCCACAGCCGTACAGGGTCACCGAGGCCGGCTCCTTGCCGGCCTCCGTGCACATGCCGCAGGCTGCTGCCACCGCCGCTGCAGCCGCCGCCGCTGCCTGCTGCTGCTGCTGGGCTGCCTGGTGCAGGGCCACGTGCTTGTTCATCTCGTCGATGGAGTCGCTCGCAAAGGGGCACAGCGGGCAGCGCTGCTTCTCCTCGCCGCCTTCCGCCATGCCTGCACAGAGGGACGCGTCTGGACACGGCATGCACACTCTCCACATGCAAAGGGTCTGTGCGCGTGTGTGTGTGTGAGTCGCGAAGAGAGAGGGCGAGCGTCCGAGGAAGAGTCCGTTTATTGCGGCCTGGCCTAGGTACAGGGGGGCACGAAAGGCGGGGCGCACAAGGGAAAGTCCAGGGGCTGGCAGGGCTTGGCGGGGGCACTGCCAGGGGGGCTGGGCTTGCTGCGAGGTTGCTGCGGGCTCCGGGCGTGCGTGCGCAGGTGGCGCTCCACGTGGGACTTCTGCCGGAACGACTTGCCGCAGGCCGCGCAGTGAAAGGGGCGCTCACCTGTGTGGGTGCGCATGTGGCGGTGGATGTGCTCCTTCTGGCGGAAGGCCTTGCCGCAGGCGGCGCAGGCAAAGGGGCGCTCGCCCGTGTGGATGCGCACGTGGTTCTCGAGGTGGGCCTTCTGGGCAAAGGCCTTGCCGCACGTCGGGCAGCAGAAAGGGCGCTCTCCCGTGTGGGTGCGCATGTGGCGGCCAATGTGCTCCTTGCGGCTGAAGCTCTTGCCGCACACGGCACAGGCGAAGGGCCGCTCGCCCGTGTGGATGCGCACGTGCCGGGCCAGGTGCACCTTCTGCCGGAACGACTTGCCGCACACTGCGCAGGCGAAGGTGCGCTCGTCCGTGTGGGTGCGCATGTGGCGGTCGATGTGCTCCTTGCGGCCGAAGCTCTTGCCGCACGCCGAGCAGCCGAAGGGACGCTCTCCGCCGGACTGTGGGGGAGGGTGGGGAAGGGGGCCGGCGACGTGGCCCACCCGGGGCCCCCCCAGCAGCAGGCGCAGGCCCCCCGGGGGCCCCGGGCAGCCGCGCAGGTGGGCCTCGAGCGCCCCCCGCTGGCCACACACCAGGCCGCACAGGGCGCAGCTGGCCCCGGGCGGCCGGCCCACCTCGGGCGGGGGGCACAGTGGACAGCGGGGAGGGCCTGGAAGGGGAAGGGGCGCTTAGCTACAGCTCCTTGGCCGGGAAGAAGAGGGGCTTGGCGCCCTTGGGCGGCTGGTGGGTGCGTGCGTGGCGGTCCACGTGGGACTTCTGGCGGAAGGCCTTGCCGCACGTCGGGCAGGCAAAGGGCCGCTCCCCCGTGTGGGTGCGCATGTGCCGCTTGATGTACTCTTTCTGGCGAAATGCTTTGCCGCAAGCAGAACACCGGAAAGGGCGTTCGCCCGTGTGGATGCGCACGTGGTTCTCCAAATGCACCTTCTGGGAGAAGGCCTTGCCGCAGGCCGTGCACAGGAATGCCCGCTCGCCCGTGTGGATTCTGACGTGCCGCTCAATGTGCTCCTTGCGCCCAAACGCCTTGCCGCACGTGCTGCACACAAAGGGCCGCTCGCCCGTGTGGATGCGCACGTGGCTCTCCAGGTGCACCTTCTGGCTGAACCTCTTGCTACAGGTAAAACAGCAAAAAGGCCGCTCCCCCGTGTGGGTGCGCATGTGCCGGCCAATGTGCTCCTTGCGGCTGAAGCTCTTGCCGCAAACCGAGCAGGCGAAGGGCCGCTCTCCCGTGTGGATGCGCACGTGGTTCTCGAGGTGGACCTTCTGGGCAAAGGCCTTGCCGCACGTCGGGCAGCCGAAGGGTCTCTCCCGGCCCTCCCTCCCCCCCTGTCCGCCCCTGCCCCCTCCCGCAGACGAAGCCCCGCCCCCGGCCAGCACCCAGCCCCCGTGGCAGGCCCGCTGGTGCGCCTCGAGCTGGGCGCGCTGTGGGAAGGCCGCCCCGCAGGCCGGGCAGGCAGCCACGTGGGCCCGCAGGTGGCCCTGCAGGCCCCCGGAGTCTGCGAAGGCCTCCCCGCACACGCAGCAGCTCAGCTTGCCCTCCTTGCCGGCCAACAACTTGTCGCACATGGAGCAGTTGGCGAAGGGCCGGCCGTCCGTGTGCACGCACATGTGCTTGCAGAAGTCGGCCACGGACTCGGTGGCAAAGGGGCAGAGGGGGCAGCGGTGGCAGGTGCCGGCGTCCGCCATGCGCCCTGCAAGGCAAGCTCCCTTCACCAGGGGCCCCGGCCGCTCCGGCCCCTGGTGCGGTCGTGGTGCCTGCCTCGGGGCTCCTCCTGGCCGCCGGCCCCGCAAAACGAACCAAGCGTCAAACCAAGCAGAAGCCGCCGCTGCCGCATCGCGGAAACCAAGGACAGAAGGAACGCGCGTGTTGTGTCTGCGTGTGTGTCGTCTGTGAGCATGCCAGAGGGACGCCCGAGGCACCTCCGCACCACCACCATCACCACGCCACCACGGGCCGAGGGCGCCAAGCCCCGTCGAGAGGGGGAGCACTCACCGGGGGTCGAGGTGTCCGCGGCCTGGTGCTCCACGGCTCCCGCCACACGCGCCTCACCAGGGCCCGGAGCCGCCGCGCTGGTCACCGGCACCCTGCCCGGGAGGGCCCCGCTCAGCGGGCAGGTCCGCACCGTGGGCCGCCACTCACCCGGAGCTGCCATTCAGCGACAGCACTGCCACCGAAGACGGTTCCCCGAGACGCTGCACCGGCATCCGCAGAGCGAGACCTGCGCCGAAGGCACGGACAGCGTCGAGCCGAGCTGTTGGCCGTGCCGGCGGAGCGCCGGAGCTCCCACCGACGCCACTTGAACGGAAGCGCGGTCAACGGCGGAGAGCAGGCGAGTGCGCTCGCGACGCCGCCATTGGCGACCGAGGCGGTCACGCGGGCACCGCTCCGCCAATGGGGGGCGTCCCCTCCGCGAACAAAGTGAGGGAGAAGCTTCCATTGCCCCAGCCCTGTCAAAAAGCGGCGCTCATGTCAGATTCCGTCCCGCGCGAAGTACACGGCCGGCCGATCGAGGGACGTGGAAAATCGAATTAAAAAGAAAGACTCCCAGGCGACGCGCCACGATCTGCTAATAAAACGAACCTTGCTTCCATGAATCCCTGGGTAACTGCAACGACGACGTTTGCCGCAACTGGGTCAACAATTAGCGCGAACAATGTGGCAGCAGACCCGCGATATCGCCGTGCGTCGGACGTCCACTGGATGGGAGACGAGGCTTGCTGTGGGCGTACACAGATCCCGTCGGCCATGTCGGCACAGAATCGACGTCTGAGCAGTTCGAACGAGCGCAGATGCGGGGCGTTACTTCGATCTCGAACTGCGAGTACTCGGTGCTCGGTTAGTCCTCCTGCGTCCCGGATAACCGCGGCGCTTACCTCGTCAAGGGAATTTTTATCCGTTTCTTCCTCGTGAACGGCATCTCGGCCAGGGCTCGGAGGAAACGCGGCCGTACACACGCAGCGGTCGCGGCCACCGGTGGGCCGCGGGAGCAGCGCTCGGACCGCGGTCCGGCGATTGCACGCGTGGAGAGAGGAAAAAGCGGCGAGGCTCTTTCTTGCGAGGGAAGCGTTCATTGTGTCGGCCGCCCTCCCTCACCGCCTCCGTCTCGCTGCTGCACGGGCTTGCCAAGCGGGAAGAACAACAAACACGCGAGAGAAAAAAACAACTCGTTGCACTCACTCATCGAGTTCGTAACCATCTTCTGGTACCATAACGAATTCCCCCGCTGCTCGCCGTGATTTCTGAGTTGGCCGACGCGCTGGAAACTCTTGAGGGGCGAAAGAAAAGGCCTAATTGTCTCCCTCGCCCAACTTCAATGGCAACTTGGGGAAGCGTAGCCTCGCCCCAGACAATCCAAAATGTCCTCTCTCGCCGACCCCGCGGGGATTCGGCGGGGAAGGAGACCTAGCCTCGAACCGGGGCGCTGCGAGCAGCCGCTGACAAGATGGCTGCTTCCGCGCGTTTCGGTCTCTTCCGTCCTGCCCAGCGATTTCTCGTTGCCCGATCGACGTCCTTGGGCCGACCTACGGTACAATTTCGAGCAGAATCGGGCCCCGCCGGCAAAAGCAATGCCCCCAATGCCACCGGTGAGTGTGTTTTGGCTTTAACGAGCCGCGTGTGCTTTTTATCTCACGACTACGCCTCGACGCAGGACTTTCCGACCATCGCCCCAACAGCTACGATAAGTGGATCCTGACCTTCTACAAAAAGTACCCGAAGGGGGCCGTGCCGGATTTCGTACCGTAAGTTTTTCTACGCAGCGTGCACTATAAGATCCCGACTTACTGGAGCCCGTCGTGCAGGCAAGCGACCATGGAGAAGGCCCGCAACAAGGCTCGCATCCACCTCAACCTGGTCCTGGCTGCGCTTACCTTGCTCGGAGCGGCTCTTTTCGCCAACTGGGGCCGTCGGGACGCGAAACGCGGCCTGACCGTTAGCAAGATCAACCAGGAGTGGCATGCAGCGCAGAAGAGCAACCCATAGCCGGCAGCAAAACCTTTTATTCTCCGAGACGCTATGTACATTTGTTGTGGGTCCCCGAAGCGGCGGTGGGGGCCAATAAATAGTTTTATGTACAAGTGGTGGCTAGCGTCTGCCGGGGGGACCCCGTCAGAAGCGGTAACCTGCGGGGCTGTCAGCGGCGCCGAACTGGAACTGTCCCCCCTGGGCGGGCGGCGCGATGCGCGGGGCCTCGTCCTCGGCGCCAAAGTAGTGCTCAATCATCTCGAAGGCCTTCTGGTAGATGTCTACGTTCTCGTGCGACTGCAGGAACTCGATCTTGTCGAGGCCGAAGCACTCCTCGACCAGGACGGCGTACGGGTTGAGGCGGCCCTCGTGGGCGTCCTGGGCGCCGAGCCGCAGGATGTTGTCCAGCCCGTTGAGGGCCACCTGCACCACCTTGGGGTCGGCGGCCGTGAGCAGGTCGCACAGCGGGCCCACGCACTCCTGCTGCACCAGGAAGCGCACCTGGTCCGGCGAGCCACCCGATGTAGCATTGGTGATGGCCCAAGCCGCCTCCTTTTTGGTCTTGAGCTCGGCCCGGGCCAGCACGTCCACCAGCACCGGGAAGATGTTGGCGTCGATGACGGCCTGGATCTGCTGCCGGTTGCCCGCCGTGATGTTGGACAGCGTCCAGCAGGCCTCCTTGCGCACGGACTCCTTGGGCGACGAGAGCAGGTGCAGCAGGCAGGGCAGCGCGTTGCAGTTGAGCACCACCTGCGTCTGCAGGTCGTCGCCCGTCACGATGTTGCCGACGGCGCGCAGGGCCGCCGACACCACGCCTTGGCTCGCGTGCATGAGCAGCTCAACGAGGCGGCGGCACACCCCGGCGTCGATCACTGCCTGTATCTTGTCGTTGGGGCCGTCCGACAGGTACGAGAGCGCCCAGCAAGCGTCGGCCAGCACGTCGAAGTCGTTCACGTACAGCAGCCGCGCCAGCAGCGGCAGGCACGGCTGCACCTGGTCGAAGCGCGGCGGCGGGTTCTTGCCCCGGCAAAGATTGGAGAGCGCCCAGACGGCGTTGCGCGTCATCGAGGTCCGCGTGGACTTTCCGATGAGCTGGAGCAGCGGCAGTAGGATGCCTTGGGCTAGCACGAAGTCGCGGCACTCTGGCGAGTCGCCCGCGATGTTGCCCAGTGCCCAGACGGCCTGTTCCTGCACGTCCTCGTACTCGGAGCCCAGCAGGCGGACGAACACGGGCACGGCGCCGGCCTCGACCACCATGCGCGTCTGCAGTGACGTGCCGGACGCGATGTTGGTGAGCGCCCAGGCCGCCTCGAACTGCAGCGTGCACTGGTCGTCCCGCTGGAGGAACTCCACGAAGCGGGGCACGATCCCGGTCTCGATCACCTCGTCGATAGGCGGGTTGGGCTCCCGCGACAGCAGCTTGCGGAACCGCTGTGTCGCCTGCAGCTGTAGCTCGGGCGCGTCGGCGTACAGTTGGGCCACCATCTCGGCCGTCACGCCCGCGCGCTCGGGCCCCGGGTTGTCCCCTTCGTCGCCGTCTAGCTCGGGGCCGCCCAGGTTGCGGCGCTTGCACAGCTCGCTCTCGCGCTTCAGCTTGCGCAGCTGGACTCCTTCTTCCTCTCGCCGCCGGCGCAGCTCCTGGGCGTCCAGGCCCGCATTCTTGTAGCGCAGCCGGTGGCTCGTGCTGCCTGCGCTGCCGCCGCTCGACATGGCCCGACCTGCAACAACGCAGTCGTCAGGCTCTGTCTAGGCTTAGCACGCGGACCGCCCCGTACTGGCGGCCTCGCACCGAGCCACTTTAAAGCGCTGCTCGGACCTCGAGGCCGCCGCACGGGCTGCGCGGTGCGGCGGGCTCGTTCGGTCAGCTGTCGCCCGCGGGGCCCGCGCCGAGCCCCAGCGATGACCTAGCCAGCTCGCTAGGCCTTCAGACGTAGGTCCTCGTCCTCTCGACAAGCCAGGGCTCGTGAGCGAACCCCGGGACGATGCCGCTACCTCGCAATCTGCTGCAGGTCCCGAAGGGTGGGCTCCGCCACGCGCGAAACGCTACGCGCAATTTCTAAAGGCATTCCAAAGCCCACATACCTTTTTAATTTCCAGCACAACGCAAAAGATTCCTCCGAGCAGCCACTATCGGAGCGCGGTGTATTCTGGGGCAGACATGACTTCGGCACGCAGCGCCTCTCTCGGAACTGATACCTCCCCTCGGAATTTTTTTAAACCTCTCTCGCACGATACAGTGGGCCAAAGAAAACAACGTTGTTGGTTGGAAAAATTTCCGCGTTGGTAGAATTTTTCGCGGCCTGAGCAGCTTTCCCGTCGCCAAGCCGAAATGGGAGACACGCAGCCTGGCAATCCGGCTGACAAGATGGCAGCCTCCGGTACTGCTGACCACGCTACCGTCGCTCCATGTGACGACTTCATGGCATTTCAGGTAAAGTCGAGCAGCACGTGTTGCCCCATTGGGCACGCGTGCCCATCGTGCGCGCGTTGGACGAGAGACCGGCTCGTTTTGCAGGAAGTGATCAAGAAGCTGCGCCGGGTGGACGACCACATCATCCACACCCTCAACACGACACTCCCGACAGAGTCCTTCGCCAAGCACCACGACGCGCCGACATTGTGCAAAGACCTGTACGAACAGCTACGGCGCGCCTACGCTCAGCGGGACGATGCCATCAAGCAGTGCCTACAGCAGTCCAAGGACAAGCTGAACCGGCTCCAACAGCAGCGATCCAGCCAGGACGATGACCCTGATATCCGACGAAAGCTACGCAAGGAGCAGTCGACGGTCAGTGAGCGCGCTTTGTCGTGCGTATTTTCCCTTGTTACGGCAGCATTGCTAACGAGACATGTCAAGGGCAACGCTGTCACGTTGTTGCTGCCGGGGAATTCGTTGCTACATTTCTTGGAGACATTCCAAAGGTGACATCAGCTCTGCACTGATACCAGTTCTAGACTTCTACGTACCCTTCGCCTGTTATTGAGAGCAGTCTCTGTGGTGCCATATGGACACGATGGAATACATGCCTGTAATCATAGCCGCCACTTGAACAGATGACTGGAGCATCTTCCATGCTAACTCTGGTTATGCATGCTTTGCCTGCTTCCTCAGCACGAGAAGATGCATTGTAATGCAATTAAATGCAAAGGTGCAAGCGAGCTGGACAAGAATGACGAAAATAATCCCCGGAGAAGGGGAACAAGAGGGACAAAGGACAAACACAAATCTCCCAACACAGCTAGGTGACTGGTGTGCGACCGAAAAAACGCAGCCCGTTTTTGAGTGCCAGTCATCTCGAGCGAAATACACGCATGGAGCACAAAAACCGCTAAAGTTACATACAATGTTGGGGTATTCTAAACTATCTGCTAGATTTGACTATTGCTCACATTCTACGGAAGTGGAGTGCTATGCTTCATTTTTTTTAAAACATAGTTGAAGGTCAGAGCACCACTAGCTGCTGCCACTGCTCTAGTAGGCGGCTGCTCTGTTCCTCCCAGAGGAGCTTCCAATTTCCTAACATCCTCCATGTTTAGAAGGATATTAGGTTAACCATAAAACAGATTCTGATGTTTGCACGAACCGCTACTTAGAAAATGTGATAACCAAGAACCTATATCAAAGACATTGACTCTGGTGCTCGTTAGATTTCACATTGCTTTGCATCTTGCAGCTGCGTCTACTTCAAGGTGAGCTGAACGTGGAAGAAGTGGTCCGTCAGCGCAGCCTCAAGGCAAGTGAAAGTGAATTGCCTAATTTAAACCTGAGACGACGGACCAAGAAAGCAGACAGTGCAAAAATCACTCCTTTCCAAGACGTTTGTGTGGTTTCCCCTTTTTTGGTCCATCGTCTCCGGTTTAAATCATGTATAACTTAAAGCAGCTCACCTGTTTGCAAACATTGTCCCTGGATGTAAGAATGTCTAGAGACAAGGTTTTAAATCGAGACAAAGACAAATCGGCACGACGCGTCTTCCTCGCAGGTGTACCAGGAGAGGTGCCGGCTCTTCTACGTGCCCCCCGGAGTCTGACCAAGGTGTCGTCTAGGACGCCCCATGTAGATACGCGAGTTGAAAATACACATGCCAATGTTTTGCAGTAGCAAATTGTCTCTTTATTGACACAACGTGTCCGTGCGACCGTAGAAGAGGAGGTAGGCCTGGCTGGCCAGCACCTTCCGCTGGGGAGCCGGCGCCACGCGGCCGTCGCTTGCGTAGAACCATCCCCCGCCGGCACCCCGAACGTAGGCCACGTAGTGACCTCCAGTCATGCGTCCCGAGTGCTCCACAACTCCGTACAGCGTGTAGCTCTTGCAGCCCTCAGCCTGCAAAGAAGGGGGACGACGGCACTTGCATGGCTCCCTAAGCTAGTGTAATTTCTGCCCATTGCCCCAGACAAGTGCAGCCCCAGTGTAGATATGTGTTAGTATGAGCTATAGCTACACTTAATTAATAAACTAAATAACAAGTTGGTGCTATGCATTTTCCATTAAACCACAGGAGTACAACTTAATGTAGCTGCCCTACTGGTAACTCCTCTACATGGAGTGCAGGTCTACTGCCAATGCAGAGCGCAAGTTCATCTGTCTCTTTTGCAGGAGTTGTGGTGACGTCTGAATGCCAAGCTCTGATTAGCTCTGATTGAAGAATAGCAGGTAGACGTCAAGGAAGCTCGCTACGGGTTCTACCCAATGTCCCACAATCGGAGCTCGGCGTTCTGATGTCGCCACAACCCTTGCAAAAGAAGCAGACAAACTTGCGCTCCGCATTATGTTTTGAAACTCCGATTGTCTTGGGCTATGATCATGAAAGAAGATGCAGAGTACCATTAATCATGTGCTCTAAAGGCAGCAATAAAACACCACAAATCAAGTTATTAAAGGGACAATTAGAAAAATCCAGCTTACACTGAAGGCGAGTGTAAAGGTAATTCCTGTTATCTTATCCTGTTGAAAATTATAATAATCCCCCATTGGTGATTAAAGTTCCGAGCTCTTCACAAGGTATGCTACGAGCCATCTTTTTATGAGAGGGGTCGTAACAGGAAGTGGATGCCCCTACCGAAATGTTCTTGTTGGATGAGAATGTTTTATCACACAGGATGCACTACGCGGCTGTCCATATCAACTTTCTCTAAGCAATATCTGTATGTGCAGGCCTTGCACTAAAGATGGAAAGTTTCTGGTTCCTTTGCACACACTTTCTAACCTCCTCCTACTACCTTTATTGATTTGCAATATTGGCACGCACGTCTGATGAATCCGCAACACTACCCGTGACTTGCCTACTCATTACATACATTAGGGCAACATCCGGCCCCGGGCAACCCCCAAGTCTGTTGTTCCCTTTGTCCTACCTGGCCACTGCAGTAGGGCCCCAGGTCCAGCTCGACGGGGAAGGCCACATGGCGCTGCACCTTACGCAGGGACGATCCCTGCTGGAAGCGTTTGAGGTGCAGCGTCAACACCCTCGGTGGTTGGAGCACCTGCAGTTGCAGGCTGGCCGCCGCACGAGCGACGCCGCAGCCTTCGCAGTGCAGACCGTTGGCACCTGTAGAGATACAAATGCAGTCCCTTGAAAAGGTTGTCCCCCACAGGGACACTAGTCTTATAGAAGTCTCCAAGCACCTAGACTGGCTAAATTTCTCGCCTACAGCAGAGATGCTGGATGCCCCATTGGAGGCCGACTAACTTCCTCCTGTCTAAACATACACACAACACAATTTCTGGTCTTGCCAAAGCCTTTAAGCACCTACACACCAAAATGAGGCATGCCTTCCAGTCTCACCCAGTCTGGTGCGGGTGAGAATGGAGGGCAACTTCAATTTCCCCTTGTTCATCTGCCCATAATTTCAAATTCACCAGTCAAAGAAGGAAAGAGGTTGGGAGCAACCCGAGAAAATATTCACAACTACGGACCAACAGTCAGAAACTCTCGCCTGCACTCTCGTGAAGAGAGGGGCAAGACTCGGGGGATCCCACCATGCTCAAAGAGGAGAATGCCAGAAAAGCAGCACGGCACGACGTCGGTGTACCGCGTTCCAATACTGTAAACGACTAAATTTTCGCGAGGACCTAATTTTCGCGAGTCACGTACAATTCGCGAAAAATACACCCCGCGAACAATTCTGGCAATATGTGAACGCTACGGAAGCTACGCTCGATTCGCGAAAATTGGAACCCGCGAATAATTTCAAATTTTCAGCTTTGGCCCGATTCGCGAAAATTTAAGCCCGCGAAAATTAAGTCGTTTACAGTACCTCTAGAAGGATGGAGCGGGTAACTTTGCTGGCTCGAACATCCTACGCACAAAAGCGTTGGTGTGCCACCAATGTCCGATCGCTCGGAGCGCGGTACCTTTGGCCGCATGCGGCGGACGGAGCGGCCGCGGGAGGACTTACCCGCCAGCAGCTCGGGTGCCGTGAAGCTGCGCAGGCAGGCGTCCAGGGAGCCCTCGGGAGGTTCCCTGACGCCCCCAGGTGCCTCCTCCAGGTGCAGCACCTCCACCTGCGACGCCAGGTCCGGGCTGACGTTGTCCTCCTCGTCTGCCTCGGTCGGGTCGGCCGCCCCTCCCCCGCTCAGGGCCCCCGCCCTGCCCGTCGCGGCCCTGCCTCCCAGCTTGCCCTTGGCCCGCTTGCCGTGGCCGGCATGCACGTTCCGAGGAGCCTTGTCCTCCGGGATGGGCAGGGAGAGGTCTTGGAAGGGGTCCTCTCGCCGGGAGACCTGTTTTGCCAGAAGCCGCGAGGTGCCGGGAGTTAACGTGGTCACCCAGAAAACACGCGGCAACCCTCCATATGGCCCATGCCGAGCGTGTGGGCCCAGATGGTGCGTTGACTGCACCTAGGGTTCGATCTTGCTCCGGACTTCTGGTGTACCACAGACGGCCTAGTTGCGCAAGGAGCGAGAAACAAAAAAGGAAACAAATGTGGCCCCCCTTAATGACCTGCTGGTCATTAGGGAGTTGTAGTAGATTGTTTTTCTCCTCCGCTACGGTATCCCCGAAGGAAACGCCGCAGCTGCGCATGCGCACCCCCAGCCTTGTCTGCGTAGTTCAAGGTCGTGTGGCGGATTATAAAGCGCTATCTGGGTGCTTAGCGGGCTGCGGAAACGCTCTACTACAATTCCCTATTAAGGGGGGTCATAAACCTAAATTTAAAATCTCCTTGAAAAAATTTATTTTTCAATTTTGAGGTTTTCGATTTCAGAAATTATTGATACACCCTTACACTAAACTTGATAACCATACGCCAAATAGTTACGTTGATATGAAATATTTTCAACATATTGTGAGGTAGTAACAAAGCAAAGGAGTTCAATATTTTAATGCATTTTTCTCAGTTCCACTTTTTGCTGCAAATTCATACGAAGGAATCTTTTGTTTAAAGGTATTCTGATAGTGATACCACAATCAAGACGTTTCTGAACTGAAATTAACTGGAAAATCGGGCTATCTTTTTTATTTTGTTTTAAGATGAAGTTTTAAGATAAAGATGAGAAAAGACTGTTTTAAAAAATTGACATAGGACAGATATGCATCTCATATTTTGAGCTAATAACTGTCAGCTGGGTCACTGGGTCGTGTTCTATAGGCCGTGATGCCACTGTTGTCGTGCTGCTCGAATTTAATTTTGACAAGAAGTACAACCAAAGAATTAGGTCAAAAGCAACTCTAAACTTTCATTGAAATTAACAAATCAAACAACAGGGTTTGTACAGGCTTCAAAGGAAAAGGCTCAAGAGTTTTCAAGGACTTTTAAGGGTCTGTAGATATGTTTCCAAAGACCCCTTCCAATACTAGTAAATTTATAATATAACACGTTTTTTAACTGCAGTGAGAAAATTCTTTATCGCACGATACCTAGGAAAAGGGTTCAGTAGAGCTACTGCAGCCTTTCCTTGATTGCTGATATTTAGAAGTTCTTGCATCTTCGTTTTGGCCGTTTTCCTTAGGCTGTTTTACTTGACAATTTAAGTGAGGTTACCTGTTGCCTCTGCTTCCTCGATGCTCGTAGCTGCACTTCCCTGGCATCATGCACAACTTAAGTTATGTCCATCGTGTGTAATGTAAAAACGGACGCGGAACAAGCAAACCAGGAGTAGCTAGCAAAGAGTGTGCGAGGGAACAAATTGAACAAGGGGCAATATCGTAAGATGGCGGACAGGCGAGACCGGATCCGAACCTCCGAGACTGCTACCATTGAGGCCGGCCGCTTCACGAGCATCCACTAAATGCGTCTATATGTGCCATACTAGAAAACTTTCTCGATGAAATTATGACATTTATGTTAACATACATGTAAAAAATATTAATTATATCATTTCGTCGTTTACCCTGAGACTAGGGTTTTTTTAGACGAGCAGAAGTAACAGAAAAAACAGACAGGCCTGTTTTTTCTGTTACTTCTGCTCTTCTAAAAAAAAACCAGTCTCAGGGTAAACGACGAAATGGTTGACGTCCACCGGCTAGCCTGTACTTTGACTCTTTTCTCATTAATTATATATTATTACTTTAAAAAGATTTTCATTGGAAAAAAAGAAATATTGACTCTCATTGAGAAATTTAAGGGTTTTCAAGCACCGCTAGAAATTCCCAGGCTTTCAAGCTCTGGAAAATGCCGTTTTCATATTTAAGGGTTTTTAGGCTTTTCAACGACTTGTGCAAACCCTGTACATGAATTGTGAATGATACACCTCAACCTACATGCTACCAACAAAGCGCAGAAGCCGTCACGTGATCCTTGCTACTACGTCACGACGAGAAGCCGCCGGGTAATGCAACTCCATCGTCTCGGGGCTAAGAGCAAGCGCATTTCCAACTCCTGTTGACTTGGTAGTTATAGTTAGGTTCAACTGTACCTACCTGCCCACATTGCTGACAGATAAGGGTGCTGAGCAGCAGGCCACCAAATATGTCATCCAGTGCGACACGGGAGACGGCCTTTTTGTAAGCTGTACAAGAGCAAGAAAGAAAAAAATTGGAGACCCACACATGTACCTTCTCAAAAGTTACCTTCAGTCGTTAAACTCATGCCTTACATCGTAAAAACAGTGAAAAAAAAAAAAAATGTAGGTCACAGGAAAAGACAACCAAGTGCCGAGTAACAAATGCAACCTTATAAAGTTTCAGTTGGTAGTTAGCATTGCCCTCGTTTTCTTCTTGTCTTTGTTTTCTGCATGTAACTGTTACAGACAGTTACGAAGTAGCCAAGCCTTCTATTCTCCTACTTTCTGCTTCAGCAACTCATACAGGCACTTCTAGCAACAAGCGTCGGGGACAGCTAGCAGCATCATTCTCTACACCCATTCAAGTTAGCTGCATCACACTGCACTACGGCAATGTGCACTTCCATAATGTGCTTCAGGATACCACCAAAACCATTGAGCTCGTATGGCAGCACAATTATAATGAAGGAGACCATCATCAGTAACCCTTTGCTAATTTCTCCTTATAAAAGAAGACATGCCACTCGTTAATGTTCATCTGTGCGGTGAGAGAACACAACAATTCTACCAAGAATAACTCGGCAGAAAGTAGGCTACAATTAGTATATTACAAAATGGAAAATAAAAAAGCCACACAAATGTTTTCTTTAAATATAAGTTTTACACAATGCAGCAAAGTCTCTTCATCATAAGGCTATTTGAACTGTAGTATCAACAAACACTTCATGAGTACCTTTCTTTTTGATTTCATATGGCACTACATGTAAGTACTACCGTGCTATATAATGACTCTTCTTTTACATATCTGAGCTTCCTAGAAGACTATCTTGTAGTAATCTCCTCGTTATAATGAAGTCAACGGGACGGCAAAAAAATTCAATATAAGCGGTAATTCAATAAAAGCGATGGAGCAAAAAAACAGTGCCAGCAGCCTTCAAGGCGGACGGAAAAACTGCGGAACTCTCTGACCTTATATTTAATCAAACAAATCGTATGGCGGCAGCTTTACTGAGTAAAAAAAAATAATTAAGTGGAATTTGCCAATAATTTCATACGGGTATCAGTTCTCCTCGAACTGCTCCAAATGTCACCAGAACACTTTCACCACCACTGCACTACACTTTGTTTCGAAGCAGCCATAGGATGTTTCGCGTCTTCGCAGACATCAATGTTTCCCAAGGTGCCTCTCTGATGTCGCTTGGTGTTTACTCTGGCTGCATACAAGGCCTACGATCGCAGCATCTGTGGCAGGGGCAACAAGGGGAACGTCTGCACCGACAAGCGTGAACGAGTCTGGTGGCTCTTATAACATGTTTTCACACATGCCTGTAGAGATTGTTGCAGCTAGGGTGCCTACATGTTTCCGCTCCGCTTTAGGGTGGCGCCAACTTCTTGTTACCCTTTCCCAGATCCTCTCCCACCGCCATTTTTTCCCACTTCTTATTTCACTAAACATAAACAACATTGAGTTTGTGTAGTCTCGACACACCGGCAACACTGTGAGGCCACTTCCGTTTCCGTTCGTAAGAGGAGTCGGAGGCTCAGCAGGATGGCGGTGGTCGTGCCTGTCGTTTTTTGTATTCGGGTGTTTCATACTTTGAAGTTGCGAGCAGGAAGTGTGCGTTGCTTTTATCGAAACGCGAGTTCCCACGACAAAATGGAACGCAACAGACCGGCATTGAACGCCGAAACCTCGCCGTCGGAACGAGAGCGGTGAGCGCTCCCTAGCCCTAACAAGGATTAGCGGCGTAGTCCGAGCGCACGACCGGCGGGTGTGACAAAACGGACGACGAAAACAGCGGAGGTTGCCATGGTAACGAGGTAGGCAACACTGGCTTGTCGGCAATAGGTATTACAAACATTGTCGCCACCCTAAACAGCGGAGCGGCGGAAACATGTAGGCACCCTAGTTGCAGCTATAGAAATTGTGTCTCGGCTCGGCAAGCATGCTCGCGAGAAAAAATCCGAGGTGCGTGAAGCAGTTGGCGATTTTTCATCTTTGGGTCACAGGCACGCTTTCTCCTGCATGAGAAACTTCTCGAACCCGCCCAATATGCCTTGCTTCTTTTGCAAAATGGTGGAGGGTGTCAAACAGCCGATGCCGGAACGTCGAATTCTTTGGCGATTCTGGACTTGGGCAGGCCGCTGTTCTCAACCTCGCAGATCTAAGCAACTTTCAGTAAACACTCCCAATCTCCCATATGACGTACGTGTGCGCGTACTGCCCGCACAAGCACCCGCACAGTGCGCCCGCACGGGCACGATTTCCATAAAGGCACCCGCACAAGTGCGCCCGCACAGGCACGTGCATCAGGGGCTCCCAAAGGGATGATTTCCTTCAGGCTCTATCGCTCCCTTGACCTAATTTCGACAAGAGTCGGGCAGCGTCGGCTGCGGGTGCCGTGAGTTGCGTCGGAACATTGCCGCTGCTCCCACTGCTCTCTGCCCGCGTCGGAACGTTGGCATCGCTCTGCGTGCTCTGCCCTCCGTCACCTGTTTACTCCGTTTTCCCTGTTTGCCGCTTGCCTCGATGGAGAAGGGGGAGGGAACGCAAGGGCCTCCGTGCGTCTTGGTATCGACTTGCATGCTTTTGGCACCTCTGCCTTCGTAATAGGCTTGGCCGGCCGCCGGTACAATTAGAATAATCCGGTTAAAAATGTGTGCATCTCGGTCGGAACCACTGTAAACTTCAATAAAAGCGATATTTCTAAAAAATAAAGATTTTGTTATATTGAGGGAACTGTACCTCACTTTATGCATGTTTTACTCTACACCTTTGTTCTGACTAAATGCCAAGAAAAACAGGGGTCGTGGCTCCAAATGTTCTACAAGTGCGATGAGCCTTACAACAAAAAAACATTACATTGGACAATTTTCTACGGGAAAGCAGTCAAAAGTAGTGAGCATGTGCATTCGTGCAATTTTAGTGCCAATCGAATCTGTGCACACACACTCCTCTCTTTGGAAATGCCAGAAACTTGCCCCGAGCATACAGTCCACGTGTCCCTTTGGAGTCTCACCTTGCACTTTGGCCTTGGTGTCTGTTCCCACCTGTCTGGGGTTCACCTTGGAGCTGAGTCCAAAGGCATTCAGGACAGCCTGCATGTGACGCTGCAGAGACACCACAAGTCATGAGCAAACCTTTGATAACCACCGTTTTCTTGGCTACAAGGTTACTAACATCTGTAGACAAAGGTGTTGCAGGCTATGTTCCCATGCTTTTTTTTTTTTTCCTTAAAATGGGGGTGGGGGGAAGGGTTAGTATTACCTGGCATGTCCATGCAATGCCCACTGACGAAAGGATTATATTAAGAGAGTATGTGGGGAATTAATAAAACCTTTCTTATTTCTAAAAATATCTGAACGAAATTTACAGGCTGTGTTTATAACAGACATAAGAGAGACTGCAAAGTTTCATGGAGCTGTGCATTTTATTTCTCAAGTTACAAATATTTATCAGAATCGTCCCTATCCGTTCCTTTTCCCAGGCTCGGAGAATTTGAAAAAGGTAGTAGCAGTATAAAATTTGTTATGGTGACCCCTGGATAGGTTTCCCAGGGCATAACAGAGCCCTTTTTTTAAATTTCTTCGTTGAAACATTTTAGCACGACTTTGAATTTTATGTATAGTTGGTGAAACTTACACTCATCAATTTAATCTTTTTATTAAATTTATAACACAGTTTTCTAAGAAAAGGGCACCCTCACAAAGTTATATCGGAACAGAATAAAAAATGAAAGCTGTTTACAACTTCCTCCAATGCCGAATCAGAGTGCACTTCTTGAGGAGGAGGAGGGAAGGGTACTGAGGGGAGGGCATACCCCTCCTCCCTCCTCCTCAGCTCGTCATCCTGCCTGCTACTCCGCCACAGGGGCCACGTGACCTCAGGAGGGTCACGTGGCCCCCGTGACGTCATGGAGGTCACGTGACCTCAGGTTTTTTTTGGGGGGGTCACGTGACCTCAGGGGGGATTGCATGAACCCCCTGAGGTCACGTGACCTCACGGTTACGCCGACAGCGACGCTGCTTAAGCCGGAAACGGGCGCCTAAGAGCTGCGCTCTAAAAAAGACAGCATGAAAATTCATTGAGCAGTTCCCGAGATATTGCTGGGACGAGCAGCCACGGCAGTGAAAAAATCCATTCTGAGAAAACAGCACTTGAAAGCTGCACACAGATTTTCGGCTTTAGAACAACCCTGCAGAGTAGTTCGAAGTGTTCTAAGAACAATTTGTAGTGGAGACCTCTGTGGGAGACATTCATAGCTGCCCAAGTCATTGAGAGCTGTTTGCCCCTTTCCTATCTACTTGATCGCCATGATGGAGCGGATGTTGACTTCGAAGACCCTCGAGTCTTGCTGGCGTGGTGAAGTCCAGGAACTTGCAAGAATGCCGCAATGGGGACATACGACCTCCAGTTTTGCTGCCAGTCCAAGTTCGCTGCCTTCTTGGACAGTCAAATCAGTTCCCGAGCAATGCTCGCACACTGTGCAGCAAAGCAGGTTGCTCAAAACGTCAATCTGAACAAGGCAGAACTTTGCACCTTCGCTCATAGCAGAGGCAGGTGTGGGATGTGGCAGCATGGCTTCAACCTTCTTCTGGGTTGCTGGCAGTATCACAATGTCTAGATACTGCTTCAATCTCCTTGCGCGTCAGGAAATGCGTCCGTATATGACTGCTGGATGACACGTTCCCACTCGCTGTGGCAGGCGGAAGACGAGCGCTGGGCCCCGCGATCTCGGGAGGAACCACAGCGGTCGACGTGCTGGGTACTCCACGTGTGAGCGAGGTGATGCATTCTTCCTCAGCGAGAGCCAATGGCACAGGAAATTTATCACTGGAAGCGTAGACACCGGGCACGTAGCCTGAGGGGGGAATGGGGCCCATCCCCGCCCTTCCCTTCCCTTCACCCCCCACCCCCGCCCTTCTCTTCTTCTTTCCCCCCCCCCCCCCCCCCCCCAATCTTCTATTTTGCTGGGGCCTCCTCTCCCCCCTCCCCCTCATACAGCATTTTGTCATGGGCGGGCCACCCCCAAATCATAATCCTGGCTAAGTGCCTGGCAGTGGTAGACACGATCACCATTGATGGCATGCTGTACGGAAACTCCAAGCTTCACCACCCGGAATAACTTCATGGGCTACTTCAAATTTTATATTGTGTGTGACCAGAAAACTGACGGGCGGGCAACACGAAACTACTCATAGACGGTTCAGAAAACAATCGTAAAGATGGCGAAACATGAAACGGAGCTGAAAAAGCAAGAGCTCGAGCAAGCAAACCACTGTTGAGAGCAGACGACGCGAGTGACAACAGCAGGAGGAACGGAGAGGAGAGCGCTCCGTGAGCGGAAAAATCGTGTTCCAGCCAATAGAAGTTGCAATTGCGACATGGAAGAACGGTAACCACGCGGCCAACGCCATTTTGGGAGGCAGCAAATGAAAGAGAAAGAATTCACTTTCAAAACAAGACCAAGATGGCGGCCATCGGCCAAATGCGTTGGGAATGGCGAGTGTGCAAATTCGGATTTGATTTTGACGTTTGATCGTCACTTGGACGCTACTCAGGCCTCGTAAATATTTGTTTTCAAATGCTTCCTCGTTGTGTTAGGTGCTCACAATTACAGAAAAGGTAGTTTATGAGATACACAACCCAAATATATGGTTTTCTAAAATTCAACTTTTTTGCGACTGTTCAGTTTTCAAAGCTTGCGTCCATCCTTACCTGATGTCACCCTCCCTCAGCTTGTGACCGGTTTGTTTCTGCATTTTCACTTTACATGCACACACTATACTCAGGAATGCTAAAAGTGTCAGGAAACAGGTGAAGAACACACACAAGAAACAAACAAAGCACATTATTTGTCTTTATTCTTTGTCCTGTTCCTTGGCAATTTTAGTATTCCTGCAAAGTACCAACTGCCCCATCTTTCCATTCTACTGCAACAGTATGCTCTCCTGGCCAGCATCCACAAAGGTGAAAGCTGCATGGACACTGTCAAGAAGCCCTACGAAGGCTTTATGTTTTGGTTTCCCGGCAAAACATCCAACTTGCACTGCAGTAAGAGAGTAAAAAAAAATAATGATTCGTCTTGCTCACCTTGACCTCCTCCGACCTGACGCCTTCCAACAGGTGGCGCAGTAACTCGTGGCTGTCGTGCTGGTGGTGCCCTCGAAACTGTGGGGCCCTATGGAAAATGAAAAAAAAGTGACCTTTGAATATGGGACCGAGTGTCGTTCAATATCCCCACAGCCCCATGACAGATAACGCCTGCCGGCAGTTTCTGGTGCATTACTTCAATCCTAATACCAAGAAAGAGACTAAGTGCGCTGATCATATCAACAATGGTCTGTTACTATAAATAATGTTTCATGTTTTTAGTGCATGCCGACAAACCCAGAAAAGAAACTTTCGAGCCAGTACCTAAAATTTAATTCACCATGGCACATGTTTCTTACATAAAAAAGATTAGGAAATGAGTGATTAATAATCCATAATTAAGTTGCATTTTGCAAAATGCACGATTTCTTAATTATTAAAATAAATTTCTTTTAATTTTTAAAGTGAAAGCTTAAAAATGCATAATTAACTCCACTGCGACTTCAAACACTTATTGCTTCTGTGCGCCGAGAAAGTTAGGGAGAGGAGGAGTTTCGAGCGCGCATAGATATAGAACGCCGAGCTCCGATTCGAACGATTAGTGGGTAGACCTAAAGCTAGCTGCCTTTGTATCCACTGCGCTCGTCAAACGCGTTCGAATGCGAGTGCCAAATGCCAGACTCCACGACGTTCTAATGCGTCCAAAAAGGTCCACCCACTCATCATTGGCGTTCTGGTGTCCCCGTGCGCTCTCGTCTCTCCCCCAGTTTTTCATTCACTTTTTAATGACTGAAAATAAATACCGTATATGGTTCCCATTAGAAACTTGCTGAGCGTCATTAGAAACAACTAAATCTGTCGTTTTTAAAAAAAATGAGCACGTGGGGAGCGCAGTAGTGCGCTTAAGTTACCACTCGTACAACAGTCACAAGGTTGGCAATGAGTCGACGCGGATGAGAAGAGAGGGAAAAACTGCTCCGGTGCGGGAAACTTTAGCACCCCATCGGGCTTTCCATGCGCTTCAGGATTTTCTAAGATTGACTGAATTAGTGGTTTGCGACGACGCTCGGCAAGTTTCCGATTAGAACCATGTGTTTATTTTAGCCAAATAAAAAGTTAAAAAGGAGTTCATTAGTCGAATTATCGCGCCAGTTAACCCCCTATATTATGTCGCCCGTGTAATTCCCTTGTGCAAACTGCATTATTGTAGCTTTCACAGCTTGTTTTAAACAAATCTTTAAAGCCTAAAAAGACAGCCTGTACATGCAGGTGCTTTTGGAGCATCAAGGTTGCCCTGTGGGGCTGTTGAGGCTTGGCGAACAGAAGTCCAGGACTGACTGGCAAGAACCGAGCAACGGAACGGCCCACTCACGCCTGGCACAGCCGAGAGAAGAGCTGCCCGGGCCGAGGCACGCCCTGCCGCATCTCCCGCAGAAACAGGGCCAAGGCACTTGTCAGGAATCCTGGCCCCGGGAGTTTGACTTCCAGGGGGCCCTGAGAATGAGGGGCGCAACCATTGAGTACCGGGTGTCAGGGAGAGAGGAGAATAGACCGATGTCACCAAGCAAACTGCGCAGGCGCGCGCATTCCGGAAGTGGTGCCGCCGCCATGCTACTTGTAGTCATCCCTTCCCGGCTACATACGGCTGCGCGTGCGTACATCATCATAGATTATCATTTGGCACGCCCCGGTATCACCTTGATTCTCTTGCATGTTTTTACTTCATAAGATTCTGTTGTTTGTAATGCCTTACTTTCCTCAGCAAGGGCAGAAAAGCATTTTCAGTTGTCTTATCGCTTTAGAATCGCTTTGTCGTCTGCTTCGTCGTCGTCTGCTTCTTCGTCTTCGTGAACGCGTGAGCCCACTGCCGTTCACAGGGTAATTCCACTGCGGCCGCGGAAAAAAAACAAAAAAAAAACCAATGGCGCTATTACTCGAGCATTCTGACTTCTTGGACGTCTCAATTACCTTGCAAACAAGTGAACATGTAGTGCAATAGCAAAGAACAAGAAAATTCGAGGGACAATCGGCTCGGTGTAGCACCACGGAACAGCATCAAATGTGATGAAAAACTGAGCTTGGTGGTGCTCAGTCTTGTGCATAACGTTTAATCAGGCATCAAGCAAGAGGAGCTAAATAGACTTTCTCGGTCAGCGATAGTTTTCTAGAAGTCGTTTCATTCTGGTTGACAGCCTGTGCGACAAAGTACAGATGAACAGCGGGAGAAGCCTGCACACAAAGGACTGATCTACAGAAAGGCCTTGCCTGACGCGCCGTAATAATTGGCATCTATCAAAAAGAAGCAACCATGCCAGATACCTGAAAGCTTGTGGTGGAGATGATTTTTCGTGCACAGTTTCTATTCAGTTTAATTTTGTTTGCGCAAGTTCCGAACGCTAACAGTCGCCCGACGGGGGACGCTTTTTTCTGCGGTCTCGACTGGTGCTAATGCAGAATGGATCAGTACCACCAGCCTAATAGACAACCAAAAAATGGATGAGGTTCATTTGTTACATTTTTGGCGGTAAGTACGCGTTGCACTTCTAAATTGCATTATGTAATCTTTTCGCGTGGGTATGGAAAAAAGAAAACTGAAGGCTGCTTCCGAAAAAAAGTTGTTTTATATCAAGTGGTGCATATCGGGAATCGCTGCTCTTTTTTAGTGATTGTCCTGATCTTTTGAAGCACAGTTGTGCTTGAAACATGTCGTCGCAATACCAGTTATAACCACCAAAATACACCGAGTAAAAAGTGTATTAAAAACGGCCTCCGCAAAGCAGTGCGAAGGTCCTATTTGAGATAGACGTACGAATAGGCCGCTACGGAGCAAATGGTCAGAGAGATTCCAGCTTACGGAACACTTCTGCACGCTGTATGTCTCGTGCCCTGTAATCTTACATATTTTAGCTGACGTGCAATAATTGGATATAAATTGTATATAGCTGACCATTTACCTAAATTATGTACCAACTAGCTCAACTTCAGTATGTTTTTCTGCCGCTCTGTCCGGCTCTGTCGACCTTTCTTTGCCGTGCTTCTTTCTTGCGGGAAGACATAATATCTGAGGCCTTTTTGCCTGGTGCTGTTATTATAGCTCCGTGGCATACAACATGTGAAGCCACTGATTTAAAACCATGAGTCAACACCTGGCTAAAAGTCTCGTGCTAACCCGAAAATTTCCAAACACCGGGCGTACAATGCGCGCCGACGCGGCCGGAAAACTGGGGAGAACTACAGGTACCAGAATGCACTGCGGCAGCGGTGGCGTCGCGCAACTCCTCGTGAGATCGGTCTATTGTATCTTTCTTGCTGCAAGAATAGTGCACACGTCGTCGAATGCTCAGTCTCCGCCTGAATGTGGCACTGGCTGTCGGGACCAGGTGACAAATTTTTACAACTTACCGATATACAAATGAAAAGTTATAGGCGATTTTCGGAAATTTGCAATGATGAGGAAATTGCGGCCGATAAGGTCCACGAATGCATGGAGATGAATGACATCAGCTACCAAGAATGAGCCCATTTTCGTTATTAAAAATAATTAGAAAAAAAGCAGTTCTAACTTTTTAGTTGGATAAAGGAAGGTTCCGAAACTTTGGCAATGAGTCCCAACTGCTAATGCAACAATTGGCACAGACTGCGCATTCAGCGGCGCATAATTAAATTTTTAAACTAAAAAATTGTAGAGCCGATCCACTTCACGTGAAGATGGAGGACCAGCGAAGCTGTTATCTTTACGACAACTATACAACATCTTTATGATTTACATATAATTGCAATGAGAACACATACACGACTTCATTGTTTATTTGTCTTTATTTAATTCTTAGTGACTACAGTGACCATTGCCTTATGGTCACTTATGGGCAAGTTGTAAACCCAATTTTTCGAGGCACACCTCGAGGCCTGTTTTTACCGATTGAGCCCAAGTCCCTTTATCAGCATCGCAGAAGCGAAAGAAAAGAAGGTTAGATCAACGCGTTCTGCCCTCAGCCTTGTCACAGCGCAGTCTTAAATGAGATAAGTCGGTGACCGCAGATGATAACAAGGGATCAGGACCTCACTATTTAATAATATCAAGGAAGGCTGACTTACGTGGGTTGCCCCCTCTTTTTATTTATACTTGCCACGACCAATCAGAATGAAGGAGCGCCGTTTAAACACGAGTTTTTTTGTTAATATCCATGACACATTCTTTTTTTCAAATCCTAGCTAGCACATAACAGCTTCGCTGTAAAAAGTTTGGTTCATTTTTTTTCCAAAACACCCAGTAGTGCACCAACTCATATTGGAGCACTTTCTATCAATAATTTTAGGCAGTGAAAGACATTTACAGAGTTAACCATTTCAGCATTGAAGTGACACATACTTGATACATGCAGACTAAATAAACTATAAAAAGCTCTTCACAGCAGGAGGCTATACCTTCCAACTAGTCAAAAGAATGCTCAGGTGACGGATACTGCTGGTTACGGCTTGAAATCGTACGTATGTCATTGATATCAAAAGCTGGACTAACTCCCTCAGACCTAATACTGTCACGTTATCGCCAAACATAAAAATATTTCTGCAAAACTCTGCAATAGGGTAAAATGAATATTCGAATATAAGATTAAAATAATATGCTCTTCGATATTCCCTTCAAGCCTTATATGTCTCATCGTCCAATCCTTGAGGGAAAACACGTCGGCAACACAAAAGGTACCAAAACGCAAATTCGCGCTTAACGATGCGATAAACACGTGGGAATTCGCTATAAACTCCAATGTCACGGGAAAGGATACTGCAGGTTGCGGACGCAGCAGATTCGCATTTCACGGTGCGAAGGACCCGCGCAAACCCGCAGAGATCTCGCACCTCACCGGAACGAATACCGCAAATCACGGATGCAGCAGATGCTAGTTTTATGGAGCAATAAACACGCAGGGACCTGCTACAAACTTGCCTGTCACGGGAACCGATATCGCGTGCGCAGATTGCAGACAAAAACCACAAACTCGAATGTTTTGGGTACAAAGACCGCAGGTCATAAACGCAGCCGAATCGTATTTCACAGTGCAATATACACGCGGGACCAACTCGCGTGGAATTGAGATAGTGCGCGCAGACCGCGGACAAAAATGCGGGAATCCGCTACAAACTTTATGTTACCGGAAAGGATACTGCAGATTGCGGAAACAGCGGATTCGCATTTCACGGTGCAACATACACGCGGGGACAACTTGCACGTTACGGGAGTTGATATCGCACGCGCATATCGCGGACAAAATTTATTTATTTATTTATTTATTTAAATACCTTAAGAACCGTGAGTCAGGGTATTACATAAGGGAGTGGGTTAAAAATAGTGAGGTTAACATTTCGCGGAACAAATCAATGTCTTGAGCAGAGATGACGGCTTTGGGCAAGCCATTCCAGTCCACAGATGTCGCCAGGAAAAAAAGATTTAAGGAATGCTGTATGTCGAGTGAAAAAAAAGGCCAACTTTTGCATGGTGGTCAACGCCAGGTGATATGCGATGAGGTGGCAAGATGAATGAATTGTGCAGATGATCGTCGAAGTAAAACCTGTACAAAAGACATAATTTAGCGATGTGCCTGCGTGAACACAAAAAGGTTAATGATAAATTTTGTTTAAGGGGGGACACTACCCAAAAAAGTGAATGTTTGAACCACTTGTTTCATTTAAATTAGATTTACAGGGCTTGTTTCTGTTAACGTTGAGAATATTTCTGCCAAATTTTGTTGACCTGGGTGATGTACAAAAAGAATTGCAAATGTTCAAAGATGAAAGTGGGCGAGTCTGTGTAGGAAAACTATCGTTTTGAAATTACTTATAAATTTGTAATTTTCATGTTTTATATTGTTTTAGGACAGTTCAGAGCAGATAACTATGAAGCTATATTTCTATATTATACCATCTTTCATGGCAGAAAAGCCAGAGAAACCCAAATATTGTTTTTTTAGATTTCCATCCTTTGTCCAAAAGTTTAGTTTTGAGCATGAAAAATGACAAAAATAAAAAATACAAGCTCATAGTTATCTTCCCCTTAAAATTTCACCCCAGAAAAACTTCTAAAAGTGAATCCAAGTTATGTAATAACAAAACGATAGTTTTCCTAAAGTGAAATTTCTGCCAAAAACTGGAATGGAGAAAAATGCATTCGAAGTGCTCCAACCTCTACCTTTTCTTTAGCATTGGTGGACCAAAAAAAATTTATGAAAACTTAATTATGCAGTGTAAACTAATGAAACTTTCTGGGAATACTCTCTGGATGTTGGTGGATGTAAATATGACATTTGTCAAAATCAATGGTTTTTGCAGAAATTGTTTTTTCTGGGTAGTGTTTCCACTTAAGTTCAGTAACACTAACAAACCTAGAGTATTGAGACATTATAAAGCGAGTGGCACGAGTTTGAACTGATTCTAAGTCGGATACAAGGTATTTAAGATGGGGGTCCCAGATTGACGATGCATATTCTAGTTTCGGACGTACCAATGTGACATATGCAAATTGCTTCACAGATGAGGACGCGAGACGAAGACTATGGCGCAAGAAACCAAGAGTGCAGTTTGAGTCGGAAATGATAGTATTAATATGGGTTTTCCAAGAAAGGTCGTGAGTAAAGTGAACGCCAAGATACTCGTAAGTCAACACGAAATCAATATTAAGATTACCAACAGAGTAGGAAGAGTGAAAATGTTGATGAGTTCGATAGAAAGAGAGGCATTTGGATTTTGATGTATTTAGTAGCATCTGCCACCTTGAACACCAATCGTTAATTCTGTCTAGATCAGCCTGTAGGTTATGCAAGTCATCTGTGTTAGATATGGCTCTGTAGACTACGCAGTCATCAGCAAATAGACGAGCGTTAGAAGACAATGAAAGAGGGAGGTCATTAATATACACGAGAAAAAGTAGGGGTCGAAGAACAGATCCTTGCGGTATACCGGAGCTTACAGGAGCGCTTCGGGAACGACAGTTGTTAGTATGCACATGCTGGCATCGAGAGGTTAGAAAGCCTTCGATCCAGGCTAGAACGGAAGAGTCAAGAAACAGTGTGGACAGCTTTGCTGGTAGAAGTTTATGGGAAATGCGATCAAAAGTTTTAGAAAAAGCGAAAAAAATGGCATCAACTTGGTGACACATTTCTAGAGAAGAATGAATATCGTGACAGAAAGCGGCCAGCTGCGTTTCGCATGAACGGTGTTTCCTAAAACCATGTTGATTGAGGAAAAAGAATTTATTCCGTTCCAGAAATTCCATAACTTGAGAATGAAGGGCATGTTCCATGAGCTTAGAGCGTACAGAAGTTAATGATATGGGCCGGTAATTTAGAGGGGAGTGCGCATCGCCACATTTGTGAACCGGAACGACCTTACCTTCTTTCCAGTCATCGGGAACATCACCGGTATCTAAGGATTGTTGAAATAATGATGTTAGAAAAACAGTTGACAGCGGTTTAGTAATTTTCAATATTTTGCTGTTTATGTCGTCAGCTCCTGGTGACGATGACGTTTTGAGTGTGTCTATTAATTTGCTAATGTCGTTTTCCGAAAAAGTAATTGGATGCATAGGTGGCACGGACAGTGATGAAATATCTGGCAGCGATGTGATGATGGTATTATTAAACACGGCAGAAAATGCGTCACAAAAAGTTTCAACAGTGTCATCATCGGTAAGGGAAATTCCATTGTCATTTACTAAAGAGACTGGTTTACGATAATGGGGATTAATTATGCTCCAAAATTTCTGAGGGTTACTTTTGAGGATAGCGGCAAGATCGTGCTGGTAGAATTGTGCTTTGGCTTTCTCGACGGCTGACTTGTACAGTGCGATCGGTGTTAAGAAGTCGTGCACGTCGGTACAATCGTTTCTTCCAGTTGCAGAACGACTTCAGCTCTTGAGTGTACCATGGTGCTGACTGGTTCTCCCGAAACTATATTAGTGGTATGTGTCTATCAATTAGGGCAAGTAGCGTTTCTTTGAAAAGAATCCAATTCTCCTGCACAGAGCGATCCAAAAAGTTAGGCATACGTGAGTCCAGAAGGGACCTTATGCCGATGTTAATGAGATCAATGTTAGCTCTTGGATATACTCCAATTTTGCGGCAGGATAACATGGCCGTTAATGGTTACGTCTTTTACCTTAAACCTGGATGTTAATGGTTACACCTGTTACTACAGGCAGTAGCTTGTGCCACCTAGCCTAATTCTACAAAGACAAACATATGATTCCTCCCACCCTTCAAGACCAATTTTCTCCCCCTAACTATCACCAGGATGACCTCTGGGGATCAAGCGAAAACACAAAAACAACACCCCCTACCTTTACCCCCCGGCGACAGAGTCGCCAATTTTCCTCCGGTCAAACCTTGTCGGCGTTACCCCAGCACTGGACCCACTGGAAGACAGGGTTGAGACTTTGGGCCGGAGCCACGCGGGAGGGAGTCCCAATTTTCCTCTGTCCCACCTGTCCCCAGCTGTGCTAGTTAGTTGCGCATCATTCAATTTTCCCTAGAGAATTTCCACCAATCTTTTAATAGACTCTTTGTGACTGTAGTCCTTTTCTCTTCTGTCCTTCCATGTTCACCAGCAAAACCCAGGGCCCCGGCCGAATCCGCTACCCCTTCAGGGAGAGCAGGGCGAAGCCCTGTGTACTTCAAAACCAAGTGCTCTAGTGTCTCGCTCTCATTATGGCAGGTGGCACATAATGTGTGTCTCCTGAAATTTAACCCTATATGTCCCTCGTCCTCAAAACTCCCTTTCTCGCCTCAAGCAGTAAAGAACTTCCCAGTGTATTGTCAGCCACACTCACCTTTCTTATGTAGTGTTTTTGTGTAATGTACATTGTTAGAGCTGATTTTTCCTGCATTCTTCTTTCCCACATTTTCCTTTCTCCCTCTTTCACTCCCTTTTCCACTAAAGTACTATAGTCTGCTCAGCCCCATCGCTAGAGCGTAGGTATTTAAATGCAAGCTTTTGGGTTCTTTTGTCCATTTTGTGTTTAAACTTTTCATGTATAAAATTATAAATACTTGAATACATACCTCCCGTGCCCACTGCGTGTCATCCATTTCAGTCAACGTTTGTTCAAATTTCAACTTACTAATTGCCTCCCTGCTCTCAAATGACGACCAGCCCATGTCCCCCTGTACTCCCTCATTTGGTCTTTCCAGGTGCTCCCAGTGCCATCTGCCTATGCTTCTTTGACGAATTTCTAATCCTGATTGGACCTCTTGATTTTATGCACAGTACCCTATTGCCAAAAGACAGTGCTGGTACCATCAAACACAAATTAAACTATATATGTTCATAGAGATATCAGGACCCACTCCTCTGTTGAAACTGATACACATTTAAAGTCACATTTCCCGCGTGTGAAGAAAATGTAATTGGCTTTGTTACATACCCCCCCCCCCATTCTCAAAATCAAAATGGAGGCACATCCAATTTGGTCCACAATCATGTACACATCAGGTACAGAAATAGGCAGGGTATAGCAACAAATAATTAAGCACATTTTCATTCAATATGAAAGTGCAAAAGATGAACAAGGGGTGGGAATAACTTTGTCAGACTCTTGAGCTTTGGGCGGCACCACTTACCAGATCTCCTTCGGCTGCTGGAGCAATGGAAGGCTCGAAGGTGCAGTGCAGATCATTACTGCACCGCTTGGCAAGCAGTTCATCCAGAGCAGGAGTCTGGGACAGACACTGGAAAAAATAATGCCAACACAATTGGAACACTCCCTCACCCACATCACACACTTCTGAAACATGGTTGTATATTTTTAATTAATGCACACTGGAAGGACATCTTACGATAGGTAAGTTGTCAGTACCACTTTTACATTGTGCTGTATCAAGTTTGGCCACAGAAAACTGCATAACATAGCCTTGCTTCATAAGGGATCCGACATATTGTAGTTGTGCCTCAAAAATTAACTTTTACGATGAAACCGCATTCGCTCCAAAGTTGAGAAGCACGTCATGCACATTTCTGTTTAATTTTTCTTCTAATCTCCCTGCAGAGGAAGACCTGTGGAGGGACTGACATTCTCATTACAGGAGTGTACAACCATTTCTTTTTGCTGCCCTAATGACGACCTCCCGTCGAGAGTTGCCTACCCTCGTCCCCACCCTGTTGACAGTCTCTTCTCTTTCTTGTATCCAGGTGGCGCTAGCTTCCACCCCTAACACGTCATGTAAGCATGGTCCAGAGCTATTTTTTTCACAAGGAAAGGAAAGAAAGAACGAGAAAAAGAGAGATAGTTGGGGAAAAAGAAAAATTAGCAGTGAGGCCTCCAGTGTCATGAAGTGCTTTTGGACAGGAAAAAGATGTACCTATGCAACTCTTGATTCCCCATAGAATTGCATACACCAATAAGAAAAAAAAAAAAAGACATATTAAAATTACTATGGTAATATCCCAAGTCATCGCCCACACCCTGCCGTCTGAAATTCATAAGAAAAGTGGGATAGGCCATGTCTCATTGGGTAAGCACAAAAAGTTTATAGAAAGCTAAAAGAAAACCATTTTTCTCTATACTTCTAGAGCAGCTGCACAAGAGATACATTAAACTCAAAGCTCTAATTAGTTTGACTGTTTTATGCACGAAATGCTCATTAAAGAATGTTCTACTATCGCAAAGACCGTTCTTGCATACGCGCGATGAACACTGTTGATCGGCATGCAGCACAAACATTTGTTCCGTGAAAGCATGTTTATAACACCGCTATGTTATCTTTGTTAATACAAAAAAAAAAAAAGTCAACAAAAAAAAATAGAAAAACCGACCAGTACCTGGTTGGTTTTTCTAATTTTTTGTTGACTTTTGTTTTTTGTTGACATCCAAAGCGGGTGAAAGAAGCAATGAAGGGCGATACCGGGGAAGTGGGAAAGCCGGCCGTCGCATTGGCAAGTGCTTGGGCGTCAGTCCAAGTTTGGCGCCGCGTCAATCACAAGGAGCAGGCTCTTGTGCAACTTTCTTGTTTGGTGCATACATGCGTGCATCCATGCACAGCATGCAATCAACGCAGGTTGAGGTGGCATTGCTGCGCGGCGTAGATGGCACCACGAACATGAAGCTCGAACTAGGACGTTTTACAAATGTCTGTGTGCGATGTTCCAGTAAATCTTTATTTACCCGTTAGCTCTGTCTCAAACACTGCACAACCTTACCAACCGTGTTTGAGATGTTCCAGGAGAAGGAGCGGGTTCGGGGTGACCTTACTTTAGTGGAGATGGACTATGACCTTACACTCTGCAGTTACATTCCCCAGGATATGGGGCATTCGCTCACCTCGCGATCCCTGAATGAATTTCTGCTTGAGTTATCTTCCCAACTTTTCTTTTTGTCCAGACAAACTTTTTTATACGCAAAACAAAATTTAATTTTGTTATCTCCATCGTTTTCTTTTCGCACAGATGTACTCGACTTTGGGGTTGCGGAAATCGGGAAAAAAATGCGTAAACAAAGTGAAGTACCTTTCCTTCCTTCATTTTATTTTGTCACGGACGTCCTCCAACCGTAAGGTTCGCAGCCGTGTCATTCGGGCAGGATGTATGTTTGCGGATCACGGAGTCCGCTTTGGGGTAGTTGTAGGGGTGGGCAATAACTCAGTGTTTTTTTGTTTTTTTTTTTAAATTGATATTTGCCCTAAAAGTGGGGTGGGCATGATTCAGGATATTACGGTATTCACTAGATACCCAGCACATCATAATAAAGACAAATTAAAAATGCCATAATTAGAAAATAATCAGCCATCAGGATCGTTTCAACAGCAATATTTCTGATCATAGGGTATGATGCACTTAACATCTAGAAAAGATAATTAAGTAATTTTTTTTATGGATGTTTAACATCTAGTAAAGATAATTAAGTAATTTTTTTTATGGACGTTTAGGCAACAAGAAGTTAGTTTGCTCCATGGCGCGTCTTGACGTCTTTGTTGTGGATGAAAAATGTAACCAGTACAGCAATATTTCGGATCATAGGGTATGATGCACTTAACATCTAGTAAAGATAATTAAGTAATTTGTTTTATGAACGTTTAGGCAACAAGAAGTTAGTTTGCCCCATGGCACATCTTGACGTCTTTGTTGTGGATGAAAAATGTAACCAATGCAGCAATATTTCTGATCATAGGATATGATGCACTTAACATCTAGTAAAGATAATTAAGTAATTTGTTTTATGGACGTTTAGGCAACAAGAAGTTAGTTTGCTCCATGGCGCGTCTTGATGTCTTTGTTGTAGATGGAAAATGTAACCAGTGCAGTATGACCGCGATTATGGGGTCTTTAACTTGCATCACGCAGTTGTGATACACAAAAGCATGCCAGTACGGTGTTCATCTAGATAAAAACAGGCAGATGAACAACAAAAAAGATTTCACAGCCCCTCTACTCCTACCAGATTTGGTCCTGAATCAAAACAAGTCGCTTCTGCCAGCTAACTTTTACTCTCACCTTCTCATTAATGATACTACTCTCGAGAGGACATTATCCATGCTTAACCTGCACTGTTTTTCAGCATAAAAGAATACAAAGAATATAACACAATTCCTGAGAAAGCAACAAGGAGGGACTGTACTAAAATATTAAGGTGTGCTAGTTGGTGAAGCATGAAGTAGATGTAACCTTATTCTTCTCTTTCTTGCTATTACATTAAAATGCCACTCGTGAGTTTAGCACTAGTCCCGTCTTCTTCGTGTCCTATTTCGTCTTTTGCGCCATTCATGTTTAGTACAACGAGGAGCAACTTCAGACGCCCATCAAGCAAAGTACCCTTGGGTCTTCAATTCAGTTGATGCATATTGATCAGACTTACCTGCATCACCGCATTAAAGTAGCACGTGTTGCCCAGGTTGCTGAGACCCTTGACAGTCACCCACTTGCCAGCAACAGTCGTCACCTCCGGCTTGGACACCAGAGTCGGTTCGTCCTTGGTCCCAACGGCCACCTCAACCTTGGAGACGTCTGTTGGCCGGTCATGCTCAACTGGCCGAGGCTCCTCAGTGGAGCTGGAGGAACTGTTCCGAGCAGATGCTGGGAAGAGTTCACGCAACGGTGAGAAACTTGCGAAGGAGCATGGCTAAGGTACATGCTGCAGGCACAGGGACGCAAAATAAGAGGATGTAGCGAGCAAACGGAAAGATGAAAATGCCCCATCCAGTGACGCTGCATGATAAAGATTTGCGGGCTGCTGTTTATGCGATTATGCATTATTAAACGATACTCCCAGAGAAATATTACAGTTACTCAAAGCAGTGGCTGTATAAGACTATATGATGTTAATGATATTATTGGAATACTATGCGAGTATGCATTTTTAGACAGTACTCCCACAGAAATATTACAGTTTCTCAAGTCAGTTACTGCCTAAGAGTATGCTGCTAATGATTTAAATGAGTACGCATTTTTAGAATGTACTCTAATAGAAATATTAGTTTCTCAAAGCAGTGACTTCATAAGAATATGATGCTAATGGTTTGACTGGAATAAAAAACCCCGCACAATGCTAAGCGGAATAAAAAAAATCTCGGCTTCGATCCAACAGCACATGGAATGTCGCCACTATGCACATGCAATAATTCTCCAACTTGGCTGAGTGAGAAAGCGAGCAACAAGTCTATCTCCTATTCCTGACCAATAAGTTATTTCAGACACCCCCTTATTTTCTGCTCAATGGCCAGCTCTCGAGAGCCTTCCAAAAGATTAACTTATATAAGCTTTACGACACAGCAGCAACCAAGGCTACAATATGCTAAGAAGAGAACAATGGCACAAGCAGAGAAGGTTTCAAACTTGCTTGCTTCCTTCATTCTTACAACAGCTACTAGAGTTGAATGTAACTACTAGGGCTACCCCAGGACGTACCTGACTGTGGAGACTTCTTTGTGCCGGTCGTCAACTTCTTCCGTATGGCACCGACGATCTGCACCACCTGCGAACTGGCCTCCACCGTCCGGTCGCACTTGTAGCACCTGGATGCAGACGAGAACTGCCTCAGTGACTGACAAGGTTGTGGACCTTGACAGCTGGATTAAACAAGGGGAGTTGGTTTAAAAGGAAATGGCTGCCGATGCTTCGCTGCACAGCACTTTCCCACGGCGTCTTTTGTTAGGTGCTGGACAAGAGCAAAGAAGAACTAAGAGGAAGGCTGTCAAAGAAACTGCACATTAAAGTAGTATCAATCAGAATGTAGATTATAAATTTGCAACTTGCATGTGGTAACCTCAAGCATGCTTATGCTGCATATATAGTCGGAGAGAGGTTAAAGGGGCACTGAGGTCGATTCTGAGATTTCTTCTTTTTTGGCGACAACTCAATCTAGACGCTCTCAGCATCCAAACAAACCCGAAATCACAATCGTGCGTAGCTTACTTCCTCGTTAAAAGCGTGTTCAAAGATTGCGACACGCCTGTTTTGGGAACAATTTCCTTCCGAGTGAAGGGGTCGACAAAGGGTGCTTGTCGGCGAGTTGCAAGCGACGGCTTCGCCCACGCTGAACAAGAGGAGTCTTATCTGAATGTGTACCTATCAGATTCTCTTCGAAACGAGTTTTAATAAAATCATTCGGAATCTGCGCGTATTGTAGGGCTTTCATTGGTCCACACAGTGTAGTCCGCAAGAAAAAAGAGTCCAGATGTTGTTCTCTTGCCCTGAGATGAATAGGCGGTTTTGTAATATAGGACTTGGTAAATGTGAGAAGTAACACGTTTTAAACAATATAAGATCAAAAATGACCTTTTCCAAAAACGATTTCAGCGCCCCTTTAAGAGCTCGGGCGAAGCTCCTCCCACCTCTTTCCACTTCAGCAAAACGGATATTGCAGGGGAAGGAACCGCCTGTAAAGCGTTCGCTCTGCTAAAGTGGAAAGAGGTGGGTGGAGCTTCTTCTGAACTCTTAATTTGTCACCAACTATAGAAATGTTCACTTTTACTGCTGCTCCGAAGTGTCTGTCCAGATCATTGTTGGATAAAAAGAAAGTATGAATGGTGGTAAATTCCAAACATAAGAGAGGATGCTGTATCTCACAACTCTTGGTAACATCTCGGACATTTCGGAATGAATTCATACTTTGTGATTAGCGTAGCACTTCCACTAAAACAATACTCATTCGTGACATCATATCTTGCATGTCTGGATGTCAACACTGACATGCAGGGCCACATCTTTTGGGGGTACTGCTAAGGCATTGGGCAGCAATAGATGCCCAGAAGAAAAATGTTGTCCAGGGGGATAGGGAGTATTTCGGACAAACGGAATATACAAGGCAGCAACAGAGACAGCACGTGGAGCTGTTTTCAACCTATGCCACTTCTCAATGGTTTCCATAACTGCTTAGGAAAAGGCAGTTATCAGAAGTGCCATCAGATAACTGCTCATTGCTGATTGACACTTATTTTACAACTAATTTAATCCACAAACAAAAACTTATTGTAGAGAGTAGAACGGTGACAAAAGACAGGCTGCACAAATTCTGAGTCAGACCGCACCTTCAGAGGCCCCGAGGCAATATGAGCGTCTATATGTAACCCTAACTAACGTTGCTAGATCAGTCAGTTGACAAGCTACCTAGGACACTTTGCATCTTTTTGTGGCACGTTCGCTCAGTAATGCTCACTACGCTATTGACATGCCCTATGAAGGAACGATGGAACCAGTAGAATATTGGACGCCCTTCGACTGCATGAAAAGTGATTCTGTTGTGTTTATTTATAATGAAGATCAAGTTTGTGCAAAAACAGCGTCATTTGAAAATGGTATTTCTCTATTGCCCGTGGGAGTGGTGTCGCTAGGATTGCTACGCACCCGTACCTGCTTGCGTGCGAGAAATGGCAAAGGATTGTTTTCAAACGATGGCTCTTCCATAGAGCTTGTCTACTGATAGATCTAAGAATGGAAGCATTCAATAGACCGTTCCACTGGGAAGAGCGGAGACAGAAAAAATGCCCTCCCACTCTCACTCCGTGCGTCGTCTGCTCCGCCGAGTGGGCTGCACCTAACATCCGGCTGGAGTTCAGACTCGGTTTAAAATCGCGTAATTTTGGAAATTTCAAGCGCAGATGTGAGGATTTTGATATGCAGGTTATCGTGTAATGCTATGCTCGATAAAAAGACTAACCAAGTCTAATTGCAATGTTGCTTGCGTGCGAATAAAAAAGAAAATGGAAAAACTGTGTCAGAGTTGCCGGTCGCTCCGGCGAAAAGTAAATCCGGTTACTGTAGCTACTTTACTATACGAAGTTCGTGCTGGTGTAGGCCTTTAGCGACCATGAGTGGAAGTCTGGAATGATAAATAAAAACGTGCTGTCCTGGCGCAATATACGCAGTGGTTGAGTTGCCGGCTGACTCCACTGCTATTGAAGTAACGGAACAAAGATACGCTATTCGATCATTACTCGAAATAAAACAACTGAGCGCTAAAGGTTCATTCTGGAGTAGCCATAAATATTATAAGAACGCTAACCACTTCATAACGGCAGCCACGAGCGAGAGTTCGATGTTCGGGACAACCCGCCGGTACAGCCCAAAGATGGAGAACGGCAACCTCCCAGTTTGTCGTCTGCTAGCAAAGTCGGGCGCATGCCCTCTCTCTTGTTTTACCCCGCCGAACTTCCGGGATGTGTGGAGAGGACGCTGCAGTCTAACAAAATGGTGCCGCCCTGAGAGCGCTAAATGGAAAGGTCTATAGCGGCTTCAGGAGTCAAAGAGCTCGCGCTCCTTCCATTAGAGACAAAAAGCGATTTCCGGTTCACATTACTACGTACACAGAGTCCTCAGATGGTATGCGAGGAGTGAAAAGCGTGTGGTACGACGTATTTCCAGATCGCTGACAATATCCCAAAGCTGTAAGAAAGAAAAAAAAATGGTGGGAAAAGCTGCGTTTGCCACAGCATGGACCTGACGCTTGCTCGCTTTTGTTAATGAAAAGTGCTCAAGGTAAGGGAAATAACGCTTTCAAATTTTGTTTCCAGCTCGGGCTCTTTTCAGAAAATGCCTTGGAGGAGCGTATTTCATTCATTTTGGACATGCTAATAAACCATGTGAAGGTTCATTTGACGTCATGATTGATCACCGTTGCACGGAAACTGCGATTATGGACGACAGTCCGCTCCGTGCTGAACAGAGCAAGGCAGGGTATGAATGTGATTTTGGTGCACAATTGGACACTCACACCGAACGGGATCCCGATCAATGTTTTGTTTGCGTAGCTAAATCGGGGTGTATGCGGGTATGAGAAGTTGGTCGTCGCTCGCTTTGGCCGACAAAACCTTGATCACCCAAGCGTGGCCGACCTCCCGTGTGTATATGAATGCATTTTATAGGAATTTTGTAAAGAAGTGCTGAAGAAACGTATGGCCGGATAAAAATATCTTAACTGGCGTCGCAGATTTACCAAGCTCTATAAGTTGCATGTGTTGATGTTTCTGTTGGTTTTTATGACAGTAGCAGCCTTTGCACCATCCTGCAAAGGGCTCGATCGCATTGGATCGCTTCAAACAGAAGCGCTGATGTCTAAAGTCACTCGTTTGTTCTCTAGTGGCCTCGTCGAGACTTCTTCAATACTGGCTTCAAATAAAAGCGATCGTGCTTGGCATCATCTGCCTCAATTTTATTCGGAGACTGTTTGCCACAGAGGAGGAAGCGGGGAAACCGCGTAGAAGCAGCTGAAGAGCGACACTTTTTTTTTGCCATTCAGTAGGCGCTCTGAGAACTCCCGAGTTACTCCATTCAGTGCTGAGGGAGTCACCACCGAACGTGCCCAATGTTGCACTAACTGGTGGGCTTAAATCCTGGCTGAGGTGCCCACAACCTGACAAAATATTTTGCATGGAAGACACCGTGGTAACCGAGATTTCTATTTCCCATTAAAACATCACAAAGTTGTTTAAATTAAACCTTAGTCTTTTGCTGGGCATGACAGTATCTCTGTGGCTTGATGCACCAGCCTCCAAGACTCGAGGGTCTAGCCACATTGGGCGCCAAGATACTTAAGGTCTATTCACACGATGCATCTTGTTGGCGAATCTTGTGTCGCGAAACTAGGTTTCGGGAAACAGATTCCCCGTCTGAACGCGACCGAAAAAGTGGCGCGCCTCCGAAAAAAGTGGAGCGTCTTCCTCGCTTCCGGAGCAATTTTTCGCTGAAACCTCACCGAGGCCTGTCTATCATCCGAAGGAGAAACGCGAGCGCTGCCAATGGCCGCTCGACTTTGCTATGACTAGGATGACGTCTGATTTTCGAGGAGGAGCGAGCTTTTGGAGGAGTCTGATTTTCGGTTGATTCCGTATCCGAGCCAAAGCCGAAGGAAAGTAAACAAACATGGCGAGCGACAAGCGGAGGAGCGGTGCGTACGGGCGATGAGTCTTGGTCCTACTCGGTTGCAGGTGTGTGAACGGCGCCCACAGTGCGGGTTGGTGGCGCGGTACAGATTCACCAATAGTCGCGACGAGTGCAAGCACCGGATATAAACCGGGTGACTGGGAATAACTTTCTTATCGGTGCAAAAATGACCGAAATGCTTCGAGATCATCTGCCTGTTCTTTGACGTTCGCGGTCTTTTCCGTGTTTGGCAGGACTACTAGTAAACCCAGTGAGCCGAATCTGGCCAAGTTAATTGAGTGGTATTAATAAAACAGACTGTCTCTTCACACTGTGCGTACTTCATATCATTTTGATGCGAAACGCTTGGTATTCCCGATGCAGATGACAAGGTTTGGCGAAATTCTCGTGAGTCAACACGTCACAGATTTCGCGCGTCAAACTCCACGTGTGAACAGGCCGATTTCGCGAAATGTTGGTTTCGCTAAACTGTGGCGCGTTGAAAAGACGCATCGTGTGAATAAGGTCTTAGAGCAACAAACTGCTAGGGAACGTCTCCTACTGTCCCCGCAGGCTTCTCGAAAAGCTCACCAGAGTTCCATGGACTGAGAGGAGAGTGCGAGCGCGTGCGAGTCCGAGTACGTCCTCTCGGCGTGGCATACAGCATGCCGTCCGGGCCACTTGGTACCGCATCCCCGGTGACCGCACTGCAGGCACACCCAGATGTCGTCGGAACCCGCGTCTTGGCAGTCGTCGCACTCGTCGAGTCGCAGAGGAGATCGCTGGAGCAACTGCCGCACACGTCGCAGGTTGACCGACCCCCGGCCATGGACGCAAGCTGCGGCATTCCCTGCGCCGCTCCCGTCGTCGGGGATGTCTGGACCCTCACCGGACGAGTCGGGCACACCTTCGGTGGGATCCTCTTGGTGCTTTTTCTTTTTCCTTGCCATAGCGTGCCGTAGTATGTAACACGTTCGTGAGGCTTGAACCGTCGTCGACGGTCACAGTTCGGCATCGACCTACCAAAAGGCCTCGGCTGGAAAGCGTCCCCACCGACCGCTCACTCGGAGTTGGGGGACTGCCAGGCTGTCGAGGACGCTGGAGCGCATTTGGACGACAGGCGGTGGTGATGAGTATTAATGCACGAGGGCATCTTGACAGCTGGCCCGAGCAGGCGATCGCTCGACGCCTATGACCGCGAGGCCCTGGGCGGAGTCATGAGGCCAACGAGGCTCCGTGTGAGTGATGCGGCTGAAGATACGTTTCAAGAGTTCGGTCCGATTTACCACGACTCGGACAATATGGCGAACATTAAATGAAACATTAACAACATTCGCAGTTCACGTAGTTCAATACAGACCACGACGCACACGAAGGAGGCTCACGTCAATCACGTGTCATAAACTGCGGGCGAAAACGATATCGAGCGCAAAAAGTGGTGTACATTACAAGTTTTTTTTTTTTTTGTTAAACCCAACTGATTTTTATTAATTAATTATTTTGAAATAAATCAAAATCAAACATTGAGACAACAAAAATTATTTATATAATGCATATTAGCCAGTGATATTAGCATGGATAGAAGAACGAACTACCTCGTTGGATTTCTATATGACAATTGCTGGATCATGCTTCCCGCTCCCGCAAGTGAAGCCACTGGACGGCCATCATGCATGTAAAAAAAATCGTGTTTTTGGAGCGTTGCGGAGGCTGGCGGCAGCGTGCTGAAGGCACGTTTTCTACTCGTTCGTCATCATTCGCCAAAAAAGTTGTAAAAAAACCTTATGCAAGCCGTGAGACTTGCCGTTGAAAACGCGGGAAAAGTTTTTCGGAAGCGCAGTGCCGCAGGAAAAAGGCACAACTTGTCGAAAGCAAATTTCGCTGGTCTCGCGGCGTTATCAAAGCTTTCTTGGCACGCCGAAGCGCTGCGTCTCTGTACCGGCGAGTTGCTATCAATAAATGGGGAAAACAATCTGTACGGTTGCTCTTATGCACTATTAATCATGGCTATGTTCCAAATCGACTCTAACGGATCACATGGTAGCAGAAATAGAGCAACGTTGTGGAACAAGGAGGGTTTCAAACAAGGAGGTTAGGAGGAGGGGGCACGTTGCAATATTGGTGAAGCCTAGTCATAAAAGGTTTAAACGATATTAGGCAGTTTTCGTAGATCGTTTCCGCTGTCCCGCAACCCTTGCCGCAACCCGCTATAAGATCCGGGTTTCTTTGACGTATTTCGTGACGTCGCGCCGATTCTTCGCTCCTTCCGGGCGCGCATAAAAAAGTTGGTTGATTTCAACTTCTTTCTCAACGCCAACGTTGCTCAACGCGCACAAAAACGCGCGGTGACGTAGTAGGGCGCTCCTGTGTCCCGGCCAATCGGTAGAGGGCAAGCTAGTTCCGGCTCCGCGTTTCTTCGCCGTCTGGCCGTCTGGCCGGCCAGGCTGTCGCAGTTGCACTTTGCTTGCTTGCGAGTATGGCTGCATCAACCCTGGCTGCATCTATGAATTCCCCCCCCCCCCCCCCCCGTTTCCGACGCGAGGCAGGTGACCGCCAGAGTGCGCTCGTGTCTGCGTGCGCGCGTGCCCGAAAACCAAAGCGCACGGTTCTGACTCAGAAAGCGCGCCGGAAACAGAAAAAAACGTAACGAAATACGTCACATCCGGGGCGCGCACGACCTACTACAGCCGCAAAAAGAAGCGTGGCGATTGGTGCGCGTGACATATATGTCACGTGTGAGATGGGTGATTGATTGTAGGAGGATTCCTTGCAGGCTTGCGCGCGCTCCGTCCGGTAGGTTTTATCAGATCGAAGGCTAGACCAGGGTGTAAGATAGACAGGTGGGGAAACGGCCCATAGAAACCTACCGCAGCACCGTGACCGGATTGTGTACTCGTCTGCTTGTGGGTGTCTTGCGGGTACCCCCGATTTGCGACAGATGGCGCTGCGGAGGAGAAGAAAAAAATTGGAATCGAATTTGCATGGAACTTTATGGGAGAGTGCGCAAAAAAATTCGCCTCATCCTGGCAGACCAATTCCTTACACTGTATAAACACTAAACGTCCAATTTGACTTTTTGACTTTTGCGCAAAATAAACTGAGAGCACGGCAGTCCTCCATTGAAAATCCACGAGAAACCTTCTCCGTCAGTTTAACCGGTCGCCAGCGTTCGCCCACCTGGAGTGAAAGTTCGCGGTGCTCCACATAGATGGCGCCACAGAAAAAGAGAAAACAGAGGGGGACACAAGGACACAATTAGGGGTGTCGCGAACCGGCTGCGGTTCGAGTTCGACGAGGTTCGACTTTTTCGAACTTTTGGTGGAAATTTCGACGAACCTTCTATTGAGTTACAAAATGGAATCAGCGCGCAAACTACGAAGACACAAGGAAGAGAAATTGACAGGACAAGCGCTGGACTTCAACTGAACGTTTTGTAACGATGAACCAACTCGCCTGCATTGCCACTTTGCTTCTATTGAGGTTCGACTCGTGTGCGCATGCGCGACAGGCTGGCCAGTTGGCTTCGGATTGGATGATAATGGCTAAGAGATGAATTAAGTGCAGCGCTGATTGGTTATTTCAGTTAATACAGCACAAAACAATTAAGGTATTAACTTCTTCAGTGATTAGAATTGGTTTCTTTAATTGCAACTGTTCATAAATTTAAAGATAACCCTTCGCATAAAAAAAATTTCTCCAAACTTAGACATGCTTTTATAAAGGTCTGGCCACACTGTCCACAAAGTAGACCTGTGCGCCTGTGCGCCGGTCAGAAATCGCCGGCGGCGGCGCGCCGGTGTTTGTACCTCCGGCGGCGGCGTGTTGACGGCGCGGGGATCAACGGATCGGCGGCGGCGCGGCGCGGAAGAGGGAGAGGAGGGGGGGTGTCAATTAGAGTGTGAGGGGGAAAGAGGAAGGAGTCTTTTGAGTTTAGAAAACAAGATACAAATACCATAAAAAGGAACACGCTTTTTTTTTTTTTTTCTTGAGAGTTACGTTGCTTTGTTGCTTTCGCTGTGAAGAGTGCGTCCGTTAGAAGAATCAGGTACTCCGGCGTCTTGTTTATTCTCTTTTGTAAGAGAATATCCCGCCGGCCGCAGCCGAGGCGCAAGATCCTCCGGAAGACTACACTGTAGCAAGACGAGGAGTGACAACAGGTACTTTATCACCGCGTTCGACCTCACCACTCGCTTGTCGCGCGCCCCGTGCCTGACAAGTCGACCGAGCACGTCTTCCGATTTTTAGAACTCGTACTCTCATTCGGTACGCCGCAAGCCGTCATCACCGAAAATGACAGGGTCCTAACCTCACGTTTGGCGTCGCGGTACTTCACTGACAGGCACATTCAGAACATCCTAACAGTACCTTACGCTCCCGAAGTTAACGGCTTTGTCGAACGCGCCAACGGAGAAATCCTTTCATGTCTGCGAAAGAACGTCTACGGCGACATCGACCATTGGAGCGCCTATAACCAGCTTTCAAGTGAACGAGCAGCCGCACGCCGGACTCCAGACGTACCGTTCGACCTTGTCCCACGTCGACCAATGGAATTTTCCCGGCTTCCCGACCAAGTCGGCGACGTCCACGCGAACCACGACGCTGCAAACGCGAACCTCGCTTACTACCTTCACGGCATGAAGCGTCCTACGATGCTAAACATCGACCAGCTCCATACAACGTCAAGGATAGGGTATGGTACACGAACGGCCTTCGTACCTTGAAACTTGGCCCGCCTTTCCACGGACCGTACGTTATCACCACCAACGTGGACAAGCAAACCTACACCAATTTCCAGGTTTAACCCGCATGGCACACCGGACTGCCGCCAAACTGCCGCGCGACAACTTTTTTTTTTTTTTTTTTTTTTTTTTTTCCCCATGAACAACCAGCGATTGACGTCGATTTCAGCGCAACTCGCTTTGCGCCGCGCAGATCCTCCGGTTACACGCGCTTCACGCCGACGGCGCCCTCCACGATGGCTAGACGCATAACAGAGGATCACAACAACATTAACAAAAATATGTGAGGACGCAAAGATTATGAGCTCGGGAATGTAAGCTAATACGCTGGCGGCAAAGACCCGTAAGGAGAGCCTCCCCGCCTCGACCGGATGGGAGCCCGACTGCAGCTCGACTTCGACCCCCGATGCTGCATCCCGGCGTGGGAAAGAGCAAGAAGAACATAGGTGCACAAGATACGGAACGATAAAAATAACGGACAAGACAAGATGTCTCAAACACAGCTTCTATACCCGTTTTCACGTCAAGAACCCTAGTAAAAAAAAATTAAAAAAAAAGTCCGACTTCTCGCGAACCACTACTATTTTTCACCTTTATGTGCAGAATTAAGATATATGTAGGTGAATTCTACTATATATATTATCCAGACGTACACGTTTCAGCGCCAAAATCATCGCTTTTTTCCTCCGACAACCAAATCTCGTAAGACTTCGCGTCGTGTATACGAAGAATGCTGAAAACTTTCTTTTTTTCTTGAAAAAACGGGTATAGTTTATTTGAACAGCGAACGCTCTTATATATACGTCAAGATTCTCGCCACAAAAAAAAAAAAAGAAAAAAAAAAACAGCAAAAAACTCTACCACAACCTAAAAAGAAGTGTATAACCTTACACCCTTTTGTCCCATATAATGCACCCCAAAACTTTAGTTCGACGTACAGCGCACTATAGACGAACAGACGGCCTCAAATTTTACGAGGGGCTTGATAACGGTGTCATATAACTTATTGAATAACTAAAGTACGTATCAAAGACCACACAATAAAAACACCGAGGTTTTGCAGTAAAGCCAAAAACCCCCGAGGTTTCTTTTTTTTTTTTTTGTAGTCAGTGACACGTACATTAGCTATTTTAATAAGTTGTACGCCACGGCTATCGAGCCTCTCGTGAAAGTTAGTACCCAAATCGACGTCAGTGCGCTGTACGTCGAACTGAAGTTTTGGGGTGCATTCTATGGGACACCTTTTTTTTTTTTCGAGTGTAGGTCACTGAAAGCCGGGCACTCAGACACATACAAATGATTCATGGTCACATCAACCAGCCACCCTGACGACCTCGCTTGATGAGTGACCAGACACATGCGATAACAGGCAACTCCATCACAACCCTTACTATAATATGAATATGATACACGCGTGACGAGATGTCCCTACAGCGTGCAATTCGCTTAACGAGTGTCGATGAAACGATCGTGTCGACAAAACGTCCGGGAAACGTCTGCCCATGAAAAGTTGTCCACGATACGTAATTCCACGAAACGAGTTTCGACGAAATGAGAGGGTCCCGTACACCACTCCTGCCTGAAAAGTTACATCTGGGTTCTTATGTTTATTTCTGGCAGCCCTGAGGACCACCAGAAAGGGGGTTAACCTTTCTAATTTGTGATAAGCTTTGAAAAATAAATTTACACCGAACCTCTTTGCCGCTGATATAAAGTTATGAGAGATTCCATAGTTGTAAGGCACACACACAGCATTCTTCACAACCGTTTTTTCCACAGGAGCCGGATTAAACTTTCAGCACCTTGAGCACGACTCTAACAATTACATCGTGGTGGTGGCCCGCTTCCAAACGACGCATCTTTTGCAACTCAACTGGCTCTCCAACCTAAAGCATACGAGATTTTTTACAGGCGTTATCTTTCGCAGACGCAATTACACCACTCTTAGCTATTTTTAAGTGACAGCTGTCAACTTCTAACATAGACGCTGCCAACAAAGGCTTTGCTGATTCCTTGCCCCACCTCCAGCACAGGTCCTTTTCCGTGTGAAACAGGAGGCCTATAAGCACTCAATTCGACTGTTGCAACCGCAGGGTTGTGCATGTCCAGTCTACAAGGACCGCACAACCGTGTCAACGTGAACATCAATCTCGTTTTAAAAAATCTCGGACAACATTGGAGCAATTCACGACCCGTTGCACACTTCCTCTTTGTGAATAAAAAGAGAACCATCAAAGTCTACGGCAGTGGACTCTAAATAAAACTCTATAATGCTCATAAAACTATCTATATCAATCCCAGAGGCAGACTGCAACTTCACTAGATGATCATCACACCACCTCCTGACCCTTATTAACAGCTCCGACTTATCCATAGAGTAATGGCATTGATGTCTACAGGTGTCCCATCACACCTTCTCCCATGATGCGGATTCAATATTTCAATCAATTGCTCAGAGTTTTTGAGTGACAATGGACTGTTGCTCCGCTCCTATCAGGCATTTCTGGATAAAAATTGACGACACCTTCTGCCAAGCTCCATTTTGGTTCACAACTATTCTAACAATTACACGAGGATATGTGATTGTTAGAGTTGTGCTCAAGGTGTTAGGAACGTTTAATCCGGCTCCTGTGGAAAAACCGGTTGTAAAGAATGGTGTGTGTGTGCCTTACTATACCTTGGAATCTAGCTCTCTTAACTTTATATCAGTGGCAGAGAGGTTCGGTGTAAATTTAGTTTCCAAAGCTAGGCACAAATTAGAAAGGTTAACCTCCTTTTCGGGTGGTCCTCAGGGGTGCCACGAAAAACACGTTACAACACGTGCCGGAACTATTGATGGCGTCCGCCTAAGTGCCTAGCGAGAACAGTGGAAGAAGCAAATGATGGTTTGCACACGCAGTCATGCGTGGCTTCAATTGACTTGGCTTAAAAAGAGACAGTGTATTTGCGGCCTACGGCGGGGCCACGGATTGGTTGAGATGTGGTGCGGTGACGCAGTGTGTATCTACACTGAGGCTCTTGGGTTAAATCAGTAGAAAGTAAGCGCTCTGTGGTGTTCTTCCTCTGTCTATGTCTTAAAGCGCAATAATGTTTTCTCACGTACAATACCAACTCGCCCAACAATCAGCAAAGGTAGGAGAGTTCTAAGGGAGACCATGCGTATTTCGACCTCTGGTAATTGTATAAGCACATTGTCCTTGGCATTGGACGGTGATATGAAGCGTATTTTGTGTCTCTAAGGTCTTGTTTTGTGGGTTTTCCGAAAATTGTAAGAGCTCTGCTGGAGCTGGAGTTGCCTGTTATCGCATGTGGCTGGTCAGCCCGCAAGCGAGGTCATCAGGGTAGCTGGTTGGTGTGAATCATTTGGATCTGTCTGAATCCTGAACCATATGGGTTCTGTGAGTGTCCGGTTCTCGGTGACCTAGTTAAGAGGAGGTGTTTCTTTATTGGTGGTGAGGGTCTTGAGGTATATATAAGAGCGTTCGTTGTTTAAATAAACCAGCAACTGTGTTCGAGACTTGTTGTTTTGTCCATTTCTTTTATCGTTCCGTGTAAAGGAGTAAAAATGAAAGGGAAAAAACATACAGACACCGGTGTATTTATTCATTTTTTTATGCATAATATAGTAGGTGAGACTGATACAGAAGCAGAAAAAAAGAAACACCAATGCTACGCACCCCCCCCCCCCCCCCCCCCCCCCCCCCCCTTTTCCGTCGCCACTGGACGCCCCTTTTCCGTCGCCACTGGGCGCTGGATCAAGCTCGTTTAATTCTGTAACTTCTTCTAATAACTTCTTCGGCAAATGACGACGAACGAGTAGAAAGCATGTCTTCGGCGCGCTGCCGCCAGCCTCCGCAACGCTCCAAAAACACGACTTTTCGACATGCAAGAGCCCTCTTTTCGAGTCTGCCCTGGCCACCTCCTTGGCCCTGGCCATAAAGAGGATAGAGCTGTGTCGTCTGTTTCGTCCTCTTGTGTGTTTCTTCATGCCCTGGCTTCCTAATATATCAAATTATTTGTACGTCCAGCACGTTTAGAAGAATAGTCATGTTTTGTGTACGTCATCATTACGTCAATTTTTCTTACGTTACGTCATGACTTACGATTAAAGCTTGGTATTAAAGTGCACGGGGCTTCGTCCTGCACTCCCTGAAGGGGTAACAGATCTGGCCGCGACCCTGAGGTTCGCTGGCGACGATGGAGGGACGGAGGAGAAGAGGATTGCAGTAACAAAGAGGCGATTAGAAGATTGGTGGAAATTATCTAGGGAAAATTGAATGATGCAGAACTAACTAGCACAGCTGGGGACAGGCGGGACAGAGGAAAATTGGGACTCCCTCCCGCGTGGCTCCGGCCCAAAGTCTCAACCCTGTCTCCCAGTGGGTCCGGTGCGGGGGTAACGCCGACAAGGTCTGACCAGAGGAAAATTGGCGACTCCCTCGCCGGGGGGAAGAGGCGGGGGGTGATGTTTTAAGTTTTTTTGCCCGATCCCCCAAAGGTCATCCTGGTGATATCCCACACTACCTGGTGATAGTTAGCGGGTAGAAAATTTGGCTTAGAAGGGCGCGGGAAATCAAATCAAATGTTTGTCTTTCTTAGACTTAGGCTAGGTGGCGCAAGCTACCACCCGCTACAAAGGGTATAGCCAGTAACATTTATCCATCCATCTATCCATCCATCCAAAGCCGAGTAGTGTAGAGTAGCCGGAGTAGCTTCGAGTCGACATGTACTGGCTACAACTGGCTACAGGCCTACAGGCACGTGGGACGTGGGCACGGATAGACGGAATCAACACTTCCATGGCTTCCACGGGTCGGATCCGCTAACAAGAATGAAGCGTCGCGCAGGTTTCGAGGAACCCTTTAATAGGGCCGTAAACGGCCACTTTGGAAAACGCCGCAGGATGAAATTCCCGCAAAGCGTGCCCGGTAAACGAAGCGAAGATGCGACCGACTACCTTGAAAAGACCTACGAGAAAAGCCCACGGCGGAGTATGAATCACGAGAGAAAAGTGAAGATGCTTCTCCCGGTCAAAACGGGCCATGGTGTGGTGAGGAAGTCTCAAGTAGTCGACGATCAGCAAGACGAAGCAGAGGCTGTCCTTCAGACCGATGACAGCGAGGAAGACTGTGACAACTACCCAGTGGCCCTCTCAACGCCTCTGGCAGATGCAGTGCCGCAAGATCGGCAGCATCCTCGTACAGCCGCGCAGCAGCTTTCGTACCAGTACGGCAAGCTCAGGGAGCTCAAGCAGCGAATGGGCACCCTCGCCAGCGACATCGTCGAGGATCCTCAAGAGCGGGTAACGCACCTGAAGGAGTTGCTGGCGTTCCTTCGCGCCGACGGCAGTATCGGCCTGGGGCTCGGCACGGAACACTTGCTGCGCAGACTTGCAGCGCTCACTCTACTCGAAGTCTTCAAAGACGTGGTACCCGGCTACGCCATTACGGGACCTACGACGACCGGCAACGTGAGGCTCAAGAAAGACACCCGAGCGCTGCAGGGTTTCGAGGATGCCCTGCTCCGTTACTACGGGCAGTATGTGACTTGCTTGCGGAAGATGCTGGCCCGATACGATCGTCGGGACAAGAAGAGTCCCGAAGGGGTTCGGCAACGACTCGCCGCCCAGCTGGCCCACGTAGCGGGCCGGTGCGTATGCGGGTTGTTGTTGGCTCATCCGCACTTCAACCTGCGAGAGCAACTGGTGTCCCTGGCCGTGCACTGCTTGGGTAGCGAGGACGAGGAATTGTCCCGCACCGCCTGCCACAGTCTCAAGCAGCTGTACCGCCAAGACCGGCTCGGACAGGTCACCTTAGAGGCAGTGCGCAAGACCAGGGCCTTGCTGCGTGCCAGAGGACTTCAGGTGTGTGCCATGGTTTAGCTCATTTAGGTAAACAAGCAGATTTTTTTTTTTTTATATTTTTAATATAGATAATAGGTGTTTTTTTTTTTTCATTCCAAAACACACGCTTGTGTTGTGAGGTCAGCTATATTCTGATGTCTATAACCCTATTTCAGTAAGATAGAAGTGTAGCATACTACAGTCTGTAACAGGTTAAGAGTAAAGTGGAAGCTCCTCCCACCTCTTTCCACCTTAGCAAAGCGAATGCCGGAGAGGTCGCCTCCTCTCCAGCATTCATTCTGCTAAAGTGGAAGGAGCTAAGACTTTCCTCTTCACCCATCACCGTCTATAGTAATATTCTTGCAGAAGGGCTTGGCAGCAGTGTTACATGCTTGAGCTTGCCCACATTGCGTCACATGCAGTCGGAGGTAACCCACTGAAGCCAGTCTTTGGCCAACTTTTGTGTCGCTGACCTTTCACACTTGCGCTCATGAAGATTGCTAACTGATGTGACTGAAAGTTGCTGTTTTGTGCTGGAAAGGCCTCTTCTCTGTGCTAGCTTATAAATGGATTTTGCTCAAGGCCACCATTGTTGGAACCATGCAGGTGCATCCGAGAGTGCTCGAGCCCTTCCTGGAACTGAAACTTAAAGAAGAGCCAGCGTCACAAGGTGCCCCCAACCTGAAGAAGGTGAGGGAGCGCTTGCGCAAATTATCTCGCCGAGAACACAAGCATCACAAGCGACTCCAGAAGCTGGAGGCCCAGCTCCGGGAAACGGAGGCCCAAGAGAACGAGGTGCAAAGAGATCGTCTCCAAGGTCAGATCCTGCAGCAGCTCCTGTGGACGTATGCCCACGTCCTCAAGCAAGTGCTGCAGCGTCCCGTCATCAAGCCCCTTCTAGGGCCCGTACTTCGTGGCGTCTCCCGGTTTGCCCACCTCGTGAACCTTGACTTTCTGGAAGACCTGCTGGGAGCACTCTCGGCCCTGCTGGACCAGTTGGGCCCTCGCGAGATCCCCCTGTGCCTCCAGGCAGCCTTTGCTCTTCTCTCGGGGCAGGGCAAAGCCCTCAATGTGGACCCGCAGCGCTTCTACCTGGCACTCTTTGGTTGCATGCTGTCGAACGTCGATGCCCGTGCCGTGCTGTTATGTTGGCGGCCCATGGTTACCGACCGCTGCAGAAGCCTTTCGGCCAACCGAATAAGGGCTCTTCTTAAACGATTGGCCACTCTGTGCTTGGCCCAGACTGGAGGTGCCTTGGCCCTGTCTCTTGCCCTTGGAGCCTTACTGCGCAGCGAGCCCCGGCTTCAAGTCCTCCTCGACTCTACCGAAGACCAGGGTACTTTCCGACCCGAATTGCCGGATCCGGACCACGCAGGCAGCGCCCCACTCTGGGAGTTACACCTGTTGCGACGCCACTGCCAGCCATCCCTGGCCTCCTGGGCGGGGGCTCTGGCAGCAGGAAGTCGCCTTCCCCCAGCACTGGTCCGTTTGGAACCGCACAAGGCACTGAGCTCGCCACAAGACCTTCTCTCCATATTCCCCAGCCCCCCCAAGAGTCCCCACATGCCTGAGGCAAAGGCTGCGGAGCCCCAGCAATAAAAAAGTTAGCGGCGCTTCATTGGTCTCAGTCGGAGTAGTCGTTCATCAGGAAGTGGTACACAAAGGTGGCCTTTTTGCGCTCGTCGGTGTCCCTCCGCGTGTCCCAGGGGCTTGTCCCGGGCTCCAGGGCTCCGTGTGCCTTCGGCCGCAGCAGGACGGGTCCAAACACGTTTGCTGCAGATGGGAGTGACATGAACAAGATCAGTTTACGTCTTGCTTTGGACTTCACTACGAGGAAGTGCTACCGGTATTCCACTACGGTCGCCGGCATGCTGCGAATAAAGGGCGAGCTTAATTTGTTTGCAATGCCTCATAGGCGTACATTTTCAATTAATGCACTTGCACGACGAAACATTTATGCAAAATTTGGCTAGCTTCCGGTGACATTCTCTGCCACAAGTCGACAAGTGCACGCGGTCAAACACGAAGCAGATGACGCATGTTTGTGAGTCGTATTGGTTCTGCACTTGCACAAGAATTTGAAAGGTGGAAGCATGCCCTTTCGTGATCAATTCATCTGGATAGTGTTCCGAGATTTGATAATGATTCCAACTGTTGGATCAGGGTCACATGGAGGTGAAGGCGTCTTAACGTCTCCAAGGCGTTGTCCTCCTTGCCACGTGACTGCATGCATGCGCACCTGCACCCAATTTGTGCAGGAAGCGTCCGCCATTATATTGCCAGCGGCCTTCGTGGTTTGAGCGGCTTCCCCTCGTAAGCTAGGCTTTCTAGTCTGAGATTTGCAATTTCGCTCTCTTCGGGGCACTCGGGACGACGGCGACTAGAGAGACGGTGTGCGCTTGCACTCACCGAGCAGTTTGGCGTCGAGCCGGTTGTCATTGGCGTGGGTCAACAGCTCCTTGAGGAAGCAGACCAGGTACAGAAATGTGTGTCTGTGCACTTCGGGTGTCATTTGGGACACCACCTACAGAGCAAGCAAACAAAGGTTACTCAAGGGAGTAGGCAGGGAACCACTACGTTGGAATGACCGGGACATGGGGACTGATTTGGGACGCTAAGACTATAGTCGGATGCAACCTAAGAACAATCTTTTAGCTCCACCCACAAGCGCATTGCGCCCATCTGAAGTGCCTCCGCCGTCGAGAAAGTAGTTCGCTAGCAACGTTGCTTTTTTCTTCCTCCAGGAAACCTGTCTTAAACTACTACAATATTTATTTAATTCACTCGGGACATTTAAATAAGTTGGAATACGTTTTTGTCAACGAAATAGCTGTTTAGTAAAGAAAGAAAGAAATTCATGTCCAATGTACCGTCTTCCCAATTCATTTTCTGTCCAAGATACTGTCTAACATACCGTCTAACATACCTCTCAGCAGTGCTAAGCCTAGCGCCCGCTTCGAAATTTTCGTTGGCGATAGCGTCGCTGGATTCTCACATTGTCGCGCAAAAACTGCTGCAAACGCAAGCCGATACCATCAAGATTTCGTGGCGTAACCTCGGGCACGTAAAACACGGTGCAAAAAAGCAGAATAATTGTCACGAGAAACTATAGCATCGCGTTGCTAAGGCCAGCAGCCATGTTGAGCTTTTTTTTTTTTCAAAAGGATCGCGATTGGTCCACAGAATCGTGACGTCATGAAAACAATTGGCTGGCGTTTCTCAGCGTAGGATTACATTTTCCTCTGAGAAACATTTCCGGTTTTTTCTTAGCTTGCAACCGACTATAGTAGCTAAGCTTGCCCGAAAACTAAGAAAACAAGTCTGCATCGAAGACAAGACCGTGATGGAAGAAGAGATGTGTCTGAACGGAGCCGCCTCGCCACGGTTCAAGTGTGTCGAAGGTTTGCTCCCATTTCTGACAAACGCAGCGCGATGGTGCAGCATGACAGGAGCTCGAAACCCTCCTTATTCGCCCACCTGTTTTCAAGGTCACGTGGTGCGCGACCACACCTGGACGTCGAATCCCAACCCGACCATGCCCCGCTGGATGCGCAAGGCCCAAGTGGAATTTTGACCCCCTTTCTGGCCCTGATCAGACAGACGCCTGTCTTCTTCTACCGAGGACAAGACGGTCTGTAAAGTGCGTTTAAGGCAGAGGTTGCGTCAAGAAGCGCATATAAAAAAAGGATACAAATAGAAATAACATTTTCATGCTCTTCTTTGACAAAGTGAGTGACTTCAATAAGTTGAGTAGACAAAACAAGCAGCATAATGAATATGGGCTTGCCCTCTTAAAGGGGTACGGAAACAAAAATTGAAATATTCCGATTTTGTTCGGAAATGAGTCAAGCATGACGGATAATAACCGTAAATGATAATCGCATGTTTGTATTTTGAACGATTGGCTATATTTTTCGTTCCAAACGGTGCACTCGAGCAAGCGCTCGAAGAGAAGCGAACAGAGAGCGCGATGCGTCATGGGATATCCGGCGCAAACAAAAACAGAAAGAAAAGATTCCCCGCATTCGTGACGTAGCAAGGCTGGCGTGATTATCAGCTTTGCCCTTGGTGGCGTTGTCAGCGTTGTGGTGCTCTCAGTAGCGTCAGCGCGTTACAACCGAGCCGTTCGGAGTACCCGTGGGGTGACGAGCGTGTGGCTGGCCCAAGGAGCACGTAGCTTCCACAACACTGTCGGCTTGGGGCTGAACGGGGTGGGGAAAGCAACTTTTGTTCGAGTTTTGAGCGACGGGCTAATCTTCTAGGGGGAGAATGGCTGTTTCCGGTTGCACGAACGAGGGCCCAAGAAAGAAGGGAGTCCTTCCTTCCCGTCTTCTTGGATCGTTTGGTACAATGCGCGATTTGTGAGTTCAGGAGGAAAGCTAAGAAGGAAAACGTTGAAATGCCAAAGAGCAGCGCTGCTCCGAAGGAATCTGCTACGTCACGACTACGTAGCAGATTCCACAACGTTGCTACACTACCTCCCAGATAGGCTTTGCATGCATCCACCAGGTGCACATTGAAAGATTGTTTATTTACTTTAAAATTAGTTTTCTTGTGCTTTTCAACGGAAGACTGGTGTTTTTGAGGTTAGGGTGCAACATGCAACACATTAAAGCTAGAAAATGAGCGCTGAAATTTCGTTTCCCTACCCCTTTAAAGGCCATGGAAACCCTCAAATTTTAATAATATTGCGCAGCACAATGTCTTAGGGGGAAAGAAAGACCTAAATTGAGCACATTAATTTGATCAATCTAACTTTCCCCTAATTTTTTCTGTACCAAATATACCTTCATTCCAAAATAATTTTAAAATAAATATATATATATGTGCCCAAGCACTTCATACAAAGTCCTCAAATTTGTTTTATTGCAAACCTTAAAGAATCCTGTACAAAACACAAATCAAATAAATTCTGAATCAACCGGTCAGCAATTGGCAATGTTCATACTGTTGAGACCAGTTATAATGAAGTCGGTTATAACGAAATAACGGCTACATCGAAGCGATCACGTTTTCCCATTCTCGTTTGCACTTTTTCGATGCATTTGTGTTTGTTTTTAGAAATTTCGTGATAATTTAGAAAAAGAATAAAATTCGGAAAGTTTACTAAATCTCGGACCGCCGCACTTTGCTGCCGCGGCCAAGAAGCAACCCAGAACAGGCTGCAGAAAATGCTGGAAAGGCCGCCGGCAGGAGTCTCTGCAACGTCGTCTGCTCCCCACTACTTATCTCGGAAGCGGCTTTACCACATCGCACACGAAGAAGCCGACGTGGCATGGCGATAGGGGCGTTAGGAGTGCTAGCAACAACATACTAGCGGAGATGACTGAGAGAGCCTAGATTTAAGAAAGGGAGCAGTATGCCTGCAATTGATTGTCGCGTGGCCAGTGTGGCGAGGAAACTGGAGTCAGAGGTGGACACGTTTGCAGAAGGTGAATGCTTTTGAGTTTTGCCTCCTTGCATGCGGCAACTTGTTTTGCAAACTCGGCCCATAAACCATGTGACCTTGATTGAGCAGTTGCCCCATCTCTTAAATCTAGGCTTTCTATACCGACAACAGACAAGCTTGAGCGCGAACTTGGTGCCGTGCGCGCTTCTTTGTTTGCTTCATGATCCGTGGCGGCGTTGGCGTCTGATGAAACACAGAATATGTTTTATCGGCTGATTTTCTCTAAGTTCTGTAATGCTCGGCTCTAACGAAAAACCGACACCGAAACGCGTTACGCTTGTGGGAAACCGTAGAAGAGGGCTTCAGTCCACCTGGCAGGATATCGAGATTGTGAGCCAAGTGCTTTGCTGACTGAGCTATCCAGGGTCGATGGTCGAAGCATGCAAAAACAAGGTAATGTGTGTGGCGTGCAAAGCCACGCTTCGCGACCTTTTTTGTCATGCTGCACCATCTTGCTGCGTGTAAGAAATGAGACAAATCTTAGGTAGGCAGTGTCATTCAGACGTGCTTCTCTTCTTCCCTGGAATGCCTCTCACACATTGTGTTTACCAGTCTTTGTCAGCATGATGAAGCTCGTATACTACTTTTTTTTTTGTTTTGTTCTGACACATTTTTTTTTTTTTTTTCACTTCTACAGCACATGGAACAAGTGGCAACCTTCTTTTCTAACGCTCTTACGATTCTTCATACACTTCTATATCATATCCTTTTTGGCACAGCTCCAACACAGCCGTTAGATGTCGGGAGGGTGCCATTTACCTGCTTGGCAAGCACAAAGTTGTTTGAGCAATCGAGGCAGCGCTGGTAGCAGGCGTAGGGCACAACTGGTTCTGGCAAGGCATCGAGGAAGAGCAGCAGGGCCTCTGCCATGGAATGGACGCTGCCAGCTGAGGGTGCACGGCAGCTAAGGACGCTACTCGCACTCTAGTATGATGAGGGTCCACACCCTTTAAAGTTGAACCTTGATTTAGCATTCGTGGTGTAAAAAAACATTTATATTCCCGCATACCACTATCATAGAGAACAATGTTCACACATTTTGGATCAATATTGTACAAGGCTAGTATTAGGGAGGTGATGTGAAATGGAAACCCATATGCACGCTGCTCATGAAATAGTTTTGATGTTGCTCACAAGGCACCTTGAATGTTTTGTGTGATGAATAGGTGTATTACCATTTCCTGAAACGGTTTCAGGGGCCTTGACCTACCGAGGCAAACGGGGTGGCACTGTGAGTCACATTGCCAATTTCCTGTACAAACCTCCCATTCGCTATTGCGCTAGAGTTATTGCATCCTAACGCCGCACTCCCGGAGTCTCTTATGTCCTCATTTTTTGGACCTTCACACAATTGTTTTCTGACACTTGACCAAGACTAGTAGGTGCTGCCGGTGTTGAGGATACGTAGGTGCCCGTCCAACCGGGCATCCAAGGCGTCCCGAATGTGGTGCAGCTCATTGCTCAGGCCGGACTGCTGGAACAAGTCGTCCTGAAAGAGAAGCACAAAGTTCTGCAGCCGCTTCCAAGCAATCGGCACGGCTACTACCGGTAAAGATACTCTGGCATGACGCTCTTGAATCCTCCTATCGAGTGAACCATTTGCTTCAACAGTAACAATGGGCATTAAAAAGAGCCCCGTGGAAACATTTCCTCCGGTGAACAGCGCAATAATTTATTTGTCATGAAGTTCCCCACCTGCGTGAGGCCGTACTTGTGCAGGTGGTCCACGAGCAGCCAGAGCTCCTTGGGCACCTCAAAGGGCACCCCAAGCAGACCCTCCTGGCAGGGGCTCTGCTCCTGCGAGGACCACCGAGGGAACTTAGCTCTGTGCTCCACTGTGACATGGGGGCGGGGAAGGGGGCCACTCACCACTCTCAGCAGGCGGTCTCGGCCCAGCTCCCTGACGGGACAGGGAATTCGTGCCAGGGCCTCCAGGGAGCAGCCATAGCAGCTGGGCTCGTACTCGCCGGACACGGTCACGTGGGCACACGCGTTAAGGTTGTTTGCGGATGTGAGTGCTGAGAGGCATTTGTTTTTCAGCATCGGAGGAGACGACAAGAACAATGAGGGGCCACTCGCAACGAAAAGTATGCCCTTTGTCTGCACAGATCAACCTGCGACTTCTGTTTACTACGGTGATATGTAACCAACAATGTGCACAATTCAGAGATCAAAGCATGAGTCACAAGATCTAAATACTGCAAATGATGTGAAGTGACTTCATTCACTCAACTTGCACTGTCAGAAAGTTTGCGCGGGGCCACAGAAGAGTTTCTTTTGCCTTGGAGTATGCATAGTTTGTGTGAAAATGACCAAGTTAAAAACGAAAACACTGCAAGTCGAGAATTACGATCTGTCCAGTTGCTTCGTTTCAGCCTTCGTTAACTGATATGAAACGGGCTGTACCTTCCTTAGAAATGTCCTTAAAAAAAAGGTAAAAATAGTGTCACATTTAAGTGTTTGGTTATGGTAAGAATGAGGGACTTCAAGCAATGACCTTTGCATATACACGTTTGTCCCAAGCATTCGCAAATAAACGGTGATTCATCACCTCACTAGAACCCGTGCGCCCCATCTTACAATGATAAGTTCTACTTGTCAAACACATCAAGCTCTCCCAAATCAGTCTAAATCCAGCACTATATTCAGTACTAAAAGAAAAGGTAGTCAAGGCACCACACCAGAGAAACAACCATCAAAGACCTTGAAAGGATATGAAGATGTCCTTGCCACGCTCAAGGTGCAGCACCAAGATGTCTTCCAGAGAATCGGAGGCACTGTTCAGCTGCCAGGCAGTGCGCTTGTCTACACACAGCTCCAAGGTCACTAGGCATGTCTCCCCTGTGAGACATCGCGTCACTATACGAATGCTGGGCCACATTGCCACAATTTCACTGCCTAGTTTCAATGTTGGTGCAACGTTTTAACAACAGTGCTAGTATTTCTTAGCGAGAATATACCCGAAAAAAATCTCTTTAATGCTGTGAACAAAGCACGGTTCTTGCAATGATGTCACAATGTTGTACAGAATTGCAACTGCACTTTTGCATTCTGCAGGGCTAGAATAAGATCGCAGTGTTACAGACAAAAATAAATTGCTGCCACACACCTATAATGAAGTAAGGAGATGTCATGAACCAGCAATGCAAACCTTGTGGGCATGCAATTTACAACTTTAGCCATATGATCTCCGATCGCCATTCCTAAAATTCACATCCCTTCTGGCAGGTCACGCCACACGTTTCAATGTGTGCAAGGTCTCTTTCTTCACTTTACTTGCCCTTGGAACGGCACCAGCTTATTTGAAGCTAAACGTCGCACTTGTAAGACACAAAACACAGGACATGGCCAGTAATGATCCTGTCTTCTGCAGCATTTTGTAGATGGTAACGTTTGAGGCCTACCGGGCTTGATGGCACCCGAAGATGGGATTGCCCGCAGCCAGTCCTTGCAGTAGCGGCCCGTGTCATGTTTGGCTCTGAAGCAGAACTCCACAGGTACCTGCGAAAGGGCCATTCAGTTCAAAGCAGCAACTTGAGAGGCCATTGCTGGGGGCTGGAGGTTCGCTCACCTGACCCGTGTTGGCCACTGTAAGCGTCTGGACCTGACTTTCCATGAAGCGTAACCGTTCAAACTGCACCTGCAGACACCATGCACCGCCCCAACAACATTGTACTTCCTTTCCAGTCCTGACCATCTTGATGTTCATCTCCTTCTACCAGAACTTGCACTTTGCTTGCTGAGAGTAGCAAGCTGTGCCATAAAATTGCTTGCTCACCATATTCACAAAAACTAAAAACTTCCTAAAGCAGTTAAAAGCGAGCAACTAGAAAGATTTTTTTTTTCTCTTTTTTCATTCTTTACCATGCAATTTAAAGGTATTTTGCAAGTAGAAAATTGTCTGGCTAAGGAGCCTCAGCACAGTACCGGTGTGCACGTGAGATAAAGAGTTGGGGACGCCTATTCTGTAATCTGTTATGAGTGAAGAAAAGTGGGAAAAGCTGCTCCCACAAAGCCCTCCACTCTTTCCACTTTAGCGGAGCAAATGCTGGAGAGAAGGAAACCACCAATCGTGTCGAGGAGAGAGATTCGTGGGAGGGGCTTGCCCCGCTTTTCTCGATCTGCAGACAGAGCACACCGAACGGCCGTCGCCGACGGTGGAAAAGCGGCGCCACCCACCTCGAGGCGGTCTACGGCCACCTGCGGCAGGAACTCGTTTTCGAGCTTGTCGAGCTTCTTCATGATCTCCTCGTAGACCGTCCGGAACTTGGCCTGGTCCACCACCTTGACCCCGACGCGGAAGAGGGCGCTCACGGGCTTGTGGTCGCTCAGCACCAGGGCCTCGTGAGAGCTGTAGCGCACCTGGGTCACGTGGGGCCCCCGCCAGAGGACTCGGTCGCACCAGGCCGGCGCCCGCTGCTTCTCGCTCAGGTCCCACTGCTGGCTGCCCGGGGTGTACTTGTACGTGGGGCGAAACAGGATCGGCCCCTCTTCGTACCTGCAAAGGGACGCACAGGGGGTTTTTGGTGCCGACCCACGAGGGGGTACTGCTGCGAACGTTGCTCGGCACGGATTCGTTACGAGAAGGTTGTGGTGCCGTACCCTACCCCGATACAACGAAATGAGGAAATCGAGGAGATGACGTAAAGACTCGGAAACACGTCGGTCAGAGACGTGTTCTGTGCAATGCAGTATGTGGAGCTGTTCTGCAGTGGCATCGCTGCAGTTCTCAACGTCGGTCCGATTCAACCGATTTCAGATTTCCCATCAGTGGCGACCGCTTGTTGGCATTCGTTCAAGCTTCCACAACTCGGTTAAGTTGTGATTGTGGTCCACGACTCGAACTGCGACAAATCTTGCCGAACTAGTTTTCCCTCCCTTTTCTACTTTGCCAAAAAGCGATGTCCCCATAGGGCACATTACGGAAGAGTGGGCAAAGCCCTCGTACCCCATGAAGGCCCGTCCCAGGCGCTGCTGCGAGCGCAGCTGGTCGTACGCCAGGAGGGCGTCCAGGCGGCCCTGCTCCACCTGGGTCTTGACGTGCTCTGGGTCCAGGTCTGCCAGTCGGTAGTTGAGGTCGCCCAGCCAGAACACCTGGCTGCGAGCACAAGCACAGTCCCCCATGCAATCGCATTAGTTCGCCGTAAACGCACCAAGTAAGAAACGCGACAATCACAACCGCACGTAAGATTAGATATGAGGGTTAAAAAGATTGAGCTTAACCAATGTCGTCTCTATTTAAGTATGAGCAGTGCTACATTAGCTGGAGTGGGCCTAGAGCTCTGCAAATGAATTTCAGCTACTCGGAGATATCCTCAAAAGTTGAGAAAAATGAATTGCATCAGACTTCTGCTTTGTCCTATACACCTTCTCCACAAGGGCACAGCCACCTTAAATGTCGTCACTTCTGGTTTGCATTAAAACATTGTTTTGATTTCTCCATGCCACTGGAAGGCATTTACGAAAAATGCATGATTGTCACACATTCTTGTTTTGCCTCACCTATGTTTTTTCGCATATTCCAGGTTAAAATGTTTTATTATTTTTTCGTCCCGCATATCAGATATTACTGAGAACGAAAGGAAACGAAAAATGTCTATAACATCTTGGAGCATGTGTGCTCTCAAAAACAGAAGAGCACGCACTGCTCCAGAACACATCATAGCGTGTAGAAGTACGGCATTTGAGCAGGCAAGTATATGTACATGACCAAAGTGATTTTTTGAGCTTCACTCGTGTCAAGGCCGCAATTCCACACTGAACTGACAAATAAAGCCCAGGCCACTTTCCTGCACACGAACATTACCATTGCTTCGCAATTACTTGCACTCCTCCTGTGGATTCAATGACTTCCAATGGTTGAGAAAACATCAATTTCCACTTAGCCACTTTTATATGTAACAATTTTAAAACAGTAAACCTCTCAAACCTAAAGTTTAAGCTTCTTTTCATTCTAGAGATGCCATTGAATAGTCTTGTGCAAATAGTGAATTTTGAGTTCAAAGCGAATGGGACTTTTGGTCGAATATTTTCTAATAGAACATTAAAAAGTGTCTCAAAGTCTTTCACTACTCTGCACCATGCCTAAACGAAAATTCAACTGAACTCGTGAAGGTTCTTGCCCTTGTTCACTTCTAAGTTCAGTTAATATTAATATAAACTATATCAACTGTGGCATGTAAACGACGGATTTGTCGCAGCTATTCTAATTGAGCAGATTTATAAATCTACTTGCTGTATGAAAATATTCTTTCTTCTATTTCAAATCTGACAAAAAACAACAAGCATGAATGATGAATGTGGGCTGTCACATTGCTACGTAACATATAAACCTTTCCAAGAAGCACTCGGCCCCAGGGACAAGAGAACCTTTTTTGAGCCCAGTCACTGGTTTTGAGGCTAGTCTATCACTGGCATCCCTGCTAACTCTAACGGAGCGGACTGTTCATTTCGATATGTGCAGCCTGCGTAGGCACAATTTCAGACACCGCCAGTAGCTAAATTCTCGCCTTTTCTAGCTGCTTTTTTGCGTTTCATGAAATACATACTTTTTCGAGGACAATGAGAAAGCATTGTACCACATTTGAAACCACAAACAATTTTTGTTGGGTACGTACACGACAGAACGAATGCAACTGGAATGTTTGTTTTATTGTACAATAAGTTTTGACGGCGCCGCCCACTCACGCCGTGTCAATCACGCTTGCATGTTTCAAGCGCACAAATACCGTAAAATCACGAGCAAGCGCCCACTCAAAATTTGGAGATAACTAAGTAAAACTGGGGGATGGGCACTTGTTAGGTCAACAATTTGCAAAGATATATGTCTTTTGCGTATTTTTAGAATATAACAAAATTCAGGGGTGGGTGCTTATTCTGGAACGGGTGGATGCTCGGTATTTTACGGTAATGTGATTACTGATCTACGCGACAGGACTCGAAGATGAAATTGAGCAAATATTAACATTCAAACAATATATTGTACGTACCACACGGTGCAGCGTTATCCAAAAAAGATTTATTTGAGAACTCGAATAACACAGCACACAACAGTGTCAAGGACAGTCCCATCTCGGCGATCGGAGAGAGAATCCAAGAAGACCTTGTTTTGGGAAGAGCTTCCTTTTTTCGCAACACCAGCACCAAAGCAAAGGAACGGATGCGACTGGCTTGTTCCTTACCCCCATCCAAACAACTATTTTTGGAATGACTGAGAAGGACTCTACGCGGATTACCACTGGGAGCGGGGAGAACCGCTTGTCATTGTTTTCAAAATCTCGTTGGGGGCCATTTAACGCTCTTTTCTTCCTTTGTTTCCAGTGAACGTTGAGCAGAAACACTTGAATGGCATGCACATATCGGTCTTATTCCTCACAGTGGAAAATGACACAAAAAGTGTATGCAGCATGCACAAAGAAAATAAAGTGGAGACTTTCAAGAGAGGCCAGAAAACTTGGAATACAAAGCAGCAAAATATAGGCAGAGAATTGTGCTGAGCTGGTTTCAATAGTCCAAGAGAGTGCCAGAAAATTTTTAGCTGAGAGGGGACGCAAGAGTCGCACCAACTGCATCATCATCAGCAACATGGCAGCGGCCAAGGAGTGTTTTTTTTTTGAAAGTTGTATACTCTTGGATAATTGCAACGGGTTAGCCCCATTGAGTGCGCTTCTCACCGAGCACCCGTACACTGCAGGGAAGCAATACCCGCGGAGCTAGCCTTGTTGAGTGTGCTTATCACCGGACACCTGTACACCGCGGGGAAACAACACCGCTGGAGACCGCAAGCTTCCTGGGTATTGCTACCACACAGTGCACGGGTGTCCAGTGAGAAGCGCACTCAACGGGGCTAGCCTGCCACGATCAACACTTTGAAAACTATGAATACACAGCTCACCACCGAGCGGATATCGAATAGTGTATTATTCTAAACTACTATTCGAAAATTTGAATATATATACAACACTACCATCAAAGCAACAGTAGACTCAATCGATTTACCTGCAGCAGCCTGCACTGGCACAGTAAAGTGTAGCATGGTGCAGAAAAGAACAGGGGAATGTACTTCCGACTACGTTTTTAAATAGGCTGCAGTCGTAAATCGAATGCGGCAGTGTATCACCGGTGCAGCTAGTGCAGGAGGCGCAGGTAAATCGAACGAGCACAATTTGTTCCCTAAAAATGAAAAATCAGATTCCCAAAACTGTGCACGAGTTGGTCTTGCTGAAATATCCAAGCAACTTGGAGAGCGTTTATAGCTACTGAAACTGTAACTATTCACAGTAACAGAAACTCTTTTAACTAAGTTACTCGACAGCACTGCCTCAGAATGCTTGTGAACCATCGGAGCCAGCCATAAAACCATCCCACGGCATCGTCATTAGGTCACAGGTGCCTCCCCTCCCACAAAACTCACTCGTGGTCTCCCAGGCCTCTGGAGGTGTTGCCAAAGGCCAGCCGGGCGCAGATGTCGGCAAAGTCCTGATTGCGCCGCTGGCACTCCTCGAGGTGTGCAGCTAGGTGGCAGTTGACAAAGCAGAGGGTGCTGGCGTGCAGGCGCAGCCGCACAGCCACGGCCCCTTTGTTGCCCATCTTGCCCAGGATGCCCGTGCCCACCCAGTGGGCCTCCACCTCGTGCACCTGGTCCGCCAGGGCCTCGTCCACAAACAGCACAAGCATCATGCCCACCAGACGAACCAGCTTGACCAGCTTGTAGCGGCAGCCTGCACACGGGGCCGGATGATGTCGTGTGGCCACCCCGTTGGCCCTAAAGCCACTGGGTGCCTAAGTTACACGCACAGTATGGACACTTTGGTCATGTATAGATGGATGCACGGATGTTAACGGCTGTACCAGCACAAGCTAGCACAAGAAAACAAGAAAATTGGATCTTTTATTTTATTTTTTATACTTCCTTTCATGTTGCGCTGCCTCCATAGTTAAGACCTTTTAGTATGCTTTAGCCGGCTCTGAGTACTCTGTTTTTTTGTTTTTTTTTGGCTACTACTGGCTTCGATTACATGTGATTAACGATTTGCGAGCAATGCTGCAAAGCCTCTGATGCATTCCTGGACAAGTTACGGCATCTGGTGGTTAAAATAGATACACTAGTTTCAGTTTCCCTATAGTTCTTTTTTTTTTTTTTCCAAGAGATGGCGAGTTATTATATCTAAACACGCAGTTGAGGAAAAGCACTCCGTGCTGCGAACACGGTGTCTTCATCCCGCGGCGTGCCTCCTCAGAAGTGTTTGAAGCAGTCTTGGGTAAGTTACTTTTAAAAACTAATTCGTTACAGTTACAGTTACTTTCAGAGAAATGTAACAAAGTTACCGTTACAGTTACCACATCAAAAGAGTAACTTGTTACAGTTACAGTTACTTTTAAACAGTAATGACGTTACTTTTCAGTTACTTTTCTATAACACGAAAAATTTAGGAAATACTCCTAAACGCCCCTCATCAAGTTAATTCAATAAAAGTTCAAAAGTATGTTTTTTACTTCATATTGTATCATAGCAGCAATTGCTTCTCCAAATTAGTGACTGAAAGTTTCCCTTGTATGATGGCGAACACGTTCCTGCCCTTGCTGAATGGACCCCGTGCAACGAGCAAACAGCAGTAAATTTTGCCTCGACTGTTGACACCATGTCGGAGTAGTGGCGCAAATCAAAATACGAAACATGCGCAGTGCCCTTCGTGTAGATTGTTGTTTCACGGTTGATTCACCCGATTAAAAAGCGTTTGCGCAGAAAAAAGAACAACCGCAGCATAGATAGTGCTTCAATATACTAAGATGTAAGTGTTCAGTCATAAAGTACACGTGCGTGCATAAAGATAACTAGATTTTTTTTTTCATCACATCAACATCAACACGTGGCTATATTCGGATCATGACTCGCGAGAAAGAACGTATTCACAAGTTTGTGGATGGCCAACTTGACACTTGAATTGTCGGAACAGACAATTGGAAAGTGCAAGAATAGCTAGATTGTACTTGTTTAATCATATGGTATTCATAAATAAACTGGAAAGTATGGCACACCGTGCATTCACGAGGGCACCTATCAAACCACTCTGCCATTTTGGCCGCGAGGCAGCTAAGTAGCTGCCTCGCCTCAGACACGATCACATAGTCGTGTCGCCGCGGGGTCGATCGGGATCTCGAATTCGGCTCCCGACGTGCCGCTTTCTCTTCTAGCCACTGGATGGCGCTGCAGGCGCCCCCGTGGCGGGCGAGGAGAAATTTTTTCGCCCATCGATCGAGATAGATACTCGGTGGGCCAGGGGGCGAAAGGCCTCTTAGAACTCCGGAGGAGACCGAGACGCAGGCAGGTGGGTGGCGACCGGATCTAGGATATCGCGGGACACGAGGCCTGGGGGCCTTCTTTGTGTTTAGCTTTTGGCTTAACGTGCATTTGTAAATATTTGTGTAATGTAGCTTGTATTTGTAGTTTAAATTGAGTGTTTTGTAGCGTTGTGCTTTATTGTACCAATAAACTGGGAGCGGAATCCCGCTCCCGCGAAAGAACCAGGCTGGACTTGGGTTGTTGACGGACCACGTGGGAAACGCCGAATCGGCGGCGGTACGCAATTTCCTATAAAAGTAACGACCAAACGTCGTTACTTTCATCGTTACCTCAGAAAAAAGTAATAGAACTACAGTTACAAGTTACATTTTTAAAACATAACTTGTTACAGTTACCAAAAAAGTAACAAGGTTACAGTAACACATTACTAGTAATGCATTGCTACCCAAGACTGGTTTGAAGTCTTGCGATTCGAGCGCATCTCCGGTTGATATTGTTGTTGATACTAGCACGAGAGAGTCTAAAGATGATGTCGGATCACCAGATTTTAGTTCCAACAGCAATGATTCATCAAATAAGACCAGAACATCAACAACAGCAGCTTGTTTTGGTCTTTATGTTCTTTGCTGGTCTCCCGTGGAAGTCCGGGAGGTTTGTGCTTGTTGTCAAAGCACCTGGTGGTCAGATTAGGAGGACACTCTTAGTTCAGTTTCTGTATAGTTTTTTTTTTCCACAAGATGGTGAGTTATTATAATCAAATGCAGAGCCGAGAAAGAGTGCATTTTCCGTGGTGTGCCTCCTCGGAAACGTTTGAAGTTTCGCAATTCATGTGCATCTGTGGTCAGTTTTGTTGATGACACTAGCACGAGTGACTCGGAAGATGACGTCAGACCATCATTATTTTAATTCCAACAGCAATGATTTGTCAAACCAGACTCGAACATACACGACTGTGTCTCAATAAGGCTTGTTTTGGTTTTCATGTTCCTTGCTGGTCTCACACGCAGGTCCAGCCAATTTGAGCTTGTTGTCAATGCATCTGGTGGCTAGATTAGACACTCTAGTTTAAATTTCTCTATAGTTAATTTTAGTCTTGTGCGAATAGTGGATTTTGAGTTCGAAGCGAATAGTGGTTTTGGCCGAATATTTTCGATTCAAATATCAAATAATTTTTCCACGCCTTTCACTACCTTAGCATTATGCTTAGACGAAAACCCAGCTAAACTTGTGAAGGTTGTTCCACTTATTCATTTATAAACCAAGTTTAATCCATCTATATTTATTAACTCTGACCTCAGAAGGTTTGATGCCTTGGGATGGGAAGTAAAAGACGGGGTTGACATAAAATGAATCCCATAGAAATGGCCAACTATACCCAATTGAGTGAATTTACAAATCTTATATTTTCTTTTTTTTAATTTTGAGTTAAAAAAGAATGAATTGTGCATGATAAACGCAGGTTGTAAGGGCATCTCTGCCTAAAATATACTCTTGCAAAACAGCCAGTTTAATTTTGAAACTTTTACTACAGTGTAGATACTGTAAAACCCTCAATGTTCGCAAGCCCTTAATTTTTGCAAATTGAAAAATTCGCGAAATTTAAAGGCATGCAAAAATTTCGGTCCTAAAGAATTTCAATTCAGGTCTCTGGAATTGGCGAAATTTAGTGGCCGCAACTATGTCCTCTGTGACCGATTCGCAAAAAATAGGGGCCGTGAAAATAAAGGGTTTTACAGTATACATATTCACAAAGTTTCCATTTGTTTTCAAATACAGGCGGCACGCATGCACCATCCCGCTTTGAATGTATGGTTTTCTTCCAAGCACGCAATTGCGATATCCATACTTTTCCAAGTGTTTATCGCGGCGGGTTACCCCGTTGAGTGCGCTTCTTACCGAGTACCGATGTAATGCGGAGAAGCAACACCCGCGGAGCTCGTTTCCGCGGGTATTGCTTCTCCGCAGTGCACCGATGCTCGGTAAGAAGCGCACTCAACGGGGTAACCCGCCACAATCAACGCTTCGAAGAACGCGAATAGTGAAGTTCTTCTCGAAGCGAATATTGAATAGGGTATAATTCGGAGCTACCATTCGAAATTTCGAATATTCGCACCCCTCCCCCCAACCCTAGAATTTCTTTCCCCACGAGATGGTGATTCATCTTGAACGAACACACAGCCGAGGGATAGCGCTCCGTGTTGGAAACATGGCGTCTACACGAAAAGATTGTGGGGGATTCCCATCCAAGTTGAAGAATTTCAGTTGGGAGAAGAAGACAAAAAGAGGTGATGTCCGGTATCTATGGGATCAAAATGTATTATATCTTCAATGGAAAGACCGGCGCATCAAACACATGATGAGCACTGCACATACTGAACAACTGCATCAGAAGTCTCCCCAAGAAATGGAGAACTGGAGCAACAGCAAGATCTGTGACGAGGAGTGTAAAGTTGAGCACAAGACAAATGTCTTCTGCTGTACCTGTTACATTTACCTGTTTTACCACATCTAGAAATTGCTTCACTGAATAGCAGACATGCCACGATGGTTGAGACTATGTGGGAGAACTTCACAAGTTTTTTTATGTAAGGCACTGCAATTTGCAGCCTTTCTTGCTATTAAAACTTTACAAATTTTTAGCTGTCATTTTTTGCTGAGATATCTGCATATCTTTATAATTTTTGTTGTGCTGGCCACAATAATTTTGGTTTTCAGAAGTTAAATCTTGCATAATATATTAGTGTTTTATTTCATACTTATTAAAAATTTAATTTATTGTGCTACATTTTGATATAAAAAAAAAAGGGTATACTGGGACTTTTTGGAAATGTGCACTTTTCCCATGGTAATTAAAAGCGCAAGTTAATTTCCTTCCCCTCTGCATTTCTGAACGATCTCCAGGCAGCGTGGAATATCGGCAGGATGACCTTTGGGGGATAGAACAAAAAAACTAGAAATCTCATCCCTCTCCCCGGTTTTGGTGCTTAACCCCTCAACCCTTTTGGGCCAGCCTAGAGAGCCGTGCCCAAACCATTTAGGACGAGCTCGTCCGTGCACCCTCGCTCGCCCCTTGACTGTTTTAGACGACCCAGGCTTCTTCAGAGCTTAGCTCGGCGCTGCTGAGAGAGTGGCAGCAGATGTACCGTAAATTTGTTTACAGTACATGTTTCTTAAAAATGACGACCGACGGTGGAGACACCCTGGCCGCACGTGCAATAAACATTTTAAAAAGCAAATTAAAATCAAGAATTACCACCAAAAAAAAGGCTAAGTGGTTAAAATGATTGTTGCCAGTTATCCAAAGCTTCATCTGAAACAGGAAACAATTTTTCGTCCTCCGGATATGTTAACACAGTTTGCATGAGCTTCCCGATACAGTGTCTAAAGCCCAGATAGTTGCCTTCTCTAACCGTAACGATCGCCAATTGCGTCCAACTCTGCGCTAAGCACCAAAATGGCGGCGCCCACAAGAAAACTGGGGAATGGATTGAGCCGATACTCTGAGCGCTGCTAGTCTAGCCGCTCTGGTTTGCCTTAGGGCCAACAAATTCCTCCCTCCCTCCCTCCCTCCCTCCCTCCCTCCTCCCCCGCTCCCCTCCTTCCTCCTCTCCCTCTCCCTCTCCCCCCCCCCCCCCCCCCCCAAAAAAAAAAATTCCTGGCTACGCCATTGGTTGAGGCGATATTGTTTTGTTCTGTCACGGACTGCTTTAACATTTCTGGACAATGAAAAAAAGTCACCCGCAATTTCGGGTATGCCTTCAACGAGATGGTTGAAATGTCGGTACTCCAAAGTGTGCCTTATTTGGCGGCTCCAGTTTGCCCGACAATGGGTGCGAGCAAACGTTACACAAACCCTGCCCGCAGACAACAAAGACGCGGAAAACTGCAATATCTCGTCATTTTATCTACGTTAAACTGATGCCGCAAAAAGGCGCAGACTTTCAGACGTCAAAAATGCCACGCAACAAAGGACGGAATCTCCGAGCGAGTGTCACGCGCGCCGGCCCGTAGAATACGGAACGACGTCCGTTTTTCATGCAAAACACGAAGACAGTTGAAGCTGGCTGGAAAAGCACTAAAGAAACACCGAAAAGTCTTAAAACAACAACCAACATTTCTTTTTTTTTAATCCTTAGCTTTTTCGGGGCCTGAAAGACCCCGAAAAAGCCTTTTAGTAAAACATTGGCTGCTAGATCGAGGCTTTGGGGCAGCTGTTTTGAGCACAGTTTCTCGTGTAGGGCTCGCACAATCGCTCAAGACACTAATTTCCACTGGCTTTTTCAAGACCTTTACAGAACTCCATTCGCATCCCTTCCCACTTTCCAACGTCTCCCCACGACTCTCGAAGCTCTTGGGAGCGGGGTGGGTGCTGAGGCTTGTGAACCTCACCGGGGTGCAGTCCCATGGCCACGCACGTGAGCCACTCCTCCTCCCGGGGACTGTCTGCAAACAGGAGGGCCTCTTTGCTCAAGTCCAGCTCTTGGAACCCCACGGCGTACAGCTGGGGGGCCTCCGTGTCGCAGGACAGCCACTCGGACAGCCCTGTGCTGCCCGCTGCCTGCCCGTTCACGTTCCACGTCCCCACAAACAGCCTGGACAATGTCAAGAGAGGCGTGCGAAAAACTGGCATGAGGACCTACCCCTCTAATCCGCTAACACTATTATTCCTCGCTACAAAAATTACACTCAACGCTCTTTTGTGTCGCATTGTCGAGGCTAGCGTGGTGGCCGAGCGTTCCAACGCCGTCAAAGCTGCTTAGGTGGGCGAGATGCTTCATTACGGGTCTCGTGTGCACGAAAGACAGCGCTAATGATGCGCAAGATAAAGCCGCACGCTCTCGTAGCAGAGTGCAAACGATGCTAGCCTTTGCAATGTAGCGCGATAAAGTGGACGCCGACTCCAGTGCTGGAGATTTTAAGCGGCATTGCCAGTGAATGAGATGAAAGGTGCCCTAGTCGCTTGCACATTGTTACCTCGTCATGCGCGCTAACCCCCCCGCAACCAAAGAAGGCTTGTGCATCCACTTTTTTACGGAGCAATAAAGAGACAATCGTCGTGATCTAGTTGGATGGACGATCAGGTAGAGATACTGTTTGAACCAAAATTTTCTTTCTGCGTAGAGACCACGAGTATAAAATATTGTGCCTAGTGACCTATTGCTAATTGTATCTTTGGGTTAAAACTTACTCTCTAATACATCCTCATTCAGTTCCACAGATGGCAGATAATGACCATGTGCCCAGCCACAGAGAAGTACCTGGATGCCTCAGTTAGGCGTGCTTGTTTTAACGTGACGACATGAGGTTGTTCGAGTGCCCGTCAAATTAATTATTTTTATACAATGCGCGCCGCCGGTGTTTTCATGCAAAATAAAGCTAGAAAAACTCTAGACACAGGCCTTGCGACTGATGTCTCCCTGCTGTTTTGTGTAGAACAAAGCGTCACCAGCTATATGTTCCCATCAGTACCACCAATGGCATTTGCATCTTTGCCCCGTCGTTCTGAAGCAGCCTAAATGTATGGGACCTTTTCCTCTAGATTATTGTGTTGACTCTAGGGTTCTAATGGAAAGGTGGACAGGGCGCAGCAGCTCACCTGAGCTCCTGCAGGTGCGTGTAGTCGTCCTCCCGCATGGCCAGCTGAAGGCGTACCACGCTCTCCCGGGCGGCCAGGGGGGTGGCCCCCTCAGCGATGCTCTGCCGGGGCGGCTCGCCAGGGCTCTGAAGCGGCGTCCCCTCCTGGGACTGCTGCAGGCCCCCATAGTGCTGCAGCCACAGGAAGCTCTCTGGGGGACTCCGCAGCAGGGCATGCCCTGCACGACGTACGCAAGAAGCCTCCCTGTGGAACCTCCCCTCGAAGCACTCCGGGTTGCCACTATGGCTCGAAGTCGCTGGCAGTTCAATGACCACATGGTGAAGTGTGCAGCTGCGGACAAATTTTGCGTTGCCCGAACCCAAAGACATTGGAAACCCGTAATAATGCGCAGTACAGCCCCCAACTCTACTGCATATTTTTATTTGTTCCCAGTGGCCGTCCAGGAAGGGCAGCATGTATCGAAAGCCACGCGCTCTGCCGTTCACATTTTGTTAGGGTCCCGATAGTACATCCTTAGCTTCAGGATTCCTTCCGTCCCGCTGTCCCTTCCCCTTGCATGAAGTGGTTAAATCCAGGGTTTGTAGAGGTTTTCAAGACAAAAAATTGATGGTTTTAGACGACCTTTGAGGCCCTGTAAATACAGTTAAAAAACAAAACAAAAAAACACAGTGTTGTACTTGGGGGCTTTACAATAGTGCACCCTCCTCGACAAACTGCAAATGCGTTTGGTACAAAGTTGTGCATCTTGCATGGATTGTTTAGGTTTTATGCCTACTGGTCAACTGACCGCTCACTTACGCACGGCATCTAGTAACCCGTGGAGCTATCATTCAGTGTTGTCGCAGTGTTTGAAAGAACTGATGTGGCTTTTACAGAGTAAAACTCGCTAGTCCGATATTGAAAAGCTTAATGTTTTAATATTAATGAAGGAAAATGTGTAGTACTCATACTTTATCAAGGTAAAAAGAGAATGCCGGTGACTATAATCACAAAGCTCACGGGTTTTGAACCACTGTTCGAGATTCCGAGGCTTTCAAGGACTTAAAAATGGCATTTCCAAATTCGAGGGTTTGCAAGGTTTTCAAGGACCCATGCGAACCCTGCAAACCGCATGTTAATGCGGTTTGCAGGGTTTGCACACCTTCCGCCGAACATTTTAAACACCCTTGTCTGCAGAGATGTAAAGGTGAAAAGTCAGAAGAGTTCTTCATTTAAACAAACACTGAGCTCCCGAAAAAGTTTTCGTTTTAAAGGCCGACCTACAGAATCGCCCTCTGTCAGGCAGAAAACCAGTTCCCAGTTTCCTCCTTTGCATTCCCTCTTGCACTCTTCTCTCCTCCCCTCCCCACAGGAGCAAGTCTCTGAGCTACTCCCCACAGAAAAGAGTTTCTCCCTCTTTCTCATATGAAAAGGAAGAATTAGGGGAGGGCCTCCCTCTTCCTGGCTGCTCGTTGGCCTTTAAATGCTCAGGCACGACATGTATGTCGCAAAATTATAATACTCCTTCCAAAATAAATGTTTTAGGGCGATATTTACATCATGACTCAATGTGAGTTAGCAAACCCTTAACACGCTTCTATTTGGAGACATTCTAATTTTTTTTTTTTTATTGGAGATGTTGGCTTTCAAGTCTAGAGTGTCACTACAGATAGCAGCCAAAAACATAATACCATGGTAAGCTGTCTTCACAAAAATCCGTTTGTTCCTAATAAGCGAACTCTCGCTTATCAGTCGGATGCTCTGTTACTGCACCACTGGAGCAGCTCAGAGAGGCACAATTTCAGCTGCTATATAGTACTTGTGCAGCCTCAAAACGTGGTGCCTAGGTAGTCAAACATATTAAAGCTTACTGCAAGCATAAGACAAAGGAAACAAAAATATAACTACCCTAACCTCGATACCTTGCATAAAGCAGACTGGCACAGAATGCATTGTGTGTTCATGCCTAATTCCCAAAGGGATTGATCCAAAAGCCAGATGGGCAAAACAGACACAACAGAATCAAGCCGATCGAAAAAGGTTGACACAACCACACAGTGTGTTTCGGATCAGTCGGTCTATAAGTGCTAGGCCTACGTCGGTAAACTCACGCTCGGCGGCCTTGCTGACGTGGGCCAGGAATGACCTCGCCGCATCTGTGGCCGGCATCTCGAGGAGCAGCCGCCGTCGCCTGTGCACCACCTTGACGTAGATATCAGAACCCGCCGCATCGTTGGACGGCCTCGTGGGCCGAGACGAACGCTCACTCTGACTGTGGGCACACGACGTGTCTGGAAGCGAAGATCAATTTCGTCTAAACAGCTGTAATTGTACAGTTCTTGAGAGAGGAGAGATGGACACTACTGAATCCTCTCAATCAAGCAGCAGCTTGCACCACCTAAACAACCTTCCCTGATTCAATGGAGCCTGGTGGCTGAAACATAAAGCTGTGATGGGGTGTACCCTGGCCCATTCATGAGCGTAGCAGATACTGATGGCAATTGGTGCCCAAGACTCAAGACTATGGAAGTGGCTTCGCAAACAGGTTGCACACGAATCGCTAATAAGCCTGCATGTTGATGGAGAATGCTGTGATTAAAAGATCTCTGCAATCCAAGCTGTGAAACAAGAGGGGGATGAAGCATATTAGAGTTAATAAAAAGAAACAGCTATATTAAAAATATTGGGAAACTAAGTTGAGCAAGCCGCCATTCATTAGAAAGGACGCAATTATACTTTCATCCACCTAGTCACGGGCCAGGTAGTTTTGGATTATCCCCCCCCCCCCCCCCCCCCAAGCTGTGAAATATAAAACAAAAATAATTATTCATGAGTTAAAAATACAAATAACTGAGTAATACTAAGAATATTGCCAGCAACCTTTTTTCTCAAACAATTTCTGTAATGCATGGAATGCAGTATTTAAAGGATGTTCAGAAGACCTTAAACATGTGACATTCCAGTGTCGAGTCGTAGTGTCACGTGCTGTCACAAGCCATAGGGTATGCACGGACATGCAGGCAAACCAATTTCTGGGTGTAGGAACTTCTATTATAAAACATTTCATGCTTCAAATATTCGTCAGATAACTGTGTTTACACAGGAAACTGTTCAACTCGGGCCCCTGGCATTGGCAGGAAAATCTGGTATGCGCCTCCAGCATTGAGACTTAATAAAAAAAATAAAAAGGAAGAGGTTAGAATTTAACTATAACCTTTATACAAAATTGTCTGACCTATAACTTACACTGCAAAAACATACAGAAATAATGTAAACACAATTTTTCGAGAAAGAGCAAACAGAATTAAGGGTCATAAGTAAATCCATGCATATCCGCAGTAAACTGGCGGATGCGGATAAAAATGAATCAGATTCAGCGGATTGCAGATCGGATGAGGATGTCTGGGGCTGCAAGTGCGGATATGCGCAAGTCCGGATCCACATTTTTGCTGGGGCGGCCCACAAATGTGCGTGATGGCAGAGTGTACAGTATATAAGCGAGTGATACCATAAGGTGCATCATTGATAGTCTTGCCAAAACAAATTACTCTTCTAACAAAAAAAAAAAAATGCCGGTCGGGGAGTAACTTATTCTCTACGCCAAAAAAGATCCGATTCTCACCAAAGATCGCTTTAGAGCGGTCTGTCCTGCCAAAGATGCTGCCCCTAGAGAAAGTAAAGAATCAATCGTCCTGGGAAAGCGTGTTCTTGTTTGCCAGGAAAGGGCGGAAAACATTCTTTGGGCAAAAATATCCCGAAACGTACAAGCCACAAGAAATTAGAAGCAGCTTCCTCGACAAGTGACACGTGGCTTGTGTGTGCGCTTTTTTCTCGACAGTTGTCAAAGTACCGTAAAATACCGGGCAAGCGCCCACTTAAAAATTTAGAGATAATCGCGAAAAAATGGGGGATGGGCACTTGTCCGGTCACCAATTTTACATATTAATGTACTGTGCATATTTTCTCCGATTTTACGAATTTGGGTATGGGCGCTTAGCGTGGTATGGGCGGATGCGCGGTACTCTACGGTATGTGGTTCAGAGCCTGCAGTATCAGATTCGTGTTTAAAACTGAAACCGATAGGCGTTGCCATTATTGAATCTTGTGATATTTTCACAGTGGTGTACTCCCGTCCTTACCATGTTTATACAAGTACTTTGTTGCGTTGAGTGACCGCCCTTCCTCTCTCGCTTTTTTATTGTTCGACCTAAATAAAAGGACAAAATTTTATGTCTGTCCTGAATACAATAAAATGAATACAACAGAATACAATAAAATCACTTTCACTGTATTCTGAATCAGATTTTTGTATAGAGATAAGAAAAATGCTTATAAGAGGTCTTCATGCTTTCGGGGTTTATTTTGTATATATTTAAAAAAGTTTTTTTTGTTTTTGTTTTTTTTTTTTTTCTCGAAAATTTTGAGTTTATAGAAGCTTATTTTTGGTAGATACTCAATTCTCCAAAATTCGTAATTTAATTTTTTAGTGATTTCTATAATTAAAAAATAATAATAATAATACATGGGTGTAAACAGGGTCTATATTTAAAAGAATGGACTTGTATCAAGAAATATTTTTTCAGCTCGATTTGGTGTTGGTGCTCTTGCTTTCCCACAACCAAACTTGCAAATAATTGTTGCTTCGGTAAACCTTGATAGCTTAAAATCAATAAACTATCGAAGGTCGCTGGGAAGTTCGTTTTCGCCCCATCCTGTTCCGTCACCCTGCCCCACAGCCGCGCAAAGTAAAGTGGTAAAGGGTAAAATATTGGAGCTTCAACTGCACCTTCCACCTTCCCCCTTCTATGAAATCTGTATGGTTTATAGTTTTACCTGTTAAAAAACACAAATCCTCCTTCATCTAAGCACAAATAGTATGGTTCAAACTGGAAAGCGGAACAGTGGCTTTTGTTGCGACACAGAAGTATGATGACCTGTTTGTCCTGAATGAACTTTGACGAGGTGAACGACCAGACACCTTTTGTCGATTGTCCGAGATTTAAAAGGAAACTGGGGTGGCATTTTCTGAGGAACATCAACCCTGCGCGCTGACCAAACTTAATTGTAGAATACCAATTTTTTTTTCTTTTTTCACTGGGACATTGAAATTTGGTGTTTGTCAATAACTTTGAATTGTAGAAAATTTTATCGGCGGGCATATTTTAGAGTTTTTCGAACTTATCAGAACATACGGAGCCCTAGTTATAAGGTACCATACAAGTGCTTTTTTTATTTTTTTATTCACGCTTGATTTTATGATATAACATGAATACGCAAATTTCGAGTCGGATACAATTTTAAATTTTGCGAATCCGGTTTGTATGCAGATACAAAGTATGCGGATGCGGATTGGATGCGGATAAGAACATTGCAGATGCAGTTCGGGTGCGGATACAAAGTCTGTAGATCGGATGCGGACGATCAGCTGTTATCTGCACAGAGTTCTGTAGTCGCTGACAGGTTTAGCAGAGCGAACGCTGGAGAGGAGCTTCATTCCTAACCTGCCATCGACTATAGTCATAGGTATGGCATACTGTCCGCACAATGAGCCGTTAAGATGCTGCAAGATCCCTCGGCTTCATGCTTCCTTACCTATTTCACACTTGAAGTCCCCATCGATGGGAAAACAGTGCTCCGCCGGCAGTATGGGGTTCGGTGCTGAGTCGTCCCCTCGGTGGCACACCAGGAGCCTGCACGAGGAGCGACCATTCTTCACCCGCCTCCATCCTCTGAGCAACCCACTGCCATACTCACCCGTGAGCTGCATTCGAATGCTGCACCAGCAGCAGGAGTCTCCCCGTCTTCACCCATTCCTGGACTAGACCCGCATCGAGCCACTGAGTGGGCGCGTCAGGGATCTTTTGCTGAGAAGTCATACTCTCGAGAGGTATGAATTTCTCTAGTAGTAGTAGTAGTAGCTGCACATAAATTTTGGGGTCTGGAACATTAGGGCCACTCCTCATGATGTACAGGGTACCAAATACCCCACAATGTCTACGCGATGTGAGACCGATTTCCCATAGGGCTTTGACATAGACGGGTCTCTTGTATTTTGTATGTCATGTCAGTGTGCTTTCTCCCTCAACGTGAGTGTGAAGAAATAGAATTTGATTGGTATGAGGGTGCAATCTTTCGTGATAGCCTCCAATATAAAACTGGATGGTCTTTTTAAGGCGCAGCTCTTAGGCGTTCGTTTCCAGGTTGAGCGGCGTTGGCATCGACATAACCTGTTGCATTACGATTACGTCACCGCGTGTTGCATTATAAGACATCACAGTTTCCCTGCTAAATTTAGCGGGGAAACTGAATTGGTGTTGAGGTCATACGACATCAATTTCCCCGCTAAATTTAGCATTAAACTTAACCCGCTAAATTTAGTGAAAATTTTTCCGCTTAATTTAGTGGGGAAATTTTCCCGCTAAATTTAGCGGGGAAACTTAACCTGCTAAATTTAGCGAGGAAATTTTCGCTAAATTTCCCACTAAATTTAGCAGGACAAATTTTGCTGAATTTCCAGCCAAATTCAGCGGGAATATTTTTACTAAATTTAGCGGGAAATTTAGCGAAAATTTCCCGCTAAATGGGAGGCAAGTAGAAGACGGGAGGGGAAGGGTATGAAGGGGTGGCGAGGCATATGCTTACCTCCTCCTCCCCAAGTGCTGTGCTCTAATTTCACATTACAGAAAATTGTAAGCGTCTTTTTTTTGTCCCTGCTCACACTGAACTGTGTGAACCAGAGAGAGCAAATTGATGAGAGTTACGAAGAAGTAGAACAAACGAACACTGAACTTTACTCTCAGAGATCACAGAACGGCTCATGTTTAGACTTCAATAACACAGCCTTGGCGAACCTCCCCCAGGAATGACACTGGAGCAGAAAAGGGGCAAAAAACTACCAAAGAAGAGCAGCAAGAATATTTGAGATGTTTTAGATTTACATAATTTCATGTTGTCAAGCCCTACAAGGCATGCACGAAGCAAGTATTGACAGTATCCCTTTTACATCGCACAACTCATGCTCACAAGATCACAGAAACTGATAACCAAGGTCGACCAGATCTGTATCTTGACCACGGCGTGCGAGATTCCACTGTGTACATGATGGGGATGAACAACTCAGTAAACGCAGATAAAGAAAAGACACAGCCACGACAGGACAAAGGCGTCCTTTCGTGGTTGTCTTTTCTTTGTCTACATTTACTAAGCTGTTCATTCATATTATATAGAACGTTGAGACGTCGTCCTGTCCTTTTCTGTTCCTTCGACTTATATGTTCATTTCTGCCCCAGTCTCAGGTATATTAAACATATTTCACTGCACTCCTTTCACACACCATCAATTGCCAGACTGGCATTCTGTAAATACTCATAGCGTTAAGATCAATCGGCAAAACTAACAAACATCAATTGCATCAAATTACTGTAATTGCACTACTTCACGTTTTGGTACTCTTTTCTGAAATCTTTTCACGCTGTCAGCGCCTGTCAAGTGAAGCGAACCTGGTCGGATCAATAAAACCACGTGAAGATAAACGCAATCAAAGGATACGGCCAAGCAGTTGTCATCCGGTCCAAGGACATCTTTGGCCACGGCCTGTCCCTGGAAACTCATGCTGTCCGGGCCACTCGTCGTACCGTCCGATTCGAACTGCGCGGGGCACAACTGTCCAACGGGAAATCGCACGAGCGCTTGTACTCGCTCGCCCTACTGAGAGTAAAACTCAAAAAACCGCGCCGATGTCGAAGACTAGCTCTGAACGAACTTCGAGATCGGAAACTGCTTACCTCATATGTCGATGGCTTGCGTATCTAAGGGCGAAACATGAACGCAGTCCCACCGAACCGCAGAACCGATCGAGCGAACCTCGCCTTTCCGGGTCCCGGAAGCCGATGTTTCCTGTTCAAACCAAACGTGATACACGGCGCGCTATTACTCGACATGTTAGCCAGATTCGAATAGCGAATCCTGGGTGAAATAATACCCATTTTACGCACCGAGATCGCGATGAGCCCACGGTTACGCTGGTCGAGCATTCGGAGCTTCGGAGCGTTCGGAGCAGTCTACGATATTCTAGTCAATCCGGCCATCTTGAGCTGAACTATTGATAAGCACTTTCGTAAGCAGCGCATTAGGTGAGGCTTTATATATATATTTTCATGTATAAAATACAGGAATAAATTAATTTGTGATAAATAAGCGTATATTGTATTTTTCATCTACTTTTTCATCTTGTCAGCTGGGAGACTGGTTGTTCACGTTTTCTTTAGTTTCTGTTTTCCGCTTAGGGTGAAGATCCTATTATCTAAGATAGGATGATTAAGATACCTTTCGTTTTTATATCATAAAACCAGCGGAAGGTGCCAAAATCGTTGACAAACGCGCAAAGAAGTGGTCGTACTCTGTATTTCGAAGCTGCGGCCGCTTCACGTAACGGTGTTTTGCAATCCGGTATGACGGGTAGCAGCCGGAGCTGACGAGAGAGTTGTAACTGTAACAGGAGCACGTCTGTAACCTACGGCCGCGTATAACATGGCCCTGACCATGAGTATGACAGCAATAACGCGCCCCATGCGTTCGTTGCTGGGTAAAAAGTCGTCCCTTCGCAAGTTGCGATTGAACAACGAGCCCAGCAACCATCTGCAGAAGAGATGCGCAGCACACTTCACCTTCGTTCCCGATACTGCACCCTCCTCGGAAGGTAAGCTTCGACACCACAAGGGCCTAAATCTCGTACCCCCAGGGGACTAACAAAAACTGAGCGCATGCATATGGGTCTTCTTCCGCTCTCGAAGGAGAGACGGCGCGGATGAACCTGTACCAGGCGGTCACCAACTCCCTGGACCTGGCACTAGCCCGTGATCCAACCGCGGTAATCTTTGGCGAAGACGTGGCCTTCGGTGGCGTGTTCCGCTGCACGGTCGGCCTCCAAGACAAGTATGGTACGTCGCAGCCATCGCAGCCTGACGGCTCGATTCGCGGCCACGTGCCACGTTTCCCAGTCCAAGCGCCTTCCTTCCCGCAGGCAAGCAGCGCGTCTTCAACACACCGCTCTGCGAGCAGGGCATCGCGGGGTTCGGTATCGGCCTCGCCGTGGCCGGAGCCACGGCCATTGCCGAAATGCAGTTTGCCGATTACATCTACCCGGCGTTCGACCAGCTAGTCAACGAGGCGGCCAAGTACCGCTACCGGTCCGGCGGCCTCTTCGACTGCGGAAAGCTCACGATCCGGGCGCCTTCGGGCGCAGTGGGACACGGCGCCCTGTACCACTCACAGAGCCCCGAGGCCTTCTTCGCGCACGTGCCGGGTCTGCGCGTGGTCATGCCCCGGGGCCCCATCCAGGCCAAGGGCCTGCTCACGGCGTGCATCCAGGACCCGAACCCGTGCATATTCTTCGAGCCCAAGATCCTGTACCGGTTGGCGGTGGAGCAGGTGCCGCTAAAGGACTTCTCGCTTCCGCTCGGCAAGGCCCAGGTGCTCCAGGAAGGCCATGACCTGACGCTACTGGCGTGGGGCACTCAGGTGCATGTGCTGCGTGAGGTTGCTCAGCTGGCGCAGGACAGGCTCAACGTGTCCTGCGAACTCATTGACCTGTGCACCCTCACCCCGTGGGACAAGGAGACAGTGGCCAATGTGCGTCCCTTTTTTTGTTTTATTCTGTGGCAGTCAAAGATAACCATGGTGTGTGTCTGTGTGTGAGAAACAAACGCAACTGACTAGTCAATGTGCTCGTCTGTTGCACTTGTCCCGGCTGATTTGTCGCACTTGTGTTTAATGTATTCTGCGTTCTAAAGTAGCAGTGGTGAAGCTGTTCCTGTCTGTGGGCAGTATTGAAGACCCAGTGTTATATCCTGTTCAACTGTCAGTGATGCAGTGTGATATACTCCAATGCTCATTCTTGACTGCTCAGTTATCTTGTAGTCAGAGCCTATCAAGATGATACATGTGAACATCATTTTGCGACGTCTACAGGCAAGGGCTAATGCTTGGAGGCCTCGCAATGGCATAAGGGGGCAGTGTAGTTGTCTGAGAACATAACTGAAATTAGCTAGATTGCAGCACAAGTAAAATAACTGCACGGTAGGTCTGTAAACAAGGAACAATTTGTTTAGTAACCTTATTATTCTAAAAGGATCGAATGAACTATGCTTATTGTAGCAAAGCTGTACAGTAAAGGTCAAGGCCAAGTTAGATAGCACTCCCATTCTCTTCTGAAGCTTGTTTTCCCATGGTGGTAAATGTGAACAGTGGTAATTGAAGCATGACCTCAAAGCTGAGAGCAGTGTTTTGCTGGGGTTATGAGATGGGTTAAATCAAAACATTCATAGTAATATATCTAGAAGTGTAAGCCTCATGGCTGGCTCAAGACAACTTTTCGTTTGCAGTCGGTGTGCAAGACTGGACGTCTCTTGGTGGCTCATGAGGCTCCATTGACGGCGGGATTGGGAGCAGAGATAGCTGCTACGATTCAGGTGCGTGTTCCCAACAATGAGAGACCGGTTGGTGGCTGGTCTTGGAGAAATGTCCATTAATGCCATCCCTCTCCTTGCAGAGTGAATGCTTCCTGAACCTAGAGGCCCCGGTGCAGAGGGTTACTGGCTTCGACACCCCTTTCCCACACATCTTTGAGCCCTTCTACCTGCCAGACAAGTGGCGTTGCTTCGAGGCTGTAAAGAAACTACTCAACTACTAGGAACTGCATTATCAAAGGGAAAGAAACAGGAGAAAAATATTTGAGAAGCAATGTGCATCTAGATTTATGTTTTATTCTTTGTGATTCGTCCACTTTAGTGCACCATTAAGAGCCAAGTGGATGCCCCCGTCACATTGCGAGCACTGTTCTGTCAGCGAGCAAACTCTGTCTAGTATATCATTGGCCATTGTGTAGTTTATCTCGTGGCATGGCAGTAAATAAGCTACGGAGGTAAATAAAAGTAATATGTTTTGGGTCAGCATGTTTCAAGTGGAAGCGGAATCGGTGTTAACCCAGGAGTTTATTCACGATTGTCACTCTAGGGGAGGGGGGTTACAAATTGTTGATAGGGCTTTTGGGGGGTATACACCATAGGTTTGTGTACTTTGTGCAAGGATTTCTGTAGGTGTGTTTGACTCAGACTGAGGGTGTCGGTATAAATCCCTGTAATATAACCCAAAGGTCATTCCACTGAACTAATTGTCCATTTGTGTGTGAATGAGGAGAAGATAAACAGAAAAGATTTTTTTGTTGCAGCCAGAGCATAATGTTAAGAGATATTAAAATGAAGCCAAATAACTGCAGGAGCATGACCCCTATGTAACCTTCAAGCCAGGATCTCTTGAGGTGAATTGCCAAGTTTTGGCACCTACCAGTTTTTATATTTTTTTTTTTTTGGCAGCTGCCTATAATTTGTGTAGGGCATGGTACCTGTGTACCCTGTTCTCCAACATAGCACATAATGTTTTCTGTATAATGCCTATGAAGAGCTTGAAAGAAAATTGTTCTACATTTTTGCTTTTAAGTGTGAAACTTCTTATTATCATTGACCAGACAAACAGGATGAAATCCTGTAGGTCCCAAACTGCTGCAATGCAGATTTTGAATTTATGCCCAAGTGATATGAAGCACAAATTCAAATAAACATTGCATATGTGCTAACCTGAAACAAAGTTCTTTGGAGAAAACATCTGTGCAGCAGCTGTACAGCAGCCAATAAAATGACAAGTATGGATCAGCTGATGTGTGACCTTGAACTGCACAAAATAAAAACATTACATACAGTAATCCCATACCCTTGTCAAACAGCATTACCTCCAAGAGAACTTTTTGAATGAAAATTGCTGAAATAGTACTGTCCACAAAAAAATGTAATTGCAGTGTAACGAGTATATTTTTCATATAAACCAAATTGAAATGAAAGGGCTCTGGGTGATCAAGTAAACACTGCATAAAGAGAACACCTGTTTTTGAACTGTTTGAAGAAAATGTAAAAGGGAAAAAGCGGTGCTCTGGAATTTTTGCTGCAATGTTTTACCTCTCGCCAGACGGCCCAGATAAGCAAATCAGCTCAGTAATCCTGGTAACTTGAGAAAGGGAATCATGAGTGAAAGGGGAATAAGGCCAAGGCCAGGAGTCTCGGTGGAATTTCTCTGCAGTGCCTTAGCACACGTGCGGTGTCAACCGCACGTGTGCTAAGGCACTGCAATAATAGTATAACATCAACCCCGGTTGCAACCCTAGCTAGCAAATGCACACGCAAAAAAATAAAAAAATAAATAAAACGACGTTGCTCGACAGCATAACCTGAAAGGTGAGAGACCGTAGACTACATAAATGGAAACCTGCCAGTTGAATAAAACATTGGGAGTCCCCTCTCCCCCTAGAGCAGGCACGACAAACAAAACCCGAGGCCTGCACGCACGCGCGCGCGCAGGCAGCCGGGAGTAAGACCAGGCAGCGAGTTTGTCCAATGTTTATTGGTCAGTTGCATAAGCCGGAGGCTGCCCACCGCGCGCAGTCGACAGGGTGGGGGTTGTTTCTGTATCCTTGTGACCTGGCCGCTCAAGAGTCGGGGGTCCGGTGCCGCCAGTGCGGCGGCCGTCGGCCTCGCGCGGCCGGCTGTCCGAGCGGCCGGCCTTGCCCTTATCTGGGGCTGCCGGGCGGCCTTGCCCAGGGAAAGAGAGCGGCCCAGTTGGGCAGCGTCGAACAGGGCGGCCTTGGCGGTCCTTTGCCGCCACAGGAAAGCTGGCGCCTGCCGCCGAGGGGGGCCCGAACTCCGGGCCGCCCCCGGGCCGGAAGCCACGGGCCGTCGGTAGTCGCCGAGGGCTCGGCCCGCGCGTCGGGCAAGAAGCCGTCCTCCCCGCGGGCGATAACCAGTCGGCGCGAATCGGCGGCCCAAGGGCGCCCTGTCGGCTTCCGCCGCATACCGGAGCGCCAAGGAGCCGGAAAGGGGGCCGTCCACACACACAAACACGGGGGGTCAAAGGGGACCCGCGGCGAGGCCGAGCCCCGGGGCGGCGGCCAGGCCGGGCCCTAGGCCGGGGCTCATGCCCGGCCCGAGGCCCGCCGACAGCAGCCAGCAGGGCTGCGGCGCGTAGCCGCACAGCCTGGGCTGCTGCAGCAGGAGCGCACGGCAGGCCAGCGTCTGAATGAGCTGCAGCGTCTGGCGCCGTTCGTGTGCCATCAGGCAGACCGTGGAGCCGTCGACGACGCGGTGCAGCGTCGCAAGGAAGGCGTAGCGCAGCCGCTCGTGGGCCAGGTGGTTGGCCAGGAAGCTGTGCAGCTTGGCCCGCTGGGCGTGCAGCTCGGGGAAGTCGATGAAGAAGCGCGAGCACATGTAGCGCTCCAGGGCGCGCGTGCCGTCGGTGGCCTGGAAGCCCCGGGCGAGCAGGTGACAGTACTTGAGCAGGCCGCCGCCGCGGATCTCCTCGGGGCTGCGGGTGGCGATGAGCCGCCGCCGCAGATGTGTCAGGGCGTCGCCGAAGTGGCCGTACACGGACTCGGCCAGCACGCTGGGGAAGAAGTCCTGCGAGCAGCGCGGCACCTCGGACCCGCACTGGTGCAGCAGCAGCAGCGGGTCCAGCACGATCTGGAACGAGTCCACGCTGAACTCGAATTGCCGCCGCATGCGGTGCACGAACTTGAGCTCCACGTTGCGGCCCAGGCCGTTGGACAGGGACACGAGGGACCAACGGTCCTCGTCCGAGGCCACCTTGACCAGCTTGTGAAGGTAGGCCTCCTTGAGGGCGCACGCCGAGATGCGCTTCACGCCGGCGGGCAGCAGTTCCGCCAGGGCGTCGAGCACGGCCGCCTTGACGCGCTCGAAGCCCGCGCTGCCGCCGCCGCCCAGGTCGCAGCCGAAGATGACGTCCAGGTCGTTGTACTCGGCCGACGTGTCCGGCTCGAGGACGTAGGACGCGGCGCCGCCGTTGAGCCGCACGTCGCGCACGGGCACGCCGAGGCGTGCCAGCTGCGAGCGCACCCGCTGCACCAAGTCCCGCAGCCGAGTCTCCAGGGCCGGGAAGTTTCCCCGGCCCTGGACGGCCACGGGCTCCTCGAGCAGCTCCTGCAGCCGCACCACCTGGTCGTAGCCCAGCACCGAGAAGCGGGCGTCCGGCAGCGGGCTGGCCGCACTGCGACAACACAGCGACGTCAGCGCCCGTCGGGGTGGCCGAGGTCCGCCGCCGCGGCGCCAGAGCCAAGGGCTCGCCGGGCGACGACCATACGAGCGGCTCTTACCTCATGATTCCGGCGTTGGTTCTGCGTGTGCTACTGGCTCACAGACGGGACGGCGGACGAGGATGACCGCTCTTCGGAGGGGTGCCGCAGCAGGCCGCGAGAAGACGACGTGCGGACGACGGACGTGCTTCCGGACGATACACCGGCGAGAGTCGCTCTTGCGTTCCGCTGCGCCAGAAGGCAGACGGCGACGCAGACGCCCGCTAGGCGGCGGTCCGTCCGTCGCCTCGGCAACCGACACGCATGCGCACGACGCGCGTGACGCTCGCTCCGCCGACGCAATCGGCGTTCGCGCGGACGGAGGAACGCGTGCGAGCAGACGCAGACTGTAGCAGACGCCGCTGTCGCGTCACGGATTTGTCGCCAGCTTGTGGAGAGTGCGGCGCGACGCGTCCAGAGCTCAGGCACGCAGGTTAGCGACGGCGCGCCGCGCTGGAGATAAGGCGCGCGGCGGCGAAACCACGGTGTCGGGACGCGCTAGGAAGCGGGCCACCTGGCCGAAAGAGAATCCGTGCGTGCGCGTGGGCGTATGTTGACGGCAGCAGGCCCGCGCGCACGCGATCGATCCTCGGCTCGTGCGGCTCGTGCGTACGCGCGGCAGCAGGTACCAATGACGACAACACTCTCATTGACGCGCTGCCGGCGTTGCGACCGCGGGCCCATTCACGGACCACTATTTCTGGAAAAATCGATCGGCCAGCTCTGACGCCAACGCGCCGACGTCAGAGCGAGCGGCATTTTTCCGACCAGCCTCCCCAACCCCTTTTTTTCTTCTTCTTCTCAAGATTCAAGTGGACAGCCGTCGTGAAATAGCGCAAAAACATATCTCACTACCGAAAAGGCGCAAACAAACAATGGAGTTCCGCGAAAACAAACACCCAGCTGGCGCACAGTGACGTCCGGTGTTTATCACGGGCAAAGAACGGAACATGCCCATCATCGTCCTGCGCGACTACTACGCTCGCAGTTGGCCCTTTGGAGAGTCGTAGCGCTACTGCGCTGTTATTTTATTTACTTATTAATATTTATTTGTTGGTTTCTTTGTTGTCGCCGTTCGCAGAGAAATCCTGAGACCTACTAGTGTCATACAGAGGACAATGTCCCAAACAGACTGTTTTCTTTCATACTTTAATTGTTTACCAGACGCGCTATGCCACCGCTTCATGTAAAAAACACACACACACAAAAAAATGTAAAGTTTCGCGCAGAGATGAAAGAGCAGGCTAAACCCTTTTCACATAGATATCGTTATCGCTTACGACAAGAGGGCGCCTCCCTTTCATTCCAGGAAAAGGACAATTGATTCAAGCGGAAAGTGCTATCACTCCTACACAATGCACATGTGCTGCGCAGATTACTTAATCTATAGGCTGGTATGCTAGATAATGTAATCTATTCAACACTGAACCAATCTGACAAATTCATGGGGCCGATATTGGCTGAACGATGCGGCTGCTGTATTAAACAATGTGTTGTCACCCCTGTTGTCACCAAGACAAAAGCTTGGTTTCAGGAGGTGGTGGTGGTTCCCTATCTTGTGCACCGAGGTTGTTAAAATGCATACAGTCGGGCTTCCTCCATCTTATTCCATTCGAAGAAGTTAGGAAGTTATATATTGGAGCCATCGTTACTTCACAAAAAATAATATATGGCGCTTTTTACACAGGTCCATCGAACTTCACAAAAATATGGCAAAATCCGCCTTCCCGGTTATCAGTGTGAAACTGTGCTCAGCTGCTTTGAAACGACACCGTCAGTCCAAACATCCGTGAGCACATCTGGTCAAGTATATACCGAGAACAAAAATTAACCCCAGCGCATCATTTCCTTAATCACAAAGCCAAATAAAGACTTTATCGGTAATAAACAGCAAAAGGAACAAGGAAGAGACAACTTCACTGGAAGGAAGTTTGAGTGCAGCTGTTGTGCAAGCAGAGAAATATGATGAAGGCTCTGCATTAAATGGCACAAAAGTACAAAGCAACTACCTCATGTGAAGCAGTTATTCCACTACCTCACTCAAAAACATTATGTAAACAGCTGCTAAAAAGAAAAGAAAGATGTGTTAAATTTCTTTATTACCTACTTACAACAGCTTTAAACTTTTTTTATGGATTCATGGCAGAAACAAAATAATGTAATGCGCTGCGAAACCGCTCAGCCATAAAAAAAGAGACCTGTGCTGTCATCCAACACAACAAAGGCAATGGCCGTGTGCTGTGCTCCCTCTGTGCACTTATAACAATAAAAAAGAAAAGCAAAAAAAAAGGAAAACACTTGTTTTTCACTTTTCTTTCATTTCCAGGAGAATTTATACAATGAAGGAGGATTTCGAAACTAACATGCTTTCCATCTGTGCAAAAAAACATGTTAAAAAATGAGTTTGTTTTTTTGTTTTTTAAGGAAGTACAAAAGCATAAATACAGTGATGCAGCCAAGCTGATGGATGTTGATCATGTCGAAAATTACCCAAGACTATTCCTGTCTTTTTTCTTTTTTGTACCAAGTTCTCATCTTTTACTAGTCTCAGGTAATTTTCTACAAAAGCACGACTCGGTGATTATTCAATGCAAACTGCAGACAACGAAAAAAAAAAATGCATGTTTCTTAATACATTTGACAGCAATCTTGTTGCACATCCATTGTGCACTGGTATGAGAATGCACTTCCGTTTAAGGATGGGTGGAGTTTCTGACCTGTTGTAAATTTTAATTGAATGATATTGCAAGATGAAAGTTGTACTGCAGTCACAATCTCATCTATTGCACAAGTCTGCCCAGACCATGGATTCACAGCGGAACTTCTACATCTACATAATGCTACCTGATCAGCAATGTTATTAATTCTGTCACTCTTACATCCCTCTGCCAAGTAACCTATAATGACACAAAATACTGACAAAGCACAGTTGTACCGTATACCACCCACTTGATAATGCCGGACAAAGTATCAACATATAGAGACATGTTCCCAGAAGAATAATAACTCCTGCTAGGGCTGGCAAATCAATGGCTTTCCCGATTTTGCCTTCTAACGGTTTGAGATTACCGGCTTTGCAAGCAAGGTAGCCAAAATGTCAAGCGTATGCACGAAACTAATAGTATTTATGATAAAACAGTGATGGTGCAGGCAAGCTATTGTAGATTAACCATTTTCTTAAACCACCTAAGGCTGGGTGGCGAATGAGAAGAATCCAAAAAGGGACGAGAAAGAAACAATGACAGAAAGCAATGTCTAAAACACAACTGACTTGTTTATCACTCGTTTACCACATACACAAAAACAAAAAAAACAAAAAACACACAGGTTAAGGACACAAGCATACATGAAAGACCTAAGATACATCCTAAAACTAAGAAGAAAAAAAAACAAGGGTATATTTGCATTTTCTGAAAAAGAAAAAAAAGGCAATTTCTTTAAAGACGTATTTGAACCCCGACTGTCCTTGCAAATCAGATCACAGAAAGACAAACCACTAACAATATAACAAAAAGACGTTAGTTCCCCCCCCCCCCCCCCCCTTTTTTTTTTGTTGTGGGGATGATGTATGCCAGGTTTTTTGTGTACACTTGTGATCTGAACCTGAGGGTGTTTTTTTGTTCGTTTTTTATGCGTGTGGTGGTTGGTTGGTGACCTTGAGAATGTTGCACATATGAAGACATTACTGAATAAACAAGTCAGCGAGGTTTGAGATGTTGCCTTCCATCGTTCTGTTCCTTTATCTTCCCCTTTGGATTCTCATTCTCACTACCCAAAAGCGTCAATGTGATCCACTCTGTAGTTTCATGTGCTCCATGAAACTGGCCCAGTGCAGAGAGTAACAGACCAAAGATAGTTTAAAAATATAAATCCTTAACTATAATAATGCCAGCCATATCAATTACCGTAAACATGGTGATAAATCCGTCGTCCCTCGTGGCCAAAGACTCAGAAATTTATTCTCTTGGGGCCTTAGGATCCTAAGAGAATACACTTTTTGTTCGTGGGTGTTCATTTTGCCTAAGGTGCACATGCAGAACGACAAGTTCCCTAAACTGCAGTTGGCAAGTATGTATGCCAGTGGGATACTCGACTGTGCTGGGGAAATTTCAAATTAGAGTAAAAGCCCTATGTAATAAAGATACCCTCTTTTTGAAACTGGGATGGCTTAGCTTTGGAAAGAAGAGAAGAATTTGGCTTAGGTAGCTTCAGAAATGTGAGAAGAATGTAGTAACCGTCTGTCATGCATGACTTTTTGAACCAGTAGGGCCATTGCAACATTATGCAAACTCAAGATTAATGTTCCTATTGCAAATGTATAAAATGCTGAACTTAATTAACAAGGGGCAGTTTCAAGAACAAACAGTCCCGGAACACAATTTCAACATTGTAAAACACGGTAAAAAAAACAAAAATCCACTCTTTATGAATTAGACAACTGAAACATCCAAGCATCTTACAAAGTGCGTAAACAACAGCTAAATTAGAATACCTTTCATAATATCTGAATACTGATTAATCTTCCTTTTTTTTTTGAAGGTGCAAAAAACAACACTACCATATTTCCTGAATATTTATAGTCTACAGCGTAGACTATACATGTTATTAGCCCTGATGTTTTGAACGCAGCTCTTAAGAGCTCGTTCCCGTGTTTCGCAGCGTCACCGTCAAAGTAACCGCGCGCGTTGCATTACGGGGAGTCGCAGACCTATACACCTATTCAATTCCCTGCTAAATTTAGCAAAGAAACTGAATTGGTGTGTAGGTCTGTGACGTCCCATAATGCAACACTGCATTCAATTTCCCTGCTAAATTTAGCGGTAAAACTGACGCCACATGACCAACACCAATTCAGTTTCCCCACTAAATTTAGCAAAGAAACGAAATTGGTGTTGAAGTCACGTGACGTCAATTTTCCCGCTAAATCTAGCCGAGAAACTGAATTTGTTCATAGGTGGTGTGACACAAAGTAATGTGACGTCAATTCCTCCCTCTAAATTTAGCGGAGAAACTGAATTGGTGTTGAGGTCACGTGGTGTCAATGTTCCAGCTAAATTTAGTGGGGAACTGTAAGAGAAGAGAAGGTTATGAAGGAGGGGAAGGAGAGGGTCCTCGGTACCCTCCTCCTCCTCTGTGCCCTCCCCGCCTCCTCCTGCGCACCCTCCTGTCACGGTATATCGCAAAATCAAAACACCTCAAGAGCTGCGCTCTAATTTCGCAATTAGAGGGATTTGTAAACGTCTCATTTAAATGTTTTCACCCACCTTTTAGTAGTGTGTAATTTTGTCTTTCCTGAAAGCAGCTTGCTTGTCAAAGTTTTTCTTGTTACTCCTAATGCACTGGTAACTAGGTAGGTTCATATAATTTTTTGTTTCAAAGCATTGACTGGCCAGAAGTTTTAAATAAAAAACTGCATTAATACCGCAACCGAAAGCATCACAAGACCTTCCAAATATCCAGCTCAGTTTTCCAAAGAATGGCGATGATATTATATGAGAAGAAAAGTGGACTTTCATAGGCTCTTGAAGTGAATTGGTGTACATTTGTGGCATGAAACAATGAAGATATATAAAATGCTCATGAAGAAACCTTTTTCACAAGCATTCTATAAAATATGCACTCCGGATGCGCTCCGGAACTTTGAGTAGAAAATAGCTTGTTTCGAAAACCAGATGAGTTCTGGCGATACGGTAAAAACATACACAAAGGCCACGGCTAACAGCATTTCTTTACTTTCTTCACAAGAGGTCGCTAATGGTTTGGCAAATCACTTTCGAGAGGGTTACTCTTCAGATATTTTCCTTGGTGATCAAGTTGACAGTCTACTTCAACATCTCTAAGGCATTTGACAATGAATGTAAACTATGAGTTGCTTCTGCATAAGCTCTCTACGCACGGAGTTTCTCCTGCACTCACCGGCTGGTTTCAGTCTTATCCGATTGTAAAAGCAGTGTGCAAAATTTGAATAGTTTTTCTGATGCTTATGTTCCTTTGTCTGGCGTGCCCCAGGGGTCCGACATAGGACCACTATTGTTTCCTATATTTATTAATGATATTGAGCTGTGCATCAAAAATCATCAGCTGTTGTTACTTGCCCACGACTCAAAGCTTTCTTTGAATGTCAGGTCACTTGCTGACTGTGCACTTTTGCAGGATGATGTGTCGTGTGCATGAGTGGTGTTCTTCAAATGTTTTGTTGATCCATCCCGATAAAACCAAAGTGCCATTAATGTGTAGGAGACGGGAGGCGATTTTAAATGACTACAGTTTTGGTTCCACCACTATTTTATGTGTGTCTCTAGCTTGTGACCTTGGTGTTGATTTCGATAGCAATCTTTTTTTTTTTTTTTTTTCTCCTTACCATGTCTCTTAAATTGTTGGTTCAACTGTAATATGGCATGGGCATGATTTGCCGTTTGACCTAGGAATTTTCGAATTCATTGTGTAATATTCACTTATTGTGCAGTCTGATTCGTTCCCGCCCCGAGTTTGCAAGCATTGTGTGGAATTCTTTGGTGGCAACTGATGCCCCCCCCCCCATTGCAAACTGAAAAAATACAAAATAAATTTATTCAATCGTTTGCGATCAATATTTAGAGACTAGTTCAGGTGTTTTTTACGACTATACCTAAATACTTGATACTCTCAGCTTACAGATGTTATGAAGTCGTAGATGTGAGCGAGATATTTTAATGTTGCATACAATAACTTGAGGCCAAATAGGTAGCAGCTTACTGTCTTCTGTTAACTTTCATATACCTCTGCGTATATGGCAGGCCCTCCTGTTTGTTCTACCCTAGTTCTCAGGAAAAAGTGTGTCCAATCACCCGCGTGCAAGTGTCTTTCGACACTATTTCACCAAATAAGTCTTTAGATGCTTTTACAAATTCAACGTGAACTCGAAACTTTGATTTACTCATCATAATCTTATTGTATTCCTATTTTTGTGTTGCGCAAGTTGTATAATCCCAAAGATTCTTCATATTAAGACTGGTCATTCTGAGGAACGAAATAATAAAGAATAATTATTACATTAATGATGATGTTTATACGGTACCAGCTTTATGCATTAATAGAGCTGGCATATTTCAAGGTGTGCTCTGTATGAGAATTTCTTATGTGCGGATTACGCACTGAATGCAGACTATGCATTGGATGCAAAATATGTAAGAAAACACTTTTTTTTTTCAGCCAAAATTTGCCCTTTTGAAGCTTATACCAGGAGCAGACTATGATAAGAAAAATATGTTAACTGTCAGCTAGCAAGCAAATAAAAATCAACACTAGACATTTGGATCGTCAAGCCTGCAACATATTCCGTGTATCTTGCAGAAATGTTTGTGCAAAGCACAACCATTTTTTACACTTTCACTTCCTAACATCCCTGTCCCAAAAGTCAGGTCTGTGGGCTATTTCATTGCCTGTTTCGTTTCAGCAAAAACTTTGAGTGCCCACCCAGATGGCTACAGTGTTTGATCATTCTCTGGACTGGCACACTATCATGTTGCAAAATGCTCATGACAGCAGCCAAAGAAACAGAAGACACACGTCCCGATCGTACCACCCCTCGAACAAAAATATAAAATACCTTACCTTAAACCTTTCATATTTTGCGAATGCGACACCACGTTGGTTCTAAAAACTGTTGGCAACAAGTGGCAGTCACTATGAAATATCTGCGAGTGCAATGCCCAGTTTGGAAACATCTGCAAATCTTCTAATGAATCCAGTCCAAAGTTTCTCTAACCACCGCAACATTGTGGCATGTAGCAACATTTGATCCATGAATGGGCAAACAAGTCAGGCTCTTCCATTACACGGTCACGTGGCGACAAAAAGAAACCCAACCTTTACACGTTGCGCACGGCTTATTAAGGTTGTACCAGCCATGTCGGGGCACACGGGTCCATAAGGGGGACACAGACAACCCAAAACAAGAGCTCGGCATTTTTATCGTGCCCGCCCGCCACTGGCAATACTAAGACAGAGAGCCTTATTGCTTTGGTACCAGCTGCTGTATTTTGTTTCGGTAAATGTACAAAAGGGAAAGGCACGCCGTGAATCGGTCCTCGGAGCAGGGCGGGTCCGTCCCTGGCTACTGTTGGGCACCCTGTGCCAGGCCTTGTGGACGAGATCCATGCAGCTGAAGGTTCGTAGAAAAAGAGAGGCCAGACGCGCTTTAAAGGCCCCTTCATAGGGATTAGAGCCATTGAACATTACCGGGGCAGCGAAAATTTCCGACGCCTCCACTTAAGGCTCTGTTATACTCCGACGTAACGCGTGCGCGCGCGTGAGCGCGTCACAGCGACATCACGTCGGCGAAAACCCGACGCTCTATACTCCGGCGTCGTGGCGTAACCGACGCGACCGGCGGCGTTCGACGCAGCCTGACCGCCTCGACGCCAAAATGGAGCATGCCGTATTCCGCGCCGGCCGCGCCGGCGACGCCGGACCAGGATGCATCACGCGCTGGCTCCCGGCAGCCCTCGCGCGGAAAGCGCGGCGAATACGAGCAATAGCAGACGACGGGAGCACTACTGCGTGTCGCGCCATGTTCGAAGAATCCGACTCGGTCGTAGAGAAGCTCATAGAGGGAATTCGTCCTCACCCGTGTGTCTACGACACGAGGAAGCTTGAGTACCGTAAACCGTGCGCTTGTCAAAGATGTACCGTATGTACATTGACCGCCTACGCTTGCGGCGCAGGCGGTGCACCAACAGTGCAAGCGCGAGTTTTCGTCGGGCAAGGTACGTCCACGCCATCGCTCGAACTTGGCGCTCAAGAAGCGCGAGAATTCTCGTCTGCTATTCGAGATGAAAAGGAACCGGAAATGGCGCACTTTCGCAGGAAGCGCGCCCTCGTAGCCATATTCTGCGCATGCGCCGCGCTGGCGACCCACCGACGCGCGCCGTAGGAGTCGCCAGGGCCACCGGAGTATAGAGAGGTTGCATTTTTGACGCGCGCGGCGTGACTGACGTGGCGTAGCCGGCTTCGGCCAGCGTTCGCTTGCGCGCGCGTTACGTTGGAGTATAACAGAGCCTTTAGAGTGATTCAACTGGGGAGATAACTTCGAGACACGTTTAACTACGGGGTGTTGTCGTATAAATTAACCGATAAACGGTGTGCACTGAAATTGTTCACAAAGGTGTCTTCAGGTGGTGCACTTATATCATACTAAAATGTTATGAGTTGGTTTCAACAATAAAAGAAAAACTAAGCCCGAAAAAAATTGTTTTTTTCCTATGCACGGGGGAGAAAACAGCAAGAACTGTCTGGCTGACACCGCTACTCACAGACGGTACCAAATACGCTCTGATCTGTTGGATCTGCTCTTGGGTAACCGTCTCACAGAAGACTTCACGTTTTTGCTATACGTTTTGTCATCTGGGAGTAGCGGCGTCATCCAGGCAGTTTTGCCGTCCTCCTCCCCATGCATAAGAAAAAAACATGTATTTTTTTATTTGTTTCTTTTTTTGTTGGATCCTACACTCATAAAATTTGAGTACATGATGAATGAACCACCTAAAGACACCTTTGTGAAAACTTTCGTAGCACTCGGTTCGTTGGTTTAACTATACAGATCATTCTACGCCCGAACGGCACATGAGAACGCCTCGTATCGTAACCTCTCTTCCAAAAGCCCAACCGGCTCTCTGGTCGCTCCCACCCATCCATGGGATCGTCATCGCCGCAGCCAATGCGCGCAAATGAATTCTGGACACTGGGAATGCAAGCCGCCGACGAGGCAGTTAGTTTTTCTAGCAAAGTAGAAGCTCCAAAACAAGGCACTCCAAGGACTCGGTGCCCAGAGCGCGCATTCGACCGGCGTTTCTATCGTGTCCCCAAAAGTGGTCCCTCAATTTCCGCCCGCGACGCTGAAGAAGCTCCGTACTGTCACCTGTTCTGCTCTACGTTGCTCTGCAGCTAGAGAGACAACGAGATGCGAGAAGGGATGCCGCAACAACGGCGACACTCGTGTCTGCCCGCCTTTTTCGCCAGCATTTCTAAGACCGACCACCGGGATTGCGACGTCTGACAGCGTGACGCATCGGCTCCTGAAATGCAATTTTTTGGACCTTTGGGACCACGGGACGATTGACGCGCCGGCCAAAGACAGGCTCCGGGCGCCGTACTGGGCGGTCGTAGAGTCGCGTGTCGGACTTACCAGGAGGTCGTGTTCCAGCACGAATCGTGGCAGGTCCAGTTGCTCGGGGGCCACGTCCAGGAAGAGCTCGTCCAGCCGTGACACCATGTTCACCTTGCCGCGCATGTCGGGCACCTTGAACGCGGTGAACCACCAGGCCGCCACCTTTACGGGAGAGCGAACGACGGCTGTCTTGACCAGGGGCGTAGCCAGGGGGGGGGGGGGGGCTTATGAGGCTTCAGCCCCCCCCCCCCCCCCTGAAATTCAGCCGACCCTATTCGCGACTCCAGCAAAACGGACGCCACCAAGCGGGAAAACCGGGAACCAGCCGGACCAGGTCGCTCCGCGCCCCTCCGTGTCTTTGGTGGCTTTCGCAGACACGTGTTGTCGGCGCGGTGGCGAGCAATGTAATTTGACAAAGGTCCGAATATTTCTTAAGTTTGCCTGAGTGTTCATTAGTGAGGTGAAGCCTCAGCAGATTGTTTCCTCCCATCAAGTGTTTGAAAGCCCGTTTACTCCACAACACACGGTCGCGTGCTTTCGATTTCTTGGATGGGGAGGAATCACGGAAAAACGTTTTGATTTCTTGTCTGTCTCTGATCACATTCAAAATGACGACTGCTTGGTAACTGATAAGTGGTTTCTTTATAAGGATGTAGAACAGTGGACTGAGGACGACAGACAAGGCATTTCACTGGAGGGAACACCAATGTTGCAGTCAAGTGAATGGGAAGGTTTGACAGCTGTTTTTCTCGAGTTTGGTTGTGTTCAATTAGCTTCAAGTTTGAGCCACCCACGCCGGTCGATGCGTTGGCTATTCACCTTGGCTGCTTTTCAACCAAAAAGCCTCTGGACCACACTGAAAGAGTTGGGCTGATTTCGCAATTACTTGATTCAGGACAACCTGCTCGCTGCATATGATTAGTGAGGGAAATTCTCTGTTTCCAAAAGGTGGCGGACAAGTCTCGCAACGTTAGAAGCTGTGACGGCATTTTCATCTATCGCGCCTCCAATATTTATATTATACTCCCGTCGAAGCCAGCAGCAATATACGTCTACATTGCTCAGGTTAACCGGCCACAAAAAATACTCATTTTCTCCGTTCAGGATTCGAAGCAAAGTTCAATGCAGAGAGGTTCTGCGTGAATCTCCGATGAAGACTCTCTTCAGTTTGTCTCCGTGCTGCTGGCTAGAGAACCATTTGGCTACGTTTTAGTACTATCTCTCTGTTTGTCAAATATACTTTTATTCAGCAGTTCACCTAATAGCTAGTCAACTAAGCTCATATTTCAACCCGAAGAATATACTAATATCGCTTTAGTGGGACTCCCCCCCCCCCCCCCCCCCCCATAGTACGTAATATAATACATAACCCGCTCGTCAAAATGACTTCTTGATTGCTACTAAAACCTGAATTGAAATACGAGTATCAGCTGCTTAATAGGGCGCCGGCGGGTTAACATGGTTAACATCCTTGGCTCAAGAAGCGCTTGCTTAATTTTCGTAATTTTCCTGCAGGCTGTGTTGTTGACCGAGCAGACGATTGGAGCTGTTTCTTAAACGCGGATACGCACAAAAGCTCGATTTCCCGGACAGATAAGTCGCACGGTCGAGGCATGCGAGTTAACTGCAAATAACTCTCGGTGGAACAATTCTGTAGTCATCGCCGCTTTCCTTAGATGATCAAAACTGATTAGTATATTACCGTCTCTCCGGAGCCCATAGTTTCGGTTTTGAACGAAATCCCCGAAACGAAAGTTTGACATGAAAAGAACAAAAAACACCGGGAAAACAAAACTATGCTTTGCAAGTTTATGTGCACCAGCTAGACTTAACCGTCTCAGTTCAAATACCTATAAAATTGGGCATTCAACAAAAGAAAATCTGTTAAAGTCCAGGTCGCCGACGCGACCTGGACTCAGCCGCCATGTTTGTTTGGTGGTGGCGCCCCCTATAGGTCGCTGGAGTCGCGAATAATATACCACACATGCATTTTGACCCCCCCTCCCCCTCTCCACACCCCAAGTCATGGACGTCCCAGCCACCTCAGCCCTCCCCGAAAAATATTCCTGGCTATGCCGCTGGTCTTGACACACCGCACCGTACTGGCTAGCCTTGAGTGCGGCAAAGCCTAGTGCATTTGAATTGGCTTATCCGATTGGAACCCCTCTACTCGGGAAAAATATTGCCCTACCGAGCGGAGAAATCAGATTCTTGACCGTTAGTCGGAACACGGCGACAAGTAACAGCTGCAATCCTCGACATGAACCTAAAATGGCAGAACCACTGTTAGCGGCAAACAACTGCAGGGGGCTGCGAAACCATCGGAAACAATTAAAACCTAGACGGACAGATAATAAGGAACTAGGTAGGCAGATGTATCCGATTTGTATTGTTAGCCAACAAAAATTGTCTCTCACCATAGCCACTCGCACCAAGATTTCTTTCGCTTTTGGAGCATTCTGCCCACACTATAGTCTATCATATATGCTGCCAACACTTTTCAAGTTTATTTAAAAGTAGGAAGAAATAAAGATATGGAAGTGAAGCAAGTGTGTGCATGAGTGTCCTTTTTTTTTTCTTTCCAGGTCCAAAATCAGTTTCCTTTTCCCTTCAGACTGTTCCATCCTCCCAGACACTGACGCCCTCTTGAGGCCGGATATAGCTAAGAGTGGACTGAATATACCCGTCCGCACAGCACAACACAAATGGAGTCACCCAACTCAGCTATTGTAACGACAGCACATTGAAATGACAACACACTATAGTGAAAGAATGCTTAAAAATTGGCTACAGAAACCACTATTGTAGGCTGTCTATGAATTGCGATAGCATTCATCATGTTTCCCTCCTTTTGTTATGAGGCCATGAACGATGTCCTAGCGGACAACGTCTAGAACAACCTCTAGGGTAGCCTCAAGGACGACCTCTATACTTCGTTTCAGCTTCGGTCCGAGCGCGGCCGATGTTATGAGCCGAAGGGCTAATCAAACACCGCAAAAAGCGCAGCGTCATGGCGCGCTCTCTGGGCTTGATAGGACTAGCCGGCGGAGGAGCACGCACAGAAATACGGCGAATACCGGCTGGTCCTATCTACTGCAGAGAGCATGCCATGACGTTGTGCCTCTTTCGCTGTTTGATAGGCCCTTCGGCTCATAACATCGGCCGCGCTCGGACCGAAGCTGAAACGAACTATAGAACGACGTCAAAGACATCATCTAGAGTCGACCTCTAGGGTGACCTCAAGGACAATGTCTAGGACAACGTCTAGGGTGATCTCAAGAACAACCCCTAGGACAACCTTTAGAACAACATCTAGGACGACATCGAGGTTGTCAGGCCCTTTGAAAAGGGTGCGAATGTGAAGGAGTGCGTACTGCCGTTCCACACACGAGCAGCATAATGGGGTGCAAGTACAGTGAGCTGAAATGGTCTATTGCGCATTGGGAGGCCAGAAAGGTCTATGAAATCGGGGATGAAAATGGGCGGGGGGCACCTAAAGAATGCTATCGCATTAACCCCTTGCCTACTAATAACGAGTGTCACTCGTGCCGCTATTTACGGACCATAAAACCCGACCACGAGTGTGACTCGTGTTTCGGTTTCAGAGCTTGTTTTGCGAGCTCTGCGGCAGATGGCAGCACTACCCCTGTTGCTCCTGTTTACCTTGGGTTCTTTTCTTGTTTGCTTTGCCTTTTGACAGAGAGAGGGCGCTCCATTGACAAAAAATAAGCGCGCTATTGTAAGCAAGCGCGCCAAAAACATGTCTTCGGCGCGGAGGTCTGCTTTGGCGGACGAAGATATACAAAGACTTCTTTTTGAAAGTGATGAATGCGCCAGTATTTCTGACGACGAATCCTGCTGCCTTTCCGATTACTCGGAATCCGATGAGAGTTCAACGGACAGTGAGAAAAGTGTTGAAAACGATGCGAATCCTGGAAGCATTTCATCGACTTCGGCGTCTGCACGTCAGTGGAAGTGGGAGAAGAGGGACAACCAGCCTGCTCAGTTCACCTTTGGAGAAACCCCAGGTGTGTCAGCAAGGGTTCAACGCAGTCTTGGTGAGCAGACAAGCGCCTTGTCGACCTTTTCCGTGTTTGCAAGTCATGATTTTTGGGCGTCTGTCTCTGCTGAGACAAATCGCTACGCCGAACAAGAGATGGGCGACGAGGATCGTCCCAAGAAATGCTATGAGGAGCAATGGTTTGACACCACTCCGGATGAGATAAAGGCATACTTTGCCTTGTGCATCATTATGACGCAAGTGAAAAAACACACAGTCAAAATGAACTGGTCCAAGAGGTCCATAGTGGAGACCCCAATTTTCGGCAAAACAATGTCCTATGTGAGGTTTCTGCTAATCTCTCGATTTCTTCACTTCGTTGATAATGAAACGGCCGACAAGAGTGACCGTCTCCGGAAGGTGAAGCCTGTGCTTGAGCACATGAACGAGAAGTTTGCATCTGTGTACACACTCGACCAAAAGGTTTCCATCGACGAAAGTTTGATGAAGTTTCGAGGGCGCCTGTGCTTCGTGCAGTTCAATCCCAGCAAGCGAGCTCGATTTGGAATAAAATTCTACAAGCTGTGTGAGTCGTCCTCGGGATATTGTTCTGCATTCAAGATCTACACTGGGAAAGATGAAGGAAGAGACAAAACTACCTGCGCAAGTGAAAGCGTGGTCCTTGAACTTGGAAAGCCGCTGCTGGAGAAGGGCTACATATTATACCTTGACAATTGGTACACATCTCCAAATTTGTTCCTCAAGCTCAAGGAAGGCAAAACTCATGCTGTAGGAACTGTTAGACCAAACAGGGCAAACATGCCAAAGGACCTGGTGGCAAAGAAACTCAAAAAAGGAGAAGTCGAGTCCAGGTCTAGTCACGGCATACTAGCAGTAAAATGGCACGACAGAAAGGATGTCTACATCTTGTCCACAATGCATTCTAACTCCGACATGACCGCAACAGGGAAGAAAAGATGGATCAAGAGGAAGGGACAAAGCGATGCCGAAGACGTCATCAAGCCAAGGTGTGTTCTCGACTACAACATAGGAATGGGCGGCGTCGACAAGCAAGATCAAATGGTGGCTTGCTTTCCGCTGATGCGCAAATTGGTCAAAGGCTACCAGAAAATCTTTTTTTATGTGATGGATATTGCTGTATTCAACTCGTATGTAATCTACAAGAAGTTGAGTTGAGACTGCAGAACAAAGAACTTTGTTGACTTCCGCCTGGATCTTGCTGAAGAAATTCTGGAGAGTGTGAAACTTCCGGACTATAAAACTCGCGGAAGGCCATCCAACGGCGACACTCCGCTTCGCTTACAAGCAAAGTGTTGGGGTCACTTTGTGCAACACATCGCACCCACTGAGAAGAAGAAGAACCCGACGCGGGCGTGCAAAGTGTGCACAGCCAACAAGAAACGGAGTGAAACAACATGGGAATGTGGACAATGCAAGGTGGCTCTTCATGTTCCTGAATGTTTTCAGCGCTATCATACCGTGAAGAACTACTGAAGAAGAGGACAAGACCAGAAGTCCTGGTATAGAGCACGAGACTACGCCTGAAAGCCAAGGAAACATTTTTGTTTATTTTGACGCAAATTGCTTGATTTAAATAAAGCTTTCTGTACGATCTTTAAAGAAAAAAAATGAGTAGGCAAGGGGTTAAAATGCTTAAATTGCAGGCAAGCTCGCCTGTCTCTCTTACTGTTTTAACTCTTTGCCATCCCTACTGCCAGGGTTTACCACCATATTCAATCTTACATTGTGCTGAAAAGGGTGGCTTCTTGGTTTCGGCCATGCGGTGAAACTCCCTATGTAGTGAGCCTAGTTTGTCCTAGCTGCACGCAGTGGGCCCTCACCCGTGTCCAAAAGCCTGGATGTACAAGGTAGAGTGTGTGCAGGTTCTGCCTGTGCTTGGGCTCCAGCAGCTCGAAGGCGTCCCTGAGCACCTCTCCCAGCTGCGGAGGCTCCTCCGCCAGGGTGTGCAGGTACACCACCGAGAAAGGCTGCACCGGGGCCACGGAGTCCAGGGCCAGCAACAGCTGCAGAAGCACCTGCAGACGAAGAAAGACGCAAATGAAACCCAGAGTCACCCAAAGCTCGCAGGATATGGAGCTGCCACTTGCACCCAATAGGCCTCCTGCGTTGCCCAGGGGGTGCTGCGAAAAGCGACTTGTTAGGACTTGTTTTGGGTAGTACAAATTCTAGCGTCTCAAACTGTCACGCATGCAGAAGCGTGCATGCTCTGGTGCGAAGTGCGAGATCGCGATGCAAATACAAAGAAACAACAAAAATTCGAACGCCGTCAAAGCTAAGACACTAAGAGCGAGCCAAGAGATGCCGTTTCATGCGTTCCAAAGTAGACATGAAAAGGAAAACAAAATGAAAGCGTCGCGACACAGGTGTTCTGACGTCACCACCCAGAGATAAGAGACGCGTGCCCTAGCGGTGGTGTCATGAATTTGGCATTTTCGATTTTCTTGCAACGTTGAGTCAGGCCCATTTCTGGCATCCAAAGGTGCTTTTTCGTTCTTCAGCATCACACAGAATTATAAAAGCTCAACCAATGTGCCATAAGTAGTGCGAGGCTCAATCAGGTGAGCTTGTACTACCCAAAATGAGGGCGCTACGGTTTGTTCAAAGCTTCAGCACAGGAGGCCTATAGTGCAAACTCTTCACAGAGGCAAATAAATACCTCTATGCATTTTGTAAGTGTGGGCATACTCACATTCACTCTCAAAAACTAGAAAAGGTCTAAGGTTAGAGAGCAGCATATTTTAAATGGGAGCAGAATTCCATTTGCTTCGGGACACTTTAAAGAAAAGTATCTACATTGGCATTGAAGTCCGATATAAAAGAGCACTACATATACTGTCCATTTTCAGAAGTTTCAGCTAGGCTGCATTAATGTCAATAAATAAGCTACACTTCAGAGTGATGACACTTGGCCATCTTGTGGCTCAATATCATGGTTGTTAGTTATCTGAAGCTTTATCCGAAATCACAGGAAATGCTTTTCTGTCCTCCAGAAATGTTTAGAGCAAAGCAATGTTACATGTGCTTCCTAACACTGAATCTAATGCACAGGAAGTCACACTTTTGAATCATGACAATCAGCAGTTGCATCTGCTCTGCACAAGCACCAAGATGGCGGCGCCCACAACAATATCGGGGAACAGAGTGCTGATACTCTAAGCATAGCTCATTTAGTGGCTCTAGGCTGGGTCAGTGGCATCAATATGACCACAAGCAACCAATGAGTGAATTTCACATTGGACCGAAGCAGGTCTAGGTCAAAGTGCTCTACGACCCTGCGAGACCTCTCTCATGCACAAATTCAACTGTAGTGTTGGAACCAAGCAGCCATTAAACGTTACGAGTGTAAGGTCGCAGCTGTCGAAGGTGCTTCTGTTCTACAAAGTCCGGCAGGAAGAGGCAAATCAAAAGCTAGTAGCAGATACTGTGACACAAAACAAGCTACAGAAGAGAAAAGACAGAAGCACACTGTCTTGCATATCTTCTCTTCATTACACAAGCTGCGTATAGTTGTCACAAAGGTACAAGATCTGAAGTTAGCAACTGCACTGCACTGGCCAACATGAAAGACAACAGAACAAATTACAAGTTTATAGGAAGCCAGGCTAAACCCCGACTGTATAAATGCTTCTGCGGTCTGTAAGTGGCACTGCATCAACTGCACTGTAGCTCGGTCTCCAGTCAAAGCTGACTGCCAATCTTTCCTTCTGCCTGCAGCCAAAGGTTCACCTTTTCGGGGTCCAATGCCCTGAAGCGTCGTCCCACAAAGACAAAGACGGGACGACCCTTGCGATCCCGGCCTCCCTCGTAGAGAAAGCGGGCCTCTCGCACTGCTCGCAGGTCCTCCATCCTCGCTCTTCGCAAGAGGCGTTCATACCTGCAAGGTTGCCTTTCTTCACCTTCACTAGTAATGAACAGCCAAATCAGCCCAATATCATACACAAGGCTCAAGGGTTGAGTCCTCAGGCCTGCACAGTCTGGTTTGGTCATATTCTTGGTCCCGACACATTTCAGTTTTGTCCGACGTACACCAGCATGCTCGCATTCACCCCACCTTAGTTACTAGAATGAGTGCATTGGTGGTAACTGACCTGAACTGAAAGAAACTACTAAACGCAAAAAAAGCCAGACAGCTTGTCTTAATCTTTCAACACGGAGTTAGTTCTCCAACCTTGTGTGGTGAAAATAGAAAAATGGATTGTCTTGCTTCTCTTTTTTTTTTCCATTTTAGGTAAGTTTATTATTTGTTGCTGACGACACTTTGCAAGTGAGACCCATTTTGAAAGGAGCACTTTCACATATTTCCGTAGAAAGTTTGAGCGTCGAGTTCAGGAAGCTAGATTTGTCTCCAGATACCGAAATGCCACTGTGCTGAATTAAACCATATTTACAGTGAATGAAATTGCACAATTTATAACCTAGTTTGCCAGTAAGTTCAGTTGGCCCCTTTTTGATCCTCAAAAGCCACAAGTAACAATGTGTCCCATTTATGTAGTGTTCAATGGCACCCAATTTCTCTTTACACAATGAGAGAAGAATTGTACAATTCTGTAGTATAATTCATGAATAACCTCCAAAGCGAATAAATGGCCCCTCAACATCTTTCAACATTTCTTTCCTCAAAATTAACACAGTTTATGTCTTGCAAAGATGTTTAGTCGTGAAGTTAAAAGGGTCTGATCACTCTAATGACCATGTCAGCTTTAAAAGCAGGTGTTTGGTGGCACCACCCACCAAACACCTGTTTTCACAGGTTTTCACAGAAGTCGTACCCCCCGTGGGGTACGACTTCTCTGTTTGTGTCCAAGGATTCTAAATCATGCTGAGAGGAAAACAAGTTTTAATGGCCAATACTGCTGCCAGTTTTGAAGTCTGAAAGAAATGTATTCTCACCTGCCAGATGGGTCCAGCAACCATACATTCTTTAAACTCTCTAATCGACTCTTTTAAACACCGGGTCTTGGATCTCTAATACGATGAACCCTCCACGCCAAGGATAATTTCGTACAAACCTTTGTTCGCCTCTCTACCAAACCACCGATTCGTACAACTGCAGTGATGATGGTATGTGAGGTAAGCATACGGGACACGTTCCTAGCCCAAGAAGGTACCACTCGAGCGTTACAGAATCTCATCTCAAATTAGGAGACGGAAAAAAGTGAAAGCCGTTTACAACTCCCTGTAACGCCGAATTAGAGCGCAGCTCTTGAGGAGGAGGAGGGAAGGGTACTGGGGGGGGTTAAGTGACCTTGGGTGGGGGTCACGTGACCAAGGGGGTCACGTGACGATGACGATGACGATGCGGATACCGATGACGTCATCAGTGACGTCACTGATGACGTCATCAGTGATGATGACAATGACGATGCGGATGCCGGTGACGTCATCAGTGATGATGACGATGACGATGCGGATGCCGGTGACGTCATCAGTGATGATGACGATGACGATGCGGATGCCGGTGACGTCATCAGTGACGTCACTGATGACGTCATCAGCGATGATGACGATGACGATGCGGATGCCGGTGACATCATGAGTGATGATGACGATGACGATGCGGATGCCGGTGACGTCATCAGTGATGATGACAATGACGATGCGGATGCCGGTAACGTCATCAGTGATGATGACGATGACGATGCGGATGCCGGTGACGTCATCAGCGATGATGACGATGACGATGAGGATGCCGGTGACATCATGAGTGATGATGACGACGATGTGGATGCTGGTGACGTCATCAGTGACGTCACTGATGACGTCATCAGTGATGATGACAATGACGATGCGGATGCCGGTGACGTCATCTGTGATGATGACGATGACGATGCGGATGCCGGTGACGTCATCAGTGACGTCACTGATGACGTCATCAGTGATGATGACGCTGACGATGCGGATGCCGGTGACGTCATCAGTGACGTCACTGATGACGTCATCGGGGGGGGGGGGGGGGGGGGGGTCACGTGACCCCGGGGGTCACGTGACTCGGTGAGCCACGTGACCTTGGGTGTCACGTGACCTTGGGATCACGTGACCCTTGGGGAGGGGTCACGTGACCGTGGGGTCACGTGACCTTGGGATGACCTTGGGGGTCAAGTGACCTTGGGATGACCTTGGTTACGCCGACGGCGACGCCGCTCAAGCCGGGAACGGGCCCCTAAGAGCTGCGCTCTAAAATGACCACGCGAGAGTGTCTTGAGCGGGAGACCCAGATACCTGTGGGCGCGCTGCAGTTCCATCGTGAGGGCGTCTGCGGGGGGCCGAGCCCCGTGCCTGTCCACGTCCCCCTGCATGCGGGCAAAGGCGGTGCGTCCCACCACCACCGAGCCTTCCATGTGGGACCCGTGCTCAGCCTCCTCACCTACCACACCTGCGAGTATTGAGAAGACGGTGAAATGAAAGGGGGCACTGCCCTCTGCTCTGATGCCACTCGCCAGGAAGGCCCGAGTGAGGAAGATTCCCATGGTAGACACCCTGACAAGCAATGCAGCAGCTTTAAGAAGAATCATAAAGCAATGAGAAAGCCGAAAAATTGGGATAAAGGCATTCTTAACATATTTCCTGGACGTGTTGTCCCCAATACGAGAAAGCTCCTCTCGTGCTCGGGGCTGCTGTAGTGACGTCGGAGACTTACAATGACCTTAGAGACGATGGCAGCCCTACACACGACAAGAAAAAGAAACTCCCTTCAAGCATTTTTATCTGGTGAAACCTCTTGGTAGTAGATATAGATGCTGGCACTGTAAACACAATACAAACTAAAAAAAAAAAGAAAGAAAAGCTCAGATCTTTTTTTAGTGGTTTGCAAATATTTTTAATTTTAAGTAAGTCGTAAAGAGTGTTTGCTATTCGATTCAATTTGCAGCACACCTTCCTTGCTCAAATTATTTGAGCTTTATTTTTTTTATATTAGAAAATCAGAAATAATGTTTCTAGAATTCGCAGATTCCTCGCATCAAGCTTCACTGCTTCACACCAGCGCTATGGTGTCAAGCTTCACTGCGTCGCACCGGTGCTTGCACGTCAGGCTTCGCCATTTTGCACCAGCATGTTAGGAGAAACGGTTGACATGTTGGGGCATCTAAGCTGGCACAATGATCTCTGAAATTTTACACCTAACCAATAGCTAGTAGACCTTCATCCCCAAGTTTAAAGGGGCCCTGCAACAACTTTTTGACTGGTTTTTAATTTGCACTGCGTTCAAAGCGCAAGTCACTATACTCTGTTTCATACTTAGCGTGCAACGCTGTCAAAGCTACTGGCGCGAGCGCGTGGTTTCATCTATGGTTTTGTTTGCGCGAGAACACGTGCAAATGGTCAACGAGATCAAGCCCCATGCTCGCGCCAGTAGCTTTGACAGCGTTGCACACTAAGTATGAAACAGAGTATAGGACTTTTCTTTCTATGATTAATTCAGCGATGACGGAACACGTGCAGAACCATGACGAACGCCATGATGGTAAGTTTTTGACACCGTATGATTGGTCCGATCGGTTTGTAGGGTCGGCTGCACTGCAACCACTTTTTGACTGGTTTTTAATTGGCACCGAACCTAAGCGCACTGAATGTAGTAACTTAAAGAAACTTTTTTTTTCTCAAATCTCGCTTTATTTTAAAAGTTATAAGCAAATTAGAATTACAAAAACAAGCAAAAAATAACCTCCTTCATAACGTCGTAGGTCCTGGCTTGAGTGGCCGTGAACTAGAGGAGGAGTAGGGAGCTCATAGAGCGCTCACGGCTGCCGCTTTTCCGTGTCGACGGCTCGAGAGGGCGCCACAAAAGCACGTGTTGGATAGGCTGTATGAAGCGGGCGGCCAGGGCGGCTCGCATTGCTTGTGCTGCGCGATTGAAGACTAATTCGGCATAACACTTCATTGGCCACAAACGACAGCAAACACGGGGCATAGATCAGTTCAGAATGGGAGCCACTTCGCGCTGCCATACCGCCAAATGGCAAAATCGCCAGCCAAGCCTGCGCCGAAAGCCTTTGGAACGCTCGGAACCGGTCGGATCCTCGATCCGGTATACGACCGCAGCGCCGCCGCATACGTCCGGGACCTTTCTATGCTCGCCGTTCGTTGGCACCTCATCCCACTAGCCCTTTCTAGTATGCGCCGTTTTTTCCGCCGTTTGGTGGCGGGTTTGTCGACGAGTCTTTTTTTGTTTCCATACTTTATAAACTGCATTTGTTTCTTTTCTGATCTAAAATACTGAACAAAAACTACTTTTATACATAATTGAAACGGTTCGCGACATTTATATTTTGTATCTCGACTAAAAACAAAGCTTTTAGCGACTCTGACCAGTAGTAAGCCCAGGACCAAAGAAGTCATATTTTGCGCGCTTTCGGCAACGCGGGTCGCCCTCGTAGGTGGAGGAGGTTTCCGCGTCGTCCGGTTAAACTATGACTCACTGATATTTAGTTACTCTCTCCGTGCCCGCTGGCTTGCCCGAACCCCAAGAGACGTGGAAACCGCAAAAGAGGTAGACGCTTAAATATGATTGCAGGGCCACTTTAAAAGACTCTGCCAGAAAAGAAAACCTTGGGCTACATTTAAACAAATACGGCAGTCATTGCTTTGCTTTCCACATTGTTTTTTTTTTCATAAAAGTATGTGAAATGTTTCTTACATAACAAAGCTGTTCCTTTTCATAGATATGCTATCTTAAAAATATTCCCAGCCATAACATTTTTTTTTTTTTTTTAAGTTATCTTAGCTCGATTCACAATGAGTGTTGAATACTCATATTGAAAAACATTTCAATTTGATTTAGTAATTTTTAATATTGGTATACAATTCACAACGTTGATATTCCCACATTTCCAGTTTTCAAGACCATGAAAGAGAGACTCTTAAGGACCCATCCACAACGTTAATGGCGCCCTAAGAAATCTTTTATATTTATATTTTTATAAATTTTATATTTGAACACCTCTGATTAGTTTCAAGGCCCCAAGAGGGAAAAGCGAGGCGGACTCGCCTCCTCCAAAGGGCTTGTCCACGATGCGAATGATGCGCTCTGGCAGCAGGGGCTCCCCGTTGGGACCCCCCACATCCTCTGGCAGCGCCCTCTGGGCCATGTGTTCCTCCCACTGGGTGCGGGGGAAGTAGAGCGGCAGTAGCTGCTCGTACATGCCCAGCTCGGTGCCCTCCATCACCAGCACCACCAGCTCCACGCAGTCGCCATGCAGCTCCAGGAACCGACGCAGGGTCCCTGCAAGAGACCGTACAGCCGGCACTGGAGGGGTCTTCCAAGATCGGTTGGAGTCAGGTGTTCAAAGAGTGTCGGAGTTCTCGGGCCGTCGCTCGATGGAAAAGGCACGATGGCACCAGAGAAGAACCACTCTACACGGTCTGTTAGCATGGTATGGCATTCACTTCCATAATGAAATAGAGCCGACAATTTGGGCCGCAGTATCTGCAACTGCAAATATGGACGTCGAATCTCCGTTTCGTGAACATGCAAAAACCAAGTGGCAAAGAAACATTATAGAAAATGCTTAGGCTGGTGCAAGACTCATGTAAACAAAGCATCTCTTCACAGGAGCTCCATGGTCATATGACGTGGCCACGTGAGCAGGTCATGCAAAGTCAGCATCTCAGCCCATCAAAGCACACTGCTCAGCATCTCACGTTGTCTTAGATGTAGTGTGCCCTGTCCGTGATGTGATGCTACATCTCTTCTCTGAGTCCCCAGCCCCCTTCCCCAAATTGTTAAAACACCGGAACCCAAGGTCCTTCAAACATGTGCAAGCATAGATAACAAGTCAACAAAAAGTGACTCTGCTTTTATGTAAGTGCTATAAATATATATATATATATATATATATCAGGGTGTCGAACCGGAACCGAACCGAACCGAAAACCGGAACCGAACTGGTATTTTTTCCGGAACTGAACCCGAACCCGAACCGTTATATTGTTATCGCGATAAACCCGAACCGGAACTGAACCGGAAAAAAAATAACGGTTACCGGCTCATGTCAAAACGGTTCGGCCACGCGCTGTTGACAATGAATGTGCTATCAATGCCATTTGTTTTTTAAGTGCCGTCAACTGACACAGACCTCGCTTACATATTTTTCTTCTCCACTCAGTCTTAGGAATATAAACGCTGCATCCATGAATCTTGACATAGGAACCAGTATTGCGCTGGTCGCGGCTTGCACGGAAAAAAGAGAATTAAAAAGCTGTGCAAAAAAAACAAAACAAAATTGCGTCACGGGATTTCATTTTTTTACAATCCCGTAAATCCTAAATGCTGCTGTGTACTCATTTCATAACACGTTTCTAGAACGCGCGAGTTCTTGAAGCTTGCTTTCATCGGAAGGAGAAAAGAAAAGGCTGTGGAGTCTGATAATAATGCATCCGGTTTCGTATAGGCACTTAGAAGCTAACATATTTGTGAGACAGCGAACTCTTCTATTTTAATATTTATCCTATTACGTCCTTCTGGCGTTGCGTTCGGTGAAGTGTTTTTCGTATTCCGTATCTTGTTTAATAAAAACTTCTTTAAGGGTCTAATTTGAGTTACCGAAGGCTAGTTCAAATAAAGAAAGCTGCATTTTGTCGCCACTGTTCCTTCAATTGCTTACACGCCGAGGTGGCGGGATAGTTAGCGAGTTCTACTTGTAAGTGGGTTTGTAAGGAGGTCGCGGATTTTACAGCTACTGCGTCCGACCCAATTAGATGAAGTCTGAATGCGTAAACGTCGGTGAGGTAACCTTTGAGTGCACATAAAGAAACCATTCCTGGTAGAAATCCCTGAGCCTTACACTGCGATGTATCCCGTTTCGTATGTGCTGATTTCAGATGTTTTATTTGTAATTAATTTTGATGTTGTAATTTGTCATTTATAATTTCCGAACCGGTTCAGCGCCCCGAACCGGTTCGCAAATCGAATCAATCGAACCGGAGCTGAACCGGAACAAAATAAATTTACCTGAACCTGAACCTGAACCGTAACCGAACCCGTATTTTTTTCGGTTCGACACACTGATATATATATATATATATATTGCGCAGTTTCATTTGGAATCAGGCAACGAGGTGCAGTCATATTTTTTATTTTGCTTCAAATTTTTATATTTCGTGGTGCATGTTCCAAGAAGAACAATCCTTTTTATTTTAATGTCCTGACATATTTCCGAGAAAAACAATCTGACAAAAGCAGCAAAGAACAACGAGGTTTCGACAATTGTCGTGTGTGGCGTTTTTGAATCACTCTCAATCTCAATGTATTCAAAAGAGAGCTTCTATATTTTTTTTTTTATTGTGATATATATGCAAGTAGGTAAAACGAAATTTCAACTACTATCTATTATTCGTCGCTCCAATTTTTGTGAAAATCCCCAAACATGCCTCCGCAAACAACTGTGACCTAAACTGCGGATTTTTTGTTTCTTTAGACGAGAATATTTAGTATTGCTTTTAAAATAATACCAGGGATGGGCAGTATTTCAAATACAAGTATTTGAAATACGTATTTCAAATACTTTGTGTATTTTGCATTTGTATTTAATTACAAATTGGGTAATGTATTTGACGTCTGTATTTAAATACTAAAACGTGGGTATTTCAAATACAATTGTAATTAAATACAATTTTGTGGTCGAAAATACATCCTTCAAATTTATTGTCACTGTCCAGAGCAGGAAGAAAACTACGTTCTGCACTGAATGCAGTGTCTCTCAATCAAGCATAAGCGTTTAGTGACATTGTGATTACGGTGCTAGTCCAGGGCAAGAATAGGGACGAAATCGACGTTCACAGGCAGACTGGCTAAATAAGTGCCTGTGACAACTTGTGATGCTTTCCAGCCTGATTTCCATCCATCTTTTTGCCTGGAACATTCTAAATGCGCGGGACGTCCAGATTTTCGTAACTCGTGCGAGTTGCAACAATAAAAAATTCTCTAGCTAGTGCTCCGCGTCTTGGTCGTCTCGGTTCTTTGTTGGTCTATACTAAAATGTAATCGACAAAAAAAAAAAAAAAGCTGCTTGAAGCTTTGTGCTTTTTTCACCTATTACGTCCAGGCTGATTACATTTTTTTTGTGATTATATTTATATTACGTTACTATAGGACCTCGCACACTAACTCGCGAGTGTGCGATGCAAAATTAAAATGAGATACCCAGAAACCCGCTGCAGGTGCCCTGAAATCGCTGAAGCAAACTTTGAGGAATGTATTTGGAAAAGTATTTGAAGGAGATCAAATACATTTGGGTGTATTTGTATCTTGTACTTAAATGCTGTTTTGAAAATGTAATTAGATTTGTAATTAAATACGTTTTTGAAGAAGTATTTTGTATTTGTATTTCGATACATATTTGCATGTATTTTGCCCATCCCTGAATAATACCACGTGTACAACCTTTCATTGCCGTCCACATTATGCAAAGTTTGTGTTTTAATCATGTACGAGTACTCAGAAATAAAATGTGAAACAGAGAAGATTTTCACTTACCGTAGAATACTGCGCATCCGCCCATTCCACATTAAGCGCCCATATCCAAATTTCTAAGATCTGAGAAAATATGCACAGTACATTTATATGTAAAACTGATGACCGGACAAGTGCCCATCCCCTATTTTTTCGCGATTATCTCTAAATTTTGAGTGGGCGCTTTCCCGGTATATTACGATAGTTCAATTTCAACGCATTGTATAAAAAAGAAACATTTTTAATTTTTAAAAACAAACCACCAGTTGTTTGCAAATTAAAATAAAAATGTAAAAAAAATAAAGAGTGACTAAAATAAATACAAATTATTCTGTTGTGTTGTCAACATGAATTTCGCAATAAAAATATAAAATTTTACATTTAGGCTTCCAATAGGAAGTGTATTTTACTCTAATGTTTTACAATATTATACTTTGACATTTCTAACATAGTATAGATTATGTAGCACATAGGGTTTAGGCTTGAGGCCTCTCCAATCATGGCACTGGCGGAAATTGTCTGAAAACCGCTTTCGGCAGTTGCGATTTTACAGTGTTTACATGTTTGGAATTGCAAACTTGATATTACACGCCTAACGACATCAATGTCTTTTATATGATTATCTATTAAACGTCCCTTAGATTCTTATAATAAAGAATAACCTATACAGCTATAACCGATAAACGCACCATCGAAATCTGCTCTTTTTTAGCATATTTAGAGGCTTAAGCCTCAAAACTAGTACATATACCTCTAACAGAATGTATGCTGGCTAAACGAAGGGTGTGTAGAGAATGCAACGCGAAAAAAATAAAATAATAAAAATTTTTTTTTATACAGCGTGCTGAAAATGAACAAAAAGTGAAAACCTTCTCTATTTCATAAATTATTTCTTAGTACTCGTACACGATTAAGACACAAACTTTGCATAATATGGAAGGCAATGAAAGGTTCTACACGCGGTATTATTTTAAAAGCGATACTAAACGTTTTCGACTTAAAAAAATGATCCGCGATTTAGGTCACAGCTGTTTGCGGAGGCATGTTAGGGGATTTTTACAAAGATTGCAGCGACGAATAATAAATAGTAGTTATAATGTTGTTTTACCTACTTGCATTTATATCACAATGAAAAAAATATAGAAGCTCTCTTTTGAATACTTTGAGATTGAGAGTGATTCAAAAACGCCACATACGTCAATCGTCAAAACCTCGGCAATCTTTCCTGCTTCTTTGAGATTTTTTTTTTTTTTTTTCTCAGAAACTAGACATGTCAGGACATTAAAATAATAAGGATTGTTTTTCTTGGAACATGTGGCACGTAAAAAAAAAGCTTGAAGCAAAATAAAAAATATGACTGCACCTCGTCGTCTGAATCCAAATTAAAACGCCCATATATATACATATATGCGAGTATGCAATATTGTGGGGAGATTCAAAGTTCATAGCTTTGAAAGTGATGTCACGTGCCCAATGTGCATCTCTCTGCGGAAGTACCTCAACTGAACAAACGAAACAACAGAATCAATCAAAACCACAGAAGCAAGCAAGATAAACATAGAGACCAGTCCCCAGGTTCGTCTTACTCAATAAGCCAGTCCTAGGTTCTCTGTGCATTCTACTATTAACAACCCTCTACACCCAACTGCAAGCACTGCCATCAGGGCCGGCCCTACACCATCAAACGCCCTGAGCGAACTCCAGCCGTGGCGGCGGCAGCGCCTTAATCTCCTCCTCCTCCTCCTCCTCCTCCCACTTTTTTATGTGCCCCTTGGCGCCCTAGGCGACCGCTTAGGTCGCCCACCTCTAGAGCCAGCCCTGACTGCCATACACTTTGACTAGCCTAATGTGCAATGCTGGAATAGACACAGGTACAAACACACAGCTCTGAAAAACTGCTTGATCCAAAGTGTACTGAGGGTGCTCTTCGGGGCTTACCGCCGAATTCAGAAACCTCACTCAAACTTAAGGGCCCCTCCACTTCCTCGAGGAAGTGGAGAGGCCCTTCAGTTCGAGTGTAGTTTGAGTGAGGTTTCTGAATACGGCGGTTAGTCCTTGATGGCTAAGTGATGCAAGCTACCACCCGATTAAAAGGGTTCAGCCATATCCCTCTTGCACCTTCCAATATATTCCGTTTCACCTTACGACGTACTGCAACGTGTTTCGTGCCATCTTACTCAGTCCAGTACTCAATGCATACCACGCGACTTTGCATTCTGCGCATTGCTCCACCCAGATGGATAGATGGATGGATGTCAACGGGTGTACCTTATAAGATGGGTGGCACCTTCTGCCACTTAGCCTAAAAACAGAACAAAAAAACTATGACTGAACTGGAAGGTTATTTAACTCGCTTCCAGCTATAGACCGCCTGCAGTAGCTTGTGGTGTCTGGGTCGGTACATTGTAAGGTGAAATCGAGTAAACACTCCAGTCAGGGAGGCAGAAACCGTTAATGAGTGGCGAGGGTTCAGCTCCTCCGTGCATGTCAAGCGAGGAGCGGCCACTCACGCAAGGCCAGGTGAGCTCCGTCCTGGAGCGGGTAGCCCCTGCGAGCCGAGTGGATGGGGCAGAGTCCGAGGGTGGCCAGGCCGTGTTCCGGCAACATCTGGAGCACCCGCCAGTAGCTCGAGTGAAGAGCGCTCTCGGCCGCCGTCCGGAACTTGGCGTTGTACTTGGGCCCCACCGTGTGGATCACAAATCGGGCAGGCAAATTGTAGCCCTTGCTCAGCTTCGCCTCGCCCGTGCGACATGCTGCGCAGGGCAGAAAAGATCGGTGCCTATTAGCTGGGTGAAAAATGCCGAGTCACTGGTCTGTGGATGCAAGAATCTAACATTTTGCAGAAGGGAGAAACTGCACACGCTTTCAACACGTGTCACAGCCCGGTGGGCAAAGATGGCAGCATGCAGAAGACAATCATTGAAATGGTCTGTGAGTGCAGGGAGAGATGAACACTGCATTTCCTTTACATGTCTTGATACCGTGCGCGGGTATAGAAAACGTTGGCCAATAGTGTTGGAAGATTCTGCGTATGGTGTTCCTACATTTCTTTTGCTCCGTCACGCTTTGCACTGTTTGCAGCATCGAGCCCCAGCCTACATACCCAATGTTAGTACATTAGCTTTACGGAGGAAAAAAAGGAATGATTGGATGGATACAAACTAAACCATGTCTACAAAAATCGGGTAATTCTCATGCCACATTGTTTGCTGAAAAGTAAGCATTTCGGATTGGACGACCAGTGTACAGCTGCAACGTGCAAGTGATTTTTGGACAATGTGCTTGGCTGGAACACTGTCAAGTTCATTCCACAAGCGAAATAATTGAAAGATATAACGTAATTCAAAAGGCACATATACCTAGAGCAATATTTTCCACCTTTTTTGTGGAGAATTAAGACCTTTGGCCATTCAGATATCACACACTTAGACTGAGGCTGCAGTTGCTGCTTTAAAAAAGGCGCTTTGCCTTCCCCTCTCACAAATCCCATCAGCCATCAATAACGTCCGCAACGAAGCACGCTCGCCACCAGTACGAACATTTGTCCCCAACCCAACCGCCGACGTCGCCTCGTCCGTGCACTCACTGCGGATTTCGTTGAGCATGTCCCGCCTGAGCTGCTCGCCGGCCCTCTCCACGATCCTCTGGCTCAGCGGGCTCTTGTCCGTCAAATTCTCGTTGGTCGAGTTGACGATGGCGTGCGTGTTGAGGCTCGTCAGGTCGCCCACCCTACGCGGTCACCGGCAGACATCGTTGACACTCGGAAGCGCGCGGAAGGGCGGCGACGCTTACCACAGGGCCACCTTTCGGTTCACCACCTCACTGACCGGGAAGGGCGTCCGCTCGTGGACGTCCGCGGGGCACTGGGCGCCGGCCTCGGCGCCGGCGAGTCCCAGCTCCTGCGGAGCAATCTGGTGCCAGCGCTTGAGTACCGCGACGTCCACGACGTCCGGCACGGAGCCCAGGGGCTCCATGGTGCGGACCCGGCTCGGAACAAACGACGGCAATCGAGGCACCAGGACAACACGAGGACACCACAAGCAAGCCGCTGGCCGAGAAGCGAAGACACACACGCACGGAAATGCAGATTTTTGACGAGAGACACACTGACACGCAGAAAAGAGAAGCGGAAACGGGGACTGACAAAACGAGCGCGAAGCTGGCTCGGCGTGGTTGCAGCACACACTAATGTGAGACCAGGGAGTGATTCGCGGCGTTGGGAAATATGCTCGGGCAGCGATGATTAACTGACGGCACACCTCCCTGGCAGATTCAGCGCGCGCATACCCCTCTCAGCTGATCCTTTGGATCCTCCCATCCCAAATCACACTTGGATTTGGATTATTAAACTCAGCGGCGCTGATGTGTTGAGCGGAGCCAATTGAGGAGCCAATCTCTGTCAGAAATACACAACGCAGCGATAAAGCTGAAACCGTGCCGAGTGCCGTACCATAATAAATCGCGTAAAACTGCTAATGATGCATAAAACAGCGACAAGAGGCGAGATCAGGCGTTTATTTCTCGAAAACCATGAAGCTAAGCAGATGGTCAACGCCAATTATTGAGTCGTAGCCAAGAATAAACCAAGCTAGCCATACAGAAGCCAAGCCAAGCGTATGCACCAAACAACGCAAGGGAACGCCGGACGCTGGAGCGTGCATGAAAACGTCCGAGAAAGACGCCTAACTACAGTTCAGGGGACCCCCGGAGTCCTCTGGAAGCTATATCAGCTACATCATGGAGACGTGCGTAGCACAAGTGACGAACGTGGCGCCGACTGCCACGCTGGAGCAGATGTCCACGCTCTTTGGGTTCCTGGGCAAGATCTTGGAAATCAAGATGTATCCGTCGGACGAGTTCCTCCTGCAGCCCGTGGCCAAGGTGTGCTACATCCGCTACGAGGAACCCTGGAGCGTCGGGGTGGCCCAGCACCTGACCAACACGGTCTTCGTGGATAGAGCCCTCATCGTGGTGCCCGTGACGGACGGCAAACTGCCGGACGAGAGCCGCGCGCTGGCGCTCACGACTCCCGTGTCGGCCGTGCCCGAAGAGCCGACCATCGCCGCCCTGTCGCCCGGACTCGTCAACCAGGTGGCTATGGGAGCAGGGGGCGTCCAGGTGATCACCACCCAAGACCCCCAGCTGGCCGCGCTGGGGCTCCCGCCGTACCCGCCGCTCCCGGCCACGATGGACCCCACTAAAGTGGAAGAGATCCGACGAACGGTGTACGTCGGGAACCTAGACTCGTCGGCCACCACAGAACAGCTGCTCAAGTTCTTCAGCCAGATGGGCGAGGTGAAATATGTGCGCATGGCCGGCGGCGAGAGCCAGCCGACGCGCTTCGCCTTCGTCGAGTTCACCGAACAGAGCAGCGTGGGCCGGGCGCTCCAGTTCAACGGCATCGAGTTCGCGGGTCGCTCTCTCAAGATCAACCACTCGAACAACTCGATCGTCAAGCCGCAGGCCAAGAGCTCCGAGGCGGCCCACAAGGAAATTGAGGAGGCCATGCGGCGCGTCCGCGAGGCGCAGTCCCTCATCACTGCCGCCATCGAGCCGGAGATGGCCCGGGCCCAGGCGGTTGGCTCGCCCCTGATGCCTGGCATCAGCGCCGCCACCCCGATGCTGGCCAAGCGCCGCTCCAAGAGCCCCGTCAAGCCGCGCCGAAGCCGCTCCCGCAGCAGTCGGTCGCGCAGCAGTCGCCGGCGGAGTCGCTCATCGAGCCGCCACCGACCCAGTCGGTCGGGCAGCCGGCACCGCCGATCCCACCGTCGGTCGCGGAGCAGGCCCAGCTCTCCGGGGCCCAGACGGCGCAGGCGGTCTTCGAGCAGCCACAGGCGACGCTACTCCCGCTCGCGAACCCCGCCCAAGAAGTCGCGGCTCAAGAGCCGCCGGGACGAGTTCCCAGAGACCTCGCGTCGCCGCAAGAAGTCCCGGTCACCGTCGTCGCGGAAGAGTTCCAAGCGCGGCTCGGTGACGCCGCCGCCGCGGCGCAGCTCTAAGAAGAGGCGCAAGTCGCGCAGCCCGCGGCGGTCCAAGAGTCGCAAGGAGGGCAAGGCGACGGTGGCCCGCGACTACGACGAGGAGGAGAAGGGCTACGACCCGGCGGCCCTGGACAACAGCAGCAGCCCCGGCTCGGGGGACATGGACCTGGCCAGTGATTGAGCGACACAATAAATCTGAGTGTCAAGGCCCTCTTTATTTCCTTTATTCCCGTCCGAGAGTGAGCAGAAAGATGGCCTCCGAGTCGGACCCGGTCGCCACCAGGGGGCCCCGCAGGTCGAGGCTGTTGAGGGGCCGCCCCTGGGGACGCACCAGGGACTCCAGCTCTACTCCGCCGCGAGGAAGCCCTAAGAGAAAGACAAAGGCTGCTCTGAGTGCAACATCCAGTGCCACCCTAGAGCCCCGAAATAAGCTATGCTTCGTCCTTCCCCTACCGCCCTGAAGCCGCCACCATTTTGGTGCACAGCGAACGCAATTGGCGACCATTACGATTTGAAAATGCGACTTCAGGACATTGACATGCTGAAAAAAATATTGCATTATCAAAGGGGCTTGAGAATCTGACAATAAAGTACTACTAGATAATTCTTATTTCCTTACTGAGATTACATAATTGCAGACATCATCGTGATTCTATCAGGGACAATAATGAGTGCAGGCTTTTTTTTTTTTTTTCCCTTTCCTTTCATCTTAATATTTTTAGTTCTAGGGCCCCATTGTAGTTTAGTATGTTTTGGCTATGGAGTATCTATGAGTGATAAATAACCTCCCTTCTGGTCACTATAGTCAGTTACAGGTCAAGAAGGTAGCGGCAAATGCCCCTCAAAGGGAATCAGGTATCCCTCCGCCACCTCCGCATTTAATAGCGTCCCACCGTTTCCGTGACGTCGCGGCCAACGCGCGAGGAGGGTCTTGCCTTTCTGTACATAATTGCTTTATCTTTCGACTTTGACTTAGCATTGCGGAAGCCACGAGAGGGAGATTAGAGTTCTCCCCCATCGACGGAAACAAATGCGACTTTCGGGGATTAGCTTCCCCCCCGATGGATACAAAGGCTGCTTTCAGGGGCTCGGTTCCCTCTACAATGAATACAAAGGTCGCTTTCTTAAAAAGTGGGATTGGAGACAAGTGGGAATCTATTGAAGCGGAACAAGGAGCGTTTCCAGTGAACTCTTCTTTCGACTGCGGAGAGATTTGAAACGGGTGCATCACACTTGTGGGAGGAGCTTCTCCTACCTTCTTGACTTGTAACCGACTATAGCCATCTTAATGGCATACACACGAATTTTACTTTCATTTATGCTTCAGTTTGAAAAAGGTAGGGTATCCCGGCCACAACTGAAGTTTGGACCATCGCTTTATTAATGTGAAGAATTCATTCCGAGCACTAGTCGGTCCAAGACTGAATTGTTTCAAGATTCCTTTGTCGCCGATTGCCTGGCAACTCGCCAGGATTAGCTCAATGCAACACAAACCCTGCTGTTCTGTGCTTTATGGATGTGAGAGTTCATTACGATTACTAGTTGGCTCAAGTTTACAAACTTTTCCAGGGTCCCTCTGTAACCGTGTCGCTCGCCTCTCCCCCCCCACTTACCAGGATTCCCCCAGCGCAACAGGGACCCGTTGCTGGCACAGAAGAGCAGCGCACCTTCCGGCTCAAAGATCATGTCGGCCAGAGCACCCTGTGCCGGGGCGGCCAGCGTGGCCGTGGGCACGCGCCCCTGACGCAGGTCCCACAGGCAAAGGCGGCCGCTCGATGCCCCGCTCGCCAGCAGGTGGCCCTGGGAAGGATGCTGGCCCATGCAGGTCACTTGTTCGCCGGCCCTGCACGCAGACGACATGCGTTGCAGCGCACGGAATGCACCCTTTGACCGAGGCGTTTAGCCGACACCACATATAATACTTCATTTCAGCTGAAGTCCAGATGCAGCCAATGCCACAAGCGCAAGCTCCGGGATTTTAGCGTCCCTGCCAAGCACGCACGCTCATGCAGTGCAAGCACTGTTCAGGGCCACATGCTCACACATGTAGCATCGGCTGCGTCTAGACGAGACCCGCTCGTTATGTCGGCGGCGGCGGCGAATCCCCGACCTGCACGAAGTGGCAAATACGCCGAAGCCCGACGAGTAGACGCGCACGCAGCAAAGTGGTGGATGCGTGCATCTTGGTGTTGCACTCGTGGCGTCGTGGACACGTGATGAGCGACGCCGCGGGAATACACACCAGTGATAACATTTGAGAAAGAAAGGCGCATGTCATCTGTTTTATACTCCGTTTCCCCTTTCGATGAACCGCAGAGGATACCCCAAGCCACTTTAGCCATTCTAATACCGCGCAACCCTCGGGAATGCCACAGGGGCCCGTAGTCGTGCTGCAATACGATCACAGTGCCGGCTTGGCTGGTATGGCTCGTGGCTTCCACCGTGGTCTGTCGTAAGGTCAAATGGAGTATAAATGTTATCGGTTTAATGCCCTATACTGCCGATGCATCGAAAGTGGTCCCGAAGTAGCAACAAATTACACGCGACCCACGAACGGGTTTTCTCCAATTTCATTATTATCGTTTCCACATAACGTTACCAAAATGTGCACCCACTAAATGTAATGCGAACGCTAAGCTTGCAAAATTAAGGTTATTTATAGTACATTCCAGCTCTTCGCTTCCCACGGGCGTGTTTGTCCCCGCCAACGAACCCCCGAGCGACCCACCAAAAGAGGTCCTGCGTCGGACGCCGGTCGGGAGAGTTCAGGTCCCAGAGGTGCACGTGACCTGCCAGGTTCCCCACCGCCACGTGGTTGTGCCGCACAAACCGCAGGCACGTTGGAGCGCCGCTGTCCGCCCTCTCTGCAATGTGAGTGGCGCGCCGCCCCAAATCACAGCTTTGCTTCACAATGCAGCAGTACCTACGTCGAAGTGATGCGCAGAAACACTATGGAACGGCACAGATGTGGATTGTACGCCCCTAAAACCACCGTAAGCTGTAAAAAGCAATCAAGTAAAAATGGAAATGCATGCAACACACTTGGAGCTAAAGCCTGAAATATGAAATAATCGAACAATAATGGCGAGTGACATGGTACAGTCGTGTCTCGTTAATGTGGACGCCTCTGTTCCTCAGAAAAGTCGTCCATAGTAACAAATCGGGATCAAAACACAGACATCAACGACTGTAGAGGGGAGTTCCTCCTTCCCCTCTTTTTCAACCCAACCAGTTGGAGAAGAGGGAAAGGAGGAACTCCTTTCGTATCCGGACCCTCTTTTGGGTGACCCAGATGTCGCTTTGTCCCCCGTAGCCTTTGCCGTTTGCCGAGTCTGCTGAAACGGAGTATAGAAGTTAGCTTTGCGAGTCCAGAGCTTATTCTCTCCTGTTCCCCAAACAGTGACAAGGTCTACAGTGAGGTGACCTAGCTGCTTAAAGAGCAACTCCGCTTCATTTTTGATATTTAGAAAACTGTGTAGCCCTGTTCAGTATCATATAGGAAGACTCCATGTCAAATATTACAATCTAATTCCGTTTATATATTTAATAAACTGGCCAGCAAACCTTCAAGCGAGCCAAGTCGCCGAAATCTGCCAACTCTAACGTGCGGCGCGAGGCGCAATCGTCAGCGCAGTCAATGCCACGGAGTTGGAGCGGCCAACGTTGAGCCACTCAGTCAGAGGCATGACTACGTCATTCTCTCGTTTTGTTTGTTTTTACTTCTCAGGGCGAAATTGAACGATGACGTGAGTTTCTCCTCCCGGTGTTGGCTAAACGGCGTCTACGTGACCAACATAACGCGGATGCGCTAGTTTGCGCTGCCCTGCACGCTTATCGGTCTGTTTCTCCGATTTCCTTCTCCTCTTTCGTCTTCTCCCCTTCCCCCTCTCCCCCGGGTCATCACCGTCCACGCCATGCGAAGCGACCTGTCCGCATCGCGTGTCCTGTCCGCCGCCCCCCCCCCCCCCCCCAAACGTCACAAGACCACGTGTTTCGACGTGACGTGGCCATGACTTTGACGACTCGGGACCAATGTTGCTTGATGCAACCGAAGTTTCGGTTTCGGTATCAGCTGATGTTTAAATTACCATTGCACAAATATTCCACAGACGTAGAGCTGTTTAGTAGTGCTTTATGAAATGGAATCACATGTAAGCCTAAATTTTTCGGAATTGAGCGGAGTTGCTCTTTAAAGGTTCATTCTTCTTCGTTCCTGGTTGCAAGTCATACGCGTTCTCAAACAACAATGGACTGCAGGCGGTAATGACCCATTTACGTAAAAGACAACACAAAAACATTCTTTGGTGTGCAACTCTAATGGCAAGACCCGCAATGAATGTCCAGGTGCACACTGTGACCTCAGGTTTACCGATATCTCGAAAAAATTTTTGGACCTTTTTTTTCTTTTTTAAGCTGTGGTGCTGGCATCCATAATAACAAGACAAAACTGCCGGTATTTGGCCAATTCATCCCGAAATGGCTGTCCATAATCCGGGCAAACTTGCATGGCGAAAAATCAGTCGCCGAAAATTTAGTCCGTAATGCGGGGTGTCCATATTAACGAGACATGACTAGCACAATACCATATTTTTAATGTATAAATCAATTTTTTTTTTCTAAAAAGTTTTAACCTACATGTGTTGTTTTTCTAATTGCAAGACTACATGTGATGTAATATAACAACAGGGAGTTATATTCCTTGTTCTATGTGTTGGTGAGAATATTGAAACTGGCTCCTGCTAGTGCACATATCACGATCGCGATAGACATATGCCAGCTGCTTACCAAAACAATTTCCCAGCGACAACCATACAATAAAAAGTCACCCCTTTGCCATACTAGTGTGGCAAAGGCAGTGGTAACACCGAATGTGATGTCTTGGTGTGGAGAAACTGTGTACACATGTGGCAACTGAATGACGCGAAGCAGCCCAGTGTCATGTAAGGTAACACACTCCGTAGATGTCTTACAATTCTGGGTGCCACTTTCTGTGGTTGCAGTGTGAATGTGACTTTCTCAGAGCCCGTCGCAGCAAAGAAATCTGCTTCTTTTTTTTTTCTCTGCCTTTTTGTCGCTTTTTTTTGCACTCGTTCTCTGGGGAGCCCCAGAGCACGCTTGTTTCACAGAGCAGAGCGCCGCTCTATGTCCGAACACATGACGTTTTACCCCCTCCGGGAGTCACAAGGAGGCACTCTAGGAACAGGTTCGGCTGGCACTCGTGTCCACTCAGTGAGATGATGAGCGCGGCATCAGTACTTGGTTGGCAGTCGGCCTGTCGATTTACGCTGCTGGCACCTCACCGGATATGGTTAGGTGCCAGCCATATGACACTTTCTGTGTTACAAGTGCAACTTGTGTTCTAACTTTTTTCAAGAAAATAGATGTCAATACTTCTACAAATTTTTCAACTTATAGACCCAAAAATATGGTAATTGAGTTTTGAACATTTTTGTTCCAAACGCTCCAGCAAGCGTAGCACAAGCAGAGTGAAAAGTCAGGCGTGTCTTGGGGTATCAGTTGCTTTTGCAAAGTCCCCGCTGGTTGCAGTGCATTTCAGGGCTGAGCGACAATGCAGTAGATGCCAAAGACAATTGCTACTCAAGCGATCGCCTTTCGATTAGCGAACGAGATCAAGCTTCTGAAAATATTAATTCTTAAATGGCTGAAATGGCAACTCAGGGCCACAGTTCTCTTTGATAAAGCAACACAATATGCCGCTGTAAATTAGCAGAAGGCTAGCAACCTTTTTGACCCAACAGAAGAAAAGAAAAAGGCAAACTGCATTCATTTCCAGTTAAGCACACAGCTAATTGTACTGACTCAATGCTGGCTGCCTCCATGTGCACGTTTACACCACCTTCGGTTGCACGAGTGCACCGGTAGATGTTTCTAGACGTGTTAAATCGCCTGTCTTCGAGACATGGGATATAACGTTTCAGCAAGCCTGTAGTAGCATATACTGTCATTTGGCCAACATTGAGTTAGTTTCAAAGTAAGTCTTCTTGTATTTTCGATCAAGACACTGACGTTTCTGAAGTAGTCATATGCCATAACATTCCCCATCCGTATTCCTTTAAAGAGATAGTGAAATTAATTTTCAGATTTCATTTAACAGCAAGCGTTCATAGATGGCGACATTGCAGAGGTACTGACAAAGAACTGTTTGAGTCATTTCCATGCCCAGAAATGCTGCTTGTTCTTCGCACGAGGTTAAAGCAAACAAATACAACACCCACATCAAAAAGACAGTTTCCAAAGTGCAACTCTACTGGTGCACCAAACAGAAAACATGACCAGGAGATGTCACTTGCCAAGGCAACGAACAGCCTCGTGGCGGCCTTGCTCCAGCTGGCACAGTCGGCCGTCCTCGCCAACACTCGCCAGCTTGGTGGGCCCGCGGCTGGCTACGGCAGTGCACGGGTAGCCAGGGTGGAGCTGCTTCCAGCACTGTTGCTCTTGGAGCTGGAGAGAAAAAGAGACGCTTCAACAAACAACGAACACACATGCGAGATGTTGTTTACCCCGTGGAGAAAACACCGACTGCTGGGGCGTGGAGCTTTGTTAGTCCCACATGTGATCAATCCTCCTCACCCTTTTTTTGCACATTCATTCTCATGTAAGGAGAGATGTGTCTTGACCAACTTGCCAGCTGTATTTGCAACTCCAGCACCCTATAGGTGGCAGGGCGGTAGTCCCAAGATGGCGGAAGAGACGGGGATAGATTCTTCAGGATTTCCCGTGCGCCTGCTCACTGACGCTTTGTCAGCGCGTTAATATGATTTATTTGCCTATAAATGCGAAGCGGTAAGGGCAGGATATTACAGGCGACGGAGATGTTGATGCGCGTTAGGAAAACGAGCATGCTGGTATTTAAAAGTTGTACTTTTAAATACCAGCACCAGCACATAAACTTGCGAAGCTTTGTTGTAGACGAGCGCGTTTTAGGCGCTGGCCGCGTCACTGCTTGTGGCAGAATATTTTTTAGGGTGATGGAAGATATCATGCTTGCGCTCTGCCTGGCCATTAGTGCTCTAAAGTTGAGCCGCGCAAGGTGGCCATCAAGCTTTGGAAGAGCAGCGTTCACAGCATTGATGTCTTTGTGTTACAGGCTCAAAAATATCTGCTCACCGTCTTGGTCTTAGAGTATTACAACACATGATAAAACTGCTCTATGGTTATTGATAGGAAGTTTGTTACTGCACGCTACCAGCGGCGTAGCATTACAACCCGAAGCTCGCGCTGAGCCTTTGAAGCACAATTTTCAGCGTGCGCCAGGAGCACTACCGTGCTCCCGGTAGCCTGAAGTAACGCTATGCTAAAACTGCCTATTCACATAATCGGCGTGTTTAGGGGTTTTATTTATTATTTTGTCAAAAATAAATGTTTTAATATACCATACATTTTTTGTGCCGTGTTATTTTGCGACGTTGAGGCCGCTTTCGCCAAAACTGCCCGTTCTACTGCCTGTTCTAAGCTCACGTCTCAAACAGCTAGCTAACAGAGATGGACTTAAAATGTTTCGAGCATTTCTTTATTTGCTTTGTAATTACCTAAAACCAAGTACGGGTATTTTGTCTTTTGAAAGTGCTTGGAAAATGGTCATGTTCCTTGTAACGGCCTTAAAATGCGAACCCATTCCCGACGTGTATTGCTCTACCTACCGTTGCTCGACGAGTTTTCTACTACTTATGGCAAAGAATAGAATTTTCATGGACCGTACTCTATAGGGCTCTACATTATTAGTAGGAGCGTTTGCTGTCACGTTGAGCACAGATTGAGCTGGCAGCCATAATCAAGACCAGAAATCCACAGCGTATGTGATATACAAAAATTCCCTAATGAAATTAGACATCATGGTCCTTCGTGCAATGCTTTTGCAAGGCGTAACACCAGAATTCCTGTTTTAACGCGCTCACTTTTTTCGTTAAAACGGCTTCACGCACCAAGGCCGACAGTCCCGGCCACCGTTTCTGCGCCGCTGCTGTCCCCGCTCCTCTGGTTCTTTGTTCGTCAGCGAGAGGGCGAGCGGCGGGCTGGAGTTGCGAATAGCATGCAGTGACTGAGCCAGTGCAGAGAAGGAGCAGAAAGCCAGAGTTTAAAGAACAGGCTAGAGGCAGCTGAATGCTAGGTTATGAATCAAGTGTGCCCACTGAGCCTGATGCCCTTACACCCCGACCGTGCAATGGTAATCACGTACAGCGCTAAGACAACAGTCCCACCTCACCGTATAAGCTGCTCACCTCTTTGCTTCCACACCTGAAGAGACGCACATCTCCCGAGGCCAGTGCCACCGCTACAAAGTCTGCGCCTGCAAACTGATGGGAAGATAATGTAGGCAGGAGCTGAGAGTTCACTGGTGATGGAGTTCAATGTTCCACAGTGTGAGAACAGAAGGAGCAAGCTCCATCTTGAAAAGCGGAACTTTGCTCAAGGATCTTAGATAATTTTTCTTCCAGCCAACGTTACGGTTCCAGCAACAGCGAAAACGTTGCTCCTCGCTAAGAGCCACAATGTTGTGAAATACCGATGTCGCTGTCCCTGTAATATAAGTAGTGCCTCCGCGCAGTAATTAATCCTATCCCCTAATGGAATTGCGCTTTCTCCTGTCCATCCACGCAACACTGGCAGAACCTATTAATTAAAAATGGCAGGAAAAAAAAAAAAAAAAAGAAGCCCACGCAGAGGTCGTCGATGTCGGACGAGATGTCGAACTTGTGTAGGCAGTTGATCGCCTGGTTAGCGTTTGGTTCGTCATAAGCCGGGAAACCGGTTGGACAGGACCACAGGCACAACGAGTTTGGCTGCGTTAAAGAAAAAAAAAATATATCGTAATTAGCGTACCACTTCATGCATCTTTCCTCTAAATGAAGTTACAGAAAGAAAAAGAGACAAGAGCTAAGGTACTGTACCTGGTCGTCCCAGCTTCCAGAAACAAGCAGGCAGTGTGCACTGCTCGCAAGATTTTGACCATCCGGTTTGAAGCGGACACGGTTCACCTTCTTGCCAACAAACTTGACGTTAATACCGACCATGATGAAGACGGTTATAGCAAATTACACAGTAAAGCAATCATCCAGCAGCTCGTACAACTATCGGTAGCGTGCTCGAGAAGCATCCCATTCAAAACAACTCAACATAATTGGATTGGATTGGCTCGTGTCAGTCTGTCAGTTCAGTGTTCGTGAAGTTTGGATGGATGGATAAATAAATAAATATTGACTGTTGCCTTTATATTGGGCGGTAGCTTGCGCCACCTAGCCTTAAATTATTAAATAAAAAAATTGTTCTTCCTTTTTTTTTTTTTTTCCCTTTTACCTCTTTGCAACGTTTCCTCCCCCGGGCGAGGGAGTCAGGGAGTCGCCACTTTTCCTCTGGTCAACCTCGTCGGTGTTCCTCCTTAAACCACACCCACTGGGGGACAGGTGTGAGACATTGGGCCGGAGCCAAGCGGGAGGGAGTCTTAACCCTCCTGGCCCCCAGCTGTGCTAATTGTCCGTCCTTGTTTCATGTTCCCTTAGACTGTATCCACCAGTTTTCCAATCTCCTTTTTGTTATGGTAACCCTTTTTATCTCCATTCCTCCATCCTCGTTCGCAAAACCGAGCGCCCCCGCCAAAACCGCCGACCCCTCCAGGAGAGCAGGACGAAGCCTCGTACATTCTAAAACAAGATGTTCCATTGTTTCGTTCTCATTTTGGCAAATGGCACATAATGTATCCATTATCTCGATTTTCTTAAAACCCCCGTTCTAGCCTCAAATAGTAGGGAACTACCCCGTGAATTATCAAAAACCTGTTCTTTTCTTATTTCCTGCGTATGTGACCTGTAAATTGCTAAAGCTGATTTTCCTTGCATCCTACCACTCCACATTTTCCTTTCGGCTTCTTTTACGCCCTTTTTTATCGTGTTCCGCTCAGTCTCCTCTCTAGATGACAGATATTTAAATTTTAGTTTTCTCGTTCGGTTCGTCCATTTTGTATTCAAACTCTTCATGTATAAATACTTGTACACCTTCCTTGCCCATCGTACGTCCTCCATTTTTGTTAGTCTTTGATCAAATTTCAATTTGCTGATTGCCTCTCTACTCTCAAAAGACGACCAGCCCATGTCCCCAGGCCTTGTACCCCTTCATTTGGCGTGTTCCCATGCGCCCCCAGTGCCAACCTGCCTACACTTCTCTAACCTCCAATCCTGTCTGAACCTCTGATCGCATGCACAACACTGCATTACCGAACGACACACCATGACTCCTTTCCAAATGCCTCGAACTACTTCATATCTATTATAATTCCATAGTGCTCTATGCTTCATAATAGCCGAATTTCTTTTCCCCTTTTTTATTATATTTTCCTCATGTTCCTCTAAATATTTCTTTCCCTGTTTCATCCAGACCCCCAGATATTTGTACTTATCTACATAGTCTATTTCAAAGTTCTGAATTCTCAGCGGCTCCCCCTTTTCGTCATTAAAAACCATCACTCCAGGTTTTTCTCTACTGAAATTCAGACCAAGCTTGTCGCCCTCTCCTCCGCATATCCCAATTAGTTTGTCCAATATTTCCCGGCTATCTGCTATAAGTACGATGTCGTCTGCATACATCAGTCCAGGTATGACTTGGTTTACTTTTCTCCCTCCCTCCATATACGTCAGATCGAATCCCAAGTTGCTCTGCTTTAACCTGTTTTCCAATTCGTTTAGGTATACCATGAAGAGCAGTGGTGACAGGGGACAACCCTGTCTAAGCCCTCTTTTTATTGCTGCTGGTCTTGTAGTTTCTGCCTCCCACTTTATAACCACTTCATTATTTGTATACACTTCTTGCAAGAATCTAATCAAATGTGCATCTAGCTCATACCTCCTCAGCAGTTCCCAGAGTTTTTCCTGACTCACATTGTCGTATGCCCCCTTGATATCTAAAAATGCTGCCCATAATGGTCTATGGTTTGCCGCTGCAATTTCTATGCACTGGGTGGCTATAAATAAATTATCTTCAAGCCTTCTATCCCTTCGGAAACCATTTTGGAGCTCACCCAGAATCTGCGTGCTTTCTGCCCACTCTTCCATTCTTCTCTTCACTATCTGCATAGCTAGCCTGTATATGACCGAAGTTACTGTTATTGGGCGATATGATTTAATACTATCTTTATTACCTTGGCCTTTATATATTAGTCTCATCTTGCTTAGTTTCCAATCATTGGGTACGTCCCCCCCTTTAATTATTTGGTCTATCACGTGTTTTAGCTTTAATTTGCTTGCTTTACCTAGGGCCTTTATTAGTCTGATTGGAATGTCATCTGGACCTGTTGCTCTTCCTGCTGGAATCTTACTTTCCGCTCTGTTCCATTCTATTGTTTCGGCTCCCTCTTCCTCCTGCACGTTACTGTGATTGGTGTTCTCCAGTTTTTCATTTGGTTCCAACTCCGAAAAAGCTTCTTCAATTGCCCTCCTGATGTATTCTCGAGCCTCTTTCCCTTCAACCTTTATCCCCTCCTGCGTGGTGAGTGAGTGCTGGCACGACTCCGTCTTTTTTTCCCTGCGCCTTAATGTGCTCCCAAAATATTTTTGCTGCATTTCTGTCGTTCTGATTTATCTCCATCATCCACTGAACCCCTGCGCAGCCAATTTTGGTCTGTATGAGGGCTGATGCCTCCCTTTTTCTATTCAGAAAATTTTCCCATTTTGCTGCTACTTCGTCCGGGGTTGCTCCCCTTTTCTTTGCCCACCTATGTTCTCGAGATGCCTCTTGACGTCGTGATATGGCTGCCTTAACCTCTTTATCCCACCAGATTTTAGGTTTGTGCTTTTTCCCTCTCTTTCCTCCTCGCTTACCTCGGTACTTTTGCAACTCAGTCTTAAAAATGCCCACTAAATCCTCATATGACCACTCTCTTTCCGATTGGTTGGATACTATGCTCTCAATATTTTTGGATACTTCTTGTAACTGATCTTCGTTTAGAGTCGATTTACCTTCCCCGTTCCTGAATTTTTAGCTCTGTTACCGATGCACCAAATTTGATTTTGATTCTTCTGTGGTCACTCCCTAAGCTTTTTATACCTTCTTCGTCTATTTCCATACTCCCTAGCCTGTTATACAGCTTTGGGGACATGAGGCAATAGTCTATTGTTGAGTGAGAGGCGTTTCTCTCCCACGTGATTTTTACATCGCATTTTACTTGAGCATTAACTATAGTACTAGATCCAGGTCATCGCAGAATTCTTGCAACATTTTCCCTGTTGTGTCTGTGCGCCCATCAAAATCTTCTAAATGGGCATTCATATCTCCCATGATAATTATTTCCCTATTTAAACCAATTTCTCTGACATCCCTCGCTATGCATGACAAGTGCTGTGCATTTTCTTCTTTTGAATCCCTTCCCGTTTTCAAGTAGACAAATCCCAGTAGTGTGTTCAAATCCGTAATCTGTCCTATCAACCATAGGTGTTCCCTGCATCTCTCATTCACCCTCTCCCAGTCTTGCCCTTTGATCAATACTCCTATCCCTCCTCCCTTTCGTTCTCCGCTACTCCTGTTGCATTCCAACCAAAAATAATCCGCTATGTATGGTGGCTCCTCCATATCCCTAAGGTGGGTCTCCGCCAATCCATACACTTGAAAATTTTCCGCCACCAGCTGCTTTTCAAGCTCTTCCCATTTTAGTCTCTTTCTACCTCCCTACATGTTTATAAAACCAATATTAAGCTGTTTCTTCCTCCTCCTCCTGCCCTCCCTGTCCCCACCTCCCAGCTCTAAATCCGGATCCCTCTCTTTTCCCGGACTTCGCAGGCTCCCAAAAAAGCCCTTGCCCTGCAGCCCATTCTCCGTCCCACCCGTCTTCCTGTGAGCTCGCCATAATGGATCCCATCCCTTTGGAACCTTTGGAAAGTGGGGACCGGACTCCTTTGGCGGACTTCCCTGTTGATGTCCATGACCTCGTATCTGTGTTGGAATCTTAGTGCCTCAATCACAAACACTAAAACGGTAAAACAATCAGTTTTACCGTTTTAGTGTTATGGTTGCTAACAGGAACAGGATTCGCAAGAGTAACCTAAATATATTAAATATATTTAGGTTACTCCTGATAAATATACCACCCGTGTTGCTACGCCTCGCAAGTGGGCTCATTTTCGTCTTCTGCGCATGAGAAAGGAAGTAGCGGTGACGTCAGAACGCCGAGTCCTGATTGGCTGATCGCGACCCCCTATTGAGCGTCGTCTGCTCCTTTGCAACGTCGTCTGCTCGCAACATCGTCTGCGTCTGTCTTACCTTTCCTGCGACTTTCGGAGCGAACTCGACTTCGCCTTTAAGGGAGGGCAGACGAAATAACTCGAGCGTTACGTTGTTTTCGTCTAACAACTAGCAGACGCGCATCAAGGAGGGAAGTCAAAGGACTCACTGGCGAGGTGTCCTGGGGCGCCGAGGTTTGTTTGCTTAGTGTCCGCAAGATCCCTCCCAAATACTTTTTACCTCCATTCGTGTGCGGCGAGACCCCCTACTCTTTTAACGGCGCCGGCGGGTTGGCGCAGTTAACGTCGTCTGCTTTACGTCTGCTAGTCAAAGCGATGGCTGCTTTACCTTTCCTGCGTCTGTCGGAGATTCGCCGCTTTTTCACCGGCGAGAGTCACCGTTGCCTCGGGAAACAAGGAGATAACAAGAGGAAAAAATTGACCTTTTAATCTAAAATTGAGGTCAGCGATCAAAGTATAACACGGGAAGGGTTCACAAGGGTCGCGCCGGCATATTCCATTCAGCACGTCAGCCGGTCATGGGCAGACGGTCGCCGAGTCGCGGAGTGCCTGCTAGGCCTAACTGCCCAGCTCGTTTGGTCGCGTTCGGTGGAATCGTGGCCGTTGGAGCTTTTCCCGGATGTTTGTGGATCCAGCGTTCTTGTTCGTCGTGGTCTGTTTCAAGTACTTTTTACTTTTTTCTTGCTGCTTGAAGTCGGGAGGCGTCAAAGCGCACATAGGAAAATAATCGTCTGTGGGTCTTCGCGACCGCGACGCTGTTGGCCATGCTGATTTGATCGTAAGAAGTGCGTAAGACAGCTTCGGAGCTGCCGTAGGATTTCGTCGTAACCTGCGCAAAACTTACGAAAATTTCGTTTCGTGAACACGAATTTGTTCTTAAGTTTTGTCTTACGCACATTTTTGGCGTAAGATCGT